CGCCATGGGGGGTCACTACGGTGGCTCACCATAAGGGGGCTACGGGCCTTACTACAGAGGACTCCCTAGAGGGGCTCACCATAGGTTTTCAGCTGTCCAGGTAGCTCTTCGCCTTTGAATCTGATGTGATTGTCGTCAGATCAGTTCGGAGCAACCCGATTCGACCAATCGAAAAAAAGAGTCTGTGAGACTGGGATATTGTGTAAAGCGTAGCTTGGACGGGAGGTAGTGATGAAGACGCTTTTGGTGCAGCTTGTTCCAGTCTCACTACCTTTGGCTTTGGCTAGTAAGCCGTGCAAAAAGGATCTACAAGAAATTGTATGGCCAATGTGACCCACGTTTCCAGCATTTCCTTGACCGAGCGTCCTGCGAACCTCCTTTGTTTTTCCAAGCGGGATAATCTGGCCGATATCGCTGGCATACGAACGAGTTCCTGACGGGCTCCTAGGTGTTATGTCAGTGAAACGATAACTTCACTGTGATGCGGTCTTGGGAAACTTCCAGCTTGTTAGCTTGGTGGGCGGCTTGTAACGAGTGCTCGAGCTGACTGATTAACTCTCTAATATAGTCGCCCTGTCTGTACTTTTCAAAAATATCAAGGAGCAATTTTGCAACTGCAAAAGTATCTATGTGATTAGTGTTAGCAGTATTGTCATCAGAATTTGGGAATCGAACGAGTACATACCTGAGAGAGCCTCTATCCGATAGACTTCCATATCTGGGTCAGCACCTTTACCATTTTCCCATCCGATCCCTGTGTAAATAGGTTCCTGTTCGCCGACGATGAGACGTCTTTCTGCTATCCATCTGTTCATCTTCGGGCCTACCATTGTTCTGATGGATAAAAAATGAAGCTAGCTGACCGTTCGAGAACTAATAAAGGCACGGTAAGTTCCACGAAGGAGGATAGGGGTTGTTGCTAGTACGAACCTACTAAATAGATAATTTGCTGAAGAAAAGGCGTGGAGAATCAAAGGAGACAGGTGGAAGTTATCGGCAACAAGGGTGAAATATAATAGCAAGACCTGGGTCAAATAGAGGCCAGAAATTGGAGCTTGATGGAGTTAAGAAACAGGAGGAAATCACTGAACTAATCACAAGTTTTAAAGTAAGATATAGCACAGATATAGCACAAATAAAGGTGGCCTTCTGCTAAAATTCGGGCATTCCATTTCAAGAAATGCGTGAGAATCAGAGTGGAAGAACCTTGGACGGCGACATGGACATATGTAAACGTCGAGTCCATAGCCATTCAAAGGCATATTAATAGATGGCGGAAATGAAGAAGGCTGAGGATTCAGGCATGTAATCGGCATGCCCCAATTTCTACCAGAACCTTGTGATTTTTACCAATTCTCTGTATGATTTGTATGACCTGTATGATTCAACAGGTGATTTGCACGTGCTCTCCGTATGATCTGTATGATTCAAAGTGTCAGTTGCCGCGTGGTTGACAGCTCCTGATAAGCGAGCTCTACAATTTAGGGATCTAAGCGAGGCGGTTGATGTCTTCCGACTGATCTGAAGACAGTCGCGTCAGATCTAGGGACTGTTTCTTGATCCTTGTTTCCTATTGGTCAACTCGAGGAGGTGATCTGGGGAGCCAGGTGATTCGATGCTGAAGCCCTTCGTCTATATCTACTTGGGAAATCGTCCCCCTCGCCTTCTCTTTCTCCTTTGACCACCATCTCAATCATTCGATAAAATTTTTTTTTTCGAATAGAAGTCTGCCTGCCCCCTGCCCCCTGCCTCCTGCCTCCTCCTCGTCGCCATGACTGGTAAGTCTAACCTCTTCCATCATCTCACATCTCGTTCACATCTCCTTTCGATCCATGATGATCCATCACTTGTGACACTGGCTAATGATTTATGGCTCCAGAAATTCCGATGTCTGACGCCGCCGCGCCCGCCGCCGATGTGTCTTCTCCCCCGGCTCCTGAGTCCTCCGGTCTCAAGAAGCGCAGATGGCGTTCACCATCCCAAGAGCCCCCCCGTACTGGCAAGAAGCTAAAAAAAAACGAATCTGAAGTAAGTACTACATCTTCACCTTTTGCCAAACTACTAAAGTCGATGCTAACTTATTTGTTTGATAGTCTACTGCTGCTCCTGCCTCCGCCCCTGACCCCGCTCCCACTCTCGCCGCCGCCGCCGCCGCCGCTCCTGCTCCTGCTCCTGCCCCTGCTCCCTCTCGTTTGTCGGGAGTACATCTGCGCACCAAAGCAGAGCTGTTCGAGCTTGCGGCAAAACGTGAGGATGAGTGGAAGACTCGTCAAATTCAACTTGCTGATGATAAGCACGCATTGGAGTATTACAAAAAGCGTGTGGAAGAAACAGAGCGCGCGATTGCTGCTGCTCCTGCGAAGATAGCTGAGTTGAAAAAAGAGATGAAACGGCTTAAGAGTGCTGCTTTTGCAGCAAAAAAGTAATTTTTCATTGTTTTGTTTTTTCTTTTTTTTCTTTTTTTTTTTTCGACCTCCGACTTCAAGTTTTTATGTAGATTAGATTTGACAATGCACCAATGATCTTTTCACTATCGATCCCATGTAGTTACAAGTCGGCTATAACACATACATGCACACACAAACAAACCCACCTAAAGCGGATCTCGTAAGAGACTGCTAGTAAAAGGCCCGTTACTTTGAAAATGACCACCAGTCAACATTGAACAGGAAGCCCGGTTCTCCTCTAAAGACCAGGTAGAGGTTTTGCACACCAGTGGCACCGCTCACTGAGGTGGAGAGCGTCTGCCAGTTCTGCCATCCTCCAGTACTTGGGACTGTCAACGATCCAATAAGTGTGCCAGTAAGACTTCCTATCCTCAACTCTATCGTTCCACCGTTCGTGTTTGAAGCTACTGACGCGGTCCAGTTGCGCGCACCCGATCCCCGTCCGAAGTTAACTCCTTGAACCATGAGCCAATAACCGTCCTCTAACGCATCAATATTCTGGGTTCCTAAACTGCAAGGCTGTGTTTGGACGCCGAAAGAGTCTGCCATCGTCTCGGCTTCCACGCGTTGATATGGATTCAACGTTCCAATTTGAGGCGCTCCAGTATAGGTCATTTCGATCGTGGGAAACAGGCCGTTGGACAGGTACTCGAACTGCTCGACGCAAACCGAGCGATCGTATTGGCCGCCGCCAGAGTTTCCTTGATTATGGTAGAAGAAGTACGACTTATTTTTGTAGTCAATGACACCAGCATGATTACCCAGACAACCACCTTGCTCGCCCATAATCAGACCTTGATATTGCCATGGTCCCGTAGGGCCATTCGACGTCGAGTAGCGAATGTCTTCCGGACAGCAATCAGCGGCATACATCAGATAGTAGAGACCATTGCGCTTGTAGAACCAAGGGCCTTCCTCAAAGGTCGTTGGCTTTTCAGCATTATACAAGAAATTTGGTCGAGCACCGAAGCCTTGGGTTGTCAAGGAGACATTCTGGACAACTCCGGAGTAGCTGATCATGTCTTCATTCAGCTTGACGTAATACAGAACAGGATTTCCGGTGTAGAGGTAGGCCTGGCCGTCATCGTCGATAAACACGGTTGGATCGATGTTGCCAGTCGAGGTTGCGACCAAGGGTTTCCCGATTGGATCCGTGTATGGACCTTCGATGGTGTCGCTGACAGCAACTCCAACAGCCATGTTGCCGTTTGACTGCCCAGCGGCTACGTACATATAGAATTTCCCGTTTCGCTCGATTGTTTGCGGTGCCCAAGCATTGTAAGAAGCCCAAGAGAAAGCAGTGAGCGCAAGAGGACTTCCAAGATCGACATAGTTAACCATGTCAGTCGTGCTGTAAAGCCGCCAATCGATCATGTTGAAGCCGGTAGCTGCTCCCGGCTGATCATGGTCGCAAAATATGTAGACTGTATCATTCCACACCATTGGGGCTGGATCGGCGGTAAAACGCGTCTGAATGATGGGATTGACAGCCATCACAAAGCTGCGTGTGTGCAGAAGCGCCAGGCCGAGGCACAACAGTGAGAAGTCACGCAGACTCGAAAAACGTGGCATGGTGTCGACTATACAGTAGTGGTAGTAGGAACTACCAAGATTCGAAGCTCCCCGTACGCTTCTTTCCAAATAGGGCACTGGCTTGAGACTTAGTGAGTGGATGGGTAGGTAGGGAACGGTCAAAGCATTTTTCTGGGATTGAACCGAAACTTATATACTTCATCACCAGGGTACGTACCTAGTGATTATTATCCTCAAACTTCCGACATCTGACTTGGAAGAAAAATTTTAGCCGTTATGCTAGAGACTCAACTGGGTCATTGCCTGTACGTTTTCACCTAACTATTTCTCCATGTCTTGTCACCAAGAATTCAAACTTTTTGAGAAGCGTCGCTAAATCGAGCTCGAGTGAACATTCTCGGAGGATCTTTTCGACGGTAATTTTGGATTCAGCCTGATTACAAGCTTCAGAATACTCAGATGGCGTCTATAGTAGTGTCCTGCTGACTTTTGCGTTCTCTCAGTCTCCCAAAAAACCATGTGAAAGAATTCTGTGTTAGGCGGGAGGAGCTCGTGAAGAGCTATGTGGGTATCATGGGGTTATCGTGGCCGAGCTTTCAATCTGAGTTGAACTAGTTGTGGCTCTCATTCCTGCGGGGAAACGCCTCTCCCGATGGGGTAGGGGCCACTTAGAAAAAAACATCGCCAAACGGATCTCGAATTGAATCTTCTTCAAGATTCCGTTCGAATTTAGCCTGAACATCACCATGCCCCAGAAAATTTCTAATAGACCAAAGAAGCAACTCCGGAGCTACGGAGTCATCATGGCGAGGTTTTAACCAAAATTGACCTCCTGGCGGCTTCTCTCTATAGGGCTTTCTTCCTGCGGAGGGAACTTAAGGAGATGCGGGGGCAAGGGGAGAGTAGCGTAGAGGGTTTCACGAGCACGGAGCATAGAGACGAAGAGACGAATTATCAGAGTAGGCCTATCTACTGCTACGGGATATTGCGGGGCCCCAAAGTTGCGTTCTCCAATCATCTAGACGTACCGGTATACGGTCAATCGAGGAACACGGGTGATCTGCGATTGAAAGGATCAAGTATACCTAGAGCTACCTACGAAGCGAGGTTAGTCGAAATATGAATCACAGATCACTGATTCCACGGAAAATTACTTGATTCGTATTAGGTAGGGTGCAGTAATATCACACGTTTATCCACTCGATTTGATCAGGCCTCGAGGGGAAAGGTGCGATGTGAGAGCCTATAAGTAAGGGCATTGTACAATACTGGAAATGTAATTCGAAAAAAAACGTCTTCTCGACTACAGTGCACAGTCAACCTTGGAAAAACAACGTTGGAACAAAGAGGTGGATGCATATTTCTCCAACCATCATGAAGTCTCCTATGTATCAATTGCTCCTGGCGCTTCTCGTCAGCTTGTCCACTGCAGAACCTTTGCTTACGGTAAGGAGCGATACGGAGAACGCTACTTATGTCGATCTCGTTGTGCGTAAAGGGCCATCGCAGCACGTTGCTTCAGGGTTCATCTACGGTATTCCAGACACCTTTGGCCAGATACCATCGCATTTCTATGAGAACATCGGATTCAACTACGGCCGTGCCGGGGGTGCTCAGGAAGGGGCACCGAGTCGGGGATGGATCTGGGGTCTGACAGACTACTATGGCCGGCTCAATTCAACCTTGACTGATTACAAAACGTGCCGTGAATTCAACGCGGGTTTTATTCTGCTCCCCCATGACGTTTGGGGTACTGACCAAGCCAACTCGTCTACCGTTTGGCCCGGTGACAATGGCGATTGGACTGATTACGACAACTTTGTGACCACTTTGATGTCAGACCTCGCTGCAAACGATGCCCTCGAGGGCCTGGTCTGGGACATCTGGAACGAGCCGGATGGTTCCTGGTTTTGGGCACGAAGCATGCAGCAGTGGATTGACCTCTACATTCGCACCCATAAGTTGATCCGCGCCAATTCTGCATTTGACGGCGTGAAGATATCGGGGCCAACCCTGTCTGCATCTCCGTATAATCCCGACATCTGGTGGACTAGTTGGTTATCGCAGATTGCTGGAAATGATACCATTCCTGATCAAATTGCCTATCACCTCGAGGCAGGACCCGGAATTGGCCCATGGCAATCGTCATATGATCTCACTAACACTTATCCCTCTGTCCAGGCATTACTGCGTTCTTATGGAATTCCCAATCGGCCTCAAGTCATCAACGAATATGCATCGTATGAAGAGCAGATTCCATCTGGTGCAGCGTTCTGGATCTCAAGGTTAGAACGATACGAGGTCCAAGGCCTTCGTGGTAATTGGCAGAGCGGAAATACACTGCACGATCTCATGGCAAATCTACTGACCAAGTCAGATCCTTTCAACTACGCAGCGACAGACTACATGCCTGGACCTGAATATTCCGTGTATGAATATTACTATCAGAACATGACTGGCTGTCGCCTCAATACGACCGGTAGTGTAAACCTGCAGTTTGACGTCTATGCGACAGTCGACGACGTGGTGCGCATACTTGCTGGGGGTCAAACCGCCACGGGTAACTGGACCGTTACCGTTGAGAACTTGACTGAAGTTGGGTTGCCACAGCAAGGATCTGTCAGTATCAGAACTCTCGCATTCAATGGGAACGGTCACTACGTTCCGACGTATGGGCCCGTTGATCTCGGAGTTTCTAACTACTCCTACTCCGGTAACAACTTGGTGATTCCCATTGATCAACGCACAAACTATACTGCATACGCATTCGAGTTCACGGGTGGACATTCTAGGCGTGTTTGGTGAGGTACAGACTGAGTACGATATATTTCAATACTATGTTGTTATCTCAGACTGTCGATGTATTTAGCTTGTATCTGCACTCGTATATGCACATCCTTCCTTCAGCCATGCACGGCTCGCTCTTATAATAGTCCTGGAGTTGATAGTCGGGTCCAATTTGATGCCTATATAGGAGCCACATCAACATACCTCGTCGACGCATTGTCGACAAGACCAGCACCGAGCTGGGACTATCAAAAGCTCAATAAAGATTATCTGTTGAATATCCAGAACCAGTGTCAGGAGCAAAAGGCCTAGATTGCGGCAATGAACGAGTTTGATTTTCGATTAACATAGTTTCGCAAAGCGTGTCAAACAACAACTACTATCTTATATTCTCAATTATCAAATGACATGAATGATGTAGTTGGCGCTGGCCTGGGCCGTTACTCCCTAATCAGCCAGAGCTGTGAGAAGGTTTGTGTTGATTTAGCTATATCCCGTATCACTAAGCATAGGATAGTGAGCTGGGGCGGTCTAACTGCCCTATGTGGAGAGCCTATTTATAAGCACGAATTCTATATATCGTCGAATTGGTAGATTTGCTCCAGGCCAACCCTAAATAGTATCTCATACGGATGGGAAAGGAAGAAGTGATTAGCAACATTGTATGTATCGAGTTGTCTGTCTGTCTGAATCCATGAGGTTCCGAAACCGGGTTTATATCGACGTGTTGTGGAGTGATCTGTGAGCTATCAAAAGGGTAAATTAGTCAATTTCATATTAGGATTGGATCCGTCTTCAGATGTTTTCCCTTAATCCTATCTCGGGCTCTATTTTCCCAAAGCTCAATGCAGGATGATAGCCATGATGATCACCTTAGCTTCAATGACGCGCTGAGTTATATTTTATAGTAGGCATATTTCTGATGGGGTCGCTGCGCTGGGAGGAGTGAATACAAAAAAAGTCAGTTATCCCCTTCTCCAGAACGAACTTCAGCGAAACAAAGGTCTAAATCAGTTCATGATCAGTTATTGACATCTATACCAAGAACATCTTGACTGATAAAATCGACGATCTCGGTGGATTTTAGATCATTTTGACAGACTAAAACATCGACTAAATTCACGTTAGTGATAATCTTGAGAAGCAGTGCCATGAGTTTGGCGAATTTGATATACCGGACCACAGACGGACTCGATATGTTGATGATTGGAATTCATTTGGTTGCATTCGAAGAATCGCGCCAATTTGGCGACTCTGGCGACGGTCCGAGGAGCTTGAAGGGGAAGAAGGCTGCTCAATACATCTGATGAATCGGACGGACTTGGCTGATGATCTGGAGTCTTGTTGGTCGGTGGACTGAATAGTGGGTAGATTGACGTCGATTTTGATGAAGACGAAGCATGTCGATACCTGAAGCGCTCCGTCGCTCGAACACACTATATTCCAATCTCACATCCTCGCAAAGACAACACCCAGTCGCCATCCAATACGATACCAGGGGCGCTCCTTTGCTCGATCATATACAGTGGGATGAAAAATGTGTTAACACCCCCCGTATCCGAAATTTCCACACCGCCGGGTATTCTGCCGAGGAAAATGAAGCTATTAGGTGCGGGCTTAGCGGCATGGGTGCCCTCTGAACCCCCTAAAAGCCCTTACGGCACGGGTGGTTTATCACTATATTATTAAGCTTCGGGTAGCGGTCGGATATGGGGGGTGTTAACACATTTTTCATGGCACTGTACAAAAACATATTACTATTCTATAAAATTTATAAATCTTACCTAGGTCTCGTTTTTATTCTATAATTAATATGACGTATCATTAATAATAGTCTTCTATTCTATATGATAGAGTTTTAGCCACTATTTATACATAATTTTGTTGACATATAAGGATTCAAGAATGGCTATTTTGTATGGGGTGTGGGGGTGGGCACTGGGCAGGTTGCTTACAAGGGCGGGTGGTTTACGATTACGTTAACTTACGTTAATTACCTGATGACTAAGCAATACCGCCCAAAGAGTTCAACGCCAGGTCACGGCAAGAGAACGCATTACTCCACAAAATTTTCTCATATCACGCGTTATACAACCATTCTGTAGACGCAAATCCCTACATGGATCTCCATGAGCCAGATAAGACGAAGTCTGCTTCAGACATTGAAGGTCGGGCCATGAAAAGGAAGGTCCCCCCATTAGCATATCAATCGTCTTTACGATCGTCGTTCCCCCGCAAGAGATCTGTCACAGCCTGTCAATTATGTCGCACAAGAAAGACCAAATGCGATAATAAGCGGCCAAGTTGCTCGAAATGCCGCGAATTGGACGCACATTGTATTTATCAGGATCCGTCAAACTGCGCGTCGTAAGTTGCTGCCGTACTGAAGCTGGCCATTCCGAGCTGATATAGTCCCAAGCTCCGACGCTGCAAGTCAGATACTAGAGCGTCTCGATTACCTGACTACACTGGTTGAGCTGGATAGGCTGGACCGGGGAGCAGATCGGAGTAAACTCGAGCCTGGAAATCATAACGGGGGACTAAGACGCTCTTTGTCTCCCTTATTAGATCGCCGAGAAAACTTGCAAGATGTGTCCAATCCAGCCAGTCTCGAAGATGCGGTATCACTCACTACTCTAGGATGTCGAATGCGGTCGGATATATATTTCGGCTCCAGCGAAGATATTCTCGAATGGCCAATACTCGGTGGGAAACACGATCGTCGCCAGATTGAGGCCCTGATTTTTGACCCTACGTTGATCTCCGATATCTCAAATGGAGTAGCACCTTCACCAAGGGTTACAGACGATTCTTTGCGAAATGAATATGAAGACCCACGTCACAGTTCCAACATTGGTCGAGGTGTTCGCGAGGAAGATGTCATGCAACTTGTCGAAATATTCCTTCGCAATGTCCATACTAAGAACCCAATTTTTGATCCAAAGTATTTGAGAAATATGGCCAGATCTGTGGTCAAAAATGGATTTGACTGGGAGGCTTCCAGTTGTCTTGTGGTTCGTACATGACCTTTCAACCGCTCCTAATTGAGCTAAGATGCATTACAGCTGATCGCATGTGCTCTTGCGACTATCTCCTCTTCATTCGCGCGCCAACCACTTGTGGGTGCTGAAAACTTTGAGGAAGCCGAGGACAGCCTTCTGAACACACCTGCATATTACACGGCTGAATCGTACTATACCGCCTCACGAAAGCGCATGGGTATTCTGACAAACACAATTCTGGCAACAGAATGCTATTTTCTCACAGGCGTCTATGAAATGTATTCTTTACGACCTCTTCAGGCATCCATTTCTTTCAACAGAGCATGCGTAAGTTTCCAGACACTGACATGGATGAAGCCAGAGTACTATATCATAGAAGGCCAATTAGCTAAAGCTCATGCAAGCCGGCTGTACTGGTCCTGCTTGAAATCGGAACAGTACGCGATATTTGTCTCCAAACGATTATTTGCTAGTTATAAGATTTGTTGACCTTTTCGATAGTGAAATATCAGTGGAGCTTCGATTTCCTTCGTCAGGTTTGACCGGGCTCAACTACACGAATTCTTTTCCCACGCCACCAGTGGCCGTGGCCGTCGAACAGCTCTATGAAACTCCATCCGTTATCGATGTCGAGTCTGCATCTCTGCTGTCGACTGATGTTCAACAAGAATTTGAAAAGGGATGGTATTACTATTTGGCAGATATCGCAGCCCGTCGGATACTACAGCGAGTAGTCGATACATTCTACAACAAATACGAGATCACATGGTCCACGGCTTCTCTCCCAAAACTCATCCAGACTGCCAGAGAGCTGGAGCGACAACTAAGTCAATGGTAGCATAACGAGTAAGCGTGAACTTAATAATCCTTACTAACGGGGCATCAGGCAGCGGACACTACCCAGTGTAATTTCTTTCGATACCGACTTCTCTGCTGAAGATGAACTCGCATACCATTTACAGGCTCGAGGTCTGGAGATTAAAGAACGCATATATCGCCCTTTTCTAGCTCTCATAGTTCACCAAGAACTTTCAGAATCAGAGCATGAAGCTCTCAGTATCTTCGTGCAAGAGCATATCGCTACTTGTTCGAGATTGATACAACATTGGAGCATTAAATACAGGCACCATGGAACATGGCTTATGGTCAGGCAGAGTTTCTCGTCTGCCCTGCTACTTTTGGCAGCGCAAAAAGCTGGGCTTGCCGAGATTCAGGAGGTACCATTGAAAGAAACATTGCAGTTAACGTTGGGAACATTGCGCTACTGGGAAAAGGAAGCACCAGATCTCGGGGCCTCACGGCTCATATTGGAAAGCATTATGCAAGAACTGGGCCTCCTGTCAGTACTCTGACACCGTCAAATGTTTTATAATTTGTGAGCATTGCCTGTACTGGAATTCAAGTCGATGGAATTATCGATTGTCACCATCCCCCTCCACGAGGGGTCAGTCAAATAGCGTGATAAATTGTGCATTTTTGGGGGCACAGTATGCGTGCGGGTGCGAGTGGACCGCTGAAGTAGCACTGAAGCAGTCTCAATGTCACAACTCCCAAGATTTTGTTAATTACATCCGGGAGTAATGCTAGTTCTCGCGCTGGGGACCAGAGGTGAAGGTTTCTCCGTCTTCGTATGAGCTAGAGAAGACGTTTTTCATTAGATCTATGTTCAAAGCAATGCACCAGCAGATGGTCATTTCATTGCAACGACACGATCAACAGTCCTTTGTTTCGGGTGCTCTAGACGGGCCTGATAGTTATGTTTGCATTGCCACACTTAACTTGCATAAACTTATGAAATACTTGCATTTTACACCTGCCAACAACAACATATCAGAAATCAAATGATAGAAGCTAATTTAAGACTACAATGCAGTCTCAGATGACACTTTTTCACGTTTATTTTCCATCGCAGTTTGCGCTACTCGCGCCGTGTCTTCTCTTCTCCTTTGACTTAAATATGTGTCCCCGCGTATTAAAAGTCTTTTTAGGGCCTCCTCTCGAACTTTTTTTTGATGTTCATTGCCTTAACATTTTTGTTTAAATAACTGGCGCTCAATTCTGTTCTCTTGAGTTGCATATACAGCAAGCAACTTGTCGAGTTGACACCACATTTTTGAATCAGGACTCGTCATCTCACCTTCTTTTCCTTCACAGAGAGAATATGCATCATAAGTGACGCAGTGATGGGTCTCAACTGGGAGAGAGGATGTAGTATGTATTCGGAGACCTTTTTTGTTTTAGCTGGCTCATATACCATAGCTAATCTTGACTAGACACTAGAGCTTAATTTCAGTCGCTGCTCACCTCGATTCAATTTTATCCTTTGTCTTGTCGTTCGATCCTTCCGGGCTTTTTCATAGTACATGGACAAAGGGGCATAAGCCGTCGTACGGTCCTAGCTGCTCTATCCGAATACCCGCGTCCAATCAGATGCGCCTTAGTACTTGTGTCACACATTGTAGCTGTGACTATTTTGCGTTCGATTACCGTCTCTCAGATTTCTTTGACTACCTGACCATTCTTTAGACCTCTATTTATAACTGTGCTCGGGATCTTGATGTCTTCAATTTATTGCAAATATTCGAAGCACTCGCGGATTTGCGGAAATGGTCCCCCTCTCAAGTGACTACTATATTGGAATCGATGTCGGCACAGGGAGTGCGAGAGCATGCATCATTGATGACACCGGTGACATTGTTGGCCTTGCTGCGGAAGAAATTAGGACATGGCAGCCAAAACCTGGATACTATGTATGTCGAAAGCATAACGATAATGTGTATGAGCTGAACAAGCCCAGGAACAATCCACTGACAACATTTGGCTTTGCATCTGTAAAGCAGTTAAGCAAGCTGTCGCAGAAAGCCGCATTGATGTACACTTGATACGAGGCATTGGATTCGACGCTACCTGTTCTCTAGCAGTGTTCGCCCACGACAGTGATGAACCTATCTCTGTCACCGGACCGAACTTCGAAAATAATAGTCACAATGTGATCCTGTGGCTCGACCATAGAGCGGAGGAGGAGGTCAGGAAGATTAATTCCACAGGGCATAATCTGCTCAAATATGTGGGAGGCAAAATGTCCATCGAGATGGAGATTCCAAAATTGTTATGGTTAAAAAACCACATGCCGAAGGAGTTATTTAATCGTTGCAAATTCTACGATCTTACAGACGCTTTGGAGCATCTTGCCACCGGCAATGAGAAACGAAGCTTCTGTAGTGTTGTATGCAAGCAGGGCTTTGTACCTTTGGGCGTTGATGGAAGCACCGTAGGGTGGCAAGAAGATTTCCTGAAAGATATCGGTCTTGAAGATCTTACTGATGATAATTTTAAGCGCCTTGGAGGCGTTCACAAAATCGTAAGTTTACAAGTGTTTAGTTGCCTACTTCTCGTGCTAACTCAGCAAGAATGGCGAGTATCTGTCCGCGGGTGATCTCGCAGGCCATCTTTGCCAACGCGCTGCCCAAGAACTCCATCTCCCGGCGGGAATTCCCATCGGGAGTGGAGTTATCGATGCATACGCCGGCTGGATTGGCACTGTAGGTGCGAAGGTTAACGATCTCGCCGAAGACGATCTTGATATATGCTTATCACAGTCTTTCTCCCGTCTTGCTGCTGTTGCTGGAACGTCAACCTGTCATCTTTTGATGTCTCCTAAACCAGTATTTGTTGATGGTATATGGGGCCCCTACCGAGATTGTCTCATCCCAGGTTACTGGATGGCAGAAGGAGGCCAATCCGCGACTGGGCAACTGCTCAAACATGTACTCGAAACTCATCCAGCTTATAAGCAGGCTATCTTCCAAGCAAATTCTACTAACATGGACATATACGATTTTCTCAACACTCATCTCGCGGGCATGAAAGAGACTACTTCTGCGCCGTCTATCGCATATCTGGGTCGATACCTCTTCTTCTATGGCGATCTATGGGGCAATCGGTCACCAATTGCTGACTCCGATATGTCTGGATCGATTGTAGGCTTATCCGCAGATGTCAGCCTTGAAAACCTCGCACTATACTATTATGGAACAATGGAGTTCATTGCACTTCAGACATCCCATATTGTGGCCAAGATGAATGAGTCTGGCCACGATATTCGCTCTATTTTTATGTCCGGCTCTCAGTGTAAGAACAATATTCTAATGTCACTCATTGCAACGGCTTGCAAAATGCCCGTCGTTATTCCCCAATATTCTCATGCAGCGGTCTGCCATGGTGCCGCAATTTTAGGCGCTAAAGCCGCAACGGCGGACAATACTGGGAAGACGGAAATGCTATGGTCGATTATGAAAAGGATGAGCAAGCCTGGACGGGTCATCAAGCCAACGCAGACACCAGGGGTCAAGGACTTACTAGAGGTGAAATATAAGGTGTTTCATGAACAGTGTGATAGGCAGAGAGCTTTTAGAATGATGGTCGATAGTATTCTCAACGATGCCCTATGACAGGCTATGTACGACGTCTGACGTGTTAGAATAAAAAGTAATCAATATTCCATCGCATGATATGTACTCAAGTGCTCGATCTACATCTCAAGTCAATTAAAGCAGTATCTAATCCCAGCGATTAATAACAGTCCAACTTGGCGCATGTATGCCAAACTTTCGTTGTGATCTTGAAGTAGCACAAATAATAGTAGCTCCAGTCTAATTGATTGTAGTGGATATTCTAGATTGTTAGTTTGGAGTATTGACAGAGTCTTGACTTCAAACAAGAAACCTATAGCTAACATTTTCCGTGGAAAGATTATGGAGTAATTGTGTAGAAGGTAGCTAACAGAGGAACATCGCAAATGAATACATACAAGACATTGAATTTAAGGTCTTCAAAAGATATCTAATGGAAAAAATGGGCGCCCTCAATCAATACCTTGATTCCTTTACCATCCTTCACATATTGAAAAGCTTGCTCTGCTTCCTCAAACGCGAACGAGCCAGTGATCAACTCTTTGACATTGACTCTTCCCCCCGCAACCATATGCAACGCACTTTCGTAGTCTCCTGAGCTGTATCTGAAAGACCCACGAAAGGTGATTTCTTTGGTGCAGGCAGCTACGATTGGGAAAGCAATCTCATCAGAGCCCATACCTCCTTGTACATACGACCCGCCGTGCCTCAGTACATGAATTGCCATCTGAATCGCAGGCGCAGCACCACTGGCATCGATGGCGATATCAGCTCCGGACCCTAGATCGTTCTCCTGGATGAGTTGTTGCGCCTTTTCTTGTGCTGATCCCGAGCCTGGTTCGAAGGTAGATGTGGCTGCAAAGCTCTTCGCGAACTCGAGGCGAGACTTTTGGATGTCCACAGCAATGATTTTTGATGCGCCGTGCGCCTTCGCTACAGCGCAGCAAAGAAGTCCCACGGGGCCAGCTCCAAAGACAACGACGCTGTCACTATGCTTGATGTTTGTTTGTCGCACGATATGGACAGCTACTGAGAGTGGTTCAAGCATCGCTCCTTCCTCTAGAGATACATTCTCCGGGAGCTTGTAGCACATGTCTTCTGGCAAGACGTAGTATTGCGCCAATGTTCCATTGTAGGGAGGAGTTGCAGCAAACGCCATCTCAGCACACAAGTTATAATTCCCCTCTTTGCATCGCGTGCAGCGTCTGCATGAAATACCTGGTTCCATTGCAACTCTGTCGCCGACTTTTAACGATCGTACCTTAGCGCCCACTTCCACCACTATTCCGGCTGATTCGTGCCCCAGAACCATTGGCTCTTCTACTACGAACGGCCCTATACGTCCATTCGACCAGTAGTGGACGTCTGAGCCACAGATGCCGGTCATTTCAACTTGGAGAAGTACGTCATAGGGATCATCGATCTTGGGCATAGGCCTGTTTTCGAACGCAACATCGTTGATGCCCCTCAGGACGAAAGATATATTCTGATTGTAAATTAGCATTCGTTACAAATTAGACGAGTGGCACCTTGTACTTTGCTTTCTTTATTTGCAAGCATATTGCGCGTGTTGGAGGGATTGACGGTGATTCAATTCAATTGGTTCATAATATATGACCTTAAAATCCAGGCTGAAGACGTTTGGTGCAACTGACAGTACTATAAGTTCAAATTTTGAAGACTACATACTCACAAAGAAGTTCCAGTAGACAAAAAGCGTGCCGATGTTTCCGGCTATCCAGCTCCTCACTCAACTACAAGAATCCTCAGTGGTTGGGGCAAGTCGGAGTTCCTACACTGTCTGAGTTCCCGGCCACAGAATGGATCAACTGCACTGATAGCCCTAACTACTATACTGCGACGCTTTACATTGCTCCTCCGAATACCCGCGGAGACGGGTCGCCTGGTGTCGGCCGAACAGCCGCGACCAATTAAAATCGCTGGTAAAAATACTCCACAGTGTCCACACTCCCCAGAAGTTTGTCCCCGCAAAACAAGGGGGGATTCTTCCTAAGATGGAGAAAAAATGATACTCGCATATATAGGACCTTCTTTTCTTCGCAAATCCAAACATTTCAACAATCTACAAGGTAAATTTTCCAGCCTACAATACCTCCTCCAAGAAGAGCTTGCCCTATCACCACTTATTCGCCGCCCACTATGGACAAAATCAATACGTCCAATGTGGTCCACCGCTTTGAGAAACGAAGCTTGCTCATAGTGTATGTAGATATTACTCCTTATTATATTGCAAGTAGCTGACACGCGTTCGCAGGATCAACTGCATGGCTGGCCTCTCCATCCTCTTCTTCGGCTATGACCAAGGAATGATGGGTGGAGTCAATACTGCCTACGATTACTACACTCTTATGGGCTTTGGCCATCGAGGTCCTGACGGTGGTGTTGTTGTGACTAACTCCCTTCTTCAGGGAGGGATCGTCTCGGTTTACTATTTAGGAACATTCGTTGGTTGTTTGGTCGGCGGCTCGATTGGGGATCGTTTCGGACGTATCAAAACCATATTCATTGGTGCTCTGGTCGCTGTTATAGGCGCATCGTTGCAAACATCTGCAATGAACCACAAATGGATGATATGTGCCCGTCTGGTCAATGGTTGGGGAACGGGCATTCTTAACGCAATTGTTCCAGTTTGGGCCACTGAGACGGCTGAGCATAAATCCCGGGGCCAGTACATCGCGATCGAGTTTACACTCAATATCTGCGGTGTGGTCATTGCCTATTGGATCGAGTACGGTTGCTCATTCTATGGCGACGGCACATCCTCCTTCATCTGGCGCTTTCCGATTGCTTTCCAGATTCCGATGCTGCTTGGTCTCATGGCTGGAATCTCGTTCTTTCCAGAATCGCCTCGTTGGCTTGTCAAGATGGGAAGAAATGAAGAAGCCCGGTACATCCTGGGTAGGCTTCGTGGAAACACGGGAGAAGAGTGTGAGGTGGCTGAGGCCGAGTTCCAAGAAATTGTTGCGTCTTGCGAGTTGGAGCGTGCAAACTTCCGTAGACAGACCTATTTTCACATGTTGCTCGGTATTGGTTCCGGCAAGCTCCACACCCGTAGACGTGTTCAACTCGTTATCTGGCTTCAAATAATGCAGGAATGGGTTGGCATTGCTGGTGTAACCATCTATGCTCCAACCATATTCGGCATTGCTGGAATTGGCCCCGAAAAGCGCCAGTGGATCTCCGGTCTAAACAATATCTTCTATATGTTTTCGACTCTCATATGCGTCTTCACTCTCGACAAGATTGGACGCCGCTGGACCTGTTATTGGGGCTCAGTAGGGCAGGGTATTGCAATGGCACTCGCCGGTGCGTTCTCCTACCTAGGTCAGGAAGCCACCAAGGAAGCGGATTTTACCAAGGCTACGCAATATGGGAATGCCGCAGTTTCCATGGTTTTCATCTTTACCTTCGTTTTCGGCGCGACATGGTTGACCGTTCCATGGCTGTACCCAGCTGAAATCTTTCCTCTCGAAATCCGTGCTAAAGGTAACGCTTGGGGCGTCGTTGGCTGGTCAATCGGTAACGGCTGGCTCACCCTTCTTTGCCCTATTATGTTCCAGCAGCTTGGCGAAAAGACTCTTTATATCTTTGCTGCCTGTAATGCTATCACGATTCCCATGGTCTGGGCATTTTATCCAGAGACCAACCAACGCACACTGGAGGAGATAGACCTGCTTTTTGCCTCAGATAGTATCTGGAACTGGGAGGCTGAAAAAAATTTTGCCAGGTTGCATGGAGAAATGACCGCCGGCATGCTTGATTCGGATTCAAAGGGCGACGCTGAGCAGGGATACAGCCAGAACCAAAGTCTAACTTGCGACATGAATCTTCACGTCGAGCATAGCAAAGTCTGAAGTCTGCCTAAACAGCTGTTATTGCCGGGATTAAGTCTGTATGTATGATGATCCATGCTTCTATAATTCACATCTCGAGAGTAAAACCATATAAATCCGACCCTTTAATAACAGCGGCATATTTATTACGCACCAACCTAAAGATATCTACAGCATTCGAAGGCTTATGCTTTCGTTTAGAAAGAAATGATTTTAACCTGTAGATTAGTGACGATACCTTATTGGGACTAGCTCTTTTTCTGGTTGATATAGACGTGGTCTAACTGGATTTATATTTAGAATTTGGGCATTGTCAGAGAGTTGAACCTGGAGAATTGGCATAATGTAAAGGTTTCGCTTGGGTTGAGGGAGAATTGTACCCTCTCCATGAGGCATGCATTCCCATTCTTGACCAAGGTTTCATGCACAGTAATCTTACGAGCGATTTTCCCTCTATTTGAGACAGATGATTCTTCCGCCTCGATGACCGTCTCGACTGATTAGAGAATAGTTGCCACATGCTGCGTTTGAAACTGCCGCTGCCCAAGCTGGAGGTCAAGCGCATTCTAGTTGACATGGTTGCTTAAAGCGGTATTCAGGGCGCCTTTATTGAATTATCGTGACTCGCGGTTTTGAAGGGTCTCCGTGGCACCGATCCAAAGGATATTGTCAACCGCATCTACATGTTCATCCAACTCTACGTCTAGGTCATGGAACCAGAAGTCCAACCCGTCGGTGGTACTGGAGTTGTCACACGTACCGTCCGCCGAGTCCCACCTGGATCGATAGATCCCACCGTTAAGAGCTTACAATGGGTGACCTTACGCGAGGTTTGTTTGAGGCAATGGATCGAGGCGCGACTTATCCGTTCTTGACTGATGGTGACGCTAGCCTCACCGAAGGATCGGGCCTCAATACCGTCCTTGTCAAGAACGGTGTTCTGTACACACCTCAGCGCGGTATCCTCGAGGGCATCACTCGCAAGAGCGTGATTGACGTTGCACGAATGAATGGTCTGAAGATTCGCGTAGAACTTGTACCTGTTCAGATGGCCTATAAGGCTGATGAGTTTTTCACGTGCACAACCGCTGGTGGTTTTATGCTCATCACAAGCCTTGATGGCAAGCCCGTCGTCAATGGCAAGATCAGGCTCAATCGCGAGGAAGATATGAGATGGGTATTGGGCAATTCACTAAGATGATGCATTCAGTTTCGAGATTCAATTTAAGGATAGGCATAGAAACACCACTGGAAGCCGTCTCTATTTTCTTTTCTCATTTTTCTTTAGCCACCAATTTCTTTGCGGATGATACAGTCGGATTACAGATCTTCTTCCGGATACACATATAGCTTGATTTTCAAACCATAACATGAAACATAATGATAGTATAATCCCTGGCAGGGAACCACACCCAGAGATCTTTATTGTCATAAATACAAAAATGAACGCTAGTTCGTTACTCATCACACCTAATGTAGCATGTTCTCTGATAGCCTACTTCGGCGACACTAGCATCTAGACCAACTTATGTCTCATATAACTAGGCACGATTCATTGTCAGGTTTGTCAATTTGACACACATGGATCAGTAGTAAAACTGCCTGGCAAAAGAATTAAATAAAAAATTTCATCCACTCCCGGCTTATCATATAATCGAGATCGGCTCAACTACGACTCTCTAGACCCAAACTTGGTCTGGGTTCCGGATAATCGTGATCAACCCGGCCGCCTTTTTCTTGTCAATGTCCGGGTGAGTTATCAATAAGACCAGTTCCTTCGTCCACACAGTTTCGGGCTGGATAAAGAGCCTTTTAGTATTAGCTGATACATTGTAGAGCTAAGCTCAACGGAGCTCTGCATCCGAGACCCAGTGACTGCCACCATCACATCGATATCCGCCCGATTGCTTGTTCCAGCGATACCCCATAACACAAACCCCCATGTGTCTAAGCTTTTCCTGATTCACCTGTTCCTTACGGCGGGCTTCAGCCAACGCTTTTCGTTTCTTTTCAAGATCTCTTGCAAGAGTTTCTAACCTTCTGCGTTCTAATTCGTGGCGTAATCGTTCTTGTTCGTATCGTTTCTTTGCCCCTTCATCTTCTCGCTTCTTAGCTTCATCTGCTTCCCGGATTGATCTGGCCTCCTGGTCTTGAAGCCTCTGGATCTCTCGTTTTTGCTCTTCTTCATCGTGACACACGCGCAAATACGTCTTTTCCTCTGTGTTCGCCTTGGCTTTATCCCTCTCAAGCTGCGCCCAAACCTCCTCTGTGACACCGTCGTCGCGGTGATCGGTCTCGGCCATGTTCTGTTTGGGTATGCCAGATTCTACCGCTTCATTGGTCTTAGCATCGGGTACAGCATTTGACTTGGCATTTTGACTTTGCAAGTTGAGTATGGGTGTGTTTGTATTCTGTGTACGTAGAGGCGCCGAGAATAAAGAGTTCCTGTTGACTTGGGGAAGAAGATGCTGCGACTGAAAATTTTCACGACTTTGGCGCTCGCTGATCAATTTTTGGATCTCTTCAATCACTGAGTCTCTATTCAATATCAATCCACTTGCACTGGAATCTTGCATCGTCGTTATAGTCTTCCTAAAAATAGACGTCGCTAGTGTTTCAACATCTCTTGCATTGGCCCAGCTTGCAGTCTTGGACAGAGTATCAAAGCCTTGCGTCAATTTCTCGCTCAGATCGGGGTCCGGGCATTGCACACAGGTAATGTCAAATTTCGTTTGCGACTGTTCGAGGAGCTCTTTCTTTTGTTTTGACAAGAGCCCCTCGAGTAGCTTAAAACACATTCCTGGTGACAAAGGCTCAAATTGAAGAGACTCAGGAAAACGACTGGTAAGGCCAGGATTGATGGACATGAGTCGATTTATATCGGCGTCGTACCCAGCCAAGATGATGATGAGCTTTCTCGCAAACCTAGGTTTTGTGATACAGTCCACTAATTCGTCCATCGCCTCCTTAGCAAATTGGCCCTCGGCAAGACGGTATGCTTCATCTATAAATAAAACCTTTCCAAGTCCACGTTCCAAGAGAAGCTGAGTCTTGGGTCCTGTCTGCCCAACGTATTGACCTACGAGATCTGTTGCTGACGTCTCGATTACCTCAGTGGAGTTCAAAAGCCCCATATCGTAGTACACCTGACCCATCTTCCTGGCTGTACTGGTTTTACCAGTTCCTGTGAAGGTTTGAAGTCTTAGTGTGATTGTACAAAACAATATCTTGGTACCTGATCACTTACCTGGTGGTCCTCGGAACACAAAGTTAAAAGGAACTTGTAATCGAGGGTCCATGTTAAGTTTTTTGAGGTTTCTGACCACTTGTTGATAGCCCTCAAGCCTGGAAACAATATTTTCGCATCCTATAACTCCTTCAAAAATCTTTGAAACGCTAAGATTGCTTTGTTCCACCCGGTCATAATTTTCATCAAAGTCAATAGCATCGAGAATAGCATTGGGTACCGAGCTCATCAGATTTTTGGTAGAAAGACTTCTCTGATGATGCATTTTAGCTGCATTCAGAAGGATATCAATCTCACCAGCATTGCCGAAATGAGGACGATTTCGGGCTCGCTCAAGCATTTCCAAGACCACACGACGAGCGCGATCAGTAACTTCATATCCTTGTTCGCTCAACTTCAGGTCAAGTATCATATCGAGCTCTTTCGGCGTAAAGTCTTCAAAGACAAAGGCCTGGTCTATTGGGAAACGTCGACTGAGACCAGGGTTGACATTCTGGAACATTTCCTGCATTTGGTCTTTGTAACCAAGGAGAAGAACACATCTATCATCGCCAGGTGTGCTCTGTACTTCAGCTACTATTGTATCCACAACGGCACTTCTGTATGGGTCACTCCTAGCTCCTGTGCTGTGAGAAGTACCGCCAGCAAACAACCCGTAGGCTTCGTCAATGACCAAAACTTTGCCTAACGTAGCTGCGAGAATGCCTTTTGTGTTCTTCTCGGACTCTCCGATTACACTCCCGACAAAATCGGATGGGTTCTTCACAATCACTTTGACTTTTGTCAGTAAATTGAAAAGTTAATGTGTTCTTCATATTGCATACCTTCTCCGTTGGATAAAAGCCCAATATCCACGAGGATTTGACCGTAGATCTTTGCGACTGAGGTTTTTCCGGTCCCTGGGTTTCCAAGAAAGACTTTATTCAGGCTGTACTCGACCAGAGGTTGTTCAGCTAATTCACGGCGATAGTTATACTTGATTGTGTCCACGAGAGCTTCAATGGTCTTCTTCACTTCGGCTAACCCAATCAATCCTTGTAGCTTCTGCCATACCCTAGATGAGTTAAGCGATTGTGAAGGATCCGGGCCAATCATGTCCTCCTTATCTAGGAAGAAGTCGTCCACCATCGCGGAGCCGTTTCGCCTTTCTCGTGCAACGCGCTTGGCTTGTCGCTCAGTGATCTTTGTTACGGCATTTTCGACAGCCCTCGCGTTTGCAAATCCGTCACTTCCGCGTCCACGCCCTATTCGCCGAGCAACAATGCGACAATAAAGGCCGCTCGGTCCACCATCAATTTTCATTTGCTTTTTGTATGTCTTTTCAATCCAATGTTCTAGGATCAACATCAACTCTGTGTCATTGAAATCTTCAAATTTTAGCTGATGAGGGAAGCGACTTGGAAGTCCAGGATTGTGAGCGAAGAATTGCTCCATTTGTCGCTGATACCCGGCGAGAATAAATACAATTTTCCCAGTCAGATTCTCGACTTCGGCGAGAAGAAAGTCAAGAACCTGACCACCTCCTGAGCTGTTAGCCTGCACCAGTTGGTAGGCTTCATCAATAAACACAACTCCTCCCCCTTGTTTGAGAAGTGATTCGATAGTTTTCTGACACTGCGAGACCCCCTCGTTTGAGAGTCTTGATCCAGTGGTCTCAATGAATTTGCTTCCCGGGATAATTCCCACTGCCGCCAAAAACTTCGCGTAAAGCCGAGCCACTGTCGTCTTGCCAGTCCCGGGGTTACCTAGAAGCACAGTTCCATACCTCTCGCTGCTCAGATCAATATTCTGTCTGATTTTAAGATCGACTTTCTGTTTGATGTCCAGGAATTTTGTCTTCACCGACTCCAGTCCAACCATATTCATCAACTGGTCGATTTCTGGGCTTTGAGAGTTGTGATAGGTCTTCTGATAATCCCAATCGGCCTTTGCTTCGGAAGGTGCCTGTGTCGGCATTGGATCTGAGACCTTGATTTTTTTGTGAGATTCATCTCTAGAAGGCTTTATGTACTCCGTATTCTTCTCAGTAGTTGTGGGCTCAGGAGAGTCTGGCACTATAGCTATTTTCCCAACAGATCGAGAGTTGACTATCGTCTCAACCGGTTTCACGGGACTCTTTAGTGCTTCGATTTCGTCTCTGTACTGCTTTATAACTCTGTCTTGCTCCGCGTTGGCTAATACATCGCTTCTGAGTCGTCTCAGGTGGGAAGCCTCATCCTGGAGCTCGGCGAGTTCCCGAGCGTATGCAGCTTGTTTTCTCTGCCGTTCCGCTTCGAGATTCTGATCACGCTCGTGCTTTCGCTCCTTTATGGCATCTTCCTGGTTGCAGAATCGACATGCTCCCTTGACTGAGGAACATCGAACCGACAAGGTATGACCACGGGGACAATTCCACTTGACAATCTTTGTACAAAGCATTTTGGAGTGGTCAACGATTTGGTGACACTTGGATGGGCAGTCGTGGATTCCGCAGCTTAACTTGACGCCACTAATGAAGAAGGACTGTCAGCCAACAATCGATAGTTGGGTCATATTACGAACATTCCTGCCCGGAGAAATGTAGAATAATCAAGATAGGTAAACAGGGAAAGATAAAGTAGGGGCGACTCACCAAGGAGCCGCACAACCACCGTCCGGCGTTTCCGTCTCGAATTCCTCCTTAGTTCGGAGTATTGCGGTCTTGTCGGGATGTTGCTCACAGCGAACAGGCAACCCATCATATAAATGACCATTATCTTTAAGATGGTCGATTAGTGGTCTCCAAGTATCTCGTCCTTTTCGACTAGAGACGAAAGTATTTGAATTGCCCACAATGATCAGGATGTTTCGAGCGCGAGAAAGTAGCACGTTCAATCGTTCAGCAGCCGCCATGAATCCTATGTCGCCTTTATTGTTACTGCGCGTGAGTGACGCTATCACAATATCGCTCTCTTCTCCTTGGTAATTGTCTGATTCTAGGAGTCAACTTTACATATTCATATTGCGATTTAGGGCTATATGCTTACCAATGGTCGAGAGCTTGAGGGGTCTCTTCGAATGATCGGCACTCGCCTGTGATAATAGGCCAGCTTGCACGAGATCATGGGAGTCGAGATCGTTCAGCACTGGATCATTCTGCTTGCTCAAAGTCTGCCTCAGAAGTGACAACTGGCCGAGATACGGGGTAAGGACGACAAGCTTGTCTGTTCCGTACCCTTGTTGACCTAAATATTTGACGATCTTCAAGACAATTTCAACCTCAAAAATATTCTTCTTGGACTGTTTAGCTCCTTCATCTCGTCGATCAGAAATCTCCGCAAAGTCTTCCTCAGCATTTGAGTGGTTGAAAAAGATCACCCGGTCGCACAATCCTCGTGGGTTTGGCCGATTTCTAGTTTTCTCATCGTCTTCCAGACCAGGGTACGTAAGAGAACGAACGAGACTTGATATTTCGGGACACATTCGATGCTGTTTTGTCAGAGTCGTATGCGGGTATCCTTCTTGGATGAGTCTCTCGAAAAGAGACACGTTGAGATCATAGCCATCCCCCTTTTCTAGGCTGAGGGCATAGCTGTTGACCTTCGGACGGAGTTGCAGATGATCACCAATCATGATTAAATGTTTGGTTTGCGGCGAGATCGCTGTCAGTACATGGGATTCAAGGATCTCGCCTGCCTCTTCAAGTAATACGATTCCAGGAGACGCATTTTGTATATCCTGAGAATACATTGCCGCAGCCGTTGTCGTACATACTATTATCTGCTTCCTCTTCAAGATTTCACGCGTTCTCTCACCAAGAACACCAGATAGCTTTTCCTGGCACTGATCAAACAACCTGATTTGCACCGCCAAAGATGCAGCTTGCTCATTCAGTAGAGCTCGCTTCCAGGACTGGGCCTTTTCGTCTCGAAGTCTTTGTTCAGTTGCCCATATATCGCGGCATTGTGCGGGTAATATATTGCTAAAAGGCTCTGGCGATTGTCCCTTGATCCATCTATGATACAGATAGTCTTTGTGGACTACCTTTCCGTCCTTTCCAACCACATTCATTCCATCATCATCATCAGGAACTGTGAAGGCCTCGAAATACGCCGGCTCCTCAAACTCCAAGTACTCCAGTATTGCGGATGATTTTGTACTCATAGCCTGATATCTCTTGAATGACTCATCCAGATTCGTTCGAAGTTCATCTCCTTCATTTCGGAGCGAATTTATGGTTTGCCATGTTGTATGAGGTCGATTCAAATTTATCTTTTGCTCTTTTAAGCTTAACGGCTGCGTTCGAGATGTGGACTTGGATCCTAGTCGAACGATGTGAGAGCCATCAATCCCAATATCCAGCAGATCTTCCAAGAACTGATCCAAAGCATGATTAGTGTAGCACATTACCAGTATCTTGTCCTTGGTTTGGTTATGGAGAACCTTGGCAAGTAGAGCCTCTATGAACGATTTTCCGGTACCTGGAGATAGTATGATCAGTTTCAAGGCCGTAATATGCATGTTTACGAGTTTCATACCTGGTGGTCCTTGAATGAGACTTAGTCTTTGTGTCAATCCTTTCAACAAAGAGTCAAGTTGTGACTGGTCCAACGTAATGGGGCGTGACGTTTGAAGGATATTTTGAATATTACGCCTGTATTTCTCTCTCAATTCCTGTATTACAACCCAAGGGGCCAGACTTGACTCTTTCACTGGCTCGTCTTTTTTGTATAGAAACAATTCTTCAGTCAGCGGGAAATCGGTCCTCTCCTGCAAACACTTCAAAATCGGCTCATATGCGAAGGTGGGCGAATCAACGACCAGGAATTCCACATCATCGTAAAGCTTCAGAAAAAGAATGCACTTTTTCAGTGCCTCCTCCCCTGCAATTCGCAGCATGACTATTGGGGGAGTAGAGATGAGATCGTCTATCCTTCGTTCAATTGTGGCAAAAGCGACAATTTCCGTATCTCGTAGAAAGCACCCAAACGCATGATGTCTGATAAAGTCGGGGTTTTGTTTGAGATGTGTCTTCTTTTCCTGTTCGGAGAGACTCTCAAGCCTTTTTAGTCCTGACTTGGCAGTGACACCAATAGTGCACGGGTTAAGGAATCTCAGATTAGCCGAAACACAAGAAATACGAGCCAATGACAGTCCCTGAAGGCGTAAAGCAGATCGACGTCCTTTCTTGGCTCCCCTTGCAACTTGTATATCATCTCGTAGCCCTGAGAGCATGTCTTCTCGTAGAAGTCGGAACTGGTTGTCCACGTGAGCAGCGATGCGTTGATTACCAGAAAGTTGGGAGATTTCATCCACACGGCGATAGAAAGGACATTCGACGCAACTCATTTCACCTGCTGTAGGAAGAATAGCGACTTGGCGAAAATCAGAAAAATCGTTGTCGTGTCGACCACCTGCCGTGTGTTCCGATGAGAGGAGAACGGACGCGGATGACTTCATCTCGAGCAAGTACTTCATCTTATGTCCCAGGTTGCGCAACGAAGCTGATGGCGATGATATCATCAAATCATCATTTATGATGGTCTGAACATCGACTGTGATATCCACTGCACATGAAGCTGGCAACGACAAGAGTTCTGTTACCAACCAACAGAAGGTTTGGGTTGCATCTCCATCCAGCATTCGACTATGAAACGCGTCCACTAAAGCGTTCCATAAACTTCGGGGCTCCAATATTATAAGGAGAATTTGTTGCAGAAAGAGCCCGTTGCAGAGAGCCTTCACGCCTGGATTGTCCAGGAAGTTGATGAATTTGGACGTGTACTCGTTAATGAAGGCCGTGGTAAGGTTGAATCTCAAGCCAGTCTGAAGTGCGCCTAGAGCACTTGGGCTTGTAACAAGTCGCTCAATAGTAATAGAAGGATCTTGCTGACTCAAAATAGCTTCTATGAATCGCTTGAAATCGCTAAGATTTCTCAGTTCTTGTTTTCCATGGAGAACGGCTCCTAAGTATTTTGCCAATCGATCCAATCGTGTCTTGGCAGACATCGTCATGGACTTAAGTAGGTATATTTTGTAGCGAAAATGTTCTAATAACAGAGAAAGGTTTGTCGGGAAATGCAATCCAGAAGTCTGTATGAAGGAGATGCAGAGCAGGTAGAAACACAAATCAAGATGGCGATGATGGTAAGTATAGAAATTGAAACAGAAGTCAGCCTTTCAGTCTAGCGGAGAGACTGAGATAACGGAGAGGATGAAAATAGATAGCTCACATCATGCTACTTTTCTAAACAAAGAGAAATCTGCAGACTGTATCATCTGCGGCAATGGCCAGTTAAATCTCACCTACCAGTTGTAATCCCAATCATTGGTTCGGACTGCTTACACGCCCTCTACGGAACAGCAATTTTCCCAAGGCAAACGCAAGGCTGGGCCGGCCAACAAACAATTGGCGAAGCGAATTGACAAGGATGCTGATGACCATGGCGAAGCAGTGTCTTCTCAATTCCCATATAGTGTTAGACAATTCACAAGGGTTCATGTCCAACCTATTCCCAACTTTCTATGGTTGATAACAACCCCTCTTCCCTTTCTAAAGCGACTTTCTGATAAACCATGAGTTTTCGAGAGAAAAGAAGCTGGATGACAGCCAGAGGTACCTGGAAGGATCGAAAAGGCAGTGGAAAACCCCCACTAAGTTCAACTTCACCTCCACCACTGGGAGAGATCCTTGCAACAATCCAACTAGAGGATCTAGAAAGTGGCAAGACCGAAACTGATAACTACGCTCGCATTACCAATACTCAGTATTTGACATCCTACAATTGGATCAACGGAAACAGTCCTCAGATCATGGTCCCAGGTGAGAATTCCAATCCTATCCTAGGCCCAATAGTCACACGTCACCAGCAGCTAATGATATATACCTCCAGGCGAACCTCCAGCATGGACTCCCTTATCTAAGCCCGTTCAGCTCCGAGGCGACTCCGGCCTTTACTATCGAGACAAAAATGCGGCACGATACCCCCTATACCCGTTGGAGCCAATGATCCGAGCAATAATGATGGACAAGCCTGAGTTTTCGCTAGAATCGTTGGACATCATCGGATGTGGCAGTACACTTGGCAATCTGCTTCACTTTGCCCGCGGCCAGGGTCGTCCATTCAGAATGCTGATTGAGGTAGTCGGAAACACAGTCTTTTTCATCCGAAGAGAGAATTCTCCCACGGAAACCATCCCCGATGTCCGAGGATACGGCCACGCTTTTCCAGAGGCGTACACAACGTGGAGCAAAAGCACCAGGGGATCTGAATCTCATCAACGTCTGATTACTTATGACTTCGCCGGCATGAGTTGTTTGGTCCGTTTCGAAGCCGATGGGTTCCTGCCTAACATGATTCCCGATGGCTTAAGGACAGATCCAGAGCACACTGCTGGCACGAACGATATTGACGCAAACGACCTCTTATCATCTATTGAAGCGGTCACAGTCTCCACTATGCTACCGATCACAACGGCCACGAAATCGACTACGCTCGAAATCTCAAAAGGCGGCTGCTATATCCCACAATGTGCAGTTTTTGACCTGAAAACACGCTCCATAAAGAGAAGTAATGTGGACACTCTGTCGGAAGAGTTGAGTCGGTTGTGGATTAGACAAGTTCCCAACTTTGTTCTCGCATATCACACCTTCGGAAACTTTAATGACATTCGAGTTCGGGATGTGCGTCAGGAGTTGATGCAATGGGAACACGCTCAGAAACCAGGTTTGCTCAGGTTTGCGACTTTGCTACAAATGGTGGTATCCTTTGCTCGTAGCGTAGAGGATGGCAAGCTCGAAGTTGAATTTGAACAGGATTCCAACATTCTAAATCTTCGAAGTCCAGGTGGAGTTGTTGGAAGTGTTTTACCGTCGTCAATAACCGACAAGTGGGATCTCTATCATGATTCTGGTGCTTAGTCTTGAATATTGCAAGTTCTTATTAAGAAAGATCCTCTTTCGAGCTCCTACTACAAGATTGATAATGCGATTATGAATGCTGTACCTTAGCTGTTGCTAGGTGATCGGGGTGAATTCTAAGAATTAATTTTTTTAAACAGGGTTTATATCTCAAAAATGAAATGCTAAGCTTGAATATTCGTTGCCCTTCATGGGGACATTGTACTGAATCCTGGAAGTAAATCCGGGTATTGATCTGGGGTTGTTTTAATGAATTTTACTACTTCTACCTCAATTTAATCGACACTTTTACGATAGAAAATTCCTCAAAGACGTGAAACCAAAATTTCAAGAATTCTGATAGATTTCGCATTGAGATTCAGATTTACCTAGATCTGAAAAACCACAGAAAGACAAAGGTCGGTACCACTAAATGTCATTAGCATTAAAGTTCTCTAAATGTGCACTACCGATGGTTCCTTTTTCCTCGCTCTAGTTCTCGGGGATTGGTTGGTCATATGTGGCAGTCAGGCTGTGAAAAAGAATGGAGATAAGGAATAGCACCTATCTAAATTTAACAAGTAGAAGAATACAGATCATGATATTGTAGAGCGCTTGCAGCCTGTAGCTCTGCCGGCTGTAGTCTGACAGTCTTTGCTATACTTGATACAATAGCAGCCTTAGCAATCTAGGACAATGTAAAGGATTCTGGCTCAAAGTGCGTGCAAATCTCATGTTGACAGTTGGTCACCAATTTGATAGATCACAAATGAGGCATTTGATCCCAGCTTCATAATATACCCTGACCAATTAGAATCATAAGCCTACAGATCACATCGATAAGTTTGAGGCTTTGCTCTGACACCTGAAGGTCTCAAGCGGCTTATTTCGAATAGATAGTGGGGGATCAGCGTTTGCATATCCCAAGCTTTGCACTGCCTCGACAGTAAGATTTTCCCCGTTGGCTACTCCGAGCTTTGCTACTCCGAGCTTTACTACTCTTGTTACTGAAGCTAGGGTAAAGAAGTCACTTCCCGCTACCTTTTCTTCTCACACGAGAATGAGGTAAACTTTAATATAAAGAAAACCGTAGAGGGGATAGAGTAATGATGTCCAGAAGACGGAGGGCTACAGTAGTCTAAATATGAGGAAAATCTCTCCAACACTCAGTCACCGAGCACGGTCCGATGAATTTTTGAGGGTTCGTGATACTCTGAAGTAGATATGACATCGTTAATCGTGTTGTTTTATGCCGTAAATAAAAGCCCCAAAATATCTGCGGGACTAATTCTCATCATCAAATTTCTCATTTTTGCCGGCGTACGAAAATGATTGAGCCTTGAGATAGCCGCATGTTGTCTAGTTTTCAGATCATCTCGATTTCACTACACCATCAGAATAATTACATTGGGTTACAAGTCGGCTATCGTTATTGCGGTATTCTGAAAGTCATGGAGCATGCGTAACATTTCAGTAGCCTCTTCAGCACAGCTTTCTGCCACGGCGCTCATCACAGCTGGTGTCACCAAACCTTTCTCTGGGCTGGTATGAGCAAGGAGAAGATCGAGATCATGCGTCGTCTGCACAGCTTTGAGCATTTCTTCGGTAATCCTGAGTTCCGGATTGTTTTCGAACATTATCTTCAAGATGTGTGATCGGTCAACTTGAAAAGAAAATCCACTTCTTAGTCTGAGAGCGGCAAGAATGTCAGATTCTGACACGTCGATAGCTTCATTCTCATAAAGAAGTAATTCCACCACTTTCTCGATACACAACTCGGGTCCGTACCTTCCTTCGGTCATTGTGGCATCGAAAGCCGCCGGCGCGGTATTATATTTGGGGTCATAGGCAACAAGCATCTTGATGGAATCTATGTTTCCGGCAGCTAGTAGCACCCGAATCGGTATTTCCTGAATTCTATGGTCCTGCAAGAGCTTTTCTATGGTACTGTGCTCATTGTAGCGGTCATGGTAGCGATCATGGTGGAGCAGTTGAATAAGGCCTTCTTCTGGAAAGTAGGGCGATATAGCCCGTGAGATCATGATGTCGAGAACTCGCTCTCGAATGCTGTCGTCCTGAATTTGAGTCGCAGCAATTAAATCTTGATCGGAAATCTTTTTTGTGGTGTTGGAGTCAAGAAGCAGGTTCAAGATCTCCTCTTCGTCACCAGTCATGACGTCTTCATGTGTCCGATATGAAACGCTAAGGTAATTGAATTTTGCCAGAGCAAGTTGCAATGCTGTCTGACCGTCGGCGGGTGTTGCAGCTGACTGTACACCAGAATCGAGAAGCGCTTTCACAACAGGAAGATTCCCCTTCTTGCAAGCGAAACACAGAGCTTCAGGCCTTCCCCCAGGTCCCAAGCTTAGGATGTGTTTAGTAATTTTCGAATGACCTCCTAGAATTGCTGCTGCTAAAGGCGACTGGAGGAATCCACCCGATGCGTTGAGACTGGCACCTTGCTGAAGCAGAGAGTTGAATGTGTTGCAAAGTCCCATATAAGCGGTTAGAGAAAGCGCGGTTCCAAAATGCCCGGTAGGCGTGTCTGCTTCGGCTCCGCGTGAAAGTAGCATTTGAACCACACTTTCATACTCGCACATTTTCTGATAACTGGGCAGATCATGTAACTTGAGGCGGACGAAGTAGTGAGGGGCATCATGCCATGTCTCTCCCACTAGCAATTGTGCATATCTTGATACATCTTCAGGTAAAGATTCGCTACTGAGAAGTCTGCGAGCAGCACATCCTTCCAGTGAAGCTTTAAGCGGTGCACCATAGGTAGTATGAAGCGAGTTAGGGTTTCCACCGTGGTCGAGCAGTAGCTTTACAACGGATGCAGACCCATGTGCACAAGCAAGCACGAGCGCAGATCTTCCTTTGGTATCCTCCGACTCAGCCCTCATACCCTGACCAAGTCCAATCTTTGTTACTGTAGTATAGTCACGTACGCAAGCCTCCACGAATATGTCCGTAGTGCAAGGTGTATATTAGAGCAGTATCTCGTATATTTCTGCGCTTGTCGAGGGTATATCGCGAAGGAGTGTAGTGCAAATAGCAGCGACGGCTCCACGCTCAGACAACCATCCTAACAACATCTCAGTGGCTGGKGCATTTTGCCTCGCACAGGCTTCTTTCAACACATCACGGATTATTTCTTCATGCACCATGCCGCACTGTGAGAGCCAATCTAATAGCATCTTAGTGACCTGGATTTTCTGGGCCCCGCAAGCTTTTTTCAGCAAGCCGGAAACAAAGTCAAAGTTATTTTCAGAGCTAAAATTAGCTTCATAGTATTGAATGAGCTTTGTAATCGCAGCAAGGTCCGACATCATGATTGCCATTTCGATGGCTTCTCGCAACACCTTGGAGGAACATTCAGACATTGAATCTAGTAAAATATCCAACGTTTGGAGGTCCCCTTTCCGTATAGCGAAACATAGCGGATGATCGAAATCTCCAAAGTCACTTTCCAGTTCAAAGCCTTTGGCTAGCAGTATCTTTACAATATCTGTGCGCTGTATGTGTATGGCTGAATGTACCGGGCTTCCAGTCTCTTGTTTAATCGACGTGGATGATTTGATACCATAGACATTCACGTTAGTACCGATATTTAGTAGGGCTTCAATTAGAGGCAGGTAGCCAGTCGAACAAGCCTGGATGAAAAGCGGCTGCGCAGATTGGTCCTCTGAGACCACATTTGCACCAGCAGCAACCAGTGTCAGAGCAATGTCCGTATCCTTATTATGCAATGCGTGCTGCAGAGCAATCGCTAGATCAGTGCCTTGATCATATTCGTAGGCGCCGCTTTGCAATAGCAGAGTCACTATTTCCAAGCTGCGTGCAAGCACGGCCGCTCTCAGAGCAGTGCCATGTCTTCCGCCATTTAAATTTGGGTCAGACCCTGATTGCAAAAGTACCCTGGCTATTTGGGCGTGGCCAAATCTTGAAGCAGCCTGTAGTGCGGTTCCATAGTATGATCCAGTCCAATTGACATCCGCACCATGTTCAACTAGAATTTCTACTAAGTTGTCGTGACCGGCTGCAGCGGCACACTGAAGTAGTATCCCAGCGGGATCTAAATCCAGTCGAAATCCAGGTATACGTCCAAGTAAATAGTAAACGAGGGCTCCAGGTCCAGTAATAAATACGTCCTCTAGTGACTCTGTCTCAGTCAAAAGCTTGCCATAATCCTTGTATAAAGTATTTGAAAATGATCTCGGCAACCTAGCCGATCTATCGTTTCTCTCGTCCTCACGCGAGTGACTAGGCGCCCGAAAGTGCTTCAAAGCTTCGTCTAGGAGAAGTTGCATTTCACTTTCTGTCATATTTTTGTCTGCACCCGCTTCGATGAGTATTCGTGATACCATAAACGATAGGCGCTCCCTACGTGCTGCAAATTGTAGGACGCTGACATTCTCGATGTGCGCCAATGGATCGGCACCTTTCTCGATCAAGAGCTGCAGTATGTCGGGAGGGCAACACGTTGCGGCACAGCAAATGTCCTTGGCCAAGTCCATCCCTTTCATAGAAGGAATGTGATCCAAAGTTAGTCGTATTGTATCAGCTTGTGTTTTTTCATCTGCTTTTCGCCATGCAGCATTGGCGTTTCTATGTTCTCTATTACCCGGGCGGAACCGTTGGTATCCGGACAAGCTAGATGCCAGTGCCGTGACGCGCTTCTCGGCGGAAATTGTTCCCTCAGAAGGCAAGTTTTCTGATCGAAAACTTTCGAAAATTGTGTGGGATAAGCCATATTTACGAGAAGGAACTTCGTGCGACGTAATAATGTGTGCTGATAGGCAAGGATCCACCCCTTTCGAAAGGAGGTACGTACACACTTCATGGTGACCATGGTGAGCGGCAATGTTCAATGCCTCCTGAAGAAGCTGACCATCACAGTCGAAGCAAATATCACGATGACGGAGCAACTGACTTGTTAACTGAGCAAGCCCATTCCCAGCGGACAGCAAAATGAATTGATGGAATTGCGATCTGCTTGGTGAGAAATTTCGTTCTTGTAAGGCATCGTAAATCACAGCAGCAGTTCTTGCTTTCGCAGATTCGAGAGTTTGACAAAACATGTTCAGCAGGCGCTCGTACGAAAGGTCGGTACTTCGACCTAAGATGACTTTCACAATGTCAGCCCTGTCGGCCCCTAGAGCCTCATCTAAACAGGCTAGAATTAGGTCCGTTATTTCTAATTTGGGAAATTCCTCATTTGCTGAATTTAGGATTTCATGGAATATTGCTTCTGGACGCGGTTGCGTATCCCATGCCCTCGGAGGATATATGGCAGACTCAAGAGCCATTTTCAAGTACTTCTTCTTGTTGTTAATTGGAGTACCATCTTTTAACAATGTCATGATGACATTGACGTGGCCACAAGAGACAGCCTCGGACAAAGGTTTGCCCAAATCCATGGGGATATCTTCCCTCCACTCAAGAATTTTCTTGACGATCTGTTTATGACCAGATCTGCAAGCAGCTGACAATGCTTGCTCTACCGCGGAAATAGTCAAATCAAAAAACATACGATTTTCTAACATCATGGACACTGTTTCGAGATGTCCAAGTTCTGCGGCAGCCTCAAAAGGATAATTTCCATCAGGCGCATTGAAGTTAGCGTCACTGGGCTTTCGGCGCAACGGTCTATAAGGCTTTGGGTGGATTTCAGGCTCTTCTTGCGTAAGGTCCGTTAACTTCTCGTCATCATCACTGCTGATGTCATCAGAGTCATCTGGAAGACCGCGGACATTATGTCCTTTACGCCAAGCGCGGACTCTATGAGACCACTTCAAGAGTCGCTTTTCCTTTTTGACGCTTGGCGAGGATTCTCGTAGAAGATTACGAGCCTGAGGTGGAGATCTTCGTCTAGCTCTCGTCTTGCCCCAACTTATTGGAACAGGAGGCTGGAATCCTGCGCTGAGCAGGATTTGAATGATATGATACTGTCCATTCTCTGCTGCCGCATGAAAGGCGTCCTTGGAAAGTCCAGGCTTATGAGGACTAGCGTGTGCTGACAATAATAGTCGCACCGTTTCCGCGTGTCCCAAGCACGTCGCAGCTTGTAATGGCGTACCGTAATAGCCGCCATTGATGTCTACATCAGCGCCAAGTTGGATGAGAAGCCTGACTGTTTGCAGTCGACCTTTCATCGCAGCTGCGTGTAAGGCACTTCCAAGACGGCCATTTCCATTAAGATCGGCTCCAAGATCAACGAGAAGGCGACAAATGTCGCTGTGACCATTGAGCACGGCACAGCGGAGCGGCGTCCCGAGTTCTCCAGCTTCTTCAATATTCAATTTTTGGTCAAGAAGAAATCGAAGTATCTCTTCCTTGCCATGTAGCGCGGCAAGAGCGAGACTGCCATTTGGTAGAAGATCGGCTGCGGAAGACTTGCGTAACAATCGTTGCAAGATTCCAAGCTTACCGCCAATAATTGCTTGCGTAGCCTGTACATTACACATGTTAGCATTGGTGTCTCTGTCAAGCTGCTAGCCATGGCATGTGAGTAATAGAAGAGCAAGGCAAACATGATAACCGTGTATGGGTATCGTCAAAGAAAGAAAAACTTTCAGCTTCAAGGCTTACTGTCCCCAATGTTAGAATAATTTCAGGCTCAATTATAGGATAATTCACTTACCCATGTTTGGGGTCGGGGCATTCCGCCAAGGGAGGTTGTACAGCTTTTCAGTGGCTCSCGGGAAACCAACCYCCAAGACTGCCTCCAAGATCGAATCAAACTCGGCAAGTGAAAGTATAACATCCTTGTCTAGGATTGCGAGAGCAATCTCTTCGTGGTTGCCCCGGCAAGCTGCATGTACGGCGCTATCGAATTTCCCCCCAAACCTAAGATCGGCGCCGCGGTCAATAAGCATTTTCACGATATCAAACTTCCCACGAAAAGCCGCGCAGTGTAAAGCAGATCCGAGTCTACCGCATTGAATATTGACACTCGCACCCCGATCGATCAAAAATGCTGCAACATCAGTGTGGCCATTATAACATGCTGCATAGAGTGCCGTGTGACCGTAATCATTCTGCTGGTCCCAGTCAAAGTCTACAGGCCACGGATGGCGTTGCAGCACTTTAGTTAGACCAAACGTGCAAATGACAAACAAAGGAGCGCATTCCTCGGCGGAGACTAGCTCCATCGCAGTCTTCTGCGGATGTTCGTTAGGCAAAGAGTCATAGGCAGTTTTGACGCTATCCAGCCAGAGTCTTGCCGGCGAATATGGCGAGTCGCTGCCAAAGAGAAAGTCTTCCAGCTCATCAAATAGTAGTTCATGCTGATCAGATGACTGTGCAGCGTAGCAGTGATTACCATAGTAAAGTGCGGCATAATCATAAAATCTATCGGAAGGTTTCAATTTCGTGACATCCTCCCCCGGTGGGTCCTGACAAATACTCAGGCAGCTCATTGCTAAAAGTTCTTGAGCCTTATCTACCTGTAAGGCCTGTTGCAAGCGCAGAAACTCTTGCACTGAGTGATGCACGACTCGAATTACTTTCGACTGACCATCGAAATACACAAAGCCGCGGCAAATGGCAAGAATGCGATCAATACTCACTTGCTTTTTCTTGATAGCCACAACAAGTGCATCTAGAGTTAGTTCTTCTTGTGCATAAAGTAGCCAAGAGAAAACGTGAATCGCAATGTCTCTAGCTGTGTCACCGGCCTTGAGGATTGTGTCGTACGCTTCCTTATACAAAGCTTCCAGAGTGGAGTCTGCGAGGTTCGCCATTCCAGCGAGCACGTCATCCTCATGTTCAAAATTACTTAGTCGTAACAACTGAAATTTGATCAAAAGAAACATCTCTCCAGCAGATGAGGCCAAAACATCGATGATTTCATCCTTCAGTGACTGCGATATTCTACCACTGAGCAACTCGCAATTGTTGACAGCCTTATCGACCGCCTCTGTAGTAACGCGTCTCATATCAGCGTTGTTTGTCTCTGCTGTAACTCGGATCTTATGCTGAGTGGAAAGTATTGTCATTATACTTGCGCTTTCCCGAGTCGTGACGAATATCTTTACGACGTTGCCTGCCTTCTGCGTAATGATCTGAAGAGCGTCCATAACTTCCTTCGGGTGGTCTAGTTCATCAATGGCATCTATGATGATAGTAACTGGATTGTCATCGACAACGGCGAGAATCAGATCGATACATTCGGCCGTGTTTGGGCTCTTTGCTAAAAATCCTTGTTCCTTCGCCTCATCGGTCAAGCGCCCGTACAGACTCATGGCCGCACTGTGAATCGAGGGCCCTTGAGAATGGAACGCGATAAGCTGCCGCGCAAGCGACCTTAGCAAGCCATTTGTCGTACGTCTTTCCTCTTCAGCATGAGAGTCACAGCAGTAGAAGTACGCAACGGGTACCGAGTTTGGGTTTTTCACCGCCGCTTCTAGATACCTATCGATGACGGCCGAGCTCAGTTTGGTCTTACCACAACCTGGTATACCATATAACAGGAACAGTGAGCAAGTACTGCTCGATTCCCACGTTAGGAATTCGGAGTGCTGCAAGAGCCATTGGCATGTACCTAGAGACCTTGCGGTACTATGATCGGCATGGTAACGCGGATACTCGAGGGTAGAGATCCAGCGAAGCACATCCACATACAAATTTTCCCCGACCTGCTTCAGAGCCACAAGCGAGAGATCAGCCATACGAAGCACTTGCGTCTCAATATTTGCCAGTCTATCAGCGTCGGCTAAGCTTGCAAGCTTGACTAATTCTGCATCTTTTGCCAAGATCTGGTCTCTGCTGCCCTCGTTGACCGATCTAAAAGGAGCCTTGAAGAACCTATCAGCAGCCGTTTCCTTAAAGTATTCGACAGCTTTGCCCAATAAGTCGAGCACAGCGGCGTAGACAGCGACAATAGTGTCGCTAAACTGATCATATAAATTACCAAACTGCGCGAGGTAGTGCCGTTCAACTTGGTCATATCGCGCTAACAGTCTCGTTACCATCTCAAGATCTTCGACCATTGCAGTGTGAACATCTATATCATTTATAGCGCTTTGTAGCAAAAAGCGTACTGCCGCCCAAGGCAAAGCAGAATATCCAGGATCGTACTGAACGATTACATCCCCAACATCCCGAAAACGACGAATCCACTGGACGATCTTCTCCATTATATCTCTTATGATGATATCTTCGCCGCCCCCCGGCCGCTTCTTCTTCCATCGCTTCTTAAAAGAGAGCTGTCGCTTGTCCTCCGCAACCTTGAGTGCTGCGTGGAGCTTGTCAAGTTTCCAGTCGTTTGCTTGCTTAAGGGTCCCTTGGAGAGATTCTGGAAGAGAATCGAAAGCTCTCTGCCATAAATCCTGGCCATTGTGAGTTGTAGACTGCATGATCGCTAATTTCAGGGCTTTATCGACTCTTTGTAATGTTACAATGACGTGTAGTATATATACAGAAGCATGTAGCGCAGAGATCAGTCTTCGACTTAGTCGAGGCTGAGTCTTTACAGGTCACACAAAAAAATGCCCCGCTTCAGCTTTCACTTGAGCCGCACCCCGCCTCAACATTACTTTGCAAGAAGTCGACTTATTAAGCTAGCACTTATACAGAGGCAAAGGAATATAAAATGTTTGTTTTGAAGAATGCAGCAAAAAAAGAGCCCGAACAACCAGGTTAATATCAAATATCACATTTTTGTAGAAACCTACGAAGAACTTCTGAATTAGGAAGCTTCCTAATTGGGTTAGGTTAGCCCTAAATGCTACCACGATAGCATCACGCACGAAGGAACCTATTCTTGCCGACAGGCTAATTTTCTAATATTAAGATCAAGTTTGATTGATATACGCCAGTTGAATAAAGGAAAGGAACATATGTGACAACCCGAAATAATTGGTCAGTGCTGACTGATGACTCGCGAGGCAAGAATCCATCGACAGGGAGGATAAAATGGATCGTGCATGCGGGCTATACTCATAATTTGGTTTGATAATTAGCTTCGAAGGCAATATTGAATTAGCGGACTATCATCAATCACCAGCAGGCAAGATAGGCATAAATATACATACATACAATGATTGAAACTATGAACAAGTAGAAAAGCGGAGGAAAATGTGGAAAATGAGGGCAACATCTCTTAATATGTCAATTCGCCGTCTTTTAGTCAATACCTTTTTTTTATTAACTATGCATGGGTAAGATTTAATTGACATTCGGTGATGGGATTACAAGGCTACGAATAAGCTCGTATATGGTATGGTATGCCTCTATCCCTGATTAGGAAAATCAATTTATCATACGCTAACGCTTTGAAATTGCCGCTATTATCATTAGCCTCTCGCGAGCCACTGTCATTTTGGTATGATTGTCGCTATTTTTGCTTACTTTCACTAGAACGGACTCAGCTCCACGTATAAAAGGCTACTTTATATTCTTTCTTGGAAGATTCTTTCCCTATATATATAGCTTATGTTAATCCTCGCAGGTCAGACAAGATTTTGTTCATTCATCCTCCTTTATCGTTCTTCCCTTCAGAGATACCGTTCTAATAGACATCATGGGAGCTATCTGGACGCAAATGTATCCTCCAAGCCCTCATTTCACCGAGAAAGACCTCCCGTCTTTAGTTGGCAAAGTCTTTATCGTCACCGGTGGAAATGCTGGGGTTGGCCTTGAGCTCGTAAAAATCCTCTTCTCTAAAGGCGGCACGGTCTATATGGCTGGTCGCTCTGCCACCAAGATCGCTGCCGAGATCGAAGCTATTCAAGCAGCAGCCGGAACAGAACTCACTGAAGGCAAGCTCAAGAGTCTTATAGTCGACCTGAGCGACCTCTCTACCATCCGTAGCTGCGCCTCCACCTTCCTTTCTCAGGAATCTCGTCTTGATGTTCTTTTCAACAATGCGGGTCTCAGTCGCCAGCCACCCGGTAGCGTTACTGCTCAAGGACACGAGTTACATATGGGTACCAACTGCCTCGGGCCGTACCTGCTCACGAAACTTCTACTCCCCATTCTCATTGAGACCGCAAGAACCGCACCAAAGGACAGTGTTCGTGTCGTCTTTACATCCTCCGGTATCATCGACCTACTCGGTCCTCCAGGTGGCGTCTCGTTCGCTGAACTCGAGCCTGGCAAACACTCCAAAGACATGAACCGCAACTACAGCGCCTCAAAGGCCGGTAATTGGTTTCTGGCATCCGAGTTCGACAAACGGTACGCAAAGGATGGGATTGTGTCGGTTGTGCAAAACCCAGGTACAATAAAGACTAAAGGCTGGGATGGGACACCCTGGCTAGTACGGCAACTCATGAGACCATTGTTTTATCCCCCGAGGATGGGAGCGTACACTGGCTTATGGGCTGGACTTAGTCCAGATGTGAAGAGTGGAGATGGACAGAAGTTCATTAACCCATGGGGGAGATGGTATGAGACTCCGAAGAAGGAGATTGTTGAAAGCCTAAAAACGTCAGAAGAGGGCGGGACGGGGCTCGCTACTGAATTCTACGATTATTGCGAGCTACATACGAAGGAATTTGCTATATGATATCCAGGATCCGACTTATCAATGGCGTAGTAGAACACTTCATATACTCCATGAGGGTCTCTCAAGCGTACAGGATCTTCAGTGGCTTGGTCGTCGTAGGTCGGATTTACTTGGAGCTTCAACTTTTATAAACCCTTACTTGACGAAATACTTATCTATTTTTTCCTAGATTGTGTCTGAATGCAACGGTGATATGAAGCAGCCTTCCTTATTCTTCCTCACCATTTGTATCTGTAATCCACCATTATGACACTGTTATTGAAAATTTGCATCCGACGACAATAGGCCACACCCAATCCTTTTCAACAAGGTTCTTTATCGACAGAAATGGTACCGAAGGTTCTATACTGGCGATAGGCCCGAGTACAAATAATCGAAAGAGCAGAAGAAATTGCTCTGTAACTTGATTAGATATCGGATTTGAGATCTTATCTCCTGAATTCAGAGAGTGTGACTTACAGCAAAATAACTCCCAAGAGGATAATAAATCCTCCCAGTGCACGACTGGTCGCAGATTTTCCGCCTACTGTTCCCATACCAGTGATGATGATTAGTGCAAACCAGAACACTGTATCAATGATGTTGAGAATCATGTATGCCTTGGCACTAGCCCATTTCTTGAAGCGTTCGGTATGGCTGGTTAATAGCTGATAAGCCAAGAATACGCCAGATTTGAGACACTAGGACTGGGTTAGCTCGATCTATGAGAGCAGATTTAGCAAAGCATCAATATAAACAAACCATTGCGATTCCCCATGTGTTTGTTCTAGTAACTGAGGTCCCTGGGAGAGCTACTCGAGCAATCGCTAGTATGAAGGTAGTCATGAGGGCAATTCCAAGAGCCACATGGAGGCGGTTCCTCGCCTGTTGGGTTGGTGAGTCGATTAGAAATGATAGCATTGCGTCGAGAGGTAGTTGTCGGGTGGAAGATTTCCAGTTTTTCGTCCCGTTCGCCGATCTGATGATATTCTTTTTTATAATAGAGAAGATGGGTTGAAATAATCCGGTGTATTCAACAACGGCCGACGATCTTCTTATTTTATACGAAATTCTGAGAGCCTGGAAAGATAACATCCAGCAGCTCCTATTAACCGACTTGCTTTTAAGAGATAGTATTTGATTCTATCGTGTTTGTACATATTGTGGTTGCCTAGGGCATCGCCTTCAGTCTCCATACGTAGTCCGTCTGTCATTTGTCTGACCGTAAGACAAGGTCAAGGTGCAGAAGAATGACTAGCTGGCGCTTGTGTTGTCAGAGAGAATTGCAAAGTTGAAAAACAGTTCGGGTGTTCGACAGAGTATTTATGATTGGCCGCCCCTTACATGAGTAGCGTATTCGTACCGCTTTACTACAAATGGATGGGCTAGTTTACGTATAAAGTCCAATCTCAAACTGATACTACGCATACACCCCGTAAAGGGCCACAAAAGATCCTCTTGATTTGGGGGATAAGAGCGCAGTGCGATACCCTGACACTAAGGATATCTGTGTTCAGTACAGAATATGTCCTGGACTCCTCCATAGGCCATGAGTCATCTTTGCAATCACAAATGAATACGGTCTCCCAGACTTGATCTTCAACGTGCAAGGATTCGAGATCTTTTAGTCTTACCTCAAAAGATTGTATTGCTGCTCGCGACTCGGGGATAAAATCTTGTCGATTTTCATGAGGTGAAGCATCGGTTGTGCTCTGTGGTGTATAATCGATCACCAGTCAATAGAAGGATCTTTTCGCGGCGTATCTCTCTGACTATTGAAACGATCTGGTCATCGATTGTTGCCTTTTTGAGTTCGTTCATCTTGACCCGAGAGATAAAAGCCCATTCAACAGATTATCTTGCAATACGTAGAGAGTGCGAAACATAAATGGACTCGTAATGATAAAAATGCAACAGCGGACTAAGACCCAGAAACAACCTTCACTAGCACAGAAGTACAGAAATCCTCAAGTGCCGCGCAGTAGAGACGAGTCAGGCGATTGGCACCAGGGCTAGCGCCATGCAATACGTACTTTGAGCACATTACACGGCTTTCCAATTGTGAATACTGACCATATATTGTGACTCGTGTAGGAAGATACGACCTGCTGGAGCCCTCTGAGACTGTTTAGAATCCAAGAGGTATTTAATCTCGGCAATCCGCACGCAGTAGACGGAGCAAGTTTTGTTCTAACAATATCGTCTCTGAGCAACTAGGGCCACGCCATTTTTTATTAGGTAGCAAAGTGCTACGGGTAGCCTTCACCTTCGTACGTCTATTTACCCCTCTGTGTGGCATTTTTCTGCTATTGACTGTACGAGGAACGGTTGTTTTATTAGTTTTAAATTTAACATCTACACTTCCACTCAGTACATCCTTCTTGAAGGAATACCATGTTCATCTACCAGCCTTATACCTATCGTTCTATTGCCCATACTTTACAACCAAGATAAACAAGATGAACATCCTCTAGTAAGCAACAATTGACTACGAAATTAATCTAATCGACGAAGAGATACGCCTATCAGAATTGACTATTGGGCAATATGAGTATATTCAACAGCGCACGTCTGTCTTGAATACTCAGTCATGACCTTATAAAGAAGCTTCCAAGGAAACAACAAAAAAAGAAAATCTTGAAACCAAGCGCAGAAATCTTAAGCTACTTCGAGAAGAAACAGACTGGAAGATCGTCTTTATATAAAGTCAGAAAAAATGCATTGGCTGCCATGGCTACCAGGGGGGCCGCGGCCAGAGATAGCTGATGGTACATCAATATTAGAGCCCACCAGAAGTCAGAAAGTGGACTCAAGAATATCAGCAAATTGTCATAGGAAGAAGTTCAATTCCTTGTTTAGAAGAAAAGACAAGCTCAGTCTGACCGCCTTGCCGTTACTTGGCAGAAAAATCCACGCGTCGTGGGGCTCTGATTGGCTGCGTCTCAGGGTTAGTGCGCATTCCAAGAGTTCCAAGATAACCAAGACTCAGGTCCCCCATGGATCCAGTCCCCATTGCTCCTGAACTGATAACTAAGTGAATCGTTGAGATCATGAGGCTATGAACTGAGCTCTGACAAGCCAATTTATCAAATGCAGAGGCGCTCGTCCGACAATTCGGACGGGACCGACCATTCCTTGAAGACTCGTCCGCCTCTGCGCCTGTCCACCGATCATGGTCATGGAGCTTCAACAAACACCGCGAACTCAGACACCGACCAAGCCTCGCAGTCGCAAATAGCTTCTACGCCTGTCACTCTCACCAATCCCGATCATCGTTTCAATAATAATAGCAATTCCGTCGTTTCCCCTCGATCCCGGAACTCGAGTGCCGTCCGAACCTCCTTCTCTTCTCTCGCCTCAGCTTCGCATGCCTCCCCGTCGCCGACGCCCTCCCCCAAGCCAACGGCCGCGATGATGCCCTTGGCGTCCCGGCAGCTCTCTTTTGAGAGTTCCGCGGACACCTCTCAGCGCATGCGACACCATCGGCTACGCAGTCCGTGGTCGATATCTATCCTGGCTCTATCCACTGCACTGGCTGGTGTCTTCTTCCTCCTGTACATCGCACATTCCTTTGTGAACCGGCCTGTTGGTGCCGATGGCTGTCAGGTGCCCATGATGAGTCCGACTTATTTGCGAATGGTCGGATTTGATGCTGAGCATACGAGGTTTGCAAGCAAGTACAATCTGTATCTCTACCGCGAAGAGGGTGTCGACCATTACTCGCAGGAAAATATCGGGGTTCGTTTGCTACCAAGATCATAAAAAATAAAGTTCGGAACACTAATTGAATATGAATCTAGCTGAGCGGTGCACCTGTTCTCTTCCTCCCCGGAAACGCCGGTAGTTACAAACAAGTCCGCTCACTGGCCGCTGAAGCCTCGCGACACTTTCACGACGTGATTTCGTATGATAAGGATCGTCTAGACGCAGGAATCCGCAACTTGGATTTCTTTATGGTCGACTTCAATGAAGATATGGCGGCCTTTCACGGTCAGACTATTTTGGATCAAGCGGAATACGTCAACGAGGCTCTTGCGTATATTCTCTCTCTATACCACGACCCCAATCGCTCGCATCGCGATCCCAGTCTACCGGACCCGAGTTCCGTCATCTTAATCGGACATTCAATGGGTGGCATCGTGGCGCGCACGGTCTTGACCATGGCTAATTACCAAGCGAACTCCGTCAACACCATCATCACCATGTCAGCTCCCCACGCCAAGTCACCCGTATCCTTTGATTCCGACATTGTCCATACCTACAAGCAAATCAACGACTATTGGCGAGGCGCATATTCACAGGAATGGGCGAACAACAACCCTCTCTGGCATGTGACCCTCATATCAATTGCAGGAGGTGCGAAGGACACTGTTGTGCCGTCTGATTATGCCAGTCTCGCTTCTCTTGTTCCCGAGACTCATGGATTCACCGTATTCACATCTGGCATTCCGGATGTCTGGGTGGGAACCGACCATTTGTCTATCACTTGGTGTGATCAATTCCGAAAAGTCGTGATTAAATCACTCTATGACGTGGTAGATGTCCATCGAACAAGTCAGACTAAGCCTCGGGCGGAGCGAATGCGCATTTTCAAGAAATGGTTCTTGACTGGGATGGAGCCTACCGCAGAGCGCGCGCTTGCACAACAGGGTAAGTGTTTTATCTATTCAGTAAATTTCCATCTAATCTTATTGTTATAGAACCCAATTACCTTCTTACTTTGGAGTCCAGCACCAACAAAATCCTACCTCAAGGTGAACGTCTTGTTCTACGCGAGTTAGGAAATCACCAAGATTCGGTAGTGCATCTAATGCCTGTACCTCCGCAAGGTGTTCCGGGGAAGAAGTTCACTCTCCTTACAGACCAGCCTTTTGACGAGCCAGATGGAAAGCTGGAGGTTCTATTTTGTACGGTTTTTCCCATGCAAGCCGGACGCGGAGCCGCTCTCTTCTCGATGAGGATGGATCTCTCGCGCGGTGGGTCAGGCTCCACACGTTTGGCATGTAAGAATGCGGCCCCGGATAGGATACATCTCCCCGCATCTACGTCTTCCTCACAAAAGGCATTCAGCGATGGCCAACCTTTTTCGTACCTGCAATACGAATTGGAGGAACTGTCCGAGCACCAGTTTGTCGCCGTGGTAGATAAAGCCCAGACTCGCACGAACGGGTGGGTGGTTGCGGAGTTTTCTGATAGCTCCGATGCACTTATTCCGACTCGTGTTGGGCTCGGAAGGCTGCTGAGTGCTGGACTTCATGTGAAGCTACCCGCCAATAGGCCGATGCTTACAGAAGTTAGAATCCCATCGTTACATTCCAGTCTACTTGCATACAAGCTTTCGGTGCACAGCGCAGGCTGTTCTGACTCATCTCCACTTTTCACTCCTCTTTTGCGCCAGTCAATGCCGGAGCCCCATGAATCCAAGTTCTTTGTCAACGTCCACGACGTCGATGTGAACCTTCATGGTGTCGCGCCATATATGCCTCCACCGCTACGCGAAGAAGCAGCTTACGGGGTTTCTTTCCACCTATGGTCTGACCCGACTTGCGCATCGAGCGTTGAACTATCATTAAAAGTCAGCATTCCCCACAGCTTTGGAGAGCTGGTGATGCGCTACAGAACTGTTTTTGCAGCGTTTCCGCTGTTGGTTGTTGCCCTTGTTTTACGCAAACAGTTTAAAATTTATGATGAAACGGGCTACTTCATCACATTCATGGAAAGCCTGAACCTTTGTCTACGCTCATCGCTTCCTATAGTTATAGGCATTCTGTCACTGTTGGCATCATCTCTTGCCTCCAGCCGACGACTACCTTCGAACGATGACCCTTTTCATTGGCGCCGGAACTCGACAGAGACAGCTGTTGATTTCACCAAGTATGATCTCCTTCTTGGAGCACAGGATGCGTTTTTCTGGTTCCTTGTGCCTTTGTTTGGGCTAGTTAGCATTGGCGCATGTGTTCTGATCAACTATGCGTCATTGTTGATTTTGAGTTTGTTGTCGTCCCTATATGGGATGCTGAGGACAAAGACTGGCTACATTCGACGTGAAGACCGGTTCGTATTTCGAAGTCTATTATATATCTCAAGCTAAATTTTGTAGGAATGGGCCGATATTCTCTCATCCAAGTCCGCGCCGACGGATTATCAATGCTACCATACTGCTAGTACTTGTGGCAACAGTCATACCATACCAATTCGCCTACATGGTTGCATGCATGGTGCAAATAGCGACGTGTGTACGCGCACTGTGGCATGTGCGAGAGACGGTACTTATCCCCTGTAATTTTATTTTGTGACTTCTGACTGACTAATGATAGCAGCGACTGGCCAAAAGCGCGAGTTTCTTCAACTATGCTCACTCGATATTCACACTCATGCTCTGGGTTCTCCCAATCAACATTCTTGTCCTTGTGGTCTGGGTACACAACCTGGCTGTACATTGGTTGACACCATTTTCCTCCCACCACAACGTCCTATCCATCATGCCATTCCTCATCCTCGTCGAGACCATGACCAGCGGACTCATGATTCCGCGAATCTTCTCACGGTTTGTCTCCTTACTACTCCCTCAACGATTGTACTAATGAAAACAGAGCCAAACATATAACATACATCCTCCTCTTCTGCCTCGCCGGCTACTCAGCTCTCTACGGCGTCTCATACGCGTACCTCCTTCACCACGTGGCCAACATATTCTCAGCATGGCTTGTAATTATATACCTCGCATCGGGCGGCTTTTCAGTACAACGTTTCATTCGAATCCTAGAAACAGACGATTATCATCTTAATAGCAACACAATGAGCGGTGGCGGTAATAGCGGGTTATCAGAGAAGGATACGGGCAAACATCATATTAAGAAGAAGCCCTGATAGATTTCGGCTTTTTTGTTTATATCTACTTTTTTCCTCGTTTTTCTGTATATCTTTTTGCCCCTGCATAGACCGGCGCGTTTTCATGATTTAGCGTCTTGTCTTTTTTTCTTTTTGTGCCTGATGTCCTTACTACGCAGTCATGGATATGCATGTACATCTATACTTCTGGGTTTTTGCGCTCGAAGTCTTTAGACTTTGCGACTTAGTAATAGTTTCTTCTTATACATTGACTTGTTGAAAGACATGGCTTTGTCAAATACGATTGCCCTTACTTAATACTCTTCTATTCCGAAAGTCAGATATATCGGCATGCCTGGGAATGGATTCTAGAGCCGTCTACTCCCTTTTCCGAGGGAAACGTGGACAACTAACGTTCAATCGAATACGTAACCCCGTGGCCATTTACGTAGAGTCTACGATACATGTGTTCACGGAGTAGGGTTTGAGGTTAAATAGAAAAATTTTACTCCGATGGTATCCGAGACCAGAACAGAGCTCTAGAACTCCGAAGGGAGACCCACTTCCCGACTGAAGGGTTAGGGTTGATATAACATTGAACGACCTAGAAGGGTTGATCATGATATAATCGCGTAGGCTCATGTTCTTTGGGCAACAAATCCAAGAACAATTCAGCTATTTTTAAATAATTTAATGTGGAAAGTTCTGTATATAAAGCTCAATTCCTACGAGTCGCTAGTTCGGTGAACCGGAGCCGATGTACGCCAGCGACAGGCGGTTTTTGCAGCCAAGCGACATTTACACTATTATCTATATCAAATATATCAAGAGTCCACTTCCTATCTGCTTAAGTGCCACATTATTGCAATTCTGAGCCTTTACGGGCGAGTATAGTAAATGCCAGGATATTCTTTATAGCGTAGCTTGTGATTCGTCAGGCCTATCATGAGGCTGCGTGCAAGGCGCTTAAAGCACGGCGCTTAGGGCAAGGCTGGCGATACAGCCTTGCAAGAATGTTGACCCCAATGAGTCGAGTTTGTCTATTGTCTACCAGATAATTTACAAAAGTCAGAACTTTTATTCAGAGAGAAATAGATAGAGTGCTCGACCATATTGACATGGGTTCCATTCAACTAAACCGTCATGATCAGGTGTATGCAGCACCGCAGGCCCGCTGGGACCTTAAATTCACCATACGCAACCTCAACCTGTATCGCCTCGAAGATAAAAAACCCTTCAGACCTGACGACGAAAAAGGCGCCCGCGCTAGAATCAATCAATTCTTCGAGGAGCAAACTCACGGCCTACTACCCAAGTCGTATAGCTATCAGGATCTTCGTGATTTTCTGGCTCTTGCGGATATCGGCATGTTTGATCAAAACATGTCAACGTGTTTGAATGAGCAGGATATGGCGAGGATTGTGCTTCTCGATGAGAGAATGGATGATCAATCATCTATGTCGAGGCAGTGGAAGGAGTATGAGCAGTATCCGCCTAGAGGCACGGCTGAGTGTACGACTGTGCTGAACTCTAGAGATTGCTATGAGAAACTCATTCAGACTGTACGTTCTTCCTTGCTTACCTCTATCATTCCGGTCTGGTGATTGACAAGGCTCAAGCGAGAACATCTTGGAAGGTCCTCTCCGGAGCGACGAAGCATGTACGTCTGGCCACCTTCAAGTCTCAATGTATTCTAACGATATGAATAGTTACATTCAAGATCTATCACCTTCATGTGCAGCTGGTCTTATTCTCGCAGTCTCCCGCAGATATGCTGTTTTTCTGCGCGACTTCCTCTCCCGATATATGACAAATCGGGTCTATTTTGGAGTAACAATGGTATGGTCAACCTTCCCGAGGTCCTCAAGAAATGATATTCGTCTAAAAGTATAAAGGACTACCCTATACAACCACCAAGCCCATACGCATTGGAATTTCACATCCCCTATTTCGCCCTACGAAAATCGTTCAGCACATCGGAAAAACTACACAGCAACATCGTTGGCCGACGATCCGGCGTATTTGCTGACAGTTTTACCCGCAACTGCGAACCTGGACAGAAAGAATTCTTCCACGAGGCACAGGTCTCGGTACTGTTGGTCGGGATAGACGAGTGGGTGTGGACGCTTTACTGTCTTGTCGAGAGCCAGTTTGAGGGTTCGCGCGACCCGGCCGAGCTTGAAAAATACGTTATTAATATGAGAGATGCGCCGTCTGGGAACTACGCCTCGTATAAAATGCCTATTTGGAATCCGCGGGAGTATTTCTTGTTGGTGTTGTGTAGGCGAATGGATCAGGCGACGTTGGAGTGGCTGAATTTGGTAGAGACTCTAGATCAGCGATTGAAGGATCTGGTTAGTTTAATCCCCTTGATCTCAAGAAGCTGAATGTTAACATGTCGCAGGAAAATGACACCTTTGTCAAACCCTCGGCAGAGTCCTTTGCCGGACACAATTCGGACATATCACGCATCAACGACTATACCTGGGCAATCCAAGTATTACAACTTTTCACAAACACACTAATCAAAACGATTGAGTCATGGCAGGTATTCAGCCAAATCCATCTCCCCATGTTTCTGCCCGGTGACGGCGAACCCGAATACTCGTCCACGGTCCCCAGCTATCTGCAGCGACTTGATAGGGACGTTTCTGAGCTGCGCTACTTTCATACTTTGCTTGGGCAGCGCATTGCCGCCTTTGAGAGTCGAAGGAGTATGGTGAGTCTATTTGCTATGCGACCTTTTGGCGGTAAGCTAAGGCTAAGAACGTCAACAAGATCCTTAATACCTCAGCTCTAGTGGAAACCAGAATATCAAATACACAAGCGGCGGATATCGGGTTGTTGACCAAAGTGACAGTGGTAAGCGATTTTCAGATTCAAAACAGATTCTATTGGCTAACACACAGGATACAGGTTTATCTCCCCTTGGGCCTTGTAACTGTGAGTCTGGCATGCCAAAAAGCGCTTCTCGTACTAATCCAGATGTCAGGCTTTGTTCAGCATGAGCTTCATGCAGATTGTCGGATCGTGGCGTGTTTATCTGATCGTACTAGTTCCATTTACGCTGGTCTCTCTTGTAGTTTCATTCAATCTGCAATTGATTTACTCTGCTTTGTCATGGATCAGCCGCAAAATCAGGATGATGCGGCGAACAGACAATGACCTTAATCAGTTAGAGGCAGGATTACATGTGGGATACAATAAGATAGAGTAGATTTTGACCTCAAAATTTCCATTTGGCAGAGGTCTCCAACGTATTTCATACTACGTAGTACACTCGGTATGCCGCCTCGACGACTGGGTCTGGATCATTTAGGGTTACCCGCGGCAAGACCTAACCCGCCATCCACATCCCCCGAAGGTGGAGATCCACGGTGTTATTGTTATGTTATAAAAACCTCGTCTCCCCCTGATTTTCCGTCCCTGAAAAATTTTTCCAGTGAGTTATATGTCACGTATGTAACACGGGGATGGCAAAGGATCCATTTTCCTTGGAGGCGATGGGTACGGGGGATTGTCTGATTTATGGAGATGATTTTCAGGCCGAGGATATGCGATTGTCTTGCCTTCTGCCTTGTTTCTGGGGACTTTGAAGAGTCGTCGAGTATATTCTGTAGCTTACACATAGACTCATGGAGTTGAAGAATACGATCGATGTCTGCCTACATGCACAAATGACTCATACACTGTAATTGAGGCATTAATAAGCAACTAACTTAACTTAATATTCAAAGACAAGGCTAGCAAATGACGTCGGGCTGCAATAAGGTTGACTCACGATGCACAGCCATGCTCATGATCATGCTTACAGATCCGGAATTCTTATTCCATTTTTCTATTCCGTAACCTCAAAACTACACTTTAAGAGTCTACAGTGTATGTTAGTCATCCTGATCTGTGCAATAGTTTGCGCTTTAGGGCTGAGCACGGTAAATAGTGGGTCCTCTCGGAATGAATAATGATCCTCGGACTGAAAATCCACTTTAATCCGATGGCTGTCGGAGTGGAAGCCTATGAGTATGTCTAAACTCCATACGGACTCCGTCGACGAGAAAAGCCTCACAAGGCTCGTCTCTGGGCTACGGTTGGTCGGGAATTGATCTCATACGGAATATTTGGAGCTCGTGGCTTGATTCTGGGCCTTTGGGTCAGGTCATCTGGCTGTCGGAGTTGAGTGGGTTCGGAATGAAGTGTATAAAAGTTTTTGATGTTGGATAGACTTTTAATGAGAGTCATTTAGGTGTGGAAGGAGTATATAAAGAGGTGCAATTCCTGTGTAATTTGGTTCTCATCATCATCACAATCATCATAAGCAATCAAGCAAGAACAACAAGAACCTCAAAGCAAATCAAGCCAATCTTCCTCCTCAAAACACTTCTACTACAAACCACTCCTCCAACACTCTTAAAAACAACAACAACAAAATGTTCGGTCTCGACGCCCCCAAAATCACTCGCCGCGAATTCGACGGCTCCGACCCCCAACTCCAGCTCGCCATGGCATACGCTGCATCCAAAAAGTCCGCCAGCACCAGCACAAGCGCCGTCTCATCTGCTCGGCCTTCTGTTGATGAGAAGCGCAACCTTTCCACATCTTCTGGAAAGTCTACGTCTTCGCTGACCGATGGCCAGAAGAAGCGCTTCAGCTTCTTCCGCGCCACCGGCATTGTCCTTTCGTTGAAATGAGCTGTTTCTCCGTCTATCTATCGGTTGAACCCAGGCGATTGCCTGGAAGAAGAAACGACAACCTAAACAAAAAAACAACGAAAAAAGCCTCATGACGATACGACCAAAATTCACTCCTTCGACTTGATTTCGATCAATTCATTCATTCATATACCACCTCGCGAAGACTAAGACTGCTTTCATACACAACAACACGGATAAATAAAACAAGACGGAATCGGAGTTTGGGATAGACATTTCATTTGTTTCTCATGTTTACTAGTTTGATAATAATGATAATAACACACTAATGACCATCACTACGAGTTTACAGTAAAAAGTATGTATATCAGCGGAAGCCTTTTATTGTTCTCTGTAAGCAGTAAGAAGTAACTAAACCATCCCATCCAAGCCGAACCAACCGAACCCAAATCAAAGATCAAAAATCACAAATCAAAAGCAGAACCCATTCCAATCCGAATGAAAGAGAAGCATAACACATGACCCAGTCGAGAGAACATCGTCTAACCACCGAATCCGTAAAGGGTACGACCCTGTCGCTTAAGCGCATAGACCACATCCAAAGAGGTCACAGTCTTCCTCTTGGCGTGCTCGGTGTAAGTGACGGCATCACGGATGACGGACTCGAGGAACGACTTGAGGACACCACGGGTTTCTTCGTAGATCACTGTACACATCGCCATTAGCATCGACCCACCCAGCAGTAACGAACCAAAGCAAAGGAAAGGGAAGGGAAGGAAAGAAGGGACATACTAGCAGAAATACGCTTCACACCACCACGACGCGCAAGACGACGAATAGCGGGCTTGGTGATACCCTGGATGTTGTCGCGGAGAATCTTGCGGTGACGCTTTGCGCCGCCCTTGCCGAGACCTTTTCCGCCTTTGCCGCCTGTGTCACATTTGTGTTAGTATATGACAAGAAGATGTAGTAGTATAGTACTATAGTATATCATGTCATGTTATGTCATGTCGTGTTGTAGTAGTAGTATGGTGGTGTGGTGGAAGCGCGTCGCTTACGTAACGCCTACGCATCACGACCTTCAACATCACGCCAACACAACATGACACGACACGGCACGACAACCACCAAAAACATAAAAAAATAAACAATACTTACGTCCAGTCATCTTGTATAAAGGATTCTAAACTCGAAAAGTGATAAAAATCCGATGAAAAAGTGATGAAAACCGATCAAATCGATGAAATTTATCGGTTGTGGTTGATGAAAATCGACGCGCGGAGAAGGAAAGAGTAAAAGAAGAAGAGAAAAGGTAGAAGCGGGGGGGAATAATCACTTAAATACACTCACCCGCCGGGACAGAGATTAGTATGTACAACGAGAAATCTGGCAAACCTGAGTACGGCAGGTGACTAAGCTAGGCTCAGCCAGCAAAAGAATCGAAGAAAGAATGTGTTTTGGGGGGCGTGATTGGCGGATTGAATGTGTCTTATGAGCTGCTGCTTTCCGAGCGACTGTTTTGCAGTTTGGATGCGCCAATCAGCGGGCTGAAATCAATGCTGTTGAGCGCGGGAAGGCTAGGACGGATTGGGAGGTCACGTGCTGTCTTTGTTGAAGTTAGTTAGGGTTGATGCATCGTGTTTCCTTGCACGCTGTACATATGAGAGAGAAGAACTACGTGTCTGGTTTTATGATAAGTGTATTGATTCTATCTATGGCTACGCTGTATATGATGCATGGCTTTTATTGAAGGATTGGTAAAGTGGTCCTGATCTATAGTTCATTGATCCGCTGGCGCCCCTTTGGACAGCTCATCGGGCCTGAACACCTGCAGTAGTCGGGGACAGCTCAGGTACCTAATCAATGAGTCAACAGATTTCTACGAACATAACTACCATCTACTCTCTACATTCTATTTGGAAGAACACTCTGCTGGAGCGATAAATGATATATGCATATTGATATGTATGACATAATTTATCTCATAATCTCATCTCTCGTCTCTCGTCGACGAACGGCAACGATACCAGTCATCAGACTCATAAAACGATAACATTATATAAAACAAACGCCTCAACTCAGAAGAAGAGATGATTCGACAGAAAAACGAAAGAAAACAATGATCCACACAATTTCACGTTCGATCGATTCGATCGACACTTTTCCCAAACTCCATGAACGAAACATGCAACAATACTTGTCGAGAGACTCGAGACAAGTCAACGCCAGAAACAGACCCAAGATAGCGACACAGTTAAATGCATTAGGCGATAAAGATATTCGATAAACAGATGAAGACAATACGGAAGATGGAAGGCGTCGAGATATGATCGTAGGTATCATGTCGGATATTAGGAGTATGTTGGGTGTATGTTGAAGATCCACAATCATGCTAGATTGTGCGAGGTGTCGGTTACAGTCGAGACGAAAGATCAACCAAGAATGGCAGCAGGCTGCGACTCAAATCCTGATCGAGAAATATGTCCACGGTACACCGGATTGAAAATAATGGGCGATGCATTGAACGAGTTCATTCCAACTTTCGCAGGTTCACTTTCAGTTACCAAGTTCATGGCAACCCCAGAGTCAACACGAGGCATGGTATCCGGCGATACACTGCCGGAATTACTTTTGCTCGAGTTTAAACTGCCTTCCACTTTGGGTGAACCAAACTATACTCGTTAGTCAATCGGAGACATCCTCAATGGAAACTTGTGGAGACTTACGAAGCAGTACTTGTCGACCAACTCCTTGTAGGTAGGCGACTCCAAATGAGGCTTGCCGATGGCAGGCGACTGGAAAGCATCCCTCGGGTGAGCATGCACAGTGGTCAGGCTCTCGCCTCGAGACGACTGGGACTTTGCTTTGGCTGACAACGTTGTGCGGTCCTCGGTGGCACCGCTGCTTCGTGCAGCCGAAAGTGACAGTCCAAAGTCATATCGATTGCCAAACGCCTGGCGACCCGGCTTCTCTCTCGGTTTAGGTGCTTCGAACAGATCGTGCGAATCCAGCGTGGTCAATCGGAACCCTAAACTATCGTCATGTCGATCGCTTCCATCAAACGACGGACCAAAGTCATCGAAACTGGCAGGTGGCATCGAACGAGGCCGAGCTGCAGTAGACGGATTGTGTCTGCTGCGAGGCAATGCTCGAGCACGGTCGCGAGTCGGCGCTTGTTCCTGGGCAGGCTGGGCCTTTTCAGACTTGACAAACTGGATTTGATAATTCATATTGTCGTTATTGTCCCAGTACTCCTGCCCAGCTACTGTATAGCGAATGCAGACTTGAAGAGTTTTTGATCCCAAATCAGTGATATCAGATAATTTGATACTGAAATCAAAGCGATCGAAGCCGTCGTGGGCCTGCTTCTTGCGAATATCGTGGTTATACTCCGCCGTGACCTCGGATACCGTCTTCCAATAATCAACAGTAAAASGAGCCACAACGTGCTTGTGGAAGGCCAGATTGGCCACGGATACCACACCCACCAGATTTTTGTGATCAGAGGAGAGAAACACACGTTCCAGGCGGACGGGCTGCTGTTTACGGATGGCTGGGTTGAAAGGAAAATTGGGMAACTTGATTTCCCATTCGGCACTTGGCTGAGGCCTTTTGAACGGATATTCGTGCTCCTCACTGTATGTCTCAACTGGAGAGGTATTTGCACTGACCGCCAATGGCTTATCGAGCTGGAGAAAGTGCCGGATGTGTTCTAGTTGCGCATCAAAATGGACGTTCTTCGAAAATGTCGGGGTTCCAGGCATGCTAGAAGGCCGACGTCTTGACCGTAATGCCGGACGAACCAGTTCACCAGACTTCTTGCGAACCATGGGTGGTTTTGGTCCTTCTTCATCTTCATCACGGTCACTTTCGGAGGACGTCTCTATTGAGTCGGTAATCAACAGACTGCCTTCTGTGGACGAGCGAGAATGAGAAATCTTTCGTGCTTCTGGCGTGAGTGCTGGCACCACACTAGTCATTGCGCTGGTTTCTTTCTTCTCTTCCTGTCCTTCATTCTTTTTCTGAGCGTTGAGTGTCCGAATAGCGGCGTCGATCAGATCCACATGACGGAGATCCGTGGGGGATGTATCCTCATCGCTCGAGTTTCCCGCCGACTCTGGTGGTGAGATCACGGCACACGAGGGGATGATGGCATTATTTCGGGGAGGAGGAGATTGTCGAAGACTAGCATGAGGGTCGACCGTCATAGACCTGTCTTATTAGCTCATGCAAGAAGAAAGAAAGAAAAAAGGGCGACTTACAATGAAGTCCTGTCGGTCGAATTGCCTTCTCCAACAGACGGAAGTGATGCTTTGCTATATGACGGACTGCGTCGGTGTCGACGGAGATATGACTGTGACGAAAACGACGAGCGAGGTAGGGTTGGGCGTTGGGGATGTGAATGTGTCACAGAGTGTGATGAGTGCGACGAGTGCGATGAAGACGCAGACGAGGTCTCCGACGAAGGCGAGTGAGTATGCATGGGGGAAAGCGACTCAGATGTCGCAGTGACTGGAGATTGTGCGAGGTGAGGAGGGAGTGGCGCTGCGGGTGACATTTGAAGCGGCGAAGTGTATGGCATTGTCTATACAATGGTATCACAGCTGGCGGAAGCCGGTGGCTATAATGAGTGGTATTCCACCCTGATTTTGTTAGTGTTTTGAAGTGATGATTGAAGTCGATGTTGAGGAATCAATTGATGCAATGAGGTTGATTGAATTGAAGTGATTGAATAAAATGTTGGTGGGGTTGTAAAGGCAGGTGGTATGACGGCGTGGGGGACCTCAGGTGTTGAGAAAGCTTCGTCGAGGAAGGTACGCCATCGCATGATATAGCAAGCAAAGGCAGAAGAGAGACCGAGCAAACTTAAAGCACTCACCTGTTTAAACGTTACTCAGACATGTACAAAGATTCCCAGCATCCTTTGATCAAGTCTTGAAACAGAAATAAAAAAACGTCTGCAATCCTCCGCAGATTCCCTCGTACCCCGGTAGTCAGGGGAAAATGAAGGAAAGAGAGGAAAGAAAAGGTCTGAAGTGAAGGAAGTATATTAGAATAGTATAAAACGGGAGATCCGGAAGGGTGGGCGCTGATAATGTACTAATCATTAATATACGGAATTTGTATAGACCAGACCTTGGTAGCGGAGCCAAGTGGATTATCCCTGCACTTGCAAGCGGGCTAAATCCTGACTAAGTCGAGATAAGTTCTCTTGACTAAGATGCGCCTCCGGCCTATGGACACTTTCTAGTCAGTAATTTAGCTGTACCTTGAAATAGTTAATACTTGGGCTATTAAGTCGATGGACTAGACAGCAGGTGTGGTACAGTGGCGGCAAATCCTCTCCACTGCAGTTTCTGCTGATAGAGATTTTACCTAGTAAAGTAGTGCGAACCAGAAAGATGGAGGGTTGCAGAGTACACTGAGTGACTGATTGACTGACCGACCTTTGGCCCAAACCTTGCAAACCATAGACAGACAGACAGAACAAGGGAGGTGGTGAATGGCGAATCGCAGTGAAAATGCGACAGAACGGTCTGGGAGCTTGGATCTGCCTTGGTTAGGGCCGTGCGAGGCTGTCGCGGTTGTCATTGGATGGAATTGCTATCTGTACGGCTTTGTAGGATACTCTTTTATGGATTTTCGGTATTTCATTATTTGTCGTATACATTCGTCCACTACAGACAATTGAATGGCTCGTTCGTGGCAAGCACTTACTCATCGACTCTACGGATGAGTCGAGTGATTAATCGAATCGCCTCATACAATATCAGCATGCAGCCACCGATATGGTGGGGATCCACCACAGGAAAAACTTTGATAGTCTAGCTCGGGTCGTGTATTGATGGTGGTAACCCGAGTTACATATATTACACTTCAGCACTCCGTAGTCCCGTACAGACGACGGCACACGGAGTTGCACGTTCTTTGTAACGTTACCTTGATTGTTATGCTCTGTATGTCCTTCTTGTCTTGACTGATAAGGATTTCCGTGGTACGACTGTCTGTATCTGTATCGGTTTCAATGGTGTAGCATTACATAATCGTGTATCGGTACCGATACATACGGCCCAGCCCACTCCGAAACATGCCCATCCAACGCCATCGCAAAGCCATGTCCACGCCATTTGTCTGACACTTGGGAAGTTAGCCGCGCAAATTCTACATCCAGGACGGAACCAATCCAACAAGGATAAAGGATCGTATTTAATATGTCTAATAATAATCATAATCTCAACTATCAACGCCACATTCCGCACACGGTGCGACACACTACATCGTACAGACAGCTAATTATCACGCCACTCAATTGTACTATGTATACATGACATGGAACGTGAAACCTGCATGCTGAGTAGATACTAGAGGCTATCCGGAAGTGGGTAATAGATAAGTACTTACATGCTACTTAGGACTTACTATTGATGTGGTCCAGAGATAAAGGCTGAGCCGAGCCCCACCATATTCGCCACTAGTTCCCAACGTTTGTCACAACGCCGATAACGCAATACTACGTACACGTGCTGAATGTGAAGCTATTGCGAGGATGTACATATACAAGTACAAGTCCATGTAACATGTACGTACAAGACTGACGATAATTATTTTTGTTGATTTTTTTTTTTGAGACTCTTTTTCTTTTTTTTTTTTCCTTTCTTCTTCATTGAGTCTGTCTCGGCGCGAATACTTACCGTGCCCGCAGACCAACAATAATGACGCTATTAGAGTCTAGAAACTTGGAACTTGGAATTTGTCGCTTGCCGACGCGCACATCCCTACGTAGTCTCTACTATGTACTCCGTACTACTACGCATAGCACGGCAGCGTAGGGGGCCTGAGGAAGGAGCTGTACTAACCAACGAACAATCGACTAATTTAGTGCCTTCCCACTGCGGACCTGGAGTACATGACCTCCATGTACCTCACCAGCATTATGACGCAGTGATGGGACTTCTGGCCATGTACTCCATACACTCCACGACGAACTTCACTTTTCGGTCTGTGGGGCGCCCCCAAGTTTTGAAGCCAAAGTTGCGAGCTGGCAACGGGGTTGGGGATGCTATTCAGAGTTTCGATCTCCAGTCTCTCTCCATTTTCCTGAAACTACATAGTGAGTCTACACGACTCGCTAATTTCTGGAAATGGTCCGATCAGGAAATTTCGAGTTTTTTGCTTTGTGTTTAGCGGTTCATCCCGTGTCCTTCAATATTAGCCATCGATGTTCCCGGTACCGTGTCCACACATGACACGATTTACTTAATACGCATACCACTCCTAGATGATGGTACTTGACATGATGTCGATAATCATATAAAAGATACATCAGAATATATTAGAAGAAACGAGTTAGCGCCGAATTTCCAAGGCACGGATTCGTGGGAGGACGCTGGTGACGTCATCGAGAGCACAACAGGTGAAGTTTTTCACGGTCTAGGCCTGTCTATCTCTGCTCGCTGCGCTGCTAAACGGAGTACGGACTCCGTGGTCTGCCATCAATTGCCGATACGAAAGGTATACTACATGGTAGGATGTTTCAGGGCGAGACAAGATAATTACATTTATATTAATCGAACTCTGAATAGCGTCATATTTTTTTCCTCGCGCTCTTTTCTTTTTCTGATGCGATAACGAATTGCTGGGATCACAGATACACGTGTATGGTGTTACTTGCCGTCTGTATGCTGTATGCTGTATGTATCAGGTAATACTCCGATAAAATACGGCAGATGGTACCCACCGCGGAGATACATGGATGGCCTGTGGGAGGGCTTGGCGGGCGTCTAGGGAATGCGGCTAGGTAACAATCTTCCGAGTCGAAGCCAATCAGGCGCCGTATACCATTTATGTACTATGTAGTATGGAGAAAAGTTTGCGTCTGATCTGATTCTAAAATCAAGGACCTGTGCATGCCTCGTACTGTAGGGAGGATCAGACACGGCTGTGAGGGCTCCGGAGCTATTTGAGCTGTATGAGCTCTGCAGTGGCATAGGGCTGTGTGTGCATTAGAGCTATGTATGTGCTTGTCMCCTGCCACTATTCGCACGATCTAGCCACTGCACGAGTTATGAGGTGCATGAGTTGATTGTCAAGCGGCAGGACCGTTTGAGTAATCCGGTCTTCCTCTTAGCTTCCCAAGTATATACTCCAACGAGCTCGGACTAGAAAGACACTGCGATGTCTCGAGAACAACACCATTTCGCATGTATCGCGTATACACAACCCATTATTAATAAACTTCATGTATCAGCAGCACGAGCCAACAAAAAGACACTAGTGGCTGTGTATTATTTTTTGTCTCCTTTCAGCGCTGCACTGCGTAGGCATCCATGCATCTGCAAAAGCAAAGACAAAGCAACGCCAAAACGTCAAAGATCGCCTCATCTAATCGAATTTGTTTTCCGGTGAACGATTAACCTTTGATATGCCCTCGGCATACACTTCAAGCAACGTCAAAGACACGAATCTAGATCATGATAAAAATTTTTCTATCGAGGAGTTGATATACCGCAAACAGTAAATAGAGCCCTGCCCATGGAATTTCCATATCCGCACTGGCCCATGGAACCCCTCTCCATATTTTATTACTCCGTACTCAGTTTGTGCTATGAGATGGGGACTCCCGCGGAGAGAGATACTCCCGCCTCCGGGAGTCAACTTTCGCTGGGCAGTGGCCAAAAGAAGGATAACCTTATTCTCCTCCCCATCCAATCCAGTCGTTCAGAAACACATCTCCTTGCTTCCTCCAAAGGGTGAAAAAAAAATTTTCTTGCGTGGTTCCAGGTTGAGGCGAAAAGCATTGACTCTGCCCGCAGTGCCCCAGCAAGAGCACGGATACAGAATGGTCAGTGCTTCGCAACCACAACCGTTGAAATTGGCCTCGAATGCACACGCATGTAGTATGTCCTCCGTGGAGTGATCTCGCCTGGTCGCTAAGCACGGATGTTGCTCGAGATTCGATGGCGCGAGACATTGATAATGCCAAGTCTGTGCCTGAGCGATTTTCTAGTAGCGTATACTCATACCGGCGTCAATATTCAGATTTATCGTTCAGAGGATCAGAGATAGAGTCGCACTGTTCGTATGTATGGCCCTTACCGTCAGGCTAGTACCGATATGGCTAGTGTAACGGACGGGGCCTATGTCAAAGCGAGATGGGACCAATCAGAGTGCATATATCTCGCTCACTTTTGGTGATCGACTGAGGTCTTAATGTAGTAGGTGTGTATCAAACAATACATACGCTCAGAAATAGTTTACGAAAATATGCTCCGTGCTCAACAGATCTACACAGCTTCAAATAAGCATATCGAGGTCACGTGTAGCTTTCTTTACAACACTCCTCTTCGATTTTCTTTCTGCTCCTCAAACCAGGAAAATCGAGGGAACGAACTTCTTATAGTGTTTTTTTAATTTGCTAACCCTTGCTCTTCTGCTATCAAAAAGACCCGTCCAGCCCTGTCAGCAGCATTAAGCGAACACACTAGCCCCGTTGGAGCTAGCACTGCTAAGCACTACCACGGTCTGGCCCCCTTCGTTCTTTTGTATCGTTCCCTGTTTTGGCGACGCTGCCAACGCGCATTTCCCTGTTTTGTCGTCGTCGTTATCCTGCCTCCTGAGTCGTACAGACGCATGCATCAGGAAACATCCATGCTGATACCGACCTTGTTCTTAAGGATGGAATCAGGTGGTTTGATTGCATGCTGCATTCGTATGTCTTCAGGCCGTGTATGACCTGACTACTAGTCACTACGGAATATACTTGCGGTGGTTCTTATCAGCGGACAGATTTCTTAGCTTGTTGCACATCTGATTGCATGACGAGGCTCTGCCATGACGGGATTGCATCGACATCACAAAAGCGGTCAAGAGGATGGCTGTGAGTGGTCGGCAGTTGTGCTGTAGAATCGATATCGATCTGACAAGACTTTGTCTTGTTGCTGGAACGTGCACTGACTGTACGGATATGGAAGGAGTATGGAGTCCAGTTCATGGAGTAGACCTACCCCCATGCAATTCTATCAATTCTATTCGAGACCTGCTACGCTCCCATGTAGAATGAAGCTGACTGGAGAACGGCACTGGAGATCAACGCCTGTGGCTCAGTGGCTGATCCTTATCAGCGGGGCTCGTTCGACCCTCAACATGTTCTAGTAGATGTGTGTGTGGTGCTCCGACCCAGACCCCCCCGCCAGCGTCAATGTCCAGAAATGCCAACTCAACCACCTACATGTCGATGTCGAAGCTCCCACTGAAACAGTGAAACTAGTTGCAACTAGCAAACTAGAAGTCCGAGCCATCCGAATCCTCGCCTACACCTACATCCCCAACACAGTGCAGACAAGCCCCTTCTTTTTCTGGTGTAACGGCCGTGCACATCCCCTCATTTCGTCTACATCGTAGAGACTAGAGAAACTTGAAGCGAGAATGGACACCGCAAGGCGGGGTAGCTGATAGCTTTGTGTGAGCTATCAGATACCTTAATTCCACCATGCGAGTCCGTTGTATGTATGTACATATACAATCCCTGTCTCTATCTGTGCTCATCCCTGTCGTGTACACGCAACGTTAAGATGCAAGCAATCAGATTAAGGACGGATATAATTTGACTTTTACGTCCAATTTTGACTTTAGCATGGGTAGTGGCGATGCATAGTATGCGACAAAAACAGATACCTAGTAAGACACAAGATACATTGATACATTGATATATGAGCCATCCTCCATTGCGGAAGCCATTCCCGTGCGCTTTTTGTCCAAGGGAAGAGAGACTCGACGCCGCCGCACTGACAGCACTGACAATCCAGCGTCCGGGTGTACCTGGCCTAATCATTTTCCTTCACTCGTCTATGGCTAGTCGTCCACTATTTGACGGTAGTTGATGGTGGTGATGGTGGTGATGGTGGATATCAGCACAGACGCTATCCACTACCTACATCCTGTGCATATACCATATATAGATAGAATTTTAGCTAGGTGAGCTTTGCGTTGCCTCTATATTGTCTCTGGTTGGATGTACAAAGTGGCTATTATACCTTGCCAGATAGATAGTGGCAACTTAGCGATCGGACTATCATAATAAACTTCGATATGGGTACATGCTTTGTACATGTATATGTACATGTACATATATCGAATTTAGAGTTTGGCATCGTATGATTTCTGTGCTTCGAGACTTGGTCGAATGTATCAATGCATGTTTCGGTGCAGACCGACTTTTTGTCGATGCACACTGATCAAGCGTGTGTTCAAGATGTGGTAGAGCCGAGGAGATACATACCTACCTACAATCTTCAGACTCCGATTCCATGCCCCTTGAATGTTTCATTGTCACATTTGATAGAAGCATCGTCGTACGCTCCGAGGCTCGTCCTACTACCCCTCATACCATTGTCTCGCTCGGATCGTAGATCACAAATATTCGATACTCTTTTTTGTAACGCCCGGAATTCGGATGCATAGTGTGACACTGACTCAGTAGGTCAAACCGCAACGCGATTCGATCAAAGGCCCAAGACCAAGACCAAGACCAAGTGGCGTTGCGACTATCGGCCGATATGACAATCTAGGTAGGTAGGTAGGTAGAAAGTTTGAGTTTGTGGAGGCAAAGTTGACTCTTGCGATTTTGGTATGCTATACACAGCATAATACTACCTCAATCCGGCCTGAACCGACATCAAAACGATGGGGAAGAGGGGTGCATGATTGTGGCTCSACCAGTTCATATTGTTAGATAGGTTTACTAGTTTCAGCCGGTATGCACCCATCTATACCTCGATACACGTGTAGGTACCTCAGTATACCCTCTTGGATATAGACCTAAACTTACCCATTTGGGAAGGCAATCACCCAATCCAGCAAAATGTGGCACTGCCACTGCTACACCCTCCATCTGTAGAGTTCGTTGGCGATTTGCCACGAGATTGATGATAAAAAATTCCTTTGTGGTGTGTAGAATGGCCGTTGTGTGTCTCCGTGTGTGATTATATTCATGATCTGGGGCAAAAGCGAGGAGCTTATTACACTTGAAACGATTGTATGGAGGAAGTATGGACTCAGCCGATCAGAAAATCTCATCAAAGGCATGTAATGTAAGTTTCTATGTGATTTGACTACTCATTTGCACCACCATTGCCATCATCCGTATTGTCATCACTAGTGTCCTTAACATCATCACTACTGTCTTCCACCTCACCTCCATCCTTGACCCCTTCTTCCCCCTCCATCGCCTTCACAAGTACCTTTGCAGTATCATAATCCAAACTATCCTGCGCAGTAGTCTTGCCACCATAGGTCTTTCTCTCCTGTCCATCGTCCAAATTCACATCCTCATCTTCATCATTATCATCTCCCTCGATTTCATGCGTAAATCTTTCTCGTTTGTGTCGCTGATAGTAAGATTGAGGAACCGTCTTCCCTCCCGTAGAAGGATGCGAAAACGAAGACCTTTCCGACGTCCCCCCAGCTTCGCTCCTATACGATGATGATTGAGGCGACATCGACCCATCATCGAAGCCACGCTTCTTCCCTCCCTTTCTTCCTGCCGACGACGACATAACCATACTCTCAACCATAGCCTTTGCCTGATTCTCAAACTCCGCCGTGACCATATGCATTCGTCGCCTTGAAAGCATCCTCTCCACCTCCTTGACAATACCAACTTCCGCGCTCTTGAGAAATGTGTTCTCGTTCTGCTCTAAGCGGTTCTGTAGTGCTCTGAGATGAAGTAGTCTCCCCTGTAGTTTCACGTCGGTCGGATTTGCCGTGACGCATTCTTCGAGATCCGCGAGGGCTCTTTCGAGTCTTTCTTGCTGCTCGAGACGCTTACGTTGTGCGCCTGTCATGAATGAGTTTGTGACAATGTACCCTCTGCCATCAGTGGGAATCATGTTTGCAGCTGGTAGTGCGGTATGTACATGCCCGTATGACTGTGTGGATATGTGTCGTTGCGAGGCGCCAGCTAGGTGATCAAGATCTTTGTATGACTCCCCTCCTATGATGATGTCTTGTTTTCCTCGACGATATCCATTGCGAAGGTGTTGTGGTAAACGTTGACCTTGCTGTGTCAAACCTGGCATTCTTTGGGTGGTCAACAGTTTCAGGCTTGTGCGGAGGGGCTTTGGACGTTTGATTCTAGGCGCAAAGACTCCCACTACATCGTCATCATCGTAGTTGTCTGCCCTGACGAATAATTCTGTATCATCTGACGTTGCGGTGTTCCTGAACGTCTGCTCAGGTGTAGTGAATCCAGGCAAGAGAGTACGGCTGTCTGATTTTTGTCTACTAGACAGAACTGTGAGTTAAGGATATTAGTATTGAACAATAGGACAGTAAAGAGGGTGGACGGACCTTCAGGCTCCTCCTCGCGGGTCTTGTCGTCGTCCTCATCGACACACTCCTTGAAAAGGTCCAGTGTGAAAGCTGGAGGTCTGAACAGCGATGTTTTGTCTGGGGACATTACGATGTTCTTAGTGTCATGCTGTGATTTTTCAATTGAGATGATCTGTAGGGCGGGGCGGGCAACTTCGGTGTCTTGAGAGGCTTGTTCTGGAGAGCTAAATGAAGTGAGGTCGATCACATCTCCTGACGGTCCTGGGCCATCATTGGATTCCATTGTGGTAGAGATCGTTGTAGAAGATGCTTTCTAATTGTAGTGAGATAAGTGAAGCTAACAAGTTAGATTTGAAGTATGAGGTAAGGTACATGTAGTGGTGAAGCCCAAGAGGCCGTCGACGTGGGTACAGAATGAAATTTGGGGGGCTAGAGGAGTCAAGATTAGCCCATCAAAAAGAGAAAACCAAAGGATAATCGTAGTAGTACCTGATTTGATGCCAAATCCGCTCGTAGTAATGTCTGAGATGACAGCCAAACTCTGATCGAGAAAGGACTTGGGATCAAGTGAAAAGTGAACTGGCCAAGAACTGTGGGACATTTGGGAAAAGTAGAAGAATCTGAAACTTGAGACCAAAGACGAGGAAAGAGAAGAAAAAGAAGAAGGATTTTCGGCGGGTAGAGGAATTTACCTTCAACACACAAAGCCATGAAGGGATCTCGGATGAGTTGACCACCACATTACAAAAGAAAATGGTGTGAGAGGAAGGAGGAGTCCAAGAATTCGGGATGAAAGTGATACATCAATGGCATATAAAAGGATCATCCATGGTCAAGATGTAGTGTAATTGTGACTGGATGTTATACACAAGTTGCATGTGAGAAGACGATCAAGTGAGGTCAAGGAACTCAGCTAGAGATATCTGAAGTCGGCGATCCCAATTCTCAATGTGGTGAGTGATATGAGAAGTGAGGAGTTCAAAGATTGAATCAAAGCAAGGAATCAACAACTGTGTGAGAGCAATCGTCAACTTAAAGGTCTCGGGTCGAAGAAGCATACCACTGATGACGACGAGGAATCCCAAGAGGTACGAAAGTGAAGATTCTAGACTATCTCAAAGCACCAATTCTTCTACCTTCGTAAGTACATTGTGCAACCGAGCTGAGTCGAACTTATCTATTCGTGATTACGCAAAATCAAGCCTTGAACATCTGCTTCCCATAGAATAGAGAAAGGTGCTGATCAAATACAATCCGGAAACAACAACCACAGAGTGTAATATCGAGATGACCCCAAATCCAGAGCAAAGGCGCCGACAAGAGTGCATCAAATTCCAACCTACCAAGCCCTACACTCGAGAAAGGCTAGAGCAAGCAATCCGCGTCTTTGGAAGGCACAAACCCGTCGCAACGCGTAAGCAGTCATATGCAATCGGGGATTTCGCTGCCTGTTACAATCTCCGAAAACGAAATGCATCTCAATTGAGAGAGATTGACATGGATATACCGGATGACGACGAAAACGATGACAATTACGAACCCAGCACACCTCGTACTCGGAGAAGGAGGGCTATACAACCCCAGTCATCGACACCTGTTGAACCAGCACCAGCGTCGCGCATAGTCAAGCTTTCGTTCTCATCGGTACGTGGCAAGTCTTTGCTACTACAGCTGAAGCATGCAGATGTTTTCCGGGATTTCGTGGATAGTGACGACGATGAAATAGCCGATGCTCCTTCTAGTACCAAAAACGATTCAAAAGATACCGCTCAAGAAGATGTATCCATGGAAGACTCGGAGGGAATCGAGCGAATAATTATCACAGCTTTTGCTCATCCCATTGATTGCGAACTCGGCAATAATTGCGGCTCTCCATGCGATTTCTGCACAGACTTCACATTCGGAATGTTCGGTCTTGGAATTAAGACCGTGTCAGTGATCGACCATGTAACTTGGTTCGAGGAACTCTGTGGCGGCCATCGCGACGACGGACAGGAGCCCACAAGAATGTGTAACGTGTGCGCACTTACACGATTGCACATCATGAACTGCGGCGGTCATCAAGTAACAGCCATCCCAAACTATGATCCATACACATTCAACATCCAAACCGCATTCAACAGTCTGGGTGGACGTAGGCTTCGAGGCCGACGCCATCAAATCAACGAATGGTGCTCGTTCTGCATCAATCCCGCATTCTTCCGCTGTTCAACGACCCAGATCATCGATATATTCGCAAACGACATTGAGGATCCGTCGTCACCAGAAGCCCAGGGCTGTGGGCTGCGTCTTTGTCAGGGCTGCAAAGATCTCATGGATGAGCATCGGAACGATTTCGATCGAGTCATTGCGGCACTACCTGGTGCGACGGAGAAGAGAGCTGATGCCGAGTTTTTGGTTAATGGGAGTGATCTAAACAGATATTTTAGCGAGTGATGATGTTTTGTATTTAAGCATAGATCTCGGGCAATTTACCTCTTTGTAGAGTTTCATATTCAGCACCGACAATAGCGAAGCAATTGGGGCCATAGGTGCTCTCGAAACCCATTTTCCAGCAATCTTGACCGCCAAAGAAGTTTTTGTAACGCCTAAAAGTAGGAGCTGGTGGAAAAACACAGAGTTAACAAAGCTATAAAGCGGGGGTTGAAAGAACTAATGTATAAAGAAGATGACGAACGTAGAGGCCCTCGAGTTAGGGCTCACTTAGGATTAGGGTTATAAGCTGGGCATGTGACAGCCGTTGTAGATGACGTCGTATCTAATGTTGCTCCACTTCCCCAGGCCTTCTTTATCAACTGACACCACAACCTCGGCTTTTGCTCAGTTATCTATTCTATGATCTATCTCATCTTGCCAGACTAATATTCATCATGCATCTCTAAAGACTAGCTAGTGCAGCAACACAGAAACCATGGCAGACGACGACAGAACCATATACGAAGCAAGGCTTGTATGTTATTGTTATTATCCATCCAGTGATATTAAGTACTATCCAGTACTAGGACAACTAATCAATCGTAGGACGCCTTTGAGCTCTACCACAAATACGAATACCCCGAACGTCCCAAGCCCAATGTCGACTGGAAAACCGCCGCATTGCGAGGCCCAGCCCTCCCCGCGCTGGGACACGCTGTGGCCGGCGCCGCGGGATCAGCTGTTTCCAATGTCGCGACTTATCCATTGAAATTGATCGTTACCAGATTACAGATGCAACGGCTCGCCGCACGTAAGAAGCAATCAAGCGGCGATAAAGAAGCAGATCGAAAAACGGGGTATGCGAGTATTCAAGACGCGGCACAGAAAATATATGCAAAAGAAGGCGGCATCCAGGGATTTTTCACTGGTGTTGGCGACGATACATGGAAGACCATTGCGGATTCATTTTTGTTTTTTCTTGCGTATACTATCCTCCGACAACGGAGACTCAATTCAAAAGCGAGCAACAACAACGGAAAGAAACGCGCGGTATTGCCGATTCTAGACGAATTGGCTATCGGAGTTGTCGCTGGAGCCTTTTCAAAATTGTGGACAACGCCGCTTGCGAATATAGTGACAAGAAAGCAAACTGCCGCGCTTGACAATCAATCCAAACCGATATCAACGAAACAAGTCGCCGCGCAGATCAGGACTGAAAAAGGGTTGATCGGGTTCTGGTCTGGATACTCCGAAAGCTTGGTCTTGACATTGAACCCGTCAATAACCTTTTTCTTGAACGAACTTTTGAAGTATCTGCTGCTCCCCCGACACAAACGAAAGAATCCTTCGGCCACGGTGACATTCTTGCTGGCAGCCATCAGCAAAGCTGTTGCTTCGGCTGTTACATACCCAGTCTCACTCGCCAAGACTCGCGTACAAGCAGACTCATCGTCGAGCGAGGACACGAAACCATCCAATACATTTGCTTTTAGCCTGTTCACAAGCCTTCAATCCATTGCAGCAGAGGAAGGAATTAGCGCTTTATACGACGGACTTTTCGGCGAAGTCGTCAAGGGCTTTCTATCCCATGGCATCACAATGCTGACAAAGGACATTGTCCACTCCAGCATCGTACAAACATACTACACGCTTTTGATCTTAATAAAGAAATACCCATCACCCGAAGAACTTATCGTCCGCGCCCGTCTCCAAGCCGAAGAATACGCCGAAGTTGCACGCGAAGGCGCAAAGGAGGTAGCCGAGTCAGTAAAAGAAGGTGTTTCGTCAGTGACAAGCCCGAATGTGTCGGTTGACATGTCCTCGAACGCGCCACCTGAGTACTCTCCGTTTGAGGAGACGAATGAGTTGGCAGAGATTGTGGGCGAGTATGTCGAGGATGATGCGGCGGAATGGCGGAGTTTGTATCATTGGTTTTGGAGTCGGATCAAGGGTTGATTTATCTATGTCTGGATGGCTATCATATTTGAGTTTGGCGTCGGGTGGAATTGATTCTCGTGGGTTGTATATGTGCATGTAATTGTCAAATAGTCTATCTAGTTTCCTCAACTTAAGTGCAACTTGGAACTATTCATCTAGTACAGATTGTATTGTGCCGATGACCCTTACAGATAAACGAGTGGCAGTAAGTTCACGAGACGGAAGAGGAAGGCTCAGATAGAGATAAATAAAGTAGTGGGTCGACAGTTGATATGACGTGCCGATTCTGCTGTCTGATCTCGACCATCTTTACCTAAATGTACATCTCTCACGAATTGACTCATTTCCCACAACCTAATTAGGTATCTTCTCAGAGATACTCCAAGCTGAGTTACAAGGCATGACTCAATCTGATATGGAATGGCATCCCGCATCCTTTTTCCGAACGGACATCATCCCGACAACCCCGTTTGCGATCCTGATACTCAACCAGCCGATCAACGAGAATGCATTTGACGCTGTGAGGAGACATGGTGCGTTCTTTTTACCTTCCTCTAAGCAATCTGATTGCAAGCAAAGCATGTACTGGAGTTTGTCGATCTATTGCAATCGCATGGAGAAAAATGGATACATACCCCGCGCCGTTTATGGGCGCGCATCTATCTCCTCACGTGCGCTGGATGAGATCCAATTATCCCTCCAACTATCCACCACCACGCGTAGATAATCTCTGCTCGAAATAATGTACTGACATCAACAGCATGCTACACCCTCGTCGCCGATGGCGGCGCAAACCGCTACTACGAACTCATGAAATCTCGCTCCATTGAAAACATCGATGTCCGTCCCCCCATCCCTTTCCCTGCGCCTCTCATCTGCAGTGTAACTAACCCTCGACAACAAAAAAGCTACCATCCTGCATCCTCGGTGACCTCGACTCAATTCACCCACACGTCCTCACACACTACAAAACGCACCATGTCCCCATCTTACACGATCCTGACCAATACTCCACCGACTTCACGAAATGCATCCGCTTCCTACACGCCCACGCGCACTCAATCCTCGCGCGCGAGAATCCGACCGTGGGCGTTGACAATCACGATTTATACATGACCTCCCACTTGACCCTACCATCTGCAACAGCAAAGAAAGAGCAGTTAGATATCGTCGTCCTCGGCGGTCTAGGCGGCAGAGTCGACCAGGGCTTTTCGCAAGTCCACCATTTATACGCCGCGTACGAGGAGAAAAGGCAATCTACCACCAACACCACCACCCCTATAAGCCAAGCCCAAGCGGGGGACCTGTATCTCCTCTCTGAAGAGAGTCTTTCCTTCATTCTGCCTCCTGGGAAGAATGTAATACACACGCCATTTACGCATCAACAAGTCCCTAGCCATCATCATGACGAAGAGGAAGAAAGGAAAGAAGTATTCTCCGAAAACGTGGGCATAATCCCGCTTTCGGGGCCAACGCTCATCTCCCTGACAGGTTTTGAATGGGACGTCACGCGCTGGCGCACAGAGATAGGCGGACAGTTATCGACGAGTAACCACATTCGCGCCGACAGACTAGAGGTCGATGTTGATGTGGACATCAACCGGGCTGTGCTGTTTACGGTTGAGTTGGGGGAGAGGTTTAAGAGGATTGTTAATTCGTAGTATCGATCTAATCTACTTGATTGAATACAAAAGATCGGGAATATAGAACGGAATTGTATTGCATTGCCAAAATAACCGATATATAATCACAACCAATAACTAGGCATCGACTATCAAAGGGGTGGGGGGGGGTAAAAATCAATGTGCACGAACAGGAAGCGAAGGGATATCTGAGAACCATACACACCAGGAAGACAAAAAATAGACTAAAACAATAAAAAAAAACGAGTACAAATCAATATAGCGACAAACTTAACGCCGTTTCGAGACAGGTCCAAAAGTCATATGACTTATTATCAACTTCGACAGGAAGCTGATCAAGAACAGAATCCCAAACATATACCATACCATACCAACCGCCGGTCAAACTCCACTGTCATTATTTATATGCATGGCATTTTTTCTCTGACCATTCGACATTCTTGTGATGTTCTGTATACGACCAACACCGAAGCGGAACGAGAGAGAAGAAGAAGAAACAAGAAATCTCAAGACGAATTTCAAGATTCAGTCCAAACAAATTGGACCCAGCACCTGCTAAGCAGTTACTTCCTCAAAACAGCATCATACAAGCTGACCAAGACTCCAACCGCCGATCCCGTCAACACACCAGGCCACTGTCCCGGAATAGCAACATTCACCTTCTCAATTGAGAAATGGCTAAAGGTACTCCAGAACGTGAAATGATTCGCAAAGACAAAGTACGAAATCAGCGCCTTGGTGATGTTGTACACCAACGGATCAAAGCTGGCCACCTGTTGTTGGACAGTGGATGAGGCACGACGCGTGTTATGCGAGTGCGTGGAAGCTTGCGCGTGAAGACTCAAGTTGAAAAAGTACGCCAAGGTCAATGGCAGCACAAGGCTGGTCGTCGCCCAGAGCAAGAAGGGTGCCCAGAAGGTACCAGTAATCAAGACGAACAGGTCAGGAATCTTGACCGAAAGCTCGGGCGTGTTCACAGTCTCAACCGCAGGAACGGTAGTCAAATAGCGCAAGGGGATCAATTCGCGCGCCAATCCGATCAATTCCAAAACCACGAAGATGGTTTCAATAGACTTGACGCTGCTGAGTGTAGCGCGCAATGCGTCGGAGCGCTCCGAGATACCGGACTTGGTCCACGCGTCAGACACCTTTTCGCGAACGATGGTGGTCTGGCGATCAATGGCGTCGGTGACGACAGCAGGCGAAGGCGGCAATGCCGCGAAGGAGAGCGGTGAACGCGCCGGAGTGCGCGTGGCGACTGCAGTAGACGCGGGGGTTTGAGTTTTTTCGGATTCAGTTTCCTCACTACCATTCATTAGTATTCGACGCGTCAAGTCAGAAGAAATAAACGTACGCTTCGGTAGAAGCCTTGCGTGTTCGTCGCGATACCCTCTTTTCCTCGCTTCCGACAGAGATGAGGGACGACTCGGACTTGGGTTCCTTCTTGACGGGCGACGACAAGCGCGCCGGCTGCGACAGGCGGCGGTAGTAATCAGCCAGACGCTTCTCGCCGGAGAAGATGGAGGAGTTAGCACGCAAATGGCTGTCGAGAGCGGCTTCGAGTTCGGCTTTTTTGAGGTCCGCGTAGCTGCCAAACATTAGCATCATCAATCAGGAGTATGGGCATTGTTTAGCGCACTCTTTCAAGTCAGAGATTTCAGCCAGCTCAGCCAGCTCTGTTTTGCGCAGAGCGCGCAGGTAGGGACCCGTGGAGGATGACGACATGATTTCAGTTCAGAGGAGTAGATGTATAGAGAAATGAGATCGCGTGGACCATGCGACAGCAATTTGATAGCAAATTGAAGGGTATTGTATACTGGGAGCGTATATATTAAGGAGGAAAATGGCAGGGCGTGGTGCGATGGGATGAGGTATGTTGTAGCGACAGCCGTGGGGGAAGAGCGGGCTTGTTTACATCGGGCTGGCTTAGCGTGTTTTTTTTTCCCAGCCACCGCTTTTTGCTTTACTACGTACATACTGATGACACGAGCAGTTTGCAGATCACGGTGATCTTCCTGCAGAATGGGGATTACACTTTTTCCCATACGGCATAGAGTACAATGCATTGAATTCATTATGCAGATAACTATTTATATGGTAGATGTAATAGTATTGTACAGTAGTCTACAGTAAATTAACACTCTATAGTCCCAGCCAAACCAAACAAACGCCAAACATGCCTCATACTCGCCGATTGCCCAGTATGTATAACGGTATGACAACGTCTATGATGATATGTATAAATGCCAGATTAAATGACCGGCACCGCCTCAGACTCCGACATAGTCTCCAACTTCTTCAGCAGATACTGATACATAACCAGCATCGTGCCACTTTGGACACTGGTCCAGACCGCTCGTGGCCCGACACCACGGAACCAGCCGGCCAGTCCTTCGGTTTTATAAATGAGTCTGAGTCCTGTGAAGACGGACGATGTGTGTAGATTGGGAGCGCCAGGTTGAGGTGTAGATGTCGACGGCGATGAAGTCGATATAGGTCGTGAATGTGTTTTGCTAGATGATGAAGACGGTATTGTTGAAGATGACGTATGCTGGCTGTGTTGTGCATGGGGCCGACTGTCCTTCTTCGATGATATCGAAGCCTGCGTCGAACTCTTCTTGGGTAAAGCATCAGGATTCTGCTGTGTCTGAATCCTCGTCTTAACCACGTCCAACGGACACGTCAAGACACCCGCCATACCACCCGCCGTGGTCGCCGTAAGGATTTCCATCGGCAGTCCAATCTCTCTGGATCCAATCCAATTCTTCGCCCATTCCTGTTCCTGCTCATAAAACGCGAATTGTAGCGCAGAAAACGGCAAATCGCGGAAGATGGTAGCTTTGTATCCCGAAAACATGGCGCCGAAGCCTTCTGTTCGCACGATTGTTCGAAATGCATCTGTCGTTCCTCGGTAGTTGTACCCAGACTTGGTGTAGGGATTATTATATCGACCTTGGAGTTGCAAACGTGTTTTGAGGACTTCGGACGGTACATAGACCACCGAAGCAGCCAAATCGGCAATAAACCCTTCGCCTAGTTAGCATCCTGTCAAACCAAGCTTTTCGAAGAGAAAAATACCAGCAGAAAGATATGATAACGTAGGATTAATTCCCGAATCAATCATATGCCTCTTCGACCACTCATACGTCCCAAAGAATATCACCGTGCCCGGAAACGATCCCATCAACGCCGGACTCACGCCACTATATAAACCTCTTCGAAACCCTTCCTCACGAAGGATTTTAATGTATGATGCTGACGTTGAACCGTATCGGGGCGGTATATGGGGATCGCCTTGCTGGCGGGTTTTGACGGTATCGAGGGAGTGCATGAGCATATCGCCGGATGMCCCGCCGATGCCACCTGCTATCATGGACTTTACCAATAAAAAAATCAGCATTCTGAGTAGTAGCAGAATCAAAGTACAATGATTCACTGGGATAGAAAGAGTAACATACGTGAAGATACGGCGGCCGCGTCTCATGCTCATAATCATCCACCGGGACGACCGCAGAACCTGCGGCCATGTCCATTGCGCGCGACTCCGACGAAGTACTTCTTCTGCTCACGAATTGTTGCAATATGTGTCTCGACCCGGTATCTTGTTCATTGTTTAATTGTGTTGCATCATTGCGATGATCGCCGCGGAACGATGACGATGACGGCGACGATGAGGATGAGGATGAAGATGAGGATGGAGATGTCGCAGGTGCGTAGATATCAGGTGCTTTCGAGTCGAGGCTCATGACAATTCTTCACTTCTGTCGGTCTGAATTTCGCACTATCGTCCACGCCCAATGACTCTGTAATATATATCGAAATCGTGAAATTCGCCTCACGGAAACAAACGGGTGTCGCAAATAGTGGAATAGGTGATGAAAAAGAACGGCAGAACAATAATGAAAGCGATGAATATGCTCAAAAACGAGTCATCATAATTTGTCGAATGACAGACGCAAGAAGACGATGCGATAACGAGCACGCGATGTGGTCTATGTTCAATGATCGTTGTGAGTAACTTTTTCGGAGTTGGCACGCTTCGGCGGCGAATGATTTTTCTCGGGTCGGMCCCGCCCAGCCGATGGACCGATCTCTGCAATTCAGGGCAAACCTTTTATGCTACAAGGTTAAATACTAGGTTTAGTGTTTGAATGTATTGGTATATAGACTTGTCTACATACGTACATGCACTCAACGCAGCACCCGCTCTGTATACAGATTGAAACGCATGAGAAATAGCAGTAAGAATATCAAAAACAGCAACAAAAACGTCATAAATGCAGATCAAGACAAGAGACAAGACAGAGGTCATCCCCTTGACGCCTTACTGATTGTACGCAACGCAACCGTGCTATAAGATCAGGACATAGGAAACTCCACTCCCACTCGCAAACCGTTCCTTTTTGCATCATAAACTTGCATCATAAACTCTAAGAATAAGTATCCACAGCTGTCGTTACTTGACCAGTGTATTACCGTTGTCAAGTATAACTCCTTCCATTCCTCCCCCAAAGTCCGTTAGCCTTAGTGCTCGTGTCGAGCGACTAGGCTCGAATATGATTCATTCAGCCATGACAATGTATCGTTAAGGCGTTACCAGCAGTCGAGGCGGCGACTCTCACATGCGTACAACACAATACTGTGAATACATGTGTAGTAGCTACCTCAAAACTCGAAACATTTACTGAGGCTTCTTGCCAGCAGCAGCAGGTCCACCACCAAGGTAGCGCTTCACATCAGAAGCCTCATAGACCTGGAAAGTGACACCCTTGAAAGCCTCCCAACCCTGACGAACCTGAGGAGGAGTGTTTTGGTGGGATACCAAAGTATCAACGCGGGCAGTGAATCGGGTCACAGCGCTTTGGACAAAAGAGCTCTGGGAGTAACGAGCACGGAAGAAAGCCAAGTAGATGATCAAGAGGACCCAGCTTCCCTTGGAAAAGGTCAAAGCGGAAAGGACGAGGCGGAACAAAAGACCCAATTCGAGCGATGCAACGAGGTACATGCTAGAGTCGTAGTATTGCTTGACAAACTTGCCAATGCTCTCTGCGAGTGGTGACTGCTTGGCAGCTGGGCGGGAGCCGCCAGGGGAAGCCGGTCCGGTAGCTCCCTGGGGCGCGGGTTGGATTGTAGGCAGCAAGTATGTGCGAGTGTAAGTGGCCACGTGGAACACGGAGTAGACGCTGAAGGGGAGAAGGGCAAGGGGGATTTGGCGAGAGTAGAGCCACACAAGGGCCATTCCTGTACCGTATTAGCAGGGCACGAGACTCAAATACACGAATTGAGGTGGTAGCCTACCGAGGTACTGAACGTTTTCATCGCTCAACAACTTGACAGCAATCTGCAATGGAGAGCCAGACAACTTTCCACGAGCAATGTACTGCTTATAAACCACAATTCCATAGGTAGCCGCGGCAGAAATGAATGCGAGACGGTAGGAGATCTTGGCCCATCGGGAGTAGTAATTGAAGACGATATAGGACAGTCCATATCGGAAGACGGATAGTAGGAGAGTCAAGTGTCTATGCAAGTCAGCTGTGTCTTTGAGGTCATGCAGTATTAGGTTGTCATTTAGTGCAATGATGGAATGATGCATTCGCCGAGGCTCAGGGTAGCGAGGGTAATATGCGGTGAGCATGTCTAACGTACCCTACAAACCAACCAAATCTATGCAACGTGAAACAGTTAGCGAATGATCATAGACCTTGACTCAAGTTACAGCATCCATAAGCTCGAACATACTGCAAAGTCTGGGCCAAAGCCTTGATTCTCTCGCCCAAAGGCAAGGTGGCCGGAGGTGGAGGAGCCATGGTTGTCAACTAGCAAAAATGATATAGAAAGAGAGCTAGAACGAAAGATTGTACGAATGAACTTGGTATAAGAGAGCACGGGAAGAGTTAATATCCTCGCTGATAGGATATGCTGAAATGATGAGTGTTGAAGCAGGTTAATTGTGGTGGTGTCATGGATAACGGAGAAGACAATGTGGGAGGCTGGTTACGTTAGGCCGGCCAGATAAGCTGCTGATTGGCCCGTGCCAGCGCAGCTTGCCCGTCTGGCCCGCTCGGCCATGACGTCCTTTTCCGGCGCATTCATCTTTAGATTCTCTTCGAACTTTACTACTTATCTATCATCTGTATGTAGAATGAGACATTTTATTGAGCACCTAAACAATACAAAGACAGCAGAAAAGAGGTATAGCAGGCCAAGAATTACATGACAAGAAGAGAATCAGAAAGAAAGTGATTAGACACAGCGTGCTCAGCAAGCCTCCACAACCAATGAAACATGTTTTATCTGTAGAGCGCTCAGAACAGGCTGTTATTAATAATCTTTCTTAAAACAATCGGAATAGAAAGAGAGAAAGAGGCATCCTTTTCTTCGGTAGACCCGATATCAAGTAGTCATTAGCGGAAGCTGGTAGGTGAAATAGGGAAGGTCAATGAGCGTAAGTGGTGGAAAGCAGATAGAAAGAAAAAGATACAACGAGTGAGCAGTTGAGTTGATAGACGATCGAACATCGCATGTCTCCATGGCCAGCTCTCTCCGTAAAAATAACCCACGCCATTAATCAGGTCATCGCATTTCAGGAATGGTAGCAGCTTTTGTCCGCTTTTCCTAGCTAGGCAGCTAGCGGAGGGAGAAGCCTTTCCGCTTGCTTTCCTTTTCCAGAGGCCGCCCACTCTCAAGTCGAGCTTTCTTCTCTTCCAGATCTTGCCTCTGTCGTTCGAGTTGATCTTTCATCTCCCGATGGCGAGCATATAGTTCGTCTTCGCTCTGTTTCAGCTTGCTCTCCTTTTCGCGGACCTTCTGCTCAAAGACCATCTTCATCTCGGCTTCCATCTTGGCAAGCTTCTGTTCATGGAGAGCGCGTTCCTCCTCCTGCTTGACGGCCGGGTTCACCTCCTTGAAGACACTTGGGTCTTGAGCAACACCCATCTGAGTGAGCTTGTCGGAGCGGTAGTTCTCGTACAAGACGTTGTTGGTGTGCTCCTTGAGTTCCTCCATGTGTGTGCGAATCAGCATCTGACGCAGCTTGACAAAGTCGCAGTGCTCCTCGTTGTCAACTTCAATGACACCCCAGGGGTAACGACGGCCGCGGACTTTCCGTCCGTCGGGGGTGGTGACCTCGGCGTTGGCACCAACGACAGCAAAAGGCACCTTGGACATAATCTCCTGGTTCTCGGCAATAGTCTCCTCATCGTCGAGCTCGTAACGGGGTCCTTCGAATATTTGGATGGAGTGGTATTGAATGTCGGCAAGGATCTATAATGTCAGCGCATAAACTATAAAAATACTGCAAATATGGCTTACTCTCTGCTTGAAGAGTGCAATCTCCTCGTCGGTGAGGGTATCGGCCTTGGCGATAACTGGGATCAAGTTGACCTTGGTGTGAAGGCGGCGCATAACCTCAATGTCAAGAGGCTTCAAGGAGTGGCCGGTAGGCTGAATGAAGTAGACACAGGCATGGACGCGGTTGTCAACAATGTTCATCCGGTTGACCTTGTTCTCAGCTTCCAAATAGGCATCGAAGCGCTGCTCGATGTTCTCGACAATTGGTCTCCACGAGTCGTCATTGTTGACAAAGTCACCGAAACCGGGTGTGTCCACAACAGTCAAGCGAAGGCGGACGCCGTTTTCTTCAATGTCGGCACTGATTCCTTGGATAGACACGGTCTTGGGAATGATGTCGTGGCTAGGTCCCTTGCGTTCCTTGGGAGGGTAAAGAGAAGTGTTGAAGAGAGTGTTGATCAGGGTCGACTTTCCGAGACCAGATTCACCTGCGCTCTTTAGCCTGTGTCCAGTTCTAAATAGCATTACGTAAACTCACCAACAACCATGACATTGAAGTTGAATCCCTTGCGGACACTCTTGCGGTGCCACTGATTCGGCAGGTTGGCAAATCCGACATATCCGGTCAATTTGCGGCGAACAACATTGCGCAGGTCTGAAGCAGCTTGGGCAGCAGCCTTTGGGTCCTTGGAGCTCACAGTTTGAGCGGTGCTAGAACCGCCCATCGGGTTGCTACGTTCGACAAATGGTGAGGCGGCCTTGCTGGAGGTGCTGGGAATGGGCGAAGTAGGCTTTTCTCCGGGCGCGACGGCGGAACCATTGGTGGCTGCAGGTAACTCCCAGTTAGTAAAATCCATTGGATCCATATCGCTTTGCAATGAAAGCGAAGACATTGATTGTAACATTGAAAACGCGGAGGTCTGGGAGGTGGAGCTTCCAGTCGTTGTGCTGTGATGGAGATCGTTTTGTTCATTGAGGACGCCATATCTCGCCAGCCGGATATTTCTTCCATCCAAGCTAGACCGGTACTTGACATCCACAACGCGATATCTGGAACTGGACATGATGCCAACCAATCACACGACTAAAGTTTGTTTTGTACCAACAACGCAGGCCTCTCGCAATTGAACGACGACGGAGTGTGATGAGAATAGAATGAATCGTCTGCTTACCCATTTTGTGAAGAAGAGACTCTGAAAGTCTCGTGAACGAACGTCGAGAAGGTAGGAATGGATAGCGTGGAGGAAAGTGCTGGGTTGTTCCTGCCGTGGGATATTGTCAGTTTCAAACTCTCCCATGCAGTTCCAGGGATTTCCTCTTGTTTCAATTTCTTCAATGACAAAAATCAAAATAATAATTTGTTTCCTGATGCGGGGAACAATGATACGGAGGTCGAGTTATACGTACCGTGGACGAAGGTTCCCAGTCAGGAGAAACAGCAGGCAAACGAGGGTCAGGTACCTGAGACGGCGGTGTCCAAGCAATTCAAGACCAAAAGAGCGTTGGAAAGGGCAACACTCAATCGTCCAAACAGACAATTAGATAGAATAGAAGTAATACAGGGCACCGGGGGGGAAAGGAGACACGAAGGGAGAGTGAGGAAGGAGAAACGACTGACACACAACTCAGGAGACTAACAGAAGTGTGTCTCTCAGTTAGGCTGGCCACTAAGCAGCTAACAAATTGTCTGGTGGTTTCTGGAGAGCAGCAGGAAAGGGGCTGCCGATGGTCTTTGCCTGTTACGGCCTAGCAGTGTCTTCATACAGCCAATCACGTGTGCGGTTGGCCTCAAGTCACGGGATAAAACAATTAAGCTGGATTATCTAGTGCACGTCCCCGCTTATTACCAACTTAACGTCTTCAACGCTAACTAGCATCTTAGACATATCACTTCCCCTATGCCACTCATATGAGCTACTCATTTTCAGAGAGATAATCAACTCGGGTCAAAATAGCTACTTCTCAGGTCAGCTTATACGTGCCTGAATCAGCGGTATACAGAACAGGCATCCTATGGTTACCCGACCTCGGATCTATGTGTAGCATAGAACCCTGCCAATATGCGGCATTCCATCTGAGCGACGTGTCTCTGGTCCCACACTCTTATGGCTTCTTCTCAATTTAACGACGTTAAGATATGAATAAGTGTAACTGACAGCAGAAACAATCAAATGGGCAGGTTGCTGTTGCCACGGCTGATCGAAGCAGTGAATCGAGACGAAAAGCACAAAGCTCTGCTGAATCAGTGCGCAACTTCAACAACGCGATAGCAGTCTGGCAGCCGACTCAACCTCTGTTCTTCAGGGTTATCGCCGGCATGTCTTTTTGTCAATTGAATAAATGATGGTATGCAAGAAAGATCTTCCACTGTTGCTGGAGGGCAAGTCTATAGAAATGCCAAACGACGAAAGACGATAGAGCTTAGGAATCGGATTCGTAATTGTACATGACACATGCGGATGGGTGCATGCATTAGTGCATGTCGTTGCTTTTTGATAACGGGGAATCCTGAACATGTCTCAGAAGTCGAGCATCCTAAGCCATCAATGAGATGCTATCAGAATGAGTGATCCCATTCCTTGGTGGATCAAGCTTCGTACTTGACCGTTGTCTGGTAACTCGAAGATGAAGCCCGAGTTAAACGAAACGGCCAGCCCTAATGCTTTGGCTTTGCGAAGTCAATGTACCGGGGAACCTAGAAAGTAAACGTTCACACTGCAATAAGTATATAAGACAATACAGTGGACTATTCAACTGCTATCGCAGCTACAATTAATATAGTATTTCATGTTGCCATCGTGGGCGTCAGTCAAGTACCTAGGTAAAGGGTAGCCCAATCCCGAGCCTTTGAACTAGCCCGAGACGAGAACAAGATCTTTACTTACCTAAGCTAGAACATTCAACCAAGGAGACTCTCTCAACCCTGAATAGTGAATACGCCCAAAAGTAGTACAACGGCGAGAAGGGTTAAGCCGGGTAAAGCTACCGACTAGCCCCGATTCGGAAATAGCGTACGATCAATTCGGCTCAAATTCCATCCGCTTCACGGGAGCAAGAAAACATTAATCAGCGTCATCTTGCTTCTTTTCTTTTCTGATTCAATTCCTCTTTCTTCTCTTGATATTTTCCGCATACTATACTATCCATCTAAACACACCTTAATAATCGGCTAGAAGATAGCTACATCCACAATGTTCCGGCAATCAGCCACCAGACGAGCAACTCTGCTCCTACGCAACACCAAACCTAGCACCACCACCAACTCCATCACAAACCGCTTCGCCACCGCTCAGCGACGCTTCGCAAGCACCGAAGGAGGAGACACTATCGTCCCCAACCCCCCCTCACAGAAAAGCCGCAGCTGGCGCAACCGCCTCGTCCGTCTCGGTCTCGCCGGCGGCGTCATCTACTTCTACAACACCTCCATCGTCTTCGCCGAAGAACCCACTCTATCACTAAGGCCGCAACCACTAGACTCGGAAGATGCGCCGACCTTGAACACACTTGGCCAAAAAGTCGGGCTCAAAGCTCGCGATGAGCCACCTGCGCCGCACTCAACCGATGCGCAGGTCGTGGATCCTCGCCAGCAGCAGCAGGAAGGTGGCCTTGAAGGCTTGGAGCAAGAAGCTAAGCACGAAGGCGCATTCAACCCCGAGACTGGAGAGATCAACTGGGACTGCCCGTGTCTAGGCGGCATGGCCTATGGCCCTTGTGGTGAAGAGTTCCGGGAAGCGTTTAGCTGCTTTGTGTACTCCAAGGAGGAGCCCAAGGGCATGGACTGTATTGAGAAATTCAAGTTCGTTCCCCCACCCACACCTTTCATCTCTTAAGCTATACTCACGCTAATGCTAATGAACTTTAGGGGAATGCAAGACTGCTTCCGCCTGCACCCCGAAGTCTACGGCTCCGAACTCCAAGAAGACGAAGTCGACGAACAACTAACCGAACAAATCGCCCAACGAGACCGCGAAGAACAATCCATAAAAAGCCAGAAAGAGCAGCAACAACAACAACAGCCCCCATCCGCAGAAGATGTAAAAATCACAGACCCCGCAGTCTTAAGCCTCAACGATGCCGAGAAACACGCCGAAACGGAAGAACTCCGCAGAGCCGATGAGGCTGCCAAAGTCGCAAATCAGCGGGAAGAGGAACTTGTGCCGAGAGCGTGGCATGAGAGTGAAGGACAGTCCAAAACTGAGAAATGAGTCGATTCTATTCTCTCCCCCCGCTGATTAGCTATGCTATGTACCATGACTTTCTTTTCTTCTACTCCATGTCTTTCTTCCTACAAAAGAATTTGGTTTATCTTCATCTCATCTCTCCTCTCCCTGTCCTTCTGAAGGATTGAAAATGTATCCCTTTCCCCTGTTTCTGGTATAGAAATTTTTCTTTTGTTTACAGGGGGTCTAATGCATCAGCGCTTTGTTATACTATAGTTGAGTTGGGAGGAGGAATTAGAAATGGATATTGTATATTATTATATGACGTCGAGGTTCTCTGCAAGTGGAGATTATGTATTGCTTCTACGTATGTGCTAGATACATAGAATAAGATGACCTTGATACGATCACATAATCCCTTTCTTTCTTCAACTTATCAGTCTGGCCCCCCTTTCTCGGTGCTTCCAAGATTGTGTACGCTCCCCTCTCGCGTTCATGTTTCCGCATCCAGGTAACGTCGGCCTCAAACGGAGATTATCGTACTCATGATATGCATACAAGTACAGAGCCTTGTATCATGAACAAGAATCCGATGAGCACACAATTGGCGATGCAAATGCGTATGCTTCCTTGCTCTGGCTATGCCTTCGAAATACGTTGAACAAACCATTGCGGTGTTCCTAATAACGAGATATAGGTACGAGCATCTTAGCGACCACGGCTGATCGATCGATAATTGGTCCGAATCATAACGTGGTACGTCAAGTCCTGCATCCTATTAACAAACAAGATCACAAGAACCCTAAAAGGGGTACCTACCAGTCAACATCACTCAATTGCAATTTCCGTGAACGAAATCCCGGCCGGTTCGACTTGTCCATTCTATTGTCACGCGACGGTCGTTTCTCCGAGACTATTTCAGACGTCTTAGCATTTGTACTCCTGTAAGGGCTCCTTGGTTTTCTTTTTCCACGGGTAATAATGGGTTCCTGGGTAATTATGGAGAGGCCTTGTTCACCTTCGGGTTGTTCCACGTCTCCTGGGTCATAGCTCAGAACAAGGTTCTTGATGCGTTGCTGCTCTTCGCGGTCTGCCTGTTGTTGCGTTTTCATGGCGATTGCAAAGCTAGAGTCGGAAGGCAGCTCAATTGTGCGCGTCTAGGTAAAGTCAGTACGGATCTTCGTTCCCAACATATTCTCGTCAATCTAACCTGCTGCCGGTTTCCTTTCTTGGTCATGAGCGAAAATGCCATGGTTTTAGCTGGCGCTTGCGGTGCTTGTATCGGCATCTCGTCGCTTGCTGTCTGTTCCCGACGAGATGGCCGCATAGGAAGCGGTATGTCAAACAGAGCCTTCCTTTCAAATCGGCGACCCTCCATGCTTTCAGCCATCATCTTCTCGAAAGCTCGGTCAAAATCAGCCTCCGCTTCGGGGTCTCTTTCTTCTTCCTGACGCGCAACAAAGATCTTCTCATCCTCGGATTCTGAGTCGGCTACTTCGCCCTCTTCATCCCCGTTTTGGGCAAATGGTTCAGCTTCTTCAGCCGAGGACTGTCCATCATCAATATCCGCGACGCCATCCTCGTCAAGACCTTCTTCACCATTGGCATCAGAAGAAATGCTCTCAACCTCGTCATCATCTACTTCAGCACTTTTGTCACCATCTTGAACCTTGTAATTCTGGGCAATTGCCTCGCTAAAAAGACGTCCGGCTTCTTCAATGTCGCCTGCGATCTTCCACTGAGGGCGAACAAGCGAGTATGTATCCTGAATGAGAAAGTCGACATCCATTGGCAATGGATCTTTGGTAAAGATGTAGTACTACTACCTGTCAGTATGTGTTAATCATTGAGGGACAGATTATCAATACTTGAAAGTATGTAAGGAAGAAATCGAGCTTCTTCTTAGCCGAGCCACGGTCAAAGCAAACGCCGCAAGTGTCGAGCACAGTGCAAACAAGACGAATGCGAAAGAAATCGTCCGGCATATCAAGCAAATTGATCTTATTAGGCGACGGTGTTCCGTTTTCTAATTCGTTAGTAACTATGATGATCTTGCTGTTAGGATGACATACCATGCCCAAAGGCAACAATGCGATACAAGGCATCAAAAACCACTGGAGAGTCAATCATCTTATAGTTGTAAAGCTCTCCAAGATATTTGACCTCTGCAACGCGTTTTTGGTTGAACTTGAAATCATTGAGTTCCAGGCCAAGGGTGATGGACTCCAAGACATTGTCCACCACACCAATAACGAACTCTTGGTGATAGCGGTACAAAGCACTGGCGAGGATAGCCAACAAGTGAATATTGCCGTACTTTACTTTGTGCGGTCTGCTAAATACTCGTTCAAGGATATCGACAACCTAGTAAAATGTCAGTATTTTTCAAGTCATCACGTCTCGGGAGAACCACCTCTGACTCTTCCCAGTGAAGCTTCCTGATAGATTTCAGTATCTTGGTGTAATTGCGCTTGTTCATATCCAGATAAAGCATCTTTCGAATAAACAACTCCATTGGTGTACGTTCCTTTTGCTGGATAGCAGGGCGCTCAGGAGGATCAACATAATACATGGCGTTTTCGATAATCATTCGCTCTTGCTGACCCAGATGCGTAGCAGCTTTCTTCCGACTAACAGTCTCTAAGAACGAGGACATTCTAGGCGATGTTTCCGGATTCCGTAGGAGATACCGTCCGCAATTCTCAAGCAAATTACCCATAATTTCGATATTTGTACGTGAAAAGTCGTCCAGACACACCTTGAGGCAGTGAAAAATGACATGCTCGGGCACAACGCCAAATTTAGTCAATTCGGCCAGGTATCGGATATTGATCATTCTAACTTGTCCAAGAAACTCCTTTTGCTTGCGGCGCTGTAAGCTTCTAAACTCTTCATCCAGATATGTGATCAATCCTTGAGGGATGTCTGGCATGTGCTGTCCAAGGGTAGCCACTAAGCGAGAGTAGAGTGGCAGTAAATCCGTTCGCCCTTTAGGGATATCCTGTAGAGCCTTGATGAGACGGTTTCGAGAAGCTTTGGAGTTCAAGAAGCAAAAGTCCAGCGCAAGCTGATCGACTTGGTCCTTAGTTTGCAGATCCGGGAGCTTGACAAGAAGCGCATCAACCTGGGCGCCAACAGTTTTGTTGACAATCGCAACAGACTCATTATCTGCTTCAGCCGCAGCTTTGGCATCTGCCGAGACATCTGCGTCTGCCTTTTCAGTTGCGTCTTGCCCTTTTGCTTGCTCATCAGCGTCGCCCTTTTTCTTCTTGCCATCCTCTAGTAGCACAGCTGGCACTTTGCCTTTGAGATCCGCAAGGTTCTCGTAGAATCGTCGCTCTTCTTCATCTTCCCAGATACCTGCACCATCGCCTTGTCCACGAAGATACTCAGCAGTCTTGACGAGGCCAATCCCTCCGGTTGTCGAAGCGTCGGCTGCCTCTTTGTCGACCAAGCTAGGCATTTCCACACCAAGTATCTCACACATGGCCTGAGTGTTTGCTACTAGCTTCTCATGCGCTTTGGATTGTTTTTCAAAATTTGCTTGTCGGTCCTCAAAAATCTCGCCACTTTTGACGTATGCTTCGGCATTGCGACGACTTTGCGCAGTGAGTGCCTTTTGATCGCGAACGACGTGTGCTTTGACGTCCTCCAGGTACCGAGTTAGAATATTCTTGAAGCGCAGTTGAAGTTTCTCAGAAGCCAACGGTGGCTCTGCTGCGGCGTCTCCGTTGGTCTCTTCAGGTAAATTGCCACTGTCCGGGGCAGCAGTAGTTGCGCCGTCCGCATCGACAGTCTTGCGCCCTTCTTCGGCAGTCTTGACACCCAGAATATCCCAGCTAAATGACTTGACGAACAGAACAGCAAGAGGGAGGTTCGTATGGTCCCTGTCGTGGCCTAAAAGATCCTTCAGAACCTCTAAAGGATACGGATCAGATTCCTTCTCCGGATCACCTTTGGCAGCCGATTTGACTCTCGACGGTCCATCCAGACTCTTCCCCCCCGCACTCGAACTTGCATCCTTATTCTTCGCCCCAAGATCATCCGGCCGCTCAATGTCATCCAGCGTCTTCAAAACCGCAACGAGCCACAACTCCGTCACCACCTTGAGCAAGACCCGATGTCTCGACAATCGATCTTTCTCCTCCCTCTCACGAACATCCTGACTAAGCGCTTTCAACTGCGATTTATCCGGCGAACTCAACCCTCGTCCCAATAACCATCCGATCTGCTTCGTGAATTCGTGAGGGCCGAACCGTTGATGTAACGCGCTTACGATCTCGACTCCAGCGGCGACCTCACCAGGAGACTTTAACTTGCAGAGACCTTCAAAGCATGCCGAAATGATTTCCGAGAGATATTTGTGAAGCGAAAGCGTGCGGATATCGGCGATGAAAGTGGCGAGCGCAGAAGCTGAGATTCCCGTGCGGAGACGTTTGATGAAGGCGGTGTTTTTCTTGAGTGACGAGTCCAGCGACTTGCTGACTTCGAATGTATCTTTTAAACACTTGTCAGTATAGAAAACGGTTGATATAAGAAATTGTAGCAGATTCATACCACTTTCTCCAGCCCACGCTCGTTCATTCAGATCGCGGAGCTCCCCTAGATTTACACCAGTCAGAAAACACAAACCCAACAGCTTTCACGCAGCATGAAACAGGAAAAACACACGCTTTCTTCTTTGATCCATATCTTGGCGCAGTTAGTGACGCATGGAGTGCTATTCCAGCGGATGTTAACCGCTCGTTTCGATCAAACTGTGAATTGTATAAAATGACGGTGTTGGTTGAGCAGTCTCAACTCCAGGCGGGACGAAATTGCCAAAGCCAAACTTCATGCCACATTGGGAGGGTGGTGGAATGCTAGATATTGGCAAGACTCTGCTAAGTGATTTGCTCTTTCTTCTCTTTGTAGCAACAGAGCTAAGTTGCTGCTGTGAAGGTACGCAGATCGCTGGACTGCGGGCAACTTTTGAGATTGCCGTCGATTGGGAAAGTGGGCTGGGGCCGGTCACAATCGCGGCGGTCGGCCGTGCTTTCCTCAACTGCCTCAGTTCATCTTCCCTGCAGAACTGATATGATAAATTATGTATATTTATTACAGACACATTCTACTGAATAAAGGAAAAATGAGTGAATACATAGTTTGTGGTATTTCTATCAACTATTCGCACTCAGACTGTGCAAAGCAATCAGTCTCCAGCACCACGGTACACAAAAGCCACATCAGCTTGAATATTCATACAATTCCTTCTATTGTAATAAGTAGTCGGTTTCAAGATAATCCAGAAACCACAGAGCGTAGTAACGACTCAAATCACGTGATAACGTCAGTTTTGGCAATAATCAGGGCTCCGAACGGAATATAACAGCATAAGACACAATGGGTAACTCAAACAGAATGAACATACAACAGTCCTATACAGCATTAATACATAAAAGGGCGTGTAGAAACAATCAACCTCGCAGCGGTACAAAGCGCCTCAGATCAGAATAAGATGCAGGGTTAGGGCCAGTGCCCTCGCAGCGCTATGCGATAAACGTCTGACAAGAATGATACGGTTTAGAATATGTGACAAGAATGGAATTTGATAAGCGTTTCAACATTTGATATGTTTAATGTTTGTCGCATCATTTGGGTTTTCGCCAGTAGTATTGCTATGATCTCGGTCAGTACAAGAAAAGTAATCAACATAGTTGACGAGTGACTAACTTTGTGCTGTTTTCTGCAATTTCGCAAACCAGGTTTGCGCAAATCGTTGACAACAGCCTGTCGACGCATTTCATCATCATCGTTGTCGGGGATATAGTAGAATTCGCTTTCCAGGGCCTTTCCAGCAGCATCTTTTCCTTCGCGAATAACCTCGCCGATGCAATTTGTATCCTCGAGAACGGCTCTGATTTCGTGGCGCGTGAAGCGTTCAAATACATTAGAGTCGGATTTCCAGAGAGAAGCCGGTAGATTTTGCAGGATCGTGGAAAGCGGAGTTGAGGATAGACGGGAAAACGCGAGTTGGTTGGCGGCGTGATTTTGAATAGCAGCAATAGCTGCAGCCCTTCGCTCATCGATCTTTGGTTTCTCTTCTAGTTGTTCGTCTTTCTTCTTGTCCTGTGTCTCCTCTTCTTTGATCGCCACCGGCTGTGGAGGGGAGTGTACTGAGCGAAGAGGTTCCGGTTGGGTACGAGGACGAGCAATTCTAATTGGAGAATCACCTGCACGGAACTGAGCCATACGCGGCAAAAGATTCTCGCCAAAAGGGCCAAAAGAATGAACAATAGGATCGTTTTCTTCATCGTGGTCAGAAAAGTCTTCGAATGTGTCTGTCAAGGCGCTGAGATGCGAATCATTCAAGCTGTGGTCAAATGTTGTGGTGATAGACGCGTCAAGGGTCTTTGACTCTCTGTTAGCAGGCGTTGGGGACAATGGTTCATCTTCATATATCGATATTGTGCTATGTAAACGACTCGGACTGAGCAAAGGTGACGATGGGGGTATACGGTTTCTGGCCAGAGGTGAAGGAGAAGTAGGCGACACGAGGCGAGGTGCTTCTTTGATAGGACTTTGTTGGAGGTCACGGTGCGACTTGGAGGGAGAACTTGCATCCCAAGCAAGTTCAGGTTCAGTCGAAGACGTCTCTTTGCGTTCATGCCGGGGCCACTGAACCAATACCCGAGCATCGTGCACATCGATCATGATATCGGCATCTTTGATATCAGACGTGAAGGTTTTGCCCTTTGCCAAATCATAAGTTTTCCCCTGGCAGTGCAATTTTATTCCGTTCCATCCCGTGCACATGATCTCAACACGGTCGCGGTCGAAGGGGTTGCCGGCGGGTTTGTAGGTTGCTTTGACGTGAACGCGAGATATCAATCGATTAGCAGAGAGCTGGTGATGACATGACGCGCTGGATCTTCCCATGAGCAACGATTCTCCAGACTCGGGAAGCGTCAAGGTCGGGACGGTGGACAAAGGGGCGCGTTCCGTAGTACTCGACGAGAAGACGCTGCGTTGAAGTTTTGGTCGACCCATAGACATATGAGGGGGGGATGAGGACATGATATGAGTTGAAGAGGTCGGCACAGGAGTGGGATAGTCTCCTACATCTCGTGCCATTCTCTTTTGAGGTCGAGGCAAAGCCGGTGATGAGCTCAAAGGTTCGAATGCGGGCAGCAACGAGGCAGGTCGCTTGACGCCTGCCGCAGGGCCGACGCCGTTCATCGTGGCCCTGGGAGGAGAAGACTCCATTGTTATATAGTGAGGGGTTTCCTAGTGAGAAGTTGTGGGTTGACTTGGCTATCAATTACAGTCGGTTTCTTTCCAGGATCGAATCAAGCACGTCGAGTTGGAAGACTAGACATCAAGAAATCGTCGACAATGAATAGAGGGGAACAAGTAACTAAAAGACAATAATGGTATAAAGAAAGTATATACCCAAGGAGGCTGGTATCAGAAGAATTGGTCAAGACCAAGACAGTCAAGGTGCAACCATGAAGGAAAATGTGGAAGGGTTTTCGAGGAGGAATGTCGTGGTAGTGCGTCTCGTCTCGTTCAGACCGCGGATGAGCACTTCACGCTGTGCCCGCTCCGAGACGCGTTGAGCAGGCGCCAACCAAGTCTCCACTGTCGTTCCTCGCGCTATGACGGGCTGGGCTGGCTTAAACCATCGAGAATTTGGAGGCGATACATGCATTCATGCCAATTATTTAGTAGGAAATTGAATTCATCGCTGCAAAGCACACGGGAAAGCAGCAGCCTCTGAAGTTGACTGCAAGGGAGCTATCAAGCAAGACATCATCCTACAGCCAGCGCAGACGCGTCGATGTCGACAAGTCACGTGCTCCCGTCCGGCGACCCTGCACTAACCTGTTTAGGAAGTTATCGATTTGGATGGACAGAGAATTCTCGTATCGACACTGTCGTATGTAAGAGGCTATGTGAAATTGCTCTATTGTAGGGTAGATTCAGATCATATCGATCATATAATTGTGTAAGATAACCGAATTGACGCGACTGAGTACAATGGCGCGATAATCTTGATTTTTGCGACGTTGTACGCAATTAGCCCTAACTCGGGACCAATATATATCTCTCTGAGGTCAGTCACCTTCGAGCAGACAATGGTGAATAAAGACGATGAAAGCTAGTACTGACGAATCACATAACTACTTATGCTTGAGAAAGAACTTCGAAGCGCTACGAAAAGATTCTACAGATAAGTGAGACATCCCTTCAAGCCTATGCATGTAGAACGTTATGAAAAATCTACGCATGAACAACCAGACTCTCCAGATTCAAGTCATCCCAGCTAGGCCCGTAATTCGCACCGTATGTAATATATTTTTTACACATGCGAAAAACCAGGTACATCATTATCCTCGGAAGCTGCACCAGAACTAACACCCAATGCAAAAACACAAAATGACGACGGTGTGGAATTCTATGCATAGCTACGGATCCATGAAGCATTGATGCAATTACTGCCAAGGCAGGAATGGCACCCATACAACCAAGTACAGAATGTCCTAGTATCTTGTAGGTATGAGAAGATAATAGAGTGCCACATACCGCGATGAGATAATTTTGTAACTGATCGCATACTAAAAGCTGTGCTGATTTCGTGCTTCAGATAAAGACTAGTGACGTCAAGAGATCTATCAGTTCATAAACATCTACTATTGAACGAGAACCACGCGAAAAGATCCCGCCATATGATTACCAACATTGCCGATAAGTAAAATAGATTCAAAGTTACAAATTACGCTTTTCATATAATGTACGCAGTAGACTCGAGCATCATTCGAAAGAAGAAAGTGTAACGACGAAAAAAGATGATTCAAGAAATGAAAACAGGGGCTGAAAAGCCCAGAAGAAGGGGGTATGTAGAAACAGTGAAGTAATAGATATACAGCATTGAATAAACAAATAGTAAACCCAATAATAAACAAACATAAAATATAAATCAACTCAAGCTTTGTGACATCGTACTGGATTCGGCAGGAGGCAGTGCCAAACCATCAAGTAAAAGTTCTATATCGCCTCGGTCGAGTATTGCCGGTAAGAATCCATTCAATAGAAGACAACTTCAGCGCTTCCACCTTCAGGGATGGAAACAGTGCAACCAGTGGAGCTGGCGGTGGTTCCTTGGTAGTAAGTCTGGGCGGAAGCGTCCCAGTAGCAAGGCCCACTGGCTCCCTCAATCTTCACGTTGTAGTCAAGAGTGGCGGTGGTGGTGGGTGTGTTGGGGAAGATAGAGATGTAGGTCAATCCATCCTTGAAGCCGAGACCCATGTTCATAGGAGCCCAGTTACCGACGTCGCTGCCGCTGGTGCCCCAGGTGCAAGCAACGGTCTCATCTTTGCCAGCAGGGTTAATGTAGTACTGAGCCGAAGTGGACTTTCCTTCCCACTGGTAGTAGGTAGATCCATCGGGGTTGGCCAATGGTGAGCTTGATCCGGCTTCGACGACAGTGGGAAGAGTCTCACTTTCGGTTCCTTTGAGATTATGGAGTCAGTCTTGAAATGATTTCATGATTAAGTATTCGGAATGTCACCAAGGTAACTTACCAGGGTAGTCGGTACGGCAAACAGAGACGACAGAGCTAAGGGTGTTCTTAACAGTTACACCGGAAACACCAGCGATACAGAGAGTTTCATAGTCGGTGTTGGTTCGGTGCAACTTTCCACCAGAGCACTTGATACCACCAACAGATTGACCGGTAGCACCCTGGGTAGATGGCCACTGAGACTTCAAGTAACCGGCGGGGCATTGGTAAGAGCAGAAAGCACCTTCAGTGCAAGACTCGCCCGTGACCGCGGTAACGATGGTCTCAACAAGAGTCTCGAGAGCGTTGTAAGTAGGGTACTGAATACCACTCCAGCCTCCAATTCCATGGTAGTCAAGGGAAACGGCACCGTATTCGGAGGGGAAAGTAGTGCAATCGATTTCACCGTCAGGGAAAGAGGCATCGACACCGGTAGCACCGCTGGAGCTGCTGCTGCTCGCAGTTGTGGTAGCAGCAGGGGTACTGCTAGTGGTGGGCGTGGTAGAGGTCGAGCTGGTCGTGGGTGTGGCCGAAGTAGTAGGGACCGCAGAGGTGGTGATCACTGTAGAGCTCGTGGAAGATGAAATGGAAACCGTGGTTTGGATGAACTCGGCAGCCTTGACGGAGAGACTGGTGCTGGTGGTCGTAGCGCAAGCACCTAAGGGAGCACCTTCAGCCCACTTGTAGTCACCGTTCTTGATACCCTGGCAGACATCGGCGTAAGGGACTGGGGTTCCGTCAAGCTGGTAGACAGTCACGACTTCGTCGACAGTGGAGGTCGCGACAGTATCACGCTTGTGAGCATGGTGGTGAGCGTGGTGGTGACCTTGAGCGGCGGCCAAGGTGCCCGCAGCAGCAATGGCGACGGTCGCAGAGAGCTTCATAGCGAAGGGTGATTTCGATCGACTCGTGACGGGATATTGTAAAGCGATAGAATCGAAGATGTGGCAAAGACTCTAAACACCGATTCCACAAATGTTAGCAATTGACTGCTCTTCTTTAATCTAACCATTGGCCCTGGGACCGATCTAGGTAGCACAAATGAACAAGCATGTTCTCGTTGCACCATCTGACTGATACAACGCGATACACACTGCCAGCTCACTCCACCGCTTCATCGACAGAAAACAGAATATCATTGGTGTCCAAGAGGTTCGGAGCTTAACGTACGAATTAACTTCTCTCTTGCAACAGCGATGGTGGACGTGGGGACGCAAATTTCGTTCACTTTAATTGAGGCAATTGGCTTCTTCTCGTCGCGAGGAATTAAATGGACTGGTAGCGTGTAGGGAGCGTAATGGATACTGTAGCGTCTGAAGTTTCCTAAAGAATGTGGTAGAGAGCAAAGATACTCTCTGGTCGGAGGGAAAACTCGACGATGGGCACACAAGGAGAACAAGAGAGCGTTCGCACGGGAGAGAATGGATGAAGCGAAGGAAGGGGTGGAAGAAGAAATCCAAACAAGGCCGTCCCTAGTATTTGACGGGGGGCGCAGTTTAGTGAGCGGGCTGCAGAGATGAGCCAGGGGGGGAACTGCTAACTTCCTCCAGGGGAAACCGCGATTGTGGGTATCCTACGCAACATCGTTGTTAGCGTGTGCTAGTGGTCTGGGTAGTAAATTACACCTTCTAATGCGTGCGAGTGTACGAACCCCGTAACAAGTTGACAACAATGCTTTGTGGGAGGCTGGCAGCTGCCAATCGCTACTCCGATGGCACATCAAAGTGGGTCTCTTTTGCCCGATTGAGTAGGTATTCTCGGAGAAACAAGGTTAGACAGGTTTACAGATTACAGACCGATACAGCACATAAACCACTCTTGGGAAAGACCGGAACCAACCAAGGCGCAGAGTCGGTTGTTTTGCCATTTCCTGTTCCTGAGTAGTGGCCCACTTGGTGCGTAACTCTGAGCTCGCCCCTGTCCCTCTCTGCCAATCAGTACCCTTACAGGTAGCACAGCTGCATGGAACCAGGAGCAGAGCGCCCAATGATAGCCCTTGAAAGCATGGGTCATCCAGAAGAGGGAAAGACTCTCGGTCCTTAATAATCAGGCTTACATCTGTGTCTGACTTTTGCATCATCCCAAGACAAGACTCTGAATCATGTCTTAACTATGCCTGGTTCTGTCTTGTCATATCTGACATTCAGTCGATTTTCTGGAGAATTGATAAGGAGTATGGAGTCCAATCCCTCGCGTTTCTTATCTATATGCACATCACTTCCTGTGTCTGACAAGGTTGATCTTCGTCTGACCCATCCTCCAGAGCGTCGGAAGATTATGATTTGCGGCGGAGGGGATTTAGCCTGACTAGCTTAGTGACCCTCGCTAGCCTCTTAACACTATCCTAAGTATACGTACCACGGACTACGTGGATGGCGGGTTGAAATTAAGCACGTACGTCTAACTACCCCCTAGGAGGACTCCGTGTCGGCGTATACAGACGGCGAACTGGTATGTGACCGTACTATATAGTATGTATGGAAAAACCAGGCGGCAACTGAGAGGGATTCTTTTGCCTTGGATACCACAATGCGGCCAATCTCAGTTTATGTAACCAGGTGGTATCACTTTTTCTTCCTTCTCTTCAATTTGTGACATTCCCACGGTTCGTCTTTTGCGCTTGTCTTTACCTCGGAAATTGTACTACTAGCCTCCCACACAGTTTATTGGTTACGGCATGGATCTACAATAATGAGCCGAACGATGCGACGAGGTCATTGGCCTGGCAAAAAAAGAGGTAAGATGACGGCTCGCCCGAAACTTCGTGGCTCAACGTGATGCGCTTCGACCGTTAACTGCGCAGTCATCGTCTTTCTATGACCTTCCCTACTTTTGGAGATTTCGAAAGTGTCCTTTCTCCCAATTAATTTGTCTGCAATCCGTATAAACTGGACTGAAATTCGTAGTATGTGCTACGTTACATGTTGCGTGGCCTACCTATAGCATCGCCTCCTTCTGTATGATTCAAATAATGAATGATCTCGTTTCAATGGGACTTCTTGAACGATTGTAGGACAGTCCAAGTCTCGCAATACTATCCGACAACCGTAACCATAAGGAGACTTCTTCTACGTCCTCGTAATCGACTGATACATATCGATTCTGACTGAGCAAGTGAGATACGTACGACAATGAGCGAGTACAACATTTCTCATTACGATAACTAATTGCGAAACCACCCAGCCACAGCGTCCTGAGTTCGGTTCGAAATGGTGAGGATTGAAATCTGGAAGATGCGTGGCGAAAGCTGGTATTTTAAAGGTCCTTTTTGTATTTCAATTCATTTCTTGAGGCCCTATGGTTGATGTCCCGGGCTTTAAGGGAACTCGCAAAGCAGAGGAATAGACATTCAAGGGATTCTGGTGGAGTGATAAATAGAAGCGTGCCGAATGCAGTCACAATATTTATATAAAGCTATTCCTAAAAGGGTTAGTACGTTGATAAGGTAGGTCTGGCGTGGGGAGACTAGGCGGTGAGTATCTGCCACCAATAACAATCTAGATCACTAAATCTTGTTCGAATGCCAAGACCTAATCTGTGATTTTTTTTTATGGAAGGTTTGATCTGATCCTCCATCTCTTAACGAAAATTGATAACCACAAGGTAGTCAAAATGGTTGCAGCAACGAAGGCATTGACCACGAAAGTGGCATCTGGAACTCCTTACCAATTAGATGACAGTCAGGTAATTACTTCTTTTCGTCGCATATTGTGTGAACGATAATCTTGGCTAATTGCTTTCCATCGACAGGTCCTTCGAGCCTCAAATGCGCTTCTGCGTCACATCAAGTCCGAACAGAAAGACCAAGAAGAGACATCAGTGAAGAAAACGCTGATCGGAGATGACGATGATGAGTCCGATGCTGAAGGATCCCCGGCCACCAGCGAATTGGTATGGCTGGKCATGACAACTAAGAAGCACGTGGTCGATAAGAACCGTTTGAAACCCAGCAAAATCAGCCTCCCTCACTCCCTGAACAAATCATCTTCCTTGAACATATGTCTTATTACCGCCGATCCGCAACGCTCGGTCAAAGATATCGTGGCCGACCCTGCCTTCCCAGCTGAGCTCTCATCCCGCATCACCAAAGTTATCGGTCTTACGAAATTGAGGGATCGCTATAAGAGCTTCGAGAGCCGACGACAGTTGCTTTCTGAGCACGATGTCTTCCTGGCTGATGACCGCATCATCATGCGATTGGTCGAGACACTAGGAAAGATTTTTTACCAGTCGAGCAAGCGACCAATCCCTATCCGCATCGAGCAGATCGACAAGGTCGACGGCAAGCGCGTCAAGAAAGATCTCAAGAGTAAGCAATCCAAAGAAGAGCGAAAAGCTAGCTTCGCTTCGCCTCAAGTCGTCGCGAAAGAAATCGAGAAGGCCTTGAGCTGTGCGCCGGTCTACCTCGCTCCTTCTACAACGACGTCGGTACGCATTGGATCTACCAAATTTACGCCAGAGCAACTAGCAGAGAACCTGAAGGCAGTTGTCAATGGCTTGACAGAGAAATTTATTACAAAAGGCTGGAGGAATGTCAAAGCTATCCACATCAAGGGAACCAGCACAATGGCTCTCCCTATCTGGCTTGCTGATGAGCTGTGGTTGGATGAGACAGACGTCCTAGAGAAGGAGGAAGAAGAGAAGAAGGCAATTGACAACGACAAAAGCGGCAACAAGCGAAGAAACCCCGAAGAAAACGAAGCMGCCCAAGGACAAAGCAAGAAGACAAAGAAGATCAAGGCGGCCGCGGATGAGGACGAGGTCTCCCTCAAAGAGAAACTCCAAAAGCGAAAGTCACAGGCTCTTGAAGAGGGAAAGGTTCCGGTTAAAGCTACCAAGAAGAAATAGTCGAATGGCTCTATGGAATGGTTTGGTGTTTGCATGGGTTCTACGGCGTCTAAAAATTCTCCATGATTTCCGATTTGTTGGTTCAATTGTCGGGCTGTTCGAAATTGATAGAACTTTTAGTTAATTGTATATGATGTATCCTTGTCGTCAAATATTATTGAATAAGAGTAATTTGTTCCCATACAATAGATCTACACGCCTCTCTCTAAGTAAAATCCCCTTATAGCCGAGGCGCGGGAATCATCGGTCTCCATCGGTCTTGGCTTGGATAACCGGCCGCATGCCACCGAGATCTCTTACCCGCTTTTTCTCATATCGTGACCGAACACCATCAAGCTCATATTCAATTGCGTTGCAGGACAACTCAAAAACTACTGTTGATGCATTGGGCCTTTCAACGTTTGGAAGATTGCGCGCTCCGAAATTCACAATGATCTCCGTCGCAAGGCCTTCGGTGTTGCGCGCTGTGCGCTCGCAGATTCCTTCCTCACGACAGATGTTCGACGTCCGGTTATCGGCGCTCACACGACTATTATCGACACTTGCGATTCTCGAGCAAAGAGGCGGCAAGCTCTCGTCAGCTTCTCTATCCGCCATTGCAGCTGCTCAGAAATTGGGAGGCTCAGTTACGGGGTTCGTTGCTGGTGAGGGTGTCAAGTCATCCGCTGCCGCTGAGGCGGCGAAGATAAAGGGACTCGAGAAGGTTGTCGCAGTCGACAATGCTGCGTATGAGAAGGTTCGTCGAGCTCATACAAAATATCAAGAAATTCAGGAATTATAGTTGCTCATTGGACTATCCTCACAGGGCTTACCCGAAAACTACGCCCCGTTACTCGTGGACAATATCAAGAGCGGCGGATATACACATGTGATCGCAGGACATTCCGCATTTGGCAAGGGTCTCCTACCCCGTGTAGCAGCCCTCCTCGATGTACAACAAATTTCTGATATCACTGCCATTGAGAGCGAAGATAGTATGTTGAATTTACAACTATGCAAATCCAAGCCGGTTCGAAACTGACCCTTAATAGCTTTCGTTCGACCCATCTACGCCGGCAACGCCATCCTCACAGTCCAATCCGAAGATCCGATCAAAGTTATCACCGTCCGAGGTACCGCTTTCCAAGGTGTTGAGACAGAGGGAGGTTCCGCAGAGATTGTTGATGGTGCCGACCCCAAGGCTGAGAGCACAACCGAATGGGTTTCTGAGGATCTCGCCAAGTCTGACCGTCCCGATCTGGCAACCGCTTCTCGTGTCGTCTCTGGTGGTCGTGGGTTGAAGTCCAAGGAGGAATTCGATCGTGTGATGCTACCATTGGCCGATGCCCTCGGCGCAGCAATCGGTGCTTCTCGCGCTGCCGTGGACAGTGGATACGCCGACAACAGTCTCCAAGTCGGACAGACTGGAAAGAACGTTGCGCCTCAATTATATCTCGCCGCTGGTATCTCCGGAGCGATTCAGCATTTGGCTGGTATGAAGGATAGTAAAGTCATTGCCGCTATCAACAAGGACCCCGAGGCTCCCATCTTCCAGGTGGCTGATGTTGGACTAGTTGGTGATTTGTTTGAGAAAGTGCCGGAATTAACCGAAAAGCTTAAGAAATAGATACCTGTGGATAATGAATGTATGTTACTGTTATATTGATCATTGAGTCTAGATCAAAACCTGGCTTACAGCCCGAGTCACATACCTCGGCTACTAGCGCGTATAGCATACAGTCAAGCCGCTTTTAGGAGAAGTGTAAATGTTTTGGTTACTAACAAGTGATGATTATGTCATTGAGATTCATCAGCTTGAGGGTTCCTTGAGGGATGCCTACCAGATTCAGCGATTTTGAACATGACTTGTCGAAGAAAAAAGTATCATTCCGTTACTGATACTATCCGTATTCGCATAATGTCGTCTGAACTTCAAAGTTACCATCAAGAAGGAACTCAACATGAGAAGACTCTGGCAAATAGAAGGTCTACTCAAGTGGCCTGAAACACGGGAAAAGCATCATGTTGTTGGAACCAGCAAGTCAAAGTCATATTATCATCTTCATTGGATAGGTGAATGACCTATTTGCGGTATCATAGCACAGATGGTAGTGGTCCGCATGTAGATTCCAGCAAGGAGTCTGATATCGGGATGCGAATAGGCAACCAGGATCTTCCTGTTATCTAGGATTGAGTGTTGACAAAGTGGAGGTCTAGATGCTCTTCTTTCACCGTGTATGGTATTTTGAGGACTATAATTTAGATAATGCTTGAAGTAAACGCATATGACCGCCTGTTATGTACAAAGCACCTCCTTAGCAACGCTGGAAGTCAGCGAAAAAATGAAATGTATAACAGCACCTCGACATCAGACCTTCTGATCCACAACCTTCAAACTCCATTGTCCAGTTATGGTATCCTTGATCAATTTTGCACGAGAGTTTTGTTCAATATCCTCCCTTCGCTCTGCACCCATTTCACCCTCTTCTGTAGCAGACAATAGACCTTCAAGATACTCCCTGTCGCTTCCGGGAATAGCCAAAAGTGTTGCCAATGCTGACTCCTTTAGAATCCTGGTCTTTCTGATTCTCGAGTCGGCCACAATCCAGACGAGGAAGACTGCAGATAGTAGTACCTGCACTCCGAGAAAGATCAAAAAGTCCCATTTCACAACGACGAAGATTTCGAGGGTGTTTGCCTGGCCCTCTGCAGCAGTTCCTTTGCTTCGGAGCCTATAAGAGAGACAAGCGTCAGCCTTCATAAACTCTCCGAAGGAATAAAGCTAGGCAATGGGGCAAGGAACTTACCAATTCGTCAATCCTTTCGCCATATTATCAACCATACTGGCCAAAGCTTGGCGCATCAAACCATCCGTAGTAGCGCTCGAAGTACTGACATCCACAGTATGATAAAGAGTATTACCGACAGCATAACTGAACGGTGTCATGACATCAAGCCCATCACCGGTTACATCGTAATTATAGAATCCGCTGGTGAAACTAGAAAGCATCTGGCCTAGATTCCAGTCTACCGTATAATAGCTGTAATTCTGACCATCAAGAATAAATGTATGAAACGTGTCTATGTTGTAGTGGCTTCCGTCCGTGACTGTGACCGCTTGGGTATCGTTGATAGAGTGTAAAGTTGCGTTGACTGTTGTCGTCGCAGAGCCATTAGTGGTTGAAACGTCGTAAGTTTGCGCACAGAGATAGAATAAAGTCTCTGCGGCCCGTGAGTGATTCAGGAGAACAGTTGAATTCGGCAGGCCAATTGAAATATTGTAGTAGCTCTCGTCAGTGGAGTCAAGGTAGACAACTTGCACAGCATTCAGGGCATTTGGTCCGAACGTTTCGTTGGTGAAGGAATAAACATTTGACCATGCACTACCATTCCCTTCCGCCGAAAGCCAGATATTTGACGTGTTTGCCATGTTACCACTTGCGAAGTAATCCAAATAGAATCCATTTGGTAGTCCCGAGTATGTGCAATTCTGGCACGTCGCTGGACCCCAATTCCAGGGCTCCAGTTTGTTGGCTGTCGAGTTTTGCCAGCAGCATTGTGCCTCGCCAGTCAACGTACGGAGTTGGTCGGTGATATCATTTGTTTGAGAGCATACGGCGAGAGAGCCGAAGGTAGGCCAGTCACAGTTTCCGCTCGAACACAAGGGTGTGTCAAATTCGTAAGTCGAATTGGCAGAAGTATACATTGCGTTCATCATAATGGCCATTGCCTCGTTGATGGTTCCCATTTGGAGACCTACATGAGATCGTAGCATGTTAGATAGTAACTGGCGAGAAAGGTCGGAAAAGACGAACCGTAATCAGTGGTCAAGCGCTCAGTTGTCGCATTTCCAGTTCCTGGTGTGTATCTGGTATCTTGAGAGAGTGCTGCTTGTGTGATTGTAGACGTTACAGCAGATGTCACCAGAATGACAGCTGCTAACAAGACAGATAATCTATTTGTACAGGCACTTTGATTAGTGTCCATTTCGCCTCTAGAGATTTCACAGTCGAACTGAACCTACCTTCCTTTTGTGCTGAAAACAAGCAATATACTCCCCCATGCACCTCGACTGGCATTATCGAAGGACTCAAAATCCGCAAGAGGCCTACTTTTACTAGCAAACCAATTCCATTTCATCTGAGAAAGACCTTGCACCACTGGCTGCACAAAGCATGTCTGACTGACGGCAGTCAAAAATGCCAAAAGAGTATTGAGAGTAATCCCCATTGGCCACGACGGCATAGCTTTCTGATCATACCGGTTGAGCACAAGAACGATGCTCACATAAGCCGCAACGCTAATTACGCAGGAGATGTATTCGATGCACCAGCCTCGACTTAACACAACGAGAAAGAAATAAGTAAACTTTTGCCATAATGACTTCCTCTTAGGTGTCGAGTCGCCCGCAACAGCACCTATCGCTTCCTGAGTATAGACTTGTGAAGATGTTTTGTTTGAGGCCTGAGATTGGGACCTTTGCCCAGTCGACGACGTGTCGGATGGAGGAAGACTCGTGGTCCTCTCTGGATAATATGGAGGAAATAGTCCGCTGGATGACTGCGGACTCACTGGGGAATCTACCGCAGCCTGCTGCGACTCATGAGGCAGGGAAGGGCTCATGATTAAAAACTAAGGAAACACAACGACTAAACAAACGAGTAAAGAAAATAAACTTTGATAGGATCTGTAGCAACGGGCAAGTATCTAATAGAACAAAGTTTTCTACACAGTCAGTGCTGCCCAATCTTATTATACCTGCGCTCAACTTAAAATCCAACATCCAGTCAGGCTTCCCTAGCCGCTGGACATCGATGCCCTACATATCATGAAACAGACCTGCGCGCTTCCGGTTACCCGTCCAAAACCTTGCAGCATCTTGACCCGCTACTAATACTTAAGCGTAGACCTCTTCGACTAATGAGAGGCCATATAACCAGCGTAGTAGCAATACTTTGCCGCTGCTGTGCCGCATGGCTTCTAGATTGTATGACATTTCAACATAGCTGCGCCGCATGGTGGGTCAACCACCTGAAACTGGCCAGTCCTGTTGCTTTCTAAAATCAATCTGCTATAATTTGGGAACATACCTACAAATGAGCCTAAACTAGTCAAGTGGGGAGTCCACGATCTGCCTCGCTCTTTCAGTAATATTGTTGGTGATCTAGCCAATGAGAGTGGCTTAGTATGCGCCGAACATGCACCAGCCGGAGAAGACGGTGTCTTCGTGTATGTGGGAGCAGGGATCGTATGCACACATTTGCTATTTTTGAGCATGCCGTCTTGAGATGGTTAGTTAAGGGCGACGGAGAAATTGAGAAGTTGTACTCGTATCACCAGCCTCCATGAGGCCTGCGATGATCTCAATGCAGCAATTAGGGCTCGGGTGCGCCTAAATTGGAGATTCCGGTTGCGACAATTTGACGACGGTCATGTGCTATTAATTTAGCCAATTTTCCTTACAGGCACTTGCAGGACAAAAAATTCGTACAGCCAATTTACACACAACCATAGTATTCTTGATAGGTATGGAGAGTCATAGCGATGGTACAAGGGATGTTGTCAGCGGGTATGTTATGTATTACCTTGGTATGACATGATGAGGAGCAAACGAAGGTCGTACAGAAGAAAGCAAACAAAGAGTTGTTGAAGAATACTATTATGGCAATTGAGTGGGTACATAAGAACAGAAATCTTCCTGAGGTTTCTATTTTCTCGACTCTGGTGTCCCCCGGTCGCCGACCGGACAAGAAAATTTAATGAGGCCAATTTCTGTACTTGTGGATTTCACTCCGCAATATCTACTTTTGAGAAACTAACAATAAATCAATACTGAGGCGGTGTCAAGCTCTGTAAGTCGAGGCTTGCAGTTCAATAACCCTGCTTGGGCATCGGATCGACGGGTACTTCACTTCTCAGCAATGCTTGCAGCTCATAAGTCAAAATGTGACACAGAGGTGATTCATCTCATATACATCTGCTTTTACGGATTACCTTGTCTCTCAGTACGTATGTACACTCGACGGCGTTAAGTGGTGTCGACTGCCTCAGAATCTTCACCGTATATGAATGATGGATAAGTACTTGAGTCAAGCCAGGTAATCCTATCATCGACCTTGGGGACCGAATCTTTGTTTACTTACAAATACCCCTCTCAAAATAATATGTTCCTATTACTATAGACTGCTTAATTAGTTTCAGGTAAGAAAGCAAAATAAAGACAAAGCTAACGATACGCACGGCCAAGAGATCTCGTGTTACACGAAGCTACATAGTACAAATTAGGGTCTACGTACGTGGTAAGATTCCAAGGATCTCCACAGATGGCGTAGATCTAGCCTAGTCTTTGAAGAAAGAACATATTTTCTTTTTCCAAAGAACAATACTTTAATCAAAAGAGATCGGTACCGTAAAGACTGACCACTAGGATAATTAGGAATGACTCTATTTATTAATGATCGCGAACAAAGGAGTCGTTCACGAGACGCTTGAAATCGACAGCGGATGTACTTAGCGATCAAATAGGATAGTTCTATACTACAAAGAGCGGTTGACCTTGACTCTTTAAGTAGGGGATACCGGCACCCTGGCCTTGGGAGTGTGATTTGTCTCTGAATGAAGATCTTTTGCCATGAGAAGTGAGATAATGGAGTATTATTTTCGACACAACCCTAACAATGAATTGATAGGCTTGTTTACTCCACTCCTGCAAAGAATAGCTCGTCAATTCGCATCGCAATAAGAAATCAACCTGTAAGAGGAATAAAAAGCAAAAACAGACAATTGACTACCACATCAGGGCTTACTATGAACTCGATCGCTGTGTCAAAGCGCTACTATTATGCCGTTCTTCGGAAATAACGAGCCAGAATTAGATTGCCTGCATCAATAGCAGGTAATAATTAGAGCTTTAAGGCGACAATAGAATGACAAAAGAAAAAAAAAAAGCTTGGTTCGTCTAATAGACAAGATCAGTGGCTTTGACTAAGACATGACCTAATTTTTAGACACATACTACGAATTTTGGAACAGGCAGTTCATTGTTACACCGGGAATGGACTGCTTGTTCAGGGACATTGACTCACCTCCCCAGATGGTGCTTTGGTTCCTATTTAAATACCTACACAGCCCTCCCGGGGCATACTAACTACTCGTGACTGATCCGACGCTTTGAGATTGTCACCATGGCGTTATCGATATCTTCCTTTCCAGGGCTTTTCAGCGCAGCAACGGGTGTAGCTCTACACCATCTACTTTTCAGACATGGAGAGTGGGACAACAATGCGCCAACTATTATTGGTTCCTACGCGGCTGTTTTTGCTGCTCTGAATGTGTTTAAATCGGCAGGACCCGTCGTTGGGCTTCAAAATACGAATGTATACTACCTTCTTGCATGCCACTTTCTCGGCCTTTTCAGCAGCATCATTATTTACCGTATATCCTTCCATCGCCTACGAAAATTCTCTGGTCCTGCCCTCGCTGGTGTCACGTCGTGGTATGTCAATATTTTGTCGGCTAAGAAACTCAACAACTTCGAAATAGTCGATAAACTACATCGAAAATATGGTGACTATGTGCGTGTTGGGCCTCGTGAATTGTCAATCAAGGACCCACGAGCCTTGCCCTTTATATACGGACCTGCATCTCAGACAACGAAGGGACCTTTTTACGATGGCGCTCAGCCTTATATCTCGGTTCACTCAACAAGAGACAAGAAAGATCATGCTCGACGTCGCAAGGCGTGGGATCGAGCTTTTAGCTCCAAATGTAAGTACACTTGGTCCTTTAACTTTGAGGAATTGTAATACTGACACAGTAGACAGCGCTTCGTGATTACGAGCAACGTGTATCGAAGTATGCTGCCCAGTTGTTATCGGTAGTTGCGGACAATGCTGGCCAGCCCATTGAAATGTCTCGGTGGTTCAACTATTATAGCTTCGATGTGATCGGCGATCTGACGTTTGGCAAATCCTTTGATATGCTCATAACCGGCAAGGATGCTTATATGCTCAAGACTTTGCACGAGCAAATGCAGTCGTTGGGCCCGTTTCTACATTCCACGTGGATTTTGGCTCTGTTCAAATTGATTCCTGGATTGAACAGTAGTTATCTAGAATATTTTGTCTGGGTTAAAACTCAAGTTGAGAATCGAATCAAGGTATTTTGCGGATCCGACTCCTACCGGACACACTCAAACTTACCACTTTTTAGAATGTGCCAGAGAACCCAGATATCTTCATACAACTCGAGACAGACTTTCGGAAAGGAAAGCAGACAAATATAGATCGACTGCACTTGGATGGAGAAGTCAATACAGGTATTGTTGCGGGGAGGTTTGTTTTACCTGAAAATGAATATCCTAATCGGATTAGAGACTGACTCTAACAGTGACTCAACGGCATCAACCGTAACAAATCTATTTTACGAACTCGCCAACGCACCTGAATACACCCGTCTGCTTCAATCAGAAATTGACTCGATCACGGAACCCACATACCAAGAGCTATCGCAGATGAAATTACTCAACGCCGCTATTGATGAAACAATGCGCTTGCATCCGGCTATACCATCAGGCATGCAGCGTGTGACTCCCCAGAAAGGAGTCATGATCGATGACATTTACATTCCGGGCGACTGTTTAGTTCAGATACCTCTTTACTCAGTATTCAGAGGTAAGTATCTAATTCAATCGTCCCTGGCAGTGACATCAAAAAGCTAATAGAATCTAGATGAGCGTTCATTTGTCAAACCTAATGAGTTCATTCCGCAGCGCTGGATTGACAGGCCCGACCTTCTCAAGAACCCGTCTGCTTTTACGCCTTTTGGCCTTGGTAAGTGGCTTGTTGGAGTTCTGCCTATGATGAGTACTTGCTTACTTGAAGATTAATTAAGGATCTTTTGCATGTGCTGGCAAACAGCTCGCATTAATGGAGATCAGGCGAATCACAAGGGATATTCTCTGCCGATATGATGTTACTTTTGCAAAGGACCAGACCCGGGAGGCGTTCTATGACGGTCAACAAGATGCGTTCACTCTAGTTTGTGGAAAACTGCGACTTGTGTTTACAGAGCGAAAGTCGATGGGGGTTTGATTAAAGGCTCAGCTTTCTATTTCTATTCTACTACCTGAATACTCTTCATGTGAATACACGATTTGAGTTCTAATTTGTTTCGTCAAGAAAGTCTCTGTTATACAAATTGCATCTTTACATCTTAGTCTCCAGGGTCGTATCCGTCACGGGATTGATATTCCGCCGGCGAGGGATGTCTATCTCCTATACCACATCCTGGTAACCTTCGTCGCCTTCATCTTCTTCTGCAATTGAAAGATCCCATACATCAACGCTTCCGGCGTAGGCGGACAGCCCGGGACATAAATATCGACAGGAATAATCCGGTCAACGCCCCTAACAACACTATAGCTGTAATGATAGTAGCCACCACCGTTCGCGCAGCTACCCATACTAATAACCCATTTAGGATCGGGCATCTGATCATAGCACTGACGAAGAGCTGGGGCCATTTTGTTCGTCACCGTGCCGGCTACAATCATGACATCGGCCTGACGGGGAGAGGCGCGGAAGATTATACCGAGACGGTCCTGATCGTATCGTGGCATGGACAGATGCATCATCTCAATGGCACAGCAGGCGAGGCCGAAGCTGAGTGGCCATAGTGAACCTTGTCGGGCCCAGTTGACGACTTGGTCGAGGGATGTACTGGTGATGAGAAGGTATGAATTAGCTGTCCGTTCAGAGATCTTGATAGATTTTTCTTTTACTTACAGCACATATTCTGCGGCACTTGAGTCTTTCTTTCCGGAGCTGGGGATGGTTGCTGGAGGTCTGGGGCGTCGTGTTGTTACGGAGTGTTCGGCTTCATTAGATACCCGTGTAGCAAACATTCGTCTGGTTACATGTATAAGAGGCCTCGCTGTCGATATTCGAGAAACAGACTGCTGTCTAATAGTGGGAGAGCACAAGGTCAATAATCCTGTAAACCAATTTCTTGTAGCCATCTCCTGAGTCTGCGGGGAGTAAGGAAAGCAATATTGTTGTATCACGTAGGCATCTGGATGTGTCGATCGAGAAAATTCAAAATAAACTTACAACGTAATATTTTTGCCATAGGTACATGAGAAGAATATCGCCCTTTACTCAACATACTCTGTGTACTAGCTAATACCTGCTGAGTGAGTACTTCCTACAACATACTCCATGTGGACTGTCCGGACACCCGGACATTGCCAAGAGTCCGGTTTCCACCTCAAGATATAACAGCTTTCCCATTGGCGGATAGTATAATTTTCGGACTTTGCCAAGCCAGACTCCATTTGCCCTAACCTAAAGCCAAAGAAACGGGGGGATCATCTTCGATCAGTAAGTCCATTACTTCTGCTGACATGATTATGCGTTCGAATGTATTGATTGGAGATAGTGTAGTGGAAGTTGATTTCCAATAGACAGCTTCGACGCACTGCGAGATATCAAAGAGTAGAATCCGACTCAGCTGTAGGCTCAAGGCTCAAATGTCCACCACTGACGGTGAGGGTCCGGCTCAGTCAATATACTCTTCTCTAACGATAGAACCGTTTGAAAGGGCTCGTCAGATAATTCTGCAATACCAATTCCATATCTATCCAGGAACTCCAATTCATCTTCATGCAGTGGCCCAGTACTTGGAGATTCAGATAGGGAAGAATCTGAGGCAATCAATTGCCTTGATTGTGGGTCTTTTATGGCAGTTGATGATGAGCTTTGCCAGTTCAGTTGTGCCTCGGTTTGTGGTCGGAAATCAGGCCATTTCTCCCGAAGTTTAATCAAAGCATAATGATTCAGTGTACGAAGGTACATCTCTAAAGGTTTTAACTCGTGACGTCCTTCGGCACACCTACTAACGACTGTCTGCACCCATAATGTGAGAGCTAGATCCTCCGCGGCATCGCTTTTGGAAGTGATTGTGAGAATGGTGCCAAAGAGAATACCAAGGCACGGGGTGAAGAAACTCTGAAAATAACTAGGCAGTCAAAGGAAGTTCAATTCAAATCAGCGTAGTTAATTAGTAGAAAAGATATGTTCGTCTTACCCGAGATTCCAATAGAGTGCGTCTTGATCAGAGTTGAATAGTTCTCGCATGGTCCAGATCGATCTAACAGCTGCGTGATGCTCGAGATATTGATTGTTCTTTGACGGCCGCACGGTGCTGGCTGGCTGAATTCGGAGAAACGAGGCTACCATCGAAGTCGTTCGCCAAATCAAATGAGCATAGAGCCATGCATTGACTTTGGAAGATACCTCTTTCATCAGTGCCACCTGTAGTTCTTAATGAGCAACGTAGCTAGATATAAACTCCGCCAAAAAATGTGGTACTCACAATATTTGCCTCGATGAGCACGGTATAAATATCGAACAACAGATCTCTTATTTTCAGTTGGTCAGGCTCGCTGACGAGGCGGGCAGCAGATGCGCTCAAATTAATATCCTTTTCCAACTCGGAGTATTTGAGTTCTATAACCGATAGGCGTAATGAGGCTTCGAAATAAACCTTGGTATCCTTGTTGATATCACTTAGGGACTGCCTGGTTGAGAAATCAGGTAGGTCGACCTTCCATGTCCCTGATTCAATGTTGCTTGATCGGTAAAGGTGATGCCGAAATGAGAAGTCGTTCGTGATGAGAATGTGCCAGAAATAGATTCTGTGTACATCTCGGTAGACCGTACTCATAGTATCTCGCGGCCAGCGGGGATTCCTTGGTGGCTGTACGGAATTTGTGCTTGTAGAAGAGGATGACGTCTCTGCATCTAATTGCAAGAGACCAAGGGCCCGCGCAATTCGGCATGCATGGCTGTGTAGTCGGTGCGAAAGATCGAAGTCAAGTTGTGAGTAAGCCTGGTGAGTCTGCTCCTTCATTGTTTAGTATGTGTTTTGAAAAGAATTCAATAGCAACCGGGCACGACGGTATGAATTTAAAATCGGGAACTGACCATCCAAAATGCGACGTGCAAACTAAGCTCATTTACATTGTCTTGAATTAGCCACTGCTCCATGTGTTGTAGAGTCTTGCGATAAAAGAACAATGAATACTTGTTCTTTTCTGCAGTATCGAGACCGGGGCTGAGAAGCATTCCATGATGCAGAGCACCGTAGTAAAGAATAATTACACGAACATCCACTTGTACATAAGGGTTGTCGATGATAGATGGTATGGTGAGCATAAAGTCCCTAATTATGGGTAGCAGTAAGCCTAGAGTGCTTTGGGCATCATAAAGTGCTGATACGGCGATTAGTTTGTGTCCAATTGACCCGGAGTCAGTCACATACCATGTATCCATGATACGGCCGTCTCTAGAGAAAGGATAATTTCCTCGTCCGAAGATTTTATTGCAGGATCTGTACAAAACTTGTAACCTTTCAAATCCATCTGTCTGGTATGAGACTTCTGTGACCCTATACAGCAACTTGTTTGTAAGTGACAATAACGACTCAAGGGAAGAGACATACCCGTATTAGGTGCAGATGGGACATTATTTTGTGACATGCTAGGTGAAGGGTTCGATAGATTGGTTGACAATGGCGAGATGGGAGACGTAGTATCTCTGACAGCCCTCTCCAAGGCATCTAATCGATTTAGAATACCAGGGATGTATGAGCTTGCGCTTGATGCAGATATATCCATACTGGAGCCAGAAACGGCGGCATGCTTGCTATATAACCGTCCCATGTTAGTAAGAATTAGGCAGAGATTGTATTGAAGACAGACCGTTTGCCATAGCGAGGTGCGTCATATACACAGTCCTCAGAAATCTGGCGACAATGCTTACAAGTAGGTTTTTCCCTATCACATCGAATCTGCAATGAGATCAATATGATTGATTAGACAATTGAGACGCTTTGAGTCAAATTTAATTACCTTTTTGTGCCTGCACCTTTTGCACTATGAATTGACTCAGCGATTGATGTATTCAAAGTAGTCAAAGCACTTACGGCAATCACATTCAACTCAGGAAGCGGCGGGGKCATATTATTATCAAATCTCGTTGTAGAAGCATTATGGGATTGTGATTGAAGGAGAGAAAGAGAAGGAGTCGGATTGGAAGGAGAGCATCTGTAGGATCAAGACACTATTCCTTTTCGGGCAAAATAGGGTTAGGGCTAGAACGCTCACCGTTTGATTGGTGCTTACTTTTCCATTTTTCATTATTGCAAGAGCAATCAAAGTATTAATGATGAGTTTGGTATGAATGAATTCTATGTAAACTATCTGAATGATAGCCATGGTATAGTATAAGCCGACTTTTCATATCCGGGCCTCTCCAGAGGCGATCGTTCCTTGCTCTTTCATCAACATCGCGGCTTGACTCTCCGGTCCAGCTCCATGGATGACAAGGGATAAACCCTTCCAGAAGGCAGCATCTAATCTGATTGTAGCAAGCCGAGCAAGTGGCCATACTTGTGATTGAGCCCGTAGTGTTTCTCTCCACCGGTTAAGAAGGGTCCGATTCTGTATGGCAATTTCTTTCGTAGGAGATTGAGTCAAATTCAATAATATAAAGCTTGAAACATAGCATAACTGATATCGTACGTCTGTGTAGTCATTCACGTAAGATATCTTGTTAGAAAATCATAGTCACGGAATTGAATGTGAAGAATGAAAGGAAATCGAGATCGGGAAGAGAAACGTACATGGATGCCAAAATATGGCGAAATGCTTCGCTTTGAGCGCAGACACAATCTCTGTCCCCACTTTTGCGCATGTCAAACAGTTGTCGAATATCTTTGTTATAGGCTCTTGGCTGACTTCMCCAGCCGATACAGCTTGATGAAAAAGTGGACGAAGGAGAGCTCGGAATATGAGAATCTCTAATGTTAGGTGGGACAATCGCAAGGATGCGCCATCCTCGAATTCCCTCTCATTTAGATCCGAGGCCAGTTTCCAGAGTAAGGGAAGTGATTGCCGCCAATCCTCGATTCTTGCTCGTAACGGTTGCGCCCGGTTCAACAACTCGCTGAGAGAAGATGACGTCCGTACTGCTTTCAAAGTACTTGAGGGTTATTGTCAACCCGAGACTACAATCTGTGGAAAGATTCTGAGGAGAATTGGACTTACTAGAATTCCTTCATTACGTCGGCAGCGATGACGCTAAGTTCATACTCTGCCAAGCAAAGAGGAATGTGTCTCATAACGGACGCTTTGAGATCCGGGCTTTGGATTTCATCTCCCTCGAGGTCGTTCACGGTTAGTGGTGAAACGTCCCAGCTATCATCATTGAGATGTAATGGCCGAGCTATCACTAGAGCTTGCCAGACGTGCTGCATATATGTATACCACCATAACCTTCGTCGCAACATTATCTCCTTCTGCGGAAGACGCCAATCCGATGGATCTAAATTTAGCCCAAGACTCTCTGCCATGGACAAAGCCGAACAGGACAATGCCCAAGTGCTTAGTGGCTCTGCCACAGCATAATTTGGCGGAGGCATTTGTAGAAGGAGCAGACAGAGTTGTAACGAGGAGAGATGCGATAAACAGCTGGCTCGTTGGTAGCTGCGGTGTGCAATAGCCCAGAGGTCTCTGGTGGATATCTGAACATATCCTTTCAAAACACTCAATTCATCATCCCAGCAGGTAAAAGGAGCTGCTAATGCATATAAAGCGCTTTGGATGCCGATAGGATACAATACATTGCATTCAGAAAAAGGCATTCGTGAAAAGTCTGAAAGGCAGAGAATAGGAAAGCGAGGGTGGACGAATTTGATATATCTTTTTCAAAGACGTTAATATAAAAAAGAGTGGGCAGTCCCTCAAATGTCACTTACAGTTTCAGTAACCGTGGACCCAAATCGGCCGGCACAATCTTCTTGAGAAGTTCGAGGTCGCTCTCTTCCGTATTACCCCCTGATTGTATGGCTTCGACAAAATTTTGAGAATCCTTCCAGATGTCTTCATGTGTCATTACAAATTGAACCGGGGGTGAGTCTGCAGGTAGAAGCGAATTGCCATAGGCTGAGGTTTCGAGAAATGGTTGGACGCTCGCATCGTCCTTCACTTTGCGGAAGTCGAGTCGGAACATCGGATATGTATCAAGTTTGTTATAGTAGTAGTTCCGAAGCAAGTATGGATCGGATTCGCAGGACAGTCCAATTAGCTGATTTGAATATCCTTTTCTGGTGTCGAGAGAAAATTCAGAAGGCCAATCTTCTAATCCATCTTGCCGTATATCAGTGATCACTCTTGCACTACCTACCGAACTTGAAGCGTATGCTTCAGAGCCCATTTCGCTAGATTGATTTATACTGCCGTTGCCTGCATCCTGCACATTGTTTGGCGATTCTCTGGGAGTAGTAGTAGACGGTGACCGGCCAGGAATGGCATTTGACATATCAACATCTTGGTGCAATGCATAATCTATAGAATGTTCAATTACTGGACTCATTCCTGAGTTCGCCAGCCCTAATATAATGTCAGTCAGAGTATCCACGATGCAAGCACCGAATATTACGAACCAATAGAAGATAGATTCATGGCAGACCAGTCCATTTGCGGAAGCCAGAAAGATGAGCTTTCTATCGGAGTTGAGTTAGTATCATCATTCCCAGCCAAAGGAAGATCTTGAAGTCCTGGGTCATGTTGTGAATTGCTAACAGACATGACGTTCGGCTGAGGTGGGCTCGTCCTGTCGATATTTTCGCCGTTGGCCTGAGGGTTTTGCGCGCGCCTCAAAGGCTTTTGCACAAAAGTGCATTGACGGCCGAGCTTTTTGCATAGCTCACAAATCGATTCAGAGCCCGTTATCCTGCAATGCGTCTTCCTAGAGCGGCAGAGGTCGCATGGCCTCTGCTTCTTAGATCGATATTTGCGTCCATTCTGTTCTACAATAGTATTTGAGGGCATCTAAAGGAAGGCATCAGTAGACAGAAGCATTATCATGGTTGATCAAAGGAGAAATGACTCGAACTTGACTACCTCCATGTACGTACTTTATGGTTCGTCAGAGACGGTCTAGGCAATGCATGTACAGCAAATGCAGCGCCGAGGGCCCACTCGGACTATCACTCACTTTGACAGGGTCTGAGATTGATTCTGCAGGGTTAGATCGAGTTCCTTTCGTGATCTTAGATGGTCAGGATCGTGAAGTCTGTTGGTGGGGCTTATTGCTTTCAGAGATAAGCTTGTGGGCCATGCTAACGGCCATCTCGGTATAAACGCCGAGCGGCGAACTACGTAACCCTAGACAACCCTAAGAATTAAACCCTAAACACATCTCTAGTCTTTAATGCACTTGGGTGAGATTTTAAGCTGCATGTTTCTCTATCTGTAAGTACAGTGTCTGAGAATTACAGTACGCCTTGAGCCCTCCGACACCCCATTCCACTCCAATGCCGCTCTCTTTGTGCCCACCACAGGGCACTCTTGGATCTAGCACGTAGTGCATATTCACCCACACACAGCCAGCCTCAATTTGCTCAGCGATAGAGTTCGCGCGTTGAGCGTTGCTTGACCATACCGACGCACCTAAGCCATATTTAGTGTCGTTTGCTCTTTCAATAGCCTCCTCATCAGTGCTATATGTGAGTATGGGGACAATGGGACCTAAAAAAGTTAGCTCTTATTGTTCACCGGTCGTCGTTATTATATCGAATTTTTGGAGAGATATGATAGAACAACGGAGAGAAGTGTATGAAAAAAAAGACTCACCAAACGGCTCTTCGATAACAATTCGTGAATTTTTTGCCGGCCGGTCGATGATTGTAGGTGGAATGAAGTAACCTGGCCCGTCTGGAAGTTTACCTCCAACAGCGACGGTCAATTGGTCTTTTTCGATGTCACCGAAGAATGTCTTTACTCGCTCATATTGCATGGCGTTCTGGACTGGTCCAAGATAAATTCCTTCCTCAGTACCTGGTCCCTGCTTGAGCGCTTTTGTGCACCTCACAAGGGCATCGCGAAATTGCTCATGTATACTTTCATGTACAAAAATGCGCTTAACAGCTAGACACAACTATTTGCCCATTAGAAATTAAGTTCTTCCCTAACGCCTAATTGTCTGGCTGGGTTCGAATCCTAGAAAGAGAACGGAGAGACTTACTTGTCCCGCATTCAAGAAGCAAACCTCGGCAATCTGATGATGCAATTAGTGATTCAGATCTTGTTGGAACGTGAAACAAGGGTAGAAGACTGAAAAGATTGTCTCACCTTCGGAGCGACTTCATCAATATTTACATCCTCACAAATAATAGCCGCATCATTTCCGCCGCTGTGATGATGGGTGAGTACGAGACAATAATAGGAAGAAGGCCACATGGCTTACAGCTCCAAAGTTACACGTTTGAGTGTCTTGCTGGCGCTCATCATAACCTTCTTGCCCGTGACTGTACTGCCGGTGAAGCTGATTTTAGCAGGTCCAGGATGTTCTGTCAACCAAGGACCAAGATTATCGTCTCCAGATAGAGCCTGTATCACGCCAGGTGGAAAGAATCTCTGTGCTAATTCGACTACCTTGAGCCCACCGTATGGAGTAAATGGCGACGGCTTTATAATGATAGTGTTTCCGGTCAAAACACAAGGAACGAGTTTCGCGCAGCATAGCAATACAGGATAGTTCCAAGGCACAATACCGACAGCGAGCCCGAGCGGCGTATAACGGACTAACATCTTGCAATCCCCTTCAACAATCTCCTCTGTCGGCATTTCTAACGCTGCCGTTTCTCTAATAGTTGATAGAGCGAAGCCTAGTTCGACATGGGCGAGTCTCGTCTGGTTGTTCCCAAATCAGCAAGCCCTAACCCTAATCGAACCGAGGCGCCATGGACAAGAACTCACCGGTTTACCTTGCTCTTTTACCAGAAGGTTCGCAAATTTGTCTCTCTCTGCTTCTAATGCGTCTGCGAACGCCAACAGTGCCTTTCGTCTCTCCTCATACGTTGTCTTGGACCAGCTTCGAAACGCCCGTTGACCAGCCTCGACTGCTCTATCCACGTCCTCCAGGGTAGAGACTGGTACCTCCGGGTTGAGCTCTTCTGTAGCTGGATTGATGCCATGGCGGATCTTTTGAGTTGGCGATAATTTACCATCAATCACATTGTAAAAGGTGGAGAAGTCAAGGCTTCCGCCGCTTTGAGCGCTGGTCATGATGCTATCCACCTCGCTAAGTGTCATATCCAGGAATCTACGCGGCAGAACACGTATATACATACGTGGACATTCGAAGATATTTCCTGCTGAATTTGTAATAGAAATACGAGACCGGCGACAAGATGGCCGCCGATAAGAAATACCGTATGCCGCTACTATGAATAAGTTTATTGTAGCATATGAAGATACCTTATCAGAGTGTGTTTACGTCCGGCGATCTATGTGGGTAATAGTTTGCTGTAAAAATAAGAAGTAGTTTATCGGCCGTCTCCAAATATGTGTATATGAGTCCGGAAAGCTTCCTCGGGCGTGATGTGAGGGAGGCGTCGGGTCGCCCGAAAAGCAACAATTGGCCGATGTTGCAGGACGCTATCTGCCGAACTATAGTCTTCAACCTAGGTAATTAACCACCTAACTCATCAGCAAATGCGGACCTTATTTCATCAATTTCTGAGAAATAAAAAGTGGTGAAGTTTTACACTTGGTCCTGAGGTCACCACTTCCCAGTCTGTTATCCAAGATGACTGCTACTGAACCTATCAGCGAGACTTACGATGTGGTTATTGTCGGAGGTGGCCCGGTTGGTCTTTTGACTGCATACCAAATAGCTCGATTCGGCCTGTCGGTCTGTGTTTTGGAAAAGTACGACAAGCAGACTCAAGATGCTTTTGGACGAGCAATTGCATTGTTTCCTCGTACTTTGGAGCAGTTAGATCAATTGGACCTTATTGAGCCAATGCTGCAGAAAGGTTTCGCATGCAGAACAAGCGTGACATACAAGGATGGCGTTCAGCAGTAAGTGGGATTTAACGTCAGCACCTACCATTTTACAGACGGTATCTGACAGGAAATGCAAGGATTCCTGGGCGTGTTTGGACGTTCATGGAGAACATCAAAGACACCGCTTTTGACTTTGTACTCGTTTTGCGCCAAATGCATACCGAAGAAATATTACGAGACAAGCTGAGGTCGGTTGGTGCTGTTTATCGAGAATCTACAGAGTGTACTGGATTTGAGATTGAAGACGGATTCGCCTCGTCGGACGCTTATCCTGTAAAGTCGACCTTCACTAGTACAAAAACACAAGAGAAGATAGTGCTACGCAGGTAAGAAAACTCGCAATTTAGTTTGTTGAGACGTACTGAGACGAGTCGAAGCAAATATATCGTCGGCGCGGATGGTGGCCGAAGTTTTGTGCGCAGGCACGCAGGTATCCCTTTTGAGGGAGATACTTCGGAAGACAAATGGATCCGTATTGACGGTATTGTGGAGACTGACATGCCTATTAAGCGTGCTTATGGGTGAGCCCTTTGATTCAACCAGTAGCTTTCCACAACTGCTGCTCTCTATGACTATGGAACATTTGCTGACGTGCCTAAAGTGCAATTGAAAGCAAGACACACGGAAATGTCCTCTGGGCACCACTGGATCATGGCGCAACCCGCATCGGATATGCATTCACTCCTGAAATTGCGGCCAAATATCCGAGTGGTGTTACCGAAGAGGTCGCTGTGAAGGAAGCCATTGAATCCATGCAGCCATTCAATGTCAAATTCACCGAGGTACACTGGTGGACTTTGTAAGCAGCCCGCATTTCTCAATCGAGCACCTTCTCTTAAACATAGACTCATTTGATATGACAGATATACCATCGGGCAACGCATTGCCAAAAACTTCTCAACCAAAGATCGCATATTCCTCTGTGGTGATGCAGCTCATACTCATAGCAGTGGAGCAGCACAAGGACTTAATACTGGAATCCACGATTCTGTCAATCTTGCTTGGAAATTAGCCAGCCAGATACATGGCTTTACCCGCCCTGAAGTTCTCCAGACTTATGCCACTGAACGTCGAACTGCGGTAGAGAAATTAATCAACTACGACAAGGACATATCCCTTCTCATGACGCACAAATGGCCGTCTTGGTACACAGGGGATCCTGCCGCTGATCCGTATCTAGTTTTGGGCCAGATATTCGAACAAGCAGCATCTTTCAACACAGGTTTAGGTATCAATTACCCCGCTAATATTTTGAACCAATTCCCTGCTGCTACGAGTCTCAAAATCGAACCGGGAAACCGGGCAATTGATGTCGACCTTACCGTGCCCGGCATCAATAGAAAAGTGCGTTTTAACGAAATAGCACGCAATCTGGGTAGATTCTGGATTATTGTATTTGCTGGCAGAATTGAGTCAACAATTCCATCTCTTCAAGCACTTCGAAAATATTTGGTCGACAGGAATGAGCTATACTCACATCCAGCCACGAAATGGCTTACAATTAGCCGGGATGCTGGCTGCTCCCCCTATGAGACATTGGGAATGGCACCATTTGGTGATACATACTACGATATTGATGGCTTAGCACATGAAAAGTATGGAATTGATCTTTCAGTCGGTGGAATCGTGATAATTAGACCTGACGGACTTGTTGGGACGGGCGGTGCTATAGAGGGGAGCTTGATTCAACATTACCTGGAGACTGTGCTTAATTTATAATTGAAGAATTAATATGTCAATTAGAAAATTAGCGAAACCCCAGAATTTAGTCGACCGACTGATGCTCAACCTTTGTTCCTTTAGTAAGATGAAAGCTGTGATTAATGAGTAATACGGTGAGACGAACTAGCTACCCCGCCCTTTCTCCAAGGCAGACACCTATTCATCACTCATCAAATATTCGATAGAACCGAATTCCACAATTCTTATCACATTTATCATTGAAATCCTCAAAATGCCTGCACCGCCTCGTCCAGAAATCATTGATGGCGTCAAAACCTTTATCCCGCTTGGTACAAGTCCACCGTGCATTATGCAGAAAGCACGCTGATGAGTAAGCAGAGAACAATCCCGATGTCCTCGAAATTCTCTGTGAGAATCTTCAGCTCTCATGGGATCTCGCCTTTCATGACGTCTTATCGACCTCTCCAGACTTCCTTCAAGACAGCCATTTCCGACCTTGCCACGCCCTTATTTTTCTCGCGGACCAGTCTATTTATCGAGCTGCACGCTCAGCAGTTGAGCCAACGATATCAGAGTACAAAGGTTCAGGTCCCAGTGAACCAGTAGTATGGATGAAACAGACCATCGGCCATGCTTGTGGCTTAATGGCTCTTCTGCACGTAGTCTTCAATCTGGAGGGTGGTCGATATGTGCGACCCGACACGGCAATAGACGCACTCCGCCAACAAGCTATTCTCCTTGGCCCTACAGAGCGAGCACAATTACTGTATGACTCTAGTTTTATTGAGGAGGCACACATGGATGCGGCATCGCGTGGATCTTCAAATGTCCCCTCGCCTCGCGACGATAATCGACACCATTTCTTGGCCTTCGTGCAGAAGGATGGGAAAGTCTGGGAGTTAAATGGAGGGATGAATGGACCTTTACTTCGAGGAGAGCTTGGTGAAGGGGATGACATCTTGAGTGAGCGAGGGCTAGAGCTCACTGTTCAGGACTTCTTGACTGCTGCTGAACAGACTGGATGCAATGAGATGAGTATCGTTGCAGTTACCGGGGCTGGCGCTGTTGCATAGAAAAACGAGCTTTTAATATTTAATATATGAACGGAGTAAATATGCAAGAACCTGTCAAATAAATGAATTCATATCGTTTAAAACCGAAGTCCACTAATTACTTCTGGTCTGCTAGCCATTCTCGGGCAATATCCTCATGTTTGTAAAATTCGACACTGTCTCCCCAGCTCTTTAACCATTTAATTATTCGCTCCGACATACCAATGATATGTGCCATTCCGCTTGTGTCCGGATGCATCAGAATAGGGAAGACAAAATCGGTGGTTGAGCTACCTTCCTCTCCCTTAGCGTTTTCCCACAGCCATAGGAACTTATCCTTCCACATCTCCTCCACTACTCGTGTGCTGACATATCCGTTGCTGTTGGCCAAATGCGGCAGATATTGCAGAGGCATCATATCCTCATTGTACCAGCCGCAAGGGATTTCCACGAGAGGATGTTGTCCCTCAGCAGGTTTGATCTGTGCAGCAATTGGCGAAGGGTGCAGCCAAGAGGAGGCATCCTTGGTAAAGTCAATGTGCTCGATGGGTGGATCACTTGGAGTCCAGTATGGTTGAGAGTCGTGATGCATAAGCGAGGTATCGTATAGAAACTTGTGCTTGCGTAGCATTTCCACAGTGGTTTCGCGAATTGTGTACATAGGTGCCCGATACCCCCTCGGTGGCTTTCCGCATAATTTGGTGGCAACTTCGATGCATTTTTCTAGCACATCTCGCTCTTGATCTACGTTCATCTGATAGATACCCTCATGAGCATATCCATGCAATCCGATCTCAGCACCGGATTTGACAACTTGTTGAACTGTATCGGGAAAGGTCTCCATCGTATGTCCAGGCACAAACCATGTCACCTTGTCAGCAATGTCGAATTTCTTCAGCATATTCAATAGGCGAATTGCCCCAACCTGGCCTGCGAATATACCGGAACTGTAGTCCGCCATGTTGTTATCGGGGTGGCATCCAGTTCCTAGCCAATGCGAGACGGCATCAAAATCAAAAGACAGAGCAACTTTGACGCGGCGTTGAGGTCGGGTTGACAACGCCTTAACAGGAGAAAGTATTTTTGCGACTTGTGTCTCTCCTGCAGCCTCCTTTTCGAGAATTTCATATTCACAGTCTGTCGGCATTCCTCCATTGACAGCTTCAATATCTTGAGGACAAGAACTCATCACCAAAATCAAATCCACATTGCTTCGTAGAATGACGTATTGGCCCTTTTCGCTCGTCGGCTCTCTTATATCAAGGCCACCATGGTGATCAATTGCGACATTCATAAAAATGTTGAAGGGGTCGGGAACCCAGTCATCTGGGATGCCCGTCCAGTCCGGAAATCCAGTTTTCAAAGCGGTATGCATGTTTTCACTGCAATTGTCATGGTAGCCCTGAACACCTTGCATGCGATATCTTTCTGCATCACATGCAGACCAGATAATATCATGGACGCCCTTGGTGGTATCCTCTTCAATGGTAAGCATAGGCTTGCGGCGAGTGCTGTATAAGGAATCACCAAGGCGCACGGCAACCTTGCGGAGAACTGTTCGTGTATGGACCATGGACAGATAATCGTGAGTATCGTCGGGATTAAATGCCCAAAAGTCAACGACTTGTTTTCCATGTGTATTAATGATTTTGATGGCTTGGCCGGCGCTGATTTGAAGCGCCACGGCCTTCCGGGCTGGAAGCAATCCCATGACGGATGTTGAAATATAGTGAATAGTAGAACTTGGGTAAATTGTGACAGTAGCAATCCGAAATTAAATGATCAATAATGAAGAATGTCTTCAATTAGACAAGACACAGAATTATCTATATGATCATGAACCCTTTGTCTCCGCCGTCATGTTCGCCGAAACGGGGAATTATGCAGGACGTATCGGCCGATCTATCCGATCGGCCAAATATTCACGGCGGACATCAAATCACATGAGATTCAAGATTACATGTATATTATAATATCTTCTATGACTATATGCACTGTTCTACTCGTGTTTCTAGTATTTGCCACCACATGTTGACCTATTATACATGCATGGGGATTGCGACAGGGTTAGGGTTATTTATAAGCCTACGGGCTTGAGAGAGAAAAGTGCATTATAGAAAAGATTTAGGGAGGCGACAGTCAAAAGCTGAGCCTCATTAACTAGCTGCTGTGGCATCTCTGGAAAGTACTTGGCTAAAATAAGCCCGAAAATAAACTTGTGCTCAATCCTGAAGCCCAGAAAGCGCGTTTTATCAGCGCAGGCACCAAGTCGTACCTGCACGAAATATTTGACATTGAGGAATGGACTGTTAAGTACCAACTCTGCCGATTTCTCAAGATGAGCGGCAAGATGTCTCAACTCTTGCGTATGGGAGCTTTCAAATGCTGGCACATTCCAGGGCTTCAGAGATGCCACCAAGTAGGAGAACAGCGATACACTCCACAAAATCCCGGCTTCCCTGCACGAAATAAGCTTCCCGGAAGGTTCAAAGTGGACTTCGAGAAAGTGATTTCGCCAAAGTTTAATTCGCCGATGATATGGCACAGATGCCGCAATTGAGCTGTATGCTATACCCCGTAGCGTCCGGCGAAGTAGCATGGTGTTCCAAATGGCAGGGTTTCTAGCGCTGATACAGATGTAGCTTATAGTAGGGGGTCGTTGATTGGGGGATTAGCTGAGATTGAGGGATTCAAGCTACCAAGTAGTTACAAAGGAAGAGTGAGTTGACTCAAACTTTCAGTCGAGCCATGGTCAATTATGTGAAGCCGTTGAGGACTTGAAAATGTCTAGATCATGCCTAGGTGTCAAGAAGACCTTTTTGAAAAATGAATTTATGAAAACAATTTACCGCGCTTGCCGAGTCGCCCTGGCGCCAACGTCAATAGCCCTAACCCATACCACTTCAACAATCCCAAGGAAGACCCAGTAGGATAAACCCAGAACAAGACCATTATGGATTATCTAGCAGCAATTCAAGCATTTAGACGACTCCTAAATGTATACCAAGCATCGCACAAGATCACGCCAACGAGTGCAAAGACAAGGCCACCTCTTTATCCATCGGACTCAGGAAAAAGCTTGGAGAAAAGATTACACAAACGCCAACTGCCACCGCCATAGGGACCATGTCGAAGCCGATGAGGTATATTTCTGTGCGCATTAGATGCCCATTCCATCCATCACCCAATTCCAGAATGCGGTACGCATTGCGAATCAGAATCATGAGCGTTGACAAACACAGAGTGACGATTATGGGCCATTTTGCTACAGAGCTCAGCGGGATGTCCCTCCGCTTCAGGCTGACAGTGGCCCCCAAAAGTAGCACTGCAAAGAGTACGGTATTGCTGAACTGGAAGATAATTCCCGAGCGCATCACAGCTGATCCATGGTTTAGGTCGTCGAAATTTTGCGCACTTGAAACCTCGACGCCTCCAACAATCTGAATGGAAAGAGATATTATGTCGAAAATGATGAAGCCAATCCAAAATAATTTTGACGGAATAGAAAAGAGTCGACGTCCAGATTTTTCTATGATTTTGCAGAAGAGGACGTAGTCAGCGGCGGAAATGAACACTGGGCTGATAACGAGACTGCAGATCTGGATCATGAAGGGCATCCAGTCCGTCGGCTGTATTATACCATGTAGTCATTAGTCGTGATCATCCAAAATACCTCGACAATAGAAAGTTCGATAGAAGAAGGCTAAAACTAGGACCGACTTACTGAATTATGAGCCCATAGACGCGCTCCCCAACCAATTGCCTCTCCAGAGGCCATGAGCGCTACAGTCAGCATCCAGTAATGCTTGTAGGGACCAAAGACCACCTGAAGGAGACATATTATTGTTGAGACACCAAAAAATATGATGCCAAATAAAGCTGCTGATTTGCTGGGGAGGTACCCGTAGTAGTCAACTGATTGATTTTGTTGCTCCATTGCGTTCGTTGATGGTGCATGACTCAAATGCTGGGTGATTGATACTCACTTTATAGTTTAACATCTCAACGGACATTTCAGGATTCGCAATGCAACTTTGGCATTGGATCCCATATGATTACCATTAAAATTTCTCCATATGCTTCTGCCTTGGGGGGTTTACGGCGCAAAGACGGAGCTTCCGTGAAAGTCCCGCTCTATATCCGTCGGCAATTACCTCACTCCAAACACATCTCTTCTTCTCCCGCGAACCTTCCCGTACCTACAAGCAGGTATCGATTCACCTTGCTTCGAATTACCCATTTTTTTTTTACCTTTTTAAAGCAAAGTCTGATGCTTCAATGCCTGTGAAACGTGGCCTCGTCCGGGAATCATGTGACTTTTGCTACCGTCGCAAGGTCAAATGTGATCGATTGTCGTTGGCAAGCCAGGGCATCGCCACATGTTCTCAGTGTGCGCTTCGTGATCTGGAATGCCGCGTAAAAGACTCCGATGATGCACGCATTCGACAGCGAAATCGCTTGATCAGCAACTCACGGAATCATAACGGTGGTTTGAACGCCGATACTGTGATCCGTAATAGCTCGCCTCGCTCGGAAATTATTCCATGCCCCGCGTTTGTTCCGGAAACGCCTGTAACTCATGCCATACCATCTCGAAGCGGTCAATGTAAAGCACAAGATGAGAACACAACTCCTTTGATAACGCCGGAAGGCTTACCTGTTGATGATACGTTCGGGCTGAGTCTTGATAACATGCTATTCCTCGATCAAGTATTCTTGAATGAAGGTTCTTTTGATTGGTCAATGATGAATAATCAAGATGGAATATCCTTGAGTCACGAAATCGATGAGCAAACCAGCACCACTTGCAGTTCGGCATTACACAGATTTCAGACTCCGGATAATTTGGGGGAATCTTCTACGCTTGCAGCAGCACTCCATTCCTACTTCAACCTGGCGGCTTTACATCTTCCAATCCTCGTTGAAGACGCATTTTGGCAAGATTTCTACTCTGGAAGATGCAGCCCAGCTTTAATATATGCGATTGCATGCCGAGGCATGCCATTTACCACAGTAGAAAACAAATTGGACCTTGAACAGCGTTATGCGCGCCAGTTCCGCAAGGCGTTTCTGGAAGCTCGAAGCGCCCATTCGGGAAATGGTACAGTCAGACTAGACGAACTCGAGGCGCTAGCGCTCATGATTAATTACGACTATGAAGAGAACGAAAACGACGACGAGTCCGCGCTACATTCGAAATTGGGCACTTTGTTTCTGACGCATGATGCTCTAATTTTACTTATGTTACAGAACCAGATTTGCGATCGTCCTTCCTCCACTACAGGCTTAGATTCTTCGCCCGAGAGCCTGGCAAACGCTGCGCAACGCCGCATGCTCCTCTATTGGCATATATACGGACTTGATGCTTTCCATTGTCTTGATCGGAAGCAAAGCTCACATATACACATCCCCAACATTGATAGTGATAATAAAATTTCAAATGTTGAAATTCGCGACTACTTTGATGCAATGGTATCACTGGCTACTATTGCTCGAGAAATCATCCAGAAATTATGTACAATCAGCGCTAAGCGTCAAGGTGTGGACCCGAAGCATGTGCACGGTCTCTATGATCAACTTCATCATTGGAGCAAAACTCTCTGTCCTCGACATCTTCGAAGGAATTACCAGGAAGATGGCGAACTCAAACCTCTTGACCAAAGGCCGCAAGATGAGCCGGCGCAGCCTTCTTCTAGTACGAGAACAACAAGGAAGCAAAAACACACTCACCTGCGACGAGCAGTTTTATGGGCTTTGGAGTTCCACTGTTTCTTGCAGATCGAAGCTATCGTCGCGGACTACGGTATAAAACACGATGAAAAGAGTCTTTTGGAAGCCGACGTGCTCGCATCTCGGATCGAGTACGAGAGTATTCGCATATTGAATGGCATGGCCAGTGTATGTCGCTGGATTAACCAATACGAGATTGAGGACGATAGCGGTCATACTAAGCGACACTCGTTGGTTGACCTTGCACCTAATATCCTGCGGAACATATGTGCTGGAATGTGTTACTGGTCTGCCCAACGGGGCATTGAACTTTGTCAACGAGGCCCCTCAGAATTGCTACGCGTCAGACATAGAAGCACAGAAAAAACGGATGGAGGTGATATGAGGTACCAGATCGTGAGCACCTATATAAAAACAGCCAGTTTGTTACGTGACACAGCAGCGACCGCAATCTCACATAATCAGACTAAGCAAGTCCTCGAAAGGATTGATCACCAGCTAGTATTGGTGGGGAGGCATTTTGAAAATCTTCGCGGACCAAATTGCTGATTCGATAATGCCTCCCGGGTCGTGGAATGTATTGTATGGTGTGAAACTAATGAATTATGCAATTGCTGAATCAATATCAATTTAAATATCACGTTGCAAGTTATAGCTTTTGGTTATTTGGGTACTTGTTCGCCATAGAGAGTGAAAAGGACTTATCTCATTCTGAACAGATATGCTCATAATCCAGTAATCTAATGGCTCATATGGAAGGACCTGTAGATATTTTTGTTTTACCTTGTTTATGCAATACAGGTTGTATTTCGAGACCTTGATGACTTGTGATTCGGATTTTGAGACTAATATTTGAATTTGCAGTTCAGCCAGAAGGATATGCAGTTTATGCAATCTACAGAAGACAAATATTGGAATGAATGATATCAACTCGGCAAAAGAACAGTGAGTGGCTTAGCAAATGCGCAAAGTGGTTTAATAAACAAGATTCTCCCCCGGCACTGTTTCTTTTTTTGAACTTAAACGTAGCGTGGGAAATGAAATTATCAGAATCCAACCATAATATACAAACTGTAACCTAATTAGAACTGCAGGATGAATAACTGCAGATCATGATTCTGGGCCCATACGATATGTAAACCGAGAGAAATTGCTTGATTCCCTATCAGCCGTCAAAAGCGTGTCTCTCATAACCCGAGGTTCTATCGCGAAAGCATTCCCAGCATGATCAAAGTGAAAAATAAAGTCATCAAAAGCAATCTCTCCATACATAGGAGTATCGATGGTGGCCCACTGATTTGCACTTTGGGGCATAATCCGAGTTGGCCCAGCCCGTTCACTCGTGCTTGTTTCAAAGATCGCACGGTATCTGACTCGACGAAACCCACCATCTTGACCATCCGATGGACTCTCTAAATTCGTAGCCTGTAGGAGAACTCGCTGAATTGGTGGGCTGTTAGTTTGAGAAGCATATGTCTGAATGGCTGCCAGGAAGTCGACGCCGCGATTTATCCACCGCTCGATTTGCAGACCATTTGTGTCCACTGACAGTGTAAGACTCGAGTTCTTGTTCTGATCGGACGAACTATAGATCCCGCATAATCGATCACATTCTTCAAGGAGCATTTGATTTTCCAGAGCCGGAATTAAAGTCTGAAGAACCATCTCAGAAACCACTTCCATAACAGCCGAGCTACTGGAACCGGCTGTCATGATTGAAAGTGCTACACCATAGTCCTGGGAGACCACCAAAAGCGAGTTGTATTGCCCAAGACTTCCCGATTTAGTGTATAAGTCAATGGTATGGCCATGGGATATTTGACTTTTAGTCCTGAGGATCTCCCACGGACTTCCAACAGAATAAGAAAGCGTTGAAGTATGAGAGTTTGGTTTCATCCAGCGTCGAGTTTCGAGTGTGGAAAGCTGTTTGCTAAGCAAGATATCGCGACCAAAATTTGCCAAATCGGATGACGAAGAGTACATGCCTGCCGTACTTTGATATAGACCAATATCAGCACAGGTTGGTGGTCCATAAGATGACAGGGGTACTTACGGCGTCTCATCACTGGTGTTCTGATACCATGCGCTATCGCCATTTGGAATTACCCACGAACCTTCCGCGGGTATCACATATGAAGTCGTTGTCAAATTCAGAGGCCGGAGTACCGTAGAGTCTAGCAGCTTATCGAATGGAATGTTGCTGATGGCTCCCAAGATGTATCCAAGAATTCGGAAGGCGGTATTTGAGTAGATAGGTGTCGTTTGAGGCAAAATAACGGGAGCTCTTTGGAGTAGTCCATGGAAGTATTCTAGAAAGAAACAATTAAAATGAGTTTTTGGGAAACGTGCATCAGAATAATGTACCGTCACGGTCACATGGTGGTGCGCTAGAATTGCCTCCACATCTGGGAATATTTTCTGATGGTAGGGGAGGGAGTCCTGATTCATTCCAGGGGATATCAAGAGTGGCTACATCTCCATAAGAATCTTCGCAAGGTATTAGTTTTTGTCTGAACAGTCATATAAACACAGATGACTTACAGTCTCTGCCAATACCTGATAGCTGCGAGGCAAGATCACCGACCGTGATCTTGCTCCAATCGACGCTCGTAAGCGAAGTATCACCAGGTAAATTAGTGACGTCTTGAAGCTCCGGGAGATACTGCGTGATCGCTTCGTCCCAATGCTCCCAACCGTAATTGACCAAAAGAGTATACACGGTGAAGAGTTTGGAAATGCTACCAATCCTGTACATAGAAGTGCTATTCACAATTTCAGTACTACCAGCTGACCGGTTCAGGAAGGGAGATGAGAATTGGAAGTCGAAAAAGGGAGAGTTTCCATCATCTTCGGTGGACAACGCCGTGATGGAGATTGCGGATGAATTGGCACTGAAATTCCCGAAATTACTATAACCATGTTGAATAGTGTCCATTAAAGCGTTGGACAGATTCGTAGTTACGGCTCTCATTGGGGGGGAAGACAAGAGCCCTAACGGCGGCTGGAAAACAGGGCCTAGAAGGAAGCCAGCCATGTTGCTCAGAAGACGGCGTAGCTTTCGAAATTGAATAAATGAGCTGTTGATATTTCAGTACAAGATGAGAGAACTCTGAAACCTGAGAGACAGTAAAGATCACTTAAATAACATGAGACCGTTGCTATCTTGATTCACAAAGACGGAGATTTCACGGCATCTCCGCGGTACCTCCTCCGCGGTACCTAAAGAAGCGCGACTTGATAGACTTTCTGCCTCGTACGACCACCAGGTTGTACCGGGAGCCTCTTCTATCTTGTTGTAGACTACTGTCCAGGATATATACTCACAATAACTCATACCTCCTTACTCTGCACCTATTCGGCGCCTACTCGGCAACGAAGCGGAACCTGTGTATGAAAGTTCATACCAATCTCATATTGGGCAGCGAATAAGACATAACTAAGCATGGAAAGAAAAAGACAGAAATAGGAATCAGAATATCAACTGGCACACCATATACCAAGGTACTTCTGTACCGTATGTGGTGATGCTGTCATCGAGTACACGTGGCCTGCCAAAAGTGGTTTACCAGCTGCTAAGGAGCAGCTCAACTGTAGTCCTAATCTCGACCAATATCGATCCCCTCGTACCTCGTATGGAGTAGGAAAGTATACGCTACATCGGTGTTTATATGTGGTGGTCCTTGTCTTGATAAATAGGAGAAATGCTATGTACTGCGATTAGGTCTGGAGAAGATAAGGACTGAAGAAGACTGGTTGCTTAGTAGCAGTCTTATGTCGATCAGTCAGTCAGTTTACAACGTACGTATGCAGCACTAAAAATGCTAGAGTGCGCTAAAAGCAATGTAAGCATGCGCTCTTCAGTGGGGGCTTGGGGCGACGAGCTTGCAGAAAATTTGCCATGATGGCGCCCAAGGCTGGGACGTGGCAGATTGATCATCGATTCGACTGATAGATGGCATGCATGAAAGAGTGAGTCAAAATGGAAATATCGAGGCTTTGAATACATTCTGTTGATCAACAATTCAACATAGACTTGATGAACCCCCCGGGATTTGGTTCTTATCTCACTAATTAGACGGCGAAACTCAGGATCTCCTACCCGGTGTCCGACGGCTATCCCATTGGCCCTGGAGCACGCACAATTCTTCGCCTTCCCCATTTTCAATCCTTTATGAGCATCGTTCCAGGCCCCAAAGACCTTTAGCGCATAGATCCCGCCGGCGTCCCAGGCACAGTCCATAGGCATCAGGAGCAGGGCTTTGGGGTCCACATGGCGCCCACATAGTGCCGTCCCGTCGTCGCGGCGCGTGCCATCAGACTAATCCTCAATGGTAGCAAGTCGCCGATGAGCATGCGTGCGCATTGTCCCAGTGCGGAACTGACTCGAGGCTAACCGTCACAGTGGTGTCCTTCTAACCCAATACAAACCTCGACTTAGCGGGCTCTCCCGACTGCGATGATGAGAAACTCTGTCGAATTGCATGATTGCGCGGCCGAGAAACTATTGCCGAGCCGTTTGATTTGGTCGTTTTGCGCACCGATCCTCTGCAGGATTGTTCTGTTTTCTTCCTAAGCAGAGATCTCATCATGAGCAGACCTTATTGTCTTGTCTTGACATCTTTCCTTCCTTCTGGATGCGCATCGGTTGGATAAACAACATATTTTAGATGTCACTTCCTGGGTTGTGCGGTTAGAGCGACCCAGTAAGGTATCAATATGCTGTACTTACTTTGATCCGGAACTCAGCCTTTCAAGCGCGCATTCCGCCTCGAAGTGACCAATTGACGGAAGCAGGCGATCGGAAAGTGGTAGAAAGCATTGAGACTCGACAATCTCACAAACAASGAGCCATATTGACGAAACGTATCTGCGACGACCTCCCAACAGGAACGGACATCCAGCAGCATTGATTCCTTAACTCGGATAAGAGAAAATTATGAAAGTGCCTCTAGCGAAACCAACACCATACTTTTCCTACAATGGACCATAATGCAAGCAATATTCCGTCTGATATCGCTTATGCCTATTCCGTTGGCCATATACCTGCCGACATCACACTCGCAACTTTACTAGAATCGCGCGATAGGCCTAGCAAGATCGGTATATATGCCGTCTTTGCTTTGACTTTTATCTTTTTGCTTTTTCGGTGTTACTCGCGGATATTTGTTGTAAAAAGATTTGGATTAGATGACTGGTTGGCGTGTCTTACTTTTGTACGTCAGGATCGCCCCCGATTCAAATTCTCCGAGGTGATCAGTGAACTGACTTCAATCTGGATAGGTTCTCTATATACCCCTTGTGCCAGTATGCGTCTTATTAATCAACAACGGAAATGGTCGCCGCAGCGCCTACGTTAACTATGTCATGTCCCTGGACGAAGATCGAATGAACTATGGCGAGTTACTGGACATCGTCATGCACTTTCTCTACATCATCGCACTCTTTATCTGTCGTCTCTCGGGTCTTGCATTTTATTCTCGACTATCCGACGCCCACGCCAAACTTTACATTTCCATACGTATCTGTACAATCGTTTTCGTCGTGTTCTTTCTCGCGCAATTCTTTCTCTTACTATTTCACTGCATTCCGGTGACCGGCGTATGGCCATATTCGTGGCAGGCGGATTACCATGTATACAAGTGCATCACTTGGGGTGCGGTATACATTACCATTTCATGCCTATCGTTCACATGTGACGTCGTCATGTTCGTCATTCCGTCCATGCTGATCCATCTTCTACATGTGCCGTTGAGACGAAAACTAGAACTGGCCTGCGTCATGTTTCCAGGTGTACTGTGAGTGAACCGTGCAGGAAAAACTCGAAAGAAAAGGCATATTGACCGGTATAGTGTTCTCATGATATCCGGCGCTCGTATATTCCTGGTTTGCCTGGGCCAGTGGTCAAGCGATAACACATGGTACTACGACCCACAACTTGCGGTTGAGATGTCTGAGATAGGAGCTACTCTTATTGCTTTATCGGTGCCTGCGCTGAAGCCATTGTTTGGTGTTTATGTGCTTACCAGAATTCGGTCCAATCCGAGCGACAATGGTAGCGACCGCCCTCATCAACCAATTCATTTGAAAAAAATCAGTAATTTTACTTTACGTGCGCTTGGTGAGGATCGCCAGGGTCCTTCATGACAGATAGTATAATGAATAATGATCTCTCAGCACTATTTCCATCGCTTACCTAGCCTTGACCGTGTTCTATGCAATTATATGATTCTCTCCCTTTTGAGAGTTTGCATTTACTTGTATCATCGCCGGTTTGGTGATACCTGATGCTGCCTAGGGTGGTGACGTCCGAATTGACTCTTCATTTCCATATTGAAGCCTAGGTACACCTTTGAACCTTATAGCGGTAATATTGACGACAAGGAGGATGCCTAGAGATAGTCTTTTCTTTTTATTTTCAGTCGTCTTCGTTGCCATCCCGCACTTTCTCCTCTCCTCTCATCTTCTCCCAAGTTGAGCTAACCACTTAGTGCACACATCACTCAAAACCAACAAGATGATGCAGCTCGTCTACCGGCCCAGTCCAGCCGAGCTACGCGGCTCAGCTAGCCATCCAACAGCCCAAACCCGCTTGTCTCAGCAGACTTCTGGCAGCTCAGGCAATCCAGCACTCTGTGCTATAGCCCCCCTGGCCAATCAGCAAGGCTTCAAATACGTGGACCAGTACCCGATCGATAAACATGCTGGCCCGATGTTCATCCACAAGAAGCAAAACAGCTTTTGTGGTATTTGCGGCATGTGCATTACTCTTGAGGATGAGCAGGCTGTCTCTCGCGTAGTGAACCCGTTCACCACCACGGGTCCTGATGCGGCTCAGCACGCTGATGCCGGTAATGAGGAGTTCGAAGAGTTGCAGCAGGGAGAGGATAATTCTATTGACTGCGATGCTGCAAATGAGCGCAAGTTCGGCGTCATGCCTCGTCCAGGATGGACTGGAATGTATCGTGTTGGTAAAGTTTTCCATTTTACTGGGTGACGAATACGTTGCTCATATTTTGTATAGTTGTCCGTCAGAAAAAGAATCACCATGGCAAGGAAGAGCCGCATTACTACGTCTCCGGACTTGGTCGCTACCATCTCTGGGACACCGACCCAAAAGCTCGTAAGATGTACAACAAGTGCACTTATGAAGCCAAGGAGCCCGTCTTCACCGTCCCTCGTGAACAGGGCGATTCACTAATTGACCGACGCCACTTTTACAACAAGAAATTGACCAAGAAGCAAAAGCAGAACACCACTCAATACCCTCCAGTCAAGAGAGTCAGCGTCTACCCACGTCATTACCACGATGACAAGAACGAAAAGTTTTTCCCTCACGGCTTTCCTATTCATGACAATTGCTGGAAGATGGCCGTCAAGATTATTGGAGAAAGCAGGCTCCAGAGTGATTTGAACTTGTTTATTGAGACGCTCCAAGACCGATTCATTGACGAAGCTATGTTCACAGAGGGACGTCAAATCTCAGACTGGATCGTGAATGAAACAGGTAACTGCGGTACCTGGCATCAAGCCAATCGCACCGCAGACGACGTTAACCGTATCCTCATTGCCATGCACGACCCAGTCCACGTCGATGAGGTCGAGGATCTCATCGCCGAGAGCGCACGCCGCTATACTACCATGAAGCAGAAGCTCCATGACGCTGGTGCTACCACCTCTGCCTCTAATCAGAATGGCGCTCATGACTCTGTCATGAACATGCTCGACGAAATGCACCACTCTGAGGTCGAGGCTTTCTTGAACCAAACCAAAGTCGTCGTGCCATGGACCTACTGGGTACGACGAGCGCCGTACGATATCATCTGGGAGCTCGAGTCGATTGAGGAATACAGCACCCCTCTGGATTGGCAGTATCTCTGTCTCCATGCTGAGCGTTTATGCGAGGAGTCGTTAGGCATAATCAATCGAAGCCGTATCTGCAACATTCTACGCGAAGTCAAGCATAGTATGTTCGATTCGATGAGTGACGATGATGACGTCTCGATTGTTGAGCGATCGAGTAGTGACGGTGCGTCGACTCTTGCTGCCAACACCAAGTCTACTGAGAAGGAGTTGGTCGACTTGATAGATTCAGACTGGGAGCAGGATGCTTTCATGGAGGATGAATGAACACCGAGTCAGGGCATCGCGTAAACACTTATGAGCTTAGACTACATGTATTGCTTGGCGATTTGTTCCTTGAGAGTTTGAAATTCGAAGCTTGCTAGAAGGTACACCTAGGTAGTGCTAATGCTACACCTCTTGCTTTACTACTTCTTGTAGTAATTGTAACATATCAGATATCTGGATGAACCATCGGACTCAACTTACATGTTCCCTACAACCTTTCTATACATACATCATGCCCAAGAAGTTAAGGCACCATCAACATCGCCCCTCGCTCAAAAAACCAGTCCTGCAACTTCTCATTTCCCATGAGCGTCGACAGCGCCATCTTTCCCAACAAATCTACATCCTCAGGCTGTCCCAATGCCAAAAACTCACTAAAATCTAGATTCTTGATCACGAACCGATTCTTCTCTGCATAGGCTAGCGCGAAATCATACCGGGTGGGCGCTTCCCATAGGTGTGCTGACAAGTACCAGTACCACCAGCTGTTCGATAAACCGAGGCGGCCGTCGCAGGTCAATTTGTTCTTTTCTCCAACCCTCTGGGATTTTGCAGTCGATGTTGTGATGGTCTGCGGCATATTCACGTATTGGGATACCTCCCATATCCTTATCAGCAGATATGAGAGGAACAATGTGCGACGTGCAGACTCCTCAAAAATCCAGTTGTGCCAGTAATCTTTCGCGCCTGAAGTGGCTGGATCATCGATGAGACAGTTTATAGGTAGACCGCTCATACACAATAGCGTATCTTCCAAGAACACATTCTCTTCGAAATGACTTAGCGTTGCCTTCAGAGCGGGCATTGTGAGCTCTGCAGCTACACGAGCCGAAGCGTCATCGTCAAAGATTCGTATTGTCTGATACAATATGAGCGCGTGTAGACGCGCAAGACAATCCCAGGCATCATTCGACTGCTCCGATGCCAGCAGTTCAGCAACACGGTTTTCGATAATTGACAAGATAGTCTTGGAATTCGTGGGATTCCTATTCATGTACAGCGAGCAACATGCATACGCATCTACTCCGATTAACATTAACCACCCATAAAAACATAAAATGCAGAGGACACACCTTGCATCACCCTCGGCATCCCATTCTTATACAACAACGGATGACACCACGGCGTCTGATTCTCCAGCACCATCGTCCTGTGCGCATTCTGTAATACATCCAAGGTAATCCGGAGCCGAGAGGCCATGCCGGATGCGAAGAGTGGCTTGATGCTGACTGGAGGCGACGACAGCAATTTCTTACTGCTAGTCCTATGGGCTTCCGGGTAAGATGATGGTATCAATTGTACATGTGATATTGATATCGGCGGGGGSGGCTGTTCGTACAAAGGCGTCGATATTGGTTGATGGAAATGAATTTCGTTAAAATCCGGCACTGACTGTACCGGAGAAAATGACTTTGAAGCTTCCAGTAGTAAAGGATATTCACAGCCCAGTCGTCGTTGACTGCATCGTGAACATACAGGGAGCATAAGATCGCAGCGCCGTTTTGCTTTGGCGCATGCTCGGCATGATTTCCGCCGTGGGATGGCCGCACCGTTTCGTTCCTTGTAGGCGACTGGTGCTTGTATGACGGACATGACAGCTCAGGCATGTGCAAGACAAAGCTATATTATGGGAAATGGCGGAAGCCCGCCAGAGGATTGAATGATGATTGATTAATTGTTCATGAGTTTGCACTGACTGTTGGTAAACGCGAGAAGTAAAGTCCATCAAGTGGGGCGGCGGAACTCCGCCAGATCTAGGCAATGGCGATCTCTGATTGGTTAGCATAGCGCTCTGGATAGCTTCATTTCAAGGAACTGTAAATACGAACGTTTGAATATATCTGTACGAGGCTGTAGAGGAGGAACTGGTTGTGAATAATGGCGGACTTCCGCCATTTTAGTGAGTCGCCATACACGAATTGGGAGTACATATCAGTCGCTCGCGTCCGAATATGAGCGGATTGAGCGCTACTACTGGTCTATAAAGAGAGGCACATAGCCCTCTCCTCTTCGTCAAAAAGCACATAAATCTGAAAACAAATCACAATCAACAGCCTCCTATTTGTAACTTTTTACTTCCCCAGCCTGATATTCTGTACAACATGTCTGCACGTACATCTACCATCTTCGTCACCGGCGCAACAGGCTGTCAAGGTGGCGCCGTAGCGCGTCTCCTCCTGTCCTCCGGCCACACAGTCCACGCCATAACACGAAGTCCCTCCTCCCCATTATCCCTTCGACTACAATCTCTCGGCGCAAAGCTCTTCACCGGCTCTCTCGACGACGAATCCGCCCTCGTGGCAGGCATGCAACGCTGTACAGGCCTCTTCCTCGTCGTGCCACCGGCGCCCCACGAAACAACAATCAAATACACAAACACCATACTCTCCGCCGCAAGATCAGTCGAGACAATAACTCACGTGGTAGTATCAACGACCCTGGGCACCGACAGACCCGAACGGATGGCAGCCTGGAACCCCGAAGGAGGGATGCTAGCAATGGTAATCAAACCCAAGATCGCAATGGAGGAGCTCGTTCGCGCCGCAGAATTCAAAAACTACACTATTCTGCGACCGGGGAACTTCATGGCCAACTTTATCGCGCCCAAAATCTCAGTCGTCAATCCTGATCTTGAAAAGACGGGCGTTTTTCGGACGTCGTATACACGCGAAACACGGATACCGATGATCGATGAAGCAGATACCGCAAAATTCACTGTTGCAGCCTTCGTTGACCCGGAGCGGTTCCATGGGAAGGCTATCGCACTTGCATCGCAGCTATGCACAGTGGATGAATTAGTGACCTGTTTGAGCCGAGTATCTGGCAAGCAGATAAAGGCGCAGTACCTGTCAGATGCAGAAATCAAGGAGGAAGCGAGCAAAAACTCGCCTGCGTCGTGGCACAGATTCTTGAGCGATATGGATAGATTAGTGGACATGGATGAGGTCAAGGCATGGGGGATCGAATTGAATACATTCGGGCAGTTTTTAGAGAGGCAGAGTGAGATTGTCAGGGATACGTTCAGTCAGGTGGCATAAGTGGCAGTGTTATAAAGTATATGATTTAATATATTGTACTCTTATCTCTATACACCTTCGAAACACTGAACAAGAAGCCAATATGGAAAAGTATGCAGTCATGGTATCATTATTTTTTACGTCAAAAGCCAATCAATATCACAGATATATGGCCCTATTCAACAATCAGGTAAATTAATTACCTTTCTTCAACATGCAAATCGTTCAAGGATAGACGACAGGCTTAACAGTTCCCGGCGCGCCCTCAGACGATTGCCTCTCTTCAATATGCTTCTCAGTCTCCTCTTCCGAGTTTCTGGCAAGACCAAACTCGACTGCTTGAGCATCAACCTCATCGTCCGTAAGCTTGGGTAACTCGCGCGCAGCAGTAACGTAGCTTTTCTTTTCGCTGTAGCCCTTTGCGAAAATGATGTCGATTTCCTCGAGACTGCGACCGGAAGTTTCGGGATAAAACAGCCAAATGAATGGAATAAAAGAAGCGTTCATAGCGGCGAAGAATAAGTATGTGCCCCAACCGATGCTAGAAACCATGACGGGAGTGATCATGACGACGGTGAAATTGAAAAGCCAGTTACAGCAGGTCGAGACGGCGTTGGCTTTGGCACGAGTCTTGATGGGAGAAATTTCGGCAGGGTACAGCCATGGAAGAGGCAACCATGTAGCGCCAAAGAAGCACATGTAGAGGAACAAACCGAACACGGCCCCATCAGCTACTTGACTATTGTTGGGAATGAGACAAGCAAAGGTAATGATCATGGCAGTAAGTTGACCAAAGGTACCACCCAAGAAGAGTTTGCGACGACCAATCTTTTCAATGAAGAACCAGGAAAATGTAGCAAAGACGGCATAACAGATCATGTTGATACCACCAATAAGCAAAGCCTGGTTGGTGGATTGTCCGAGGGACTGCTGCAACAGCACGGGGAGATAGTATATAACGGCATTACAACCACTGAGTTGTTGGAAAATTTGCGATGAAGCACCGATCAACATGCGTCGGAAGTGCTGGGTAGGGCCGCCGGTAAGCAAGTCCTTGTAGCGAACATCCTCGTCCAAAGCGCCAGAGGCACGGACAGAGTCAAGGACCAGCTGTTTCTGGATCTGTGTTTCGTGGTCGGTGACTTCGCGGCCGATCAACGCAGCGAGCACGTACTCGCCGTCTTCGATCTTGTTTCGTGTAATCAAATAGCGAGGCGAATCGGGTAAATGGTACATGCCGACGATTATCAGGATGCCAAAGACGATCTGGAAAGCGATAGGGAACCGCCAAACGAGATCTGAGGGTCCAAAATGTGCGCCATAGTCAATCCAGTAAGCAATTAAGGTGCCAATCGCAATGGTACCACCTTCAATGCAAATCAAAAGTCCACGGTTGGTAGTGCGCGAACATTCGGCCTGGTAAGTCGGAATTGTCGACGTGTTCATGCCATTGCCAATACCGGTGATGATACGACCGATCATGAATTGAGCAAGGGGAACATGACCGGGAAACGAAGTAACCTGAATAATAACACCCAATATCATGATACTGGCTCCGATCATGATCATCCGCCGTCGTCCAATTACGTCGCCCCGGAACAAAGCAAATATGGCACCAGCCAGACATCCCAGCTCATAGACAGCAGTCACCAAGGCTTGCATGGTCGAGTCGCCTTTGGTCGCGGTAAACACATCGTTGAATGCAGCATCACTAATGATACCTGACATAACGCCTTGGTCATAACCAAAGAGGAGAAAACCTAGAGTTCCAATGGCCGAGATGGAGAGGGACAGGCGTTTGCCCGACATCCCCGCGTAGGTGGGAGCCATTTTCGCTTCTCGCTTTAGTGTAGGTAAATAATAGGCAAGCAATAGTCCAGAGTCATATGTGGTGAAGTAGTAGATCAAAATAGACGAAGCTCGGTCAGGGGACGAGGGGATCAGCCTCTATATAACCCGTCACTGCTCGGTAGTATCCGTCCACTCTTCGAACTCGAATTCAGCATCCGAAAATTTGACACCACGCTCATCTGTGGTACAATCAATGATGAGTGACACAGGCTCCACGATAACATCATACCTCTCCGCTGAGGGAGGTGAGGGGCGGCATCACAGCTATACAGAAGAAAGCAGACCGAGCAAAGGTGTGATTTTGCGATGGAAAATACCCACCGCAAGCACCTAGCAAGTGCAGCCCGTGGAGCAAGAATGCATTAGAGCAGGAAATTGTGGATCAGTCAACTGGAACCCTACACGAGCAATCCGAGGACATCTTTGGTCAATCAACAGACACTAGGATGACATCACCGCGAACTGCTCTCGGGATGTGTGTCGGTATCCCTTTGAGTCTTCGGTCTGCACAGGATTTTGAGAATAATGGGTCAGGTGTATTGCAGATACGAAGAAATGACGGAAATCTGCATCATTAGCGGTTTCTCTACCGCGCTGGCTCGGTCAAGTCGCAACGGTGGACTTATGTTTTCGGGCCGACTTTGCTCGGTAGCCATGATGCTCGCGATCTGCGGTGTCACGATGCAGATGCGCTATGCTTCTGTTTGCTTGCGACCTTTCTAATATCTCCGTTTCCAGAGAATACCGACACTCGAGTTGTTATAGAGACATGGGTCATCGCAATCTGCTGAGAGAGAAGAAAAGAAAGCACATACGTACGAGGGTTGTTCTTCCTGCCAATCAGATCCTCCAGCCGGAAGAGGCTTAGTGTATGGGTAGCGACCAATCATAATCTACCGATGATCAGATGAGAATTTGCACGACCCACTGGCTGCCTCGTTGCCTCAAGGCTCAACTGCAGTACAGATAGGGCTTAGGGCTCAGGGCTCAGGGCTGTCAATAACTCTTTATTGAACATATGTATGAAAATCGATAGCTACTTCCTAACAGCAACAACAAACAACCTTGGATACTTCAGAATCACCCTTCCATCCACCGAAACCGGGTACACCTTTTTAATCCTTTCCAAATACGCCTCCACAAACCCCTTTCTATCCTCTTCACTCAATGGATCAATAAACGGCCTCAAACCCGTCCCCTTCACCCACTCCACGACCGCCTCATGATTTTCCAGTACGTGATAATAATGCGTGTGCCAGACATTTATACTCTCACACAACGGAATCAAAGCATCGTAAATTTCTTGTGTAGACTGGAAACGGGCTAGAGCCGGTTGCCGATTGCGTAGAACTTCCGTCCAAGGCTTATTGGCCTCTGAAGCGGTCTCACGCATCATTGCGTGCGAGGGCTCAAGGGAATTGTCCGGTACCTGAAACGCGAATACGCCGCCGGGGGCTTGCATTTCGATAAAGCGGCTGATAAGGGGTAGTCTCTTCTCGGACGGAATCCATTGAAACACCGCGTTGGAGAAGAAGACATCCACTTTCTCCTCGGTGGTAGGCGTCCAGGTATTCAAATCGCCCAACTCAAACTCAACATTCGAGAGTCTGGCGCGCGCCTTTTCGACCATGTCAGGCGATGAGTCCATGGCCGAGATTTGGGCGTCTGGCCATTTGGAGACCAACACCTCCGTGGAATTCCCCGGGCCGCATCCTAGATCAACCACGCGTCGCGGAGAAGAGACAGGAACCTGAGCCAGAAGATCATGCACGGGACGCGTACGCTCTTGCTCAAATTTGAGGTATTGATTCGCGTCCCAGTCTTTGGCTTGTCTGTACCCAGCCCCCGTGTCTGTAGATGACATTCTGATAGTGGCTGATTGTTTTGGTGATGTTCGGAAAGATTGCCGAAACGCGGGGAGAGTTTCGCCTTTCAATGTGTAGCCAAGGCGATGGCAAACAATGACAGAGCTAGATGATAGAAACTTCATCTGATCTATTTCATTCTCGGTTTGTTTTTTTTTAGGTGTATCAATTTGATGCTGAGAATCTTGCATTTATAGAGCCAGGTCAAGAATGGGACTGGCGGGAAGGTCAGCGAGTCTCGGCGACTAATGGAAAAGATCCGATTTTCGCATGTCTCGTTATTTTCTCATAATTTTCTCGATAAACACATTTCTGTAATTGCAAATCAACTAAACTCCAAGTTCGATATTGGAACAAAAATGAATTCCAAATCGGAGATGCGAGTTCGGAATTGTAGTCATCATCGAATGACACGGAATTGTGAAGCGTGACATGACGGAGCTATTACTAGTTTACGTTATCGGAGCAAGCAAAGTAGCCAACAATTGATTCATTCAACATTTTAATCATTACAGAGTACCACGTATCCGGCCATGTACATCCTTTTGTCACACACACGAACACATCTAACTCCCAACCCAGTTATATAACACAATAAACCTTAGAAAAAAAACCTAAGCGCGGCTCAGGCTCTCGCCAGACTCGGCCTTGGCCTGGCCGTACTTAGCAAGACGGATCTTGGAGATACCAATGAATCCGGTGGTGTCGACGGGGCTGAAATCAGTCAAGGTGTCCATGCTGCTCTCCTCAGCGCTGTAGAGCTTCTCGGTCTCACTGTAACGGCCGAGAATGGAGACGGCGCCCTTGTAAGCGCAGAGGCGGACGGTTCCGTTGACAGTATCCTGACTGGCGATGACGCTCTTCTCGATGAACTCACGCTCAGGAGAGAAGTAGAGACCGTTGTACAGGAGCTTAGACCAGTTGAAGGTGACAAACTGGTCACGTAGGGAGCGAACCTCACGGTCGAGGACGAGACCCTCGAGGTCGACGTGGGCGGCGCGTAGGATGGTCATGGCGGGGGAGTCGTAGCAGCCTCGGGACTTGATGCCGATGAAACGGTTCTCGACAATGTCGACACGGCCGATACCGTGCTTGCGACCAATAGCGTTCAATGTGACGAAGATGTCCAAGGATCCAGTGACGGTCTGGCCGGAGGGGGTGACCAGCTTGGTGGGGATACCCTTCTCGAAGGAGAGGCTGAATTCTTCGGGAGTGTTGGGTGCGTTTTGAGGGGAGTCGGTCAATTTCCACATGTCAGCGGGAGGAGTGATGTTGGGGTCCTCCTATGGACATATTAGCATCTATCTTCGAAGTGTGGAAAAAGGTACATACCAAGATACCGGCTTCATAAGAGCAGTGTGCAAGGTTCTCGTCCATACTCCAGGGCTTGGCCTTAGTGGATGTGACGGGAATGCCAACTTGGGCGGAGTAATCGAGCAAGTCGTTTCGACCAGCGAAACGTTCAAAGAACTCGGGCAATCGCCAAGGGGCAATGACTTTGATGGTGGGCTACTTTATTAGCTGCGTTGTTTTGAGTGCGGAGGTGGGGAATTACCTGAATAGCGTAGAAAGCCAGCTCGAATCGAACCTGGTCATTTCCCTTTCCGGTGCAACCGTGCGACACGGCAACACATTGGTTCTGTTGAGCAACACGCATCCTGCAATTGTCAGCACCTCATATCACCTATTAAAGAAGGAAAACGCACTGAGCGCGGGCAATAACGGGACGAGCCAAGGATGTTCCGAGGAGGTATTGATCTTCAAAAATAGCATTGCACTGAATTGCTCGAAAGCAAAGCTCTTCGACGAATTCTTGCTTCAGGTCTTCGACGACGAACTTGACGGCGCCAATGGCGATGGCTTTCTTTTCGGCGGCGGCGAAGTCTTCGGCTTGGCCAACGTCGGCCTGGTAGATGTTAGCTCAATTGAATTCAGAACAAAATAATATAAACGTACCATGAAGGCAACGACATCGTAGCCTTGCTCAATGAGCCATTTGAGAATGACACTGGTGTCGAGACCGCCAGAGTAGGCGAGGCAGACCTTAGGCTTAGCCATTGTGTATATAGTATCGGGAGAATTGAAATTGGGAAGAATTGGAAGAATTGACGAGAACAGAGAGGAGAATTTTTGGGAAGATAAACAAATGTCGGTCAGTTGAGAGTTCTTATTTGGCGGGGAAATTTTTCTAGCGGCAGGAAGGAACTATGTTGAGTCACCGCCGGTCTCGGCCCACTCTTATCTTTGAGTCACCAAATAAATAAATATTTAACTAAGTTATGCTAATTTTTACTTTGGATAGCTTGTCGGTTGATCGAATACAAGGATTTCCAATTGAGTTTAATTAGTGCCATCCATTGAACAAATGTATCGAAATATGCGATAAGCAACATGTAGCGTATTAGTAGTACACAAGTACACAATCATATCTCACGAGCTATATCAGGACTCAATAGCCTTCGCCCTCAGCCCAACAATCTTCCCCTCAGCACCATCCAGAGCAATTACCCAGTATTCCACCCTAGAATGGCCGACCTCGACTCGATATACCTTGACTTCCACGTCGCTCTCACTGACCTTGGAATCCGACGCAGCCACTGCCGCGCGCACTGCCTTGATCACGCTGCTATATTGACTTCGTGGATCAAACGATTTCTCAGATAGGGTCTCGATATCTGGTTTGGATCCGGAGGCGATGAGGGATGCGAATTCATCTACAATCACAACAACGTATAAGCTTAGACCAGAAGTAACGACAAAAGAGCAAGGAGAACTAACCATTTCCAGGCCACTTCCCACTCGAAGCCCCCTTCCAACTCAGCGCCACGGGCTCAAACGGCTCATCTGTCTCGGACACATAGAACGCATCAACCTTCTTCAGCTGTTCCGGCACTTTGACGCCCTTCTCGACGGTCTCGGTTCGTACTTGTTTAGACTGTTGTGCAGATTCCTCGGTATGTGCTTCATCCTTTCCTGCATCGCGCTGTTTGTTCGCCTTATCCAAGAAGGACATGTAGTCTGAATCTGAAGCCATGGTTCTTATGGTAAATGGGGCTCGAGAGAAGAAAAGAACTGTTCGCTGCGTGGATGTAAGTCGTTGCGCTGGTGCAATGAGTGATTGTACTGCAAGTATTGTTTTCGACGGGAGATGCAAAGAATTAAACGCTCTCTGATATGCTCTTGCGAAATGGTTCGAATAGTTGGTCATTTGTTGTCTTGTCCAGGATTGACTGGGTGTTGTGTCAGATCGCGGGGAGAAAACCATGACGCAATGACCCAGAAATTCTTAGGCTGCGATTGATTCCTCAGGCAGCCACTCTCCAACTCATGAACGAGCCCTAGCCCTGCTACTGCTGAGAGACGACTTACATCAGAATTGTGTATGTATATCCATCATATATGTATCCATCTTCTATCTAATGAGCCCACCGGACCATACAATTTTCCACCTCAAACAGCCCTGTACACGGATCCCTCAACCTCTTACTCTCATCAACCCCCAACCTCTTCTCTAGCTCCATAATCCTCTTCGCCCAACCCTCATTATCAATTCTGAAATCAGGACCGAAATCGACAAATCCCAATTTTGTGTATAATGGATGCGCTTCCGCTGATGAGGTGAGCAAACTGGGTAGTCCCTCTGCATCGCTTTTCGCGAGGACGCTGGAGAGTAATTTTGCCCCGATGCCGCGGCGTTGATGGGCTGGGTTTATCATAAGATGTTTGATATCTGTGTAATATTGTCAGTAGTTTTACTTCATTGACTCGGTGGTAGGGGCGGTACAGTAATGCTTCTGCCCCTTCACTACCCCCTCATAGCAAGCATCCATCTCATCATCCCTCGTACTAAATTCTTCCCACAATTCCTTGACATGATCCTTTGGAGCAAATAAATTCGCGAATACCGGCTGACTTCGGTCTAATTGACTTTTTGCATCTTCTTTCTCCTCCTCTTTCTCATGCTTTTCTTCTTCGGCCTGCTTTTCTGGTACTATCGCATACCTAACAAATCCCACTACCTCATTCGTTGCCGCGTCCACGGCGACAAGGAAGATATTCTTGGGATCGCTGATGGCTGTCTTGGTAGTTATCGGAAGAATGTCACGAGGATGAGTCGCCAGGAATCCGCTGTAGAAATTGTGGAATTGTTTGAGGGCTTCATATTGGATTTGGGATATTGAAGGAGCGTCCTCAATTGTTGCTGGGCGGATATTTATATTTTCCATCTTTGCAAGTTTCCACCTCAACTTTGGTAATTCAATGTACAAGGAGCACAATCGATTCAGAATTAGATATTGTAACGACTCAATTGTGTCTTTGGGTTCTGACCGATCTTTGAGAATTGTTTATTTTTTGCATTGGTTACATGGAAAAGTCAAGTCGAGATACACATACTGAGAGACTAGACCAAAACCGGAGCCCGATTATAAGCACCAGCTGCTTGGGCCCAAGCAGCCCTGCTAGGCGGGTAAACAGCAACTGATTAGATTGTATGATGAAATAAAATAATACACATAGATTAAGCAAAATTTAATATGTAATCAGCAAACAATTTCTATATAGATACGGCATGTTCCAACATATTCCAATTAAGCAAACAAAGATTTATGTCGCAAGATATGCTCCTTCCAGGAGGTCAAATTATCTTCAAGAAGTGAGTGCGACTCCTTCAGGCTCTCACCACCAAAGTAACCCTCTCTGTCCATGACTAGCATATTCTCGAGCAATTCCTGAGCCACTGGTGGAGGCAAAAACGACTTGAATGTGTCTTCAGGAAGCTGAACAGCAGCTGCCTTGACTCCGAAAGTTTGTGCGATTTCGTCAGTGAGTTGTTTGGGTGATAGATAGTCTGTAGCCATAAGGATACGTTTGCCAAGGGTGTTAGGATAGTTCTTGACAACTGCCTTGACGAATTTGCCAGTATCTTCTTCGACTTCAAAGACGGGAATCTTGGCCTTTTCCGGATCAATAGGCAAAGCGAGCATATAGACATCATCCCTCTTCTTGATCATACCACCACTGAGACCTTGCATAAAGAGACCAGGGAGAATGAAAGTTGCCGGGATGCTACTATCGCGGATGTATTGCTCAATCTCGGCTTTGCCTTCAAAGTGAGACACATTCGGTAGTTTACCGTTGGTGATTTCTGAGATGCTGCGCAGAGAAGAGAAGATGAGATGTTTGACGCCGGTCTCTTTGCAGGCGTCTGCCACGGCTTTTCCCTGAGCGACCTCGATGTCCTTATTCATGGTTTCCCAGAAGTTGGTGACTAGGAAAACTGTATGGGAGCCTTTGATGGCGGCTTGGAGAGATGAGGGAGACGACATATCCGCCTAGTCAGATTAGTTTGTATCCGTTATGTCGCTTCCGGTATTGAACTTACAGTAACCATCTCAACGCCCTGAGAAGAAAGCTTCGTTGCTGCTTCCTTTGTAATATCACGAGTTATGCCTCGAATCTTGTATTCCTTAGACAAGACAGGATCGGCTAGGAGGCTTCGAATAACGGAGCCACCCTGGTTACCTGTTGCACCGAAAACAGTGATGATGTTCGACATGTTAGTTCTGGTTGAAGTTGATCTTTGAGAAACAGGTGATCTTTGAAAGAAATGGCGAAGTGTGGATTTGAAGGACATCTAAGTCAATGACGAGCTGAGTGAATTGTTTTTGTTGTTGCTGCTGATGTTGTTGTTGTTATTGATGATGTTGAAAAAGACATTCTACGATGGCGAGAGAGCCGGTACTTATACCCACTGAAGGGCCTAAGCTGTACGATCGAAGCCATAACTATTTCCGACGATTCCTCGTACTGCCTGATGGAGTTCACGAAGATGAGGGGATTTCTAAGCGCTTTGACTGAACCGCGGCCGCCGCTAACCAAATCGAACAGCGGCCGCAACTAGCCGTATCTAGTTAGCTAACATCTGTGCTTCAATTTTTCCAGACTGACTGACTGTTTGACTAGCAACAGTTCGCCATCAGCATTTGTGATGATCGGACAATAGAACGAGCGACGAGGCCGAGAAACGAAGTATTATTTGTCACGACGATAATGCCATGTCAGGTTTCCGAACCTTACGGACCGTTAAACATATTGAACCTACATTGATTCACAATTTTATGGATTACGGTATGATCAGATACCCTGAGATTTTTGAATTTTTAGGGATAAGGTATTCATTTTAGACAAAGAAATTCATGCATTGCGCTACACCAACCCAGAACCACAAGACAAAAGAAATCATGTAATTTTTTAGACGGTGGTGACCAAGTCCTTCTTGAGCGTACCCAAGAAAGCGCGCTTCTCGGCAGGGGTCTGGTAAGCACCGTGACCGAACTCGGACGAGGTATCGATCCACTTGAGGTCGATCTTCTCGGTGGCCTTGCGGCTGACTTGGGGGTAGAGAGTCTTGCGGAGAGTCATGACACGCTTCTTAACACCGGGAACGGAACCCTTGACAATGACGAAGTCATTCTTGACCTCGCCGTAGCGGACGAAACCACCAAGACTGTAGAAAATTAGTACTTATTCCAATAAATCAAGGAGAACATAGACCAAGGAGAGACATACGGAGTGATGGTCTTCTTGGAGACATCGAATTCAGTGGAGGCGTTACCCTCGTCAGTACCCTTGCCGATACGGTAGATCTTGTGGTTGACAGAGGTACGGTGGTGGTAACCCATCTGACCAGCACGGGCAACAGTCCACTGGACGTGGTTAGGATGCCAAGCACCGATACAAGCAACCTTACGGAGACCCTTGTGTGTCTTGCGAGGAAGCTTCTTGGTGCCCCAACGAGAGGTAACACCGTTGAAACCGTGACCCTTGGTGACGGCAATGACATCAATAACCTCGTTCTGCTCGAAGATGCTGTCGATATCGATGGTCTTCTCGAAGAGACCCTGGGCGAATTCAACCTTGTCGGCAACGGAGCCACCGTTGACTTGGATTTCCATCAAGTGGGCCTTCTTCTGCTTAAGAGGAGTCTTGCGGATCTGGGTGTGGGCGAGGACACGGACGACAGTGCAGTACTTCTTGATGCGCTCGAGTTCGCGGGCGCTGCTTTCGGTGTGCTTCTTGGTGTAGCGGGTGAAAGCCTTCTTCTTGCTCTTGTACCAGTTCTTGTAGAAGCGGCGCTTGAGCTCGTCGCTCAAGTGCTCGGCCCAGACAGTAGTGAGCGAGCGGAGACCACGAGGAGTCTCAATGTATCCGACAACACCAACGGCAACGAGCTGTAAAAATTAGTCTACCACCCCACCAAAAACGAAAGTGTTCCAAAATTGACGTACAGGAGGAGTCTCAATAACAGTGACGGCCTCAACAACCTCCTTCTTGTGCATCTTGGCACCAGGACGGTCAAGGTCGCGGACAATGGTGGTCATACCGGCCTTGTAGCCCATGGAGGCGGTCAAGTGGACGGGCTTCTTGGGGTCATCCTTGGGGAAGCTATCGCAGTCTTTAGCTTATTTCTTCCAATTCGTACGTTGCATTTTGATTGTCGACTAACCTCTTGACCTTACCACGGTGACGGGCGGCACGCTTGCGTGGGAGGTAGGCGAGAGAGCCTGTATCATTGTGTTAGTTGATCGCACACAATCGACAAATTTTTCGGTGGAATTCGAGATGACGAACCGTGCCTGGGCGCTTCGTACTTTCGGTGACTCCTGTAATCGCATCGTGGTCAGAATTTGCAAATTTTGATAGAAAAAAACTCGAGTCCATTGAAAGGTGCTAACTCACATCTTGACCCTGTTGTCGTTAGTAGTTCGTCGAAGTAGTGAAAGTTCGAATCTTCGAAGAAGCCGCAGATGTTTTACGCGGGCGGACCTTCTCGCATTGTGGGCTGACCTAAGCGAGTCTACCCTGTTTGAGACTAGCGCCGCACCACAAGCGTTGTCGGCTTATCGGTTTATCCGCTTGGCGAGCTGCCAAGTCTTTTGGAGAGTGAGCATCATCCCTTCATGAATGCCTCCTCATTGATCATAACTATCTCTGGCATCCATTCTGCGGATTTGAGCATGCTATTTCTGTGGCGAACATGGGTAGACATGGCGCATTGTCACCGCAGTTGAGAACACCAAGTTCGCCGCATCATCAGTGCAGCGGCTACGGTGAAGAACTTGGATGAAACAAGCATTGATCTATTCTCGTTGCTAGGATGATTCAGAGAAGACTTGACTGATCGTGCTCCTATGTCATATTATGTAGTATGGACTGAACTGCTTTTGTTTGGACACGGACTAAGGCAGCTAACCCCCTTTTCAAGTAGCATACGTATCGTGGTCCTTTGCTCGAGTCGCTCCACAGTGTTGAAATGCTTTTAACACCCTTTGCACTTTAAATTTTTAATCACCATCTACACTCAAGTATTAACGCGTCATAGATAGAATAACTCCGCATCAGGATCCGCTGCTAGTGGTCGTCCGAGACCGGTTCGGTTTTGACTCCTTGAGGCTCCGACACGTTACAGCCCCTGGAGCCACGGCTAAACCCTAGTATGGCAGCACCTATAGAGCTATTTATTATCAACACTCTGACAGGACATGTCGCGAACTACGCCTGACCACTCTAAGTCGATACTTTCATCATACACACTTCGCACACGTGTAATACTCGGCTGCCATCCACTGCTTCATGCATATTGCTTATCCATTGCCAAAGGATGTGGCTGTTTGTTATTGAAGCAGTTTTCAGGTACCAGCAGTCTACGATTGGTGGAATGTTACTACGACAGATGATTTTACCGCTGAGCTGTAGTCAACCTCATACACTATGAAATCTTAATTTGAGAAAGGACTTTTTCATGCTCTGTAGGCGTGGAGACCATCCAGCCGAGCATCCGGATATACTGTGTATATAAGAAAGCTTTGTTCGTGCAGGATGGTAAAAGAGAACTTATGAATCACTGCATTGCATACTCTCGGTTTTCTTTTTTTGCATTATTGCCATTCTTTTCATTTCCCTGAGCTGGTCTCGGATTCCTTCGTTGACGAATTCTATTCATACATTCATTAAGCATAACTTTACATTGCTTCGCTGTATATATTCAATTTCACCAATCGGGAAAATACGCTTGACAGCCATTCATTCAAAATGACGATCACGATGACATCTTACATGGTTCTTTTCTTAGCCGCCTTGTCGACTGCGCGACCCCTTCAACGACGAGAAGTTCCTCAGGAGCACTCCCATCAAAAGTTTCTTACGACCGTGGCAGCCTCCCTTGCCCTCAACAACCCTGACAAGATCGTTGACCCGGTCTTTGGTCTTCTAGGAAATGCTGTACGTCTTGTTACGAAAGTTGCACCAGGCCGTTGACTAACGAGAACAGGCCGCTGCCGCAGGTGCTGGCTCAGTCACTGACCTCAACTGCCTCCAACAAGCAGTAGCCGACCAGGCTTTCACCAACGCCAAAGCCGCCGGAGATGTAAATGGTATGACAGCAGCTTTGGTCTACCGTACCCTTGAACGTAACACTGGTGCTGTCGGTACTGCCAGCGCTCTTTGTACCTCCGTCACAGCCGTGAACCCGGAAATCGCTGCTCTACAACAGCACCAGGACCCCGCCTCCACCGGCGCTGCAGCAACTAATAAGAAAATTGCTCTAGAGCTGGCTACCCAGATTGCTTCCATTGGTGGCGATCCAACTACCGCCATTGAAAGCGGTACCTTCGCTCCGGGTACAATTGGTGACCCAACTGCCAAAGGAAAATCATGTAAGTTGACTGCAGAAGTAATTACTCCATCTTTTGCTAACAGGTTTGATGTGTAGGTGACGACCAGAACGATCCCACTGGCTGTATCTTCACCCAGAATCTTCTTGTCGCAGATGTTACCGCGGATGAGATCAATGCTGCCCTGGCCTCTGCCGGTGTCAGCGGATCTGCCACTGCAGCCGCTTCCGCAACTGCCACTGCCGCAGCAGCATCATCTACGGTGGTAGCAGCAGCAGCCACAGCTACATCAACAGCATCGACTGAAACATGTTCTGGCTCGACTGCTGTAGTTTCAGACTCCGGATCGACAAACACTACCTCTACCAGTGCAACTAGCACCACCAGCACCTCGACCACAACCGCTAGCACAAGCAGCCTTGACCTTGGATCTTGCAGCGGCTCATCACCTTTCATCGTCTTTGGTGCCGGTTTCGATGGCCGTAACACCGATTCTTTTGAACCTGCTGACAAGACAACTTTCAACCATGGATCTGCTCTCGGTATCGCAGTCGTGGCTGACTTTATTTGTGGCCAGCTGAACAGCCCTTGTAATGCACCACAGTCGACTATCGATAAATGCAACAGTGCTGCCTCAGCAGCGTCGTCATTGTCAGGACAGGCGGCCGCCGATTCCTTCAACTCGGCATTGGCATAATCCTGATAAGGCGATCGAATCCTATAACTACGATCACATTTCAAATGATGTGGTAACGAACGTCAAATTGACAAAATCTTTATTGTCATCACATTTGCAACAAGCTAAAAGCTTCATAAGCTCTATCCATGTATCTAGATAGAACATCCATAGGCAACTTTTAGACACCAAGAGTAACATTTTCTTGTGTCAAGATTTTCAAAGTAGTATCAACTCTCATCACGATTGTCCTTCCAAGTTTCCTGCTTAGCAAATCCCATTTTCACGAAAGGACTCTCCATCAAATCTGATAAACGCATTTTCTTTGCAGTCTCAAGCGAAAGCTCAACGTCTCGAACGCCCCTCGGGCGCATAGCGGTTTCATAAGAAGTGACACCGGTTTCAAGCGTGACTTGGCCAAGGATTGTTTTCTTGATTGCACAAAAAAGCTCTGCTACATCCCGCATGGCATTATTCAAGCCCTGGCCACGATCTACCCATAGTACTCATTAGTATTGAATTAGAGGAAAAGATGTTGAATGACTCACGAGGCAACATTGAGTGAGCAGCATCTCCTGCCAATGTCACTGTACCATGATGATTGTTCCATTGAATAGGTGCCCACTGCTGCGACTGATCAAGAGGGAGGATTTCATCCTCAGGTAACGCAACACCAGCCGTGCGAAACGGTTCGCACATTTTGAAACATCGCGCCTTGTAAAATTCCAGTCTTGTCTTTGGGTCTTTGAGGTCATCGAGATAAGGAGGTCCCCACCAGCAGTGCTGGATTTGAAACTTCCATTCCTCGGGCTTCTCCTGGTTGGAGCAGTCGAGGGCTGGTTTGTTCGTGTCTTAGTTTCGACATATCACAGTCCTCGAGGATGAACGTACCGGTTAGCAGAAAATTGCCATGATAATCCGGATGATACGCAATCTTTCCAATGGGATGATATTTGCGTAACAAAACAGCCTGCTCGGCAGTATATCCACAAGCGGCATGATTCATCATGCCCAAGTCAATATCAGTCGGCTTCCCAAAGTCTTCTCCCACGAGAAAGTTGCGCACTATGGACCGCGAGCCATCGCAGCCAACTAGTAAATTGCCTGTCTCCTGATATCCATCGGAAAAAGACGCTATTACTAGTCCATCGTGGTCATGGGCTACCCCGACTAATTTCTTCTCAAACTGGAATTCCCGAAGTCAGTAACAACAGCAAAGATCACAATAAAACAGCGAGATGAGTACCCTTATATTCAACCCTGTCTCCCAACCCAACAGTCTCCGTAACTTCCGCCTTGAGACGCGTACTATTCCAGGCATATGTACTTCTGCGATAACTTCACCAGTTTCTCCATTGATGTGAGGAAAAGGTTGGTCAGCATCGTAATGAGGATCAACCAACGCTTCTCTTAGCCGTGACTGGATATAGTCCGGGATGACGGAGAAGAGGTACTCCTTTCCCCAATGTAACTGCATACCTTGACTCGTTCAGTACTTGAGATTATACGTAAAATGAAGGGGAAAGCATACCCCAGTCTCGAGATTTATTCCAGTAAACATCTTCAGCATCGCGTTCGAAGAGACTATAAGTTATATTTTCCTTGTTTTTCCAATGAGTTGAATGCGAATCACTATGAGAAATAGACTACTGACTCTTTGCAGGCCGTGGGCGAGAGCAAGGCCACTCGTTCCTTTTGACCAACTATCAGCTTATCCTGTGCTCATGTACATCGTAGGATGACACATACCTCCTCCTATAATTAGTACCCTGAAGCCGGTGATTGATCCCATTGATGTTATTAAAAGTTCCCACTGTTACAAACGGCTGATATGATTTCATATGCGACTGCGTCAATCAGAACCTTCAGTTTGGCACGGGTTTGAGGGATGCATTCATGGATCTTATAATAATTTCAAAACCCCGCGGGCTCAATGTTTGTGTAACGCTCATATAGTTGAGCGGATTGGTTGATTGTCGATGTTTGCATGCATGCAAAGTAACGCAGTCTTGCATGTTGTTGCGTGCATTCGGTTGGTAAGATTGCTTTTCTTCAGCTCGACATTGGGTGGTTGTAGAGAGAAAGAAAAACATTAAAATATCTCATCAAGTCTTTCTTTTAATAGTATCCGGGACTGACTAAACATCTACTCAAGCGTCCAAGAAGAAGAATGAAATTCGAGTAAAGAATCAAGGTATGGACGATTCAAGGAAGCAAAAAGTCGAAACATCTAATAATATCGGAGGGCAACAGCTCAAAGATTGTCGCTTGAGTTTACCTGTGTCTCTGCTGGTTATTATTCCGAATCCGTATGTTCAGCTCTGTTTGCTTCCATTTGTCTGTGTCTCTGCTGGTAATTATTCCAAATTCGTATGGCCACCCTTCGGCATCGACTCCGAAGGAATTCCCGAACGCCTTGCTTGAATGATTCATCAAAAGCTTGGAAAGGAAAAGGCGCCTCAACATACTCCAGAAGCAAATTATTACGTGAATCCACACAAGAGGCCCCCCAGACATACGATACAGAACCAGTGCTTTGTCCGCCCTGAAGCTCGCATCTGAGCTTATAGAACGGAAACGGAGGAAGGCGAGTGGCGTTTTGATAGCAATTTCGACGAGATAATAACCACACGTCTGCGATTATCGGGCCAACCATGCTTGGACTTGATTTTTTGGATTCATCTCCGTAAATCAGCTCTTCGAGCTGACCAGGATTACTCCATCGAACACCATGAAGCCAAGAACCATCGTAAGGTGGCGCATCTTGTTCGTGAATCGTGATGACAATCACAAGTTGCACCTCTCCATTGGTACCATATAGCCATTGTTTGGCATTATCCAAAACTTCCTCCTCTGTCTCGTTGTTTTCAACGTGTACTACCATCAACGGCCATCGTTGATTAGCATTGATAAGCGCGGTTTGTGGCCTCTTTATCATGTCGATGTTGTTGGTGAGCATGTATGCTAAAATCTTGTCAGATACCAAGGCGAGATGAAGTTGAAGCAGGAGGCGGGGCATACGTTCGCCTTGCACAATGGACCAGCTCCTGGAGTTATCATCACCCAGACGGTCTATAGCGGTGTGAAACCAGGTCAGAATACCCTTCAATGCTCCACAAGCTGGATCAGGCTCCTGTGGTCGTAGTAGAAGACGTCCCTGACGTGCGTCGTAGTCGAATCCCTGCAGACTTCCTGGAGGCTGCTTGGCTTGCCATTCCAGAAACTTATTCATAGTGACCTGTAAGTGGAGATGAAAGAAACTTAGCCGGAGCCGCCAATCGAGAAATAAGATTTGAGAACATACCGGAAAAGCTGGGATGGCAAGGTTGCGTCTGATTTCGCGTCGAATGGAGGCAATGAGTTCCGGAGTGATATCTTCCACGCATCTGATATTCGCAATTGCATTTTCAACGAACTCGTTGATACCGGGAATGGGGGTATCGCGGAGAAGTCTCAAGGGAGGAATCATGCTTCCAGAAACCGCTTCTTTTGACGGCCCGGGTTATCGCTCAGGAGGTAATGCATGCATAGAAGTATGCGAGCTATCGTAACTAGACAGCAAAATAGTAAGTAACTGCAGACTGATAGTCGAAGGATGAGTGAGGAAGATTCATTTCCGAGATGAACCACATTGAGAAGTCATGAGGTCGCCGGATGCCTTCCGAGTCTGAATGGCTGTCACGGAGGAAGGAGGCCGTTCTACTCCCCAAGAGGCTTCTTGCCCATTGAATCCAGCGTTGAGTCCTTCCACAAGCATCAATATCTGAGAGCTGATAGATAAAACAACAGTAGCTAGGTGATAACGAAAGTCCTGGGTCCATGATACTGATATGTCATGCGACAAGCTCATCTGAAACATGTTTTATCTGACATGAGATGTCCAAGGAAAACGACATATAACATCAGGTCAGAGACGTGGGTCATTATCAAGATTTCATCATCTGAACTTTGATGCCCATGTCCACGGCATCACAAATGACTCTACCGAGTACCAGCGTGAGTCAACTATAGTCACACTTAGCCGTTGAAGAATCCAAACACTCATAAATTGCTTTCTCAGGTAAAAACTGAGTTCAATACGAAGGAAACTTTTGATCAAACATGAAACTTTACTCCCTGCCATCAAACATGGTCGCCATCATCACTGTTTTGATAGGAGCTATCTCCCTAGTTCAAGGTAAGTAAATCTAAACGCCAGCAGCTATCTTTTATAAAAAATATCTGCAATGCCCTAACACAGAACGATTAACAGGCCTGATAATTACATCTCCAAAGGCAGACGACAAGATCGACCTTCAACAAGGCCTCCCCATTTCATGGATCGTTGAAGATAACGACAATCTAACAGCTACCATCAGCATCTTCCTTTATAAGGACAGATACTCCCAGGTATTCTTAACTCAGTCTGAGCCTGGGGGTGCTGTTCCTATCAATGATTCAAGCTACAATTTTCAGTACACTCCGGACAAATTCTACATTTCGCCAGGAACAAACTACGTTGTTTACTTAATCGACCGCAAAATTACTTATGAAAGTGGCAAATTCGCAATAGTCAATACTAACAGGCGTGTCACTTCCACGATTCCCCATCCCACTGCTACTCAAAAAGGCTCAAAAAAATCGCCTTCAGCGTCAGCGTCGGCCTCGGTCAGGTTGAATTCGACATCTACTCATCTCCCGCATCATACACCGAGCGCATCTTCAGGTAGGGCAAACGGCTTGACAGATAACGGTATAGCGACCGGTTCAATGAGCCTTGTTATCATCGGAGGACCGCTTTTCTGGGGCCTGATTTTGGTGTATATACAGGGTGGGCTGATTTGGACTTGAGTCATTTACATGAATCTCATCAGTCAGGTTCTTCATGCTTTCAATTTTTATACCTTGATGATTCCAAATTTGAGTACTTCATCTTTGCCTTTCAGCGACTAGTAACTCCAATGACCTTAGCCTTCCAACGGATGCCCGCCAGAATACTGGAGGCCTACCTGAAGACACTTGTCAGAATTTTAAGACGACATACGTGCGCGCGAGCTTGGGAATGTCAAGTAATTAATCTACCCAGAATCTTTGAAAGAAGCAGCTTCATCATACGAAAATTAAAAGCGAACCTTGTATCTATAATTATTGCTCTAATTGTTATTGCATAATGATCCGAGCTTGATACCCCCAATTTCAATGCCCTACTCATAACACGCATACGACAAGCATTTCTAATACGAAAGCCGAACAATTTTTTAAAGATGTCGAACGAGAATGATTGTTGATTTCAAAGCTGTAAGCATGCATTTTTGGCTTTGCACAACGGAAAGCAAGCTATGATGATCTTGGTGGCTCAGACTGCTGATCTCATAGCCACTGTGTTCTTGCCTGACGTTCACCGATGAGCGCTCTTGTAAATTCCACGATTAATTTCTGCTAGTTAATCGTGACTATTATTAGGGGTCTGACTAGTACTTACGACTAAGTAGCACTTATTTGTTGCTAAATGCTCCTGGTCAAAATCTAGACTTCAATTGTTAGGGCATCGAAGGGCACCTGGGCAGTGACATCTCCAGGGCTGCACAGCGAATTTTTTACCCACACATCGCTAAATGAAATATATTATAAATTTATAAACCTGTATACAAATATTTTGTTCGTGACAGAGTTCTATTTTAGCTCTGCTCCTCGCCATTAGAATTGAAGCTCTAATTTGTGTATCTCATGCTCCTAAGCTCCAGGTGCAATCGGATCCTGCAAAAGAGGGATAAAAGTTAGTTCAGCCAGCTTACACCTCTTCTAAAGTGCTTACTTAGAGACTCGCTAGAGCACTAATATAAGCGTTACTAGAACACTTGTCTAGAGCTCGCACAAAGGACTTATTAAGGACTTATTTCGGGCTAATAAGTCACAAAGACATATGAGTGTGCGGGTTTGTAAAAGATCCCAATTAGCACTGTGTGGAGAATAAATTTCTGTGCAGATACACTGTCCGCTCAAAAGCGTCAAAGTCACCGAATCTAGCAGGTCCACGTAGGCTAATATCTGACATTACCGAGTTGACTGCAGATACTCCTACACATTACTACGTTCCTCCAATGCGATTCATTAACTCGTGGATAATTGCCTTGCGACGCAAAGCGCAAGTTTCGTTGTTGGCTCAAGAAGTTCAGTAATTGTTGGCAAGACTCAGCATTCAGTTTCGATTTGGTGGCTGGCATATGAAAGTGCCCACTATTGACACTATTAATGAAAATAGTCCAACATAGAGTTGTCGGCACAGACAAATGAAAAGCAGCGGCTCAATTTAGGGCCAACATCTTCTGCAGACTCCACCATTTAAAAGAAGATTGAGAGATAGGCGAAGCCACTAAACGTCATCATAGTAATTAGCCGCCCACTTTAGGGGGCCCGTTCGACTCCAGATCAACAAGCTGAAGACTCTCGGCTGTGCCTGTGGAGATGGATTAACTAGTTATTGGTCATTGGTTTGTTACTTACTGTTTGAATGGGTTTCAAATAGAGAATAATAAATACTGAGGCCCTTGCTTCTGCCGCCCACTGTCGCAAGTTTTTCTCCATATTATGCACGGAATCTTCTCTTCGTTGAGTATAGAACTTCGCATTTACCACGATCGGATTGACTGAGAAAAGCTTCTCGGGGTTTAATATAAGCTTATTCGCAGAACGGCCTGCAAACAAAAGCTTAAAAATGTTCTCCACCATCAAGCTCGAGAGAACTGCTCTCTTGCTCACCTCACTTATCGCCATCCTATCCCCGTCGCTGTCAGCAGTTGCCCTCGCCAACCAAACCTGCTACTACCCAGATGGATCGATTGCTCAGGGCGATAAGCCATGTGGGAATGGGACAGATGTAGCGTGCTGTGGATCAGGGGGCATCTGCCTATCTAATGGTCTTTGCATGGACGTCGCTCAGCCGAATACGTTGGCACGATCTTCATGCACGGACAAGTCATGGACTAGTGGAAATTGTCCAAACTACTGCCTTCAGGGTGAGTCGGCGTCGCGCTTCATTACCTCGGCCCCGCATGAAAAGTTGCTGTATACTAATCTTGACTTCATCACGCAGAGACGAGTTTCAACAAAAGTGGCTGTTCGATTATTCTCTTTTCATATCTCAACAGCGTCGGCGAGTACTGCTGTAACAACATGGACGCGAGTGATAACACACCCATCTGCGCTTATAACCTATCGACTTTCCAAATTCCGGACTCGAGCATTGTCCCAGGTTTTGCGCTTCTGTCAGACTACACCACTATCTCAAATGCCACGTCCTCAACGAATGCTACGTCAACGAATGCTACGTGCTCCACAGAAAATAACTCTAACAGTGACCACCATACCGTCATCGGAGTAGGAGTCGGCGTTGGAGTATCTTTGGGTCTCGTCGCACTAGCTTCAATCGCTTGGGCGCTCTGGGAACGACAAAAATTGAATCGCTACAAGACCGAAACCCTCGCAAGTGCGAAGGCATCATCACCATATTCGGATGCAGCACCTCAGCAGCAGGCGTACAATATGACGCCTATGGACACTGGCGCATACGGACAACCAGCGCCGACATACAATCATAGTAATAATCAGTATAATTCAGCTTTGTTGTCGGAGATGGGAACCAGAGGCCCCGTGGAGTTGGACTCGAGGAAGTAGAGTGGGTGGGTTTAGGACTGCGAATGAAAGCCGAAACAAGATCAAAGATATCGAAGTACGCTTAAAGTGAAGGATTGGAAAACGAACCATCAATGTACAAACTAATGCAATGACTTGAAGTGTTTAATATGCATACAAATTAGCTACAAGCAAGACAAATGATAAGAGATGACTAAATGCAATTGGCGCCTTAAAGGCCGTCAAAATGCCAATTGAATCGAATGAACAAGTCACTAACTACGAGGTTGACTCGGTGACTGGCCATCAGATATGCTGATGGTGTATATGTTGCTAGGATATCCATTTCGGTGAGGTACCACATCGAGGGCCTGTTGGGAGCCGGTGATTAGGGCTTGGTGACACTGGATAATGTTACACTAAATCAACACCTGCAGCGCCAAAATAAACTCCATGTAAAACTTAAATATCACTAGTAAACACAGGTCGGGGATCTAAACTACTGGTGCAAATCGTATACGTGTGATGAATATTGGATGTCCCTCTACTACGCATAAGAGTTATGGGCTTGCAGATAAAAAAACTACTTTTGATGATCATAGTGTCCTGATATTGTAATTTATACATGAATATGTTGTTGACTAAAGACAGTGATCATCCCTCACTGGTATAACTTGATGGAGTTGATCGAGAAGTAGGTCTCCGAGTAAGCCGATGGGTTAGCAGCAACATAAGCATTGCAAGTCGATTGACCTGTTGTGGTAGCACAATCGGTCCAATCGGACCATTCCTGACCACCAGCGCCATTTGCGCCACAGAAATCAAGATTGAAGATCTAAATGACGACCGTCAGCTCAAATGAAGAGAAATCTCTGGTGATAGTGTCAACACATACCACAGTCTGATCAATGAAGTTGCTAGCAACATCACATCCATTGTTGGAGTCGAATTCAAACAACGGAGTGCCCCAGCCGGAAGGTTCAGGGTTGCCATTGGTGATGTCCGCTGGAATCTCGTCGCGTGGGAATACCCACAGCTGCAGTGAGTCTTCAAGAGAGAGGACCCAGACACCACCACCGGCAGAATTGAACCCGGCTCCGAACTGGCTCGACGTGCTTTGGACTCCGCAGCCACCACCGTTGGAGAGAGTGCAGTCGGTACGAATATCCGTTCCAGTGAAGTCAGTGGTTGAGAGAGTGCATGTGTTGCCGGTGTGCAGAGAAACGTAGGCACCGGCAACATCATCGTAGGCCTCCATGATATCAATCTCGCCGTAGGGATTTGCTTGGTTGTTGATTGTCCAGCTTGATGAGGAAGTTAGACACGAATATGTTTTCTCAAGGGTGAGCAGGGTGTTTTCTTACTATGCAGGCCAGATACCGCAAACGGAAACAGGCAGGTGTGCAAAGTCTGTGATCAGAATACCATTGCTGAAGGTATCTTGACTGTATACACGGACGGAATTACGACCCGTTGAGGATGAGTCCAGGACAGTGGTACTGTCGACTCCTAGGTAGATCTGACTGTTGCTTGTGCTGTAGAGACCGTCACTGGATGCAGTGCTCTGGTCAACGTAATTGACAAATCCCGCGGTTGGATCTGTTTCCTATTACACCTTTCGTGAGTCGACAATTTATTAATCAACATGCTTCAACTAGTCCCTCACCGTATCGAAGACGAAGTAGTCTAGAAAGTTGCTGGAGTTAACATCCCATTGTAAAGTGTACGCAGCAGCCCCTGTCCCCAGAAGCACCGGACAGGCTGCAGCAGCTAAAGTGGTTGTCTTCATGTTGTTGTTATTGACCGTCGCGTTGTATGGGGTATGGATTTGCGAGACGATATAAGGACTTGAGGAATTATAGAGTAGTGAAGAATATACAAACTTTTGGATCCCCTGGGTTCGGATATTCGGGCTTTTATGTACAGAGCCAGGTTACAACTTTGAACGAGATTTGTGGATTCGAGTCTATTCCTTAAAATTAAGGCTATTTCTAAACATTCAGCCTTCTTCCGAATAGAGATAATGAAACCCCGTTCTATGATCCATCGCGATGGAACAGTAAACGCTTTTCAGTAAACTGGTTTAGTCAAGTGCCGGGGCTGAAATCATGGATACTAAAATAGTGACAACCGTCTGAAACAACAAACGCTGATGCAACCTTAGCTAGAACCCTTTATTTCGTGGGTACGTAGAGAACGCGCATCGATTTATATGTTCCTCTCACGCACATCGTTTTTGTATGATGATTTTACATGAAAATAAATATCCGCATTGTACGAATGCTGAACCGAACTTTCATGGGAATTTTGAGAGCTAGGTTTTGATTCGAGATACGTACGAGTTGCCGTTGTATAGGTAAAGCCCTAACAAGAACCCGCAAATTAGTCACATGTAAGATCGTGGGTCCAAATTCAATGTTCGTACCATGTAACATCAATGGTCCGTTGCTTCACTCCCTCGGCAGACTTGTACATAATGCAGTGGAGACTGCCATAAGTCGAAACGAAACCAAGCCTGTTTTCGTAGGTCAGCATTGACTTTATTGGTCGTGGATCAAAGGTAGAACCAATAAAGGCGCTTAATCTCGTGTCGTAGGAGCGTATCTATAAAGTGGCGTTAGGCATTCGCTGGCACAGCGAGAGTTTATTTTCATTCCACCCCGTGTCTGGAGTAAAAATAGTACGCAGTTAGTCGCTTACTACTCAGACCTAGATGTTTGAAAAAGTCCATGCTGTCTACCATAAAGAGTATAAAGCCAAAGCATAGACCATGAGCCCTGAGCTGATAGATGAGCCCGGGCGCCTCTCCTCGTTCTCGTTCCTGTGTGTTGGCCGTTATATAAGTGTGGGAAGGCTGTGCATTGCTATGGCACCCCGGCCTTTGGGCACGTGATTAGGCTCATAAAGTTTCATGAATCGTGAGGCGCTCTCAACTCCCAGTAAGAATACGCACTCACAATGCGAATATGCATTGATTTAAAGTTTTGCCTTTAGTCATGGATGATAAGTGAAGTGTGTGGGATCAAGGGCCCAAGTATCCGTTCAACGAACATCACCCTAACTTGTTCAATCATCGTGCTGATACTACAAGAATCGGGGCCTGCAGCCAATCATTTATATTATGATAGCATGCTAGCTGTATAAAGTTAGCACGCATCACAGCGTAGGGTTAGGGTTGCACCGGTTACTCTATTCGATCTCAAAAGAATTAGGTACTGGCGATAGTAGAGAAAAATAAGCATTGAGACATTAGGGTACATGTCATTAGAGTAACTTTAGCTAGTTCGAATAGCTAGTTCGACAGCTACTTCATATCCATCATCACTGAAAAGAATGTGTGTCACCCGCTGTTTTTCCCCTCCTGTCCAGTGCTAATTTGTTGTTAGTCTTGGAAACAGATAATCGCACACCCAGGTGGCTTTCAGAATACGAAGTTTCTTTTATAACGCAGGTCAGACAGGACATCTTCTTTATCAGCCCCTTGTGGAATGCTCCGAAGCCCCCCACCCCGCGAGTTGATTCATTTCTTGAGACGTCCCATATCTGGGGGACGACGCACGAAGCTGAATGCAGTCGATGAGGGGTTTTTCGACGCTCTCTGTAAAAAGTTTACTTTATGAGCCTGCTCAATGCTTGCTTCTAAGCTCAAGACCGAGTTATTAAGATAAGCGAAAATGTTGTATCCAAGGCTAGACTGAGGAGTAGTGATTACAGATTGGCATCCGCCGTTATTAGAATCGCGCCATAAGCACCGGAGATATTTACAGGTTCACGAACGAGCTCAATATTTTGGTATCGAATGCGAATGATTTGCTCCGGCAACAGAGCCCGTCGATATTTCCACGCCAGGCCTTCTTGGGAGAAAACCCCTCGAGGCAGAGAGAAGACATGCCATCATGCACCATATCTGTAGTCTAGGTAATAAAGAGTCTGATTAAACAAAAGTTTGAAGCTTGTTATCAGCAGGGAACTTTTTCCGTCTCTTCGTTTCATCAATAGAAAAGGAAAGCCTGACAGTATCAAGTAATTTTCTCACAGCTTTAAACATACTTCTGAAAGCCTTTTCATGAATCTGGCAATCTGAGACCGGATCTAAGTAAATTTTAGACTCTATCTGCAAGTGTCAAGGATGTTATGTAATCAGCAATCAGAAACTAGACCATAAAACTTTGAGCGATGATCATGTTGGGTCGCATATCAAATCGAGCCCGCTAATGCTCATACATGTATCTAAAGCCGATTTTCCACGCTAGAGCGATCAGATTTGACAAGGATATTGACACATGGAGTGGAATGGAAATCCAATTTTTGTGTATAGCATATCCGACAAACAGACGGCACGAGGAGAAGCCTCCGCGCAAGAAACAGTCTTAAGAACATAAAACACGAGACTAATCAATGAATTTCCTATACAGGAAAGTCTCCCTAGCGTCCTGTCAGTCAAATCTGCATTTATCCGATCCAACCATGAATGCAGTGAAACCTGGAGGATGTACCACTCTGTCAGTTGGGCACACAGGCCACAGGGCCCTCGACACATCCAAGATTGGAACTTTCATATGAAGAATTAGTAATGACAAACGACGGTCTGCTTCAGCGATTCTCATGTGGCTTCTCATGATTTATTCGTGCGTAATAGGCCCCAAGGATAAGCTTGGGCCGCTAAAGCAAATGATTACGTCTAAACTGACTGATAACTGAGATAGTAGCCGAGGAAGCTTAGAGATCCAGCGCTATTCCCCAATCCTGAATATTCAGATGAAATTAAGTGTGGAGTGACTTAGTGACGAAGAAGTCACGAATATATCACGAAATATATGGTCAAATTTCGAAAGTTGCGCGGCATATGTTTCCAACAAGTAGGAGTGTTGGAATTGCTTGCCACGGTCTTGAAAAATTCCCTACAGGATAAAATAGGAAGCGCAACTAATCGAAAATCTCAACGTTAATAGGTCGTAGAATGGAATAAAAGGCGTGCTGCCATGTAACGTTGATGTAGTAAATACTAATCAAATGCAAGCTGTACTCAGGTTGACAGTCAAAATCCAAATAATTCGATACTTCGCCCGTGAGATATACTATGTTAGGTTTCCAAAAGGTCAATCATGCATGTTTGCTTGATTCTTTGAAGGTCACCTGTCTAACATCATCAATGAACAATGGGATTGGACCTCGATTAAATTGTCCAACCATCGTGGTGGCCGAGCGACAGTTCACAGCTGCATGAACGCCCCATATTTACCCCAATCCATGTCTTGCAACCAACCTATCGTAGATATAATAATGCCTACTAATGGGCTGGCTTGATAAGCACCTTATGTCAGTGATTTCTGACTGGCTATCAAGCAACCTTTGCCATCTGTCAAGTACTAAAATTCGGCTCAAAGCAGCAGACAAAGAGTGATGAACATTTTCTTTGTCATCTGAAACGGATATTCCAAACTCCGCATTGATCATGAGATTGATACTAATTAGGAAAAAGAGCATTTTGTCTCCACCAAGAATTCTTAACCTGTACATCCAATATTATTTTCATTGATGAAAACGAAACTGTGTGCCGCGGAAGACTTTCTCAAAGAGCGGAAGAAAAATTGCAAGGAATGACGTCCATAGTACTGCTATTCTACTTCTCGAGTTCATGTACTAAATACGTAGCTATTTTCAAGATCTTCAAGATACAAGAATCGTAGGTGCTGTCACGCGAGGCTCAAGCTCACTAAACGAGACCGATTTTCATCTCGACCAGCCAGCCCATCAGCCCTGAAATACATGACGGTCATCCGAGATTGTGTCATTGTGTCCTGGTAAGGACATATGAAGGCCCAACAATCAAATTCGGAAGTTAAGAAAACTGGAACGAACTCCGTAGGTATCAAAGGGTGTGATTAGCTTCATGCATCCCGAGTCAAACACTAAAGAAGTTCTAATGAAATCCAGATCGACAAGCTGAATAGTACATACTTTTCGGCTGAGTAAACAAGTGCTTATGTCAGATTTGGGGCGGCGAGACATTGGAAATAGATATCAAGCAGCAAAAATAAATTTATAAAACTACCACTCAACCTGTCGGCTAGGTTTCTGTCAGGCAGATGCTCAGGGACAAAACAAACATAATTCCTCCACGTGTAATCACTCAGGTTCTTCGGTGGTTCCAGGATTCTGACCTTGATGGTTCAGACCTACCTAATTTGAAGTAGCACGAATAACGTGTCAGAGCACGGAGCTTACGAGTCAGGGTATATCAAACCACTATACGATGATGCAGTACAACTAGCTCAGGTTGCCACTACTCTAGTAAAGATGCGAGAAATGAGACTAGAGTGTTTGATGAACCCTTCTTCACCAATGACAACGCTCTCCACAGTTGTTACTTGGGCCCGGCCTGGTTTCTAAATCCAGTAATGTATTGAAGCGTTCTGGTACCGATCATGCACGTCCGAGAGAACAATGGCGGGCTGAAATAAAGGAATAATATAATTGCTGGACATCACAGTCGTACTGGGCTAATGGCTGCATTGTATGCAGCCATGCTTTATGATTTGCTGCGAAGCTAGTCTATCCAGACATGATGTTTATCATTCAGTCCAGTCACATGAAGAAGCTTTATAATCATGATGGAAAGCCTATATAAAGGGCTTGGGGATCTTTCCTACTAGCTCAAAATGCGTAGACCTATGGTTCAGTTCAGTAGCAAGTCTAATAGGAATTCATCGGAAACAAGCATGTACGAAATCAACAAGATTCGTAGAAAAGAGTATCCCAGCCTCAACAGTAAGTCTTTATAACTAACAAAAATTTGTCAAAACTAACCGAAGTTGATACACAGAAACATGCTATCTTGACTACGGCGGTGCAACACCATATGCCAAATCACTCATCGATGTTTCAGCAAAGCTGTGGAAAACAGATCTCTTTGGTAATCCACACTCGAAATCTGCCTCTTCCTTGCGCGCCACGGAATACGTGAATAAGGCCCGACGGCGTGTGCTTGAATTCTTCCATGCAGACCCCGATGATTTCGATGTCGTGTTCGTCGCCAATGCTACAGCAGCAATAAAATTGGTTGGCTACTGCTTTCAAGAAAGGGGGTTCTGGTATGGATATCACACCGATGCTCATACAAGTCTTGTCGGTGTTCGAGAACTGGCCGATAAAGGATACCACTGCTTCTCTTCGGATAAGGAATTGAATCAATGGATCGAATCCTCCAAGGGTGAAGCCGATGAGACCTATCTTCCCGTTGACTTCGACGGCCGGGTCATAGACAACGGATTAAACAAGCTGATTGGATATCCGGCTCAATCTAATATGAACGGTCATCGTACACCAAAGCACTGGGCACAGCGCATGCGTCAAAAAAGCTATACGACCGCTGGACGTCTATACACTCTGCTGGATGCTGCCGCCTATTGCTCTTCGGCGCAACTTGATTTATCCGACCCAGATGCTGCACCTGACTTCATTAGTGTTAGTTTCTACAAGATTTTTGGTATGCCAGACCTGGGAGCTCTGATAGTGCGTAGAAAATCAAGCGAAATTTTAACGTCCCGCCAGTACTTTGGTGGCGGCACGGTTGATATGGTCACAGCATTCGGTCAGTTTCATGCTAAAAAGTCTGATCATATTCATGAGGCTCTAGAGGATGGTACCTTACCGTTCCACAATCTTTTGATGCTCAACACAGGTATTGTAATACATCGACGACTATTCCATTCAATGGAGGAAATATCGAAGCATGCATCTCAACTTGCGTTCCAACTTTACACAGACTTATCGCGGCTACAACATGCAAATGGCCGAATGGTATGCGAGATCTACAAGGACGCGAGTAGCAAATACGGAGACAGTGAAACACAAGGCCCAACTGTTGCATTCACGATTCGCAAGTCAAATGGCGCATGGGTGCACTATGATCATGTGGAAGCTCTTGCCAGCGCGTGCAACATCCAGATCCGTGCCGGTGGTGTGTGTAACCCCGGCGGCATCGCGGAACATCTGGAACTGGCTTCTTGGGAATTGAGACGCAACTACAGTGAGGGCTATCGTTGTGGTGAGCCTTTCAAGGTCCGCGGGGGAAAGCCATCAGGTATCGTCAGAGCAAGTCTGGGCGCTATGTCCAATAAACGTGACATTGAAAACCTTGTCGCTTTCGTGAAGTACTTCTTTATAAGCAATGATCATCAAGAAGGTAGTCACGACATCACTCCAGAAACTTCTGAGAAGGGTCAACGCCAGTGGTCGGTTAGGAAAATGCAAATCTTCCCAATACGGCACTGCCCTTCATGTATTGTGCCCATTTCATCTGCATGGGAGATAGACCATTCTCGGTTGGCATTGGATAATGGGTGGTGTCTCGTGAATCTGGAAACCGATGAAGTCCTCAGAGATGGTAGGATAGCAAGCGATCTTATGGTTCGGATAGACATCGAATTAGGTCGACTACGTCTAGAAACGCCGTCGAATCCACTGTCTACTTTTGAACTCGATCTATGGGAATTACCTATGGGAAAGTGGGTTACAGACTCTCTAGAGCAAACTCCACATGGGACGTATAGGTTGGCTCGAAGCTTTGTGTCGAAAGATCTTGAGGAGTTTCTTACCCTAGCTCTCGGGCAGCCAATGACGCTCGCTCGGTTCTATGAGATAAATGGAGAACTCCCCGTTGATCTCTGCGTCGAAAAACTCGATGTTCTTTCATCTTCCGAAGGAATAATCATTCAGTTCTCGGGTGACGTCCCGCACAGAAAGGTACACATTCTGTTGGAACCCACATCAAATCTGACCTCGAAAGCTTCACCACCGCAAAGGCTTCGATTTGGCAATCAGCGTCTCTTCCGTTTGCCTTGGACTGGGGAAGACAGTGACACGGCCCGATATTGCCGTGTCCCGGATGTGGTTGAAGACATACCGGCCCAAAATACAGCAATTAATCCCACTGACTTGGTTATGGAGTCTCGGTCAGATTCAATAGTTGATTACAGATTTGGTGATCAAGACTATAATTTCTGTCCGGTGACAAGATGTGGCGAGAAATTTGTTGACTACTCCGTGTTTCTGCATCATCTGAATGGCCATGCGCGGCCTTTCATAAAATCCCAACGGAGAAGGTGTTGGTTTCGATAAGAAGAAATATCATGTAATTCAGTAGAGTAACGCATTTTTTTCATTCTCCAAATACTCTAAGCTCGGCGTAGATATTGTCCGCTTCGCATGGATGACAGGAGAAGGCGGATCATACGGCAATTGTGTAAGGCTTGTCTCTCCCGACGACACATTTTGAAATTGAGTAGTCTGCGTCAAATGTGACCCCGACATACAGTTGACTTTGACATCATTTTTCGGGTTCAACAGACAAGCTCAACTATGTCGTGTTGTAGGACACAGATTGCGAGTGAACGTTGAGCATTTTTAGATCCCTGGTCCGAGGACCGATCATCGGCTATACCAAACTTGGGTAATGAAGGCGCCGGCCCGGTGGATTATAAATTAATAAAGGTCATGACGGACGTAGATCCTTGGTCCTTCCTGCGTCCATCCTGTGAGCCGTGTGTGGAATTGCTCATCTTACCATGACTCCGCCCCATGACTGACAGATGGGCGTTCGTGTTGCGTGCATAGTGAGGTCATAACGGTTCATGTACATATTACTACGTACTTTGACAGCATCCTGAGACACACGCAACGCATGATGCTGATGTATAGTCGAGAAGTGAGATGTGAAAAGGTTACAGCTGTTTTACAAGCTTCACAGAGAGTGCCGTTGCGCCTTACTTGAGTGTGAAATAAAGTGTAATCTGAGATGTATTGTTCATGTCAGTACGTAAAAGTCTAAAAGCATGAAGGAATGCCCTGATATGGCAGTGTGGAGATATGACAGCAAAGACTGTAGACATTGATTGGTGACTCTCAGTCATGGCACGAGCGGGCGGATACAGCATACCGTGTCCCGGAAACTTTTTCCAAGGTCTAAGTCGGAAAGACCAATCATAACATATATAGATTACCCTATCCAGAGCTATTACTGCTATGATACACACTCACTGTAATGGATTTTACCATACATACAAAGTTGTCTGGGCAAGAGATTATCTTCTCTCGCCCATCGTTATTGTATTCTAGCCGACGACAGTCTTTTACTGATTCGTACTCAGTATCCATGATTAGGCTGATGAAAGAACCCGTGAACAACACCGTTCCAGTCCGGGGAGTCGACTGGATCTATCTGCCGTGCAGTGGAGGCCCGGAGAGACTTTAAGCCGGCAAATGCGCTAATTGAATAGCCTAAGACCGCTCTTATTGGTGTCTATTGGCTGACTCCAGCTCGGTTTGGCCAGGAACTACAGCTAGACCTCTCACTAAGGTGACTTGAGAACTTTAGTTATTGTGATCCCTTTAGCTCTGATCCGAACTTCATCTACCAGCGCATTCCCACTTGGCTTCCAGTGCCCAAACTTCCAGTCATACTTAACCAGAAAGACAGGCACTTTTGAGATATCGGGTCGTTGTTTCCTTCTTTATGCAAGAACTCAGGGTTGCCGCACCCTGAACCCCGCCGACCTACGAACGACACACTCCGACGGCTACTAGCAGTCGTCTCAACGGACAGTGACCAGCGTCTCGATCTCGCACCGAATCCAGATACAACAAAAAAGATCGAATTGTTTCGTATATCCGTACACCCATTGATTACGTGATCTTAGTGTTCACCCGCATCTCCCGCTGAAACATACAACTGCATACTTTGACTTCCGCAAGAATGACCTGGTGATGGTTCGTGACGAAGGCTGCGGTTCAGAAGGTCCGAGTCCGGAATCAGACCCGGAACTTGATGACGGGGGTTTGGATCAGTTATTTTCCGACAGCATACAGTAGCCGTCATGCCGGACGACAAGTTCATATTCGTAAATGCTCCGACGATCATTAACGCCGGTCCGCGAGATGCTCGGCGGCAGTTGCGCTCTCAGTTGATGCGTCGGGTTTACCTGAAGAAGTACAAGGTTTCTCCATCAACAGTTGAAGATGATGGCGTTAGCGTGGCCGAGAGAGACTCGTCCAGTAGCCCGGAACAATGTCATTGTTCGTTTCCTTCAGTAAGTTCCAGAATGAGCCCACCAGACGACACCCAGCACGAAAGAAGCAAGGCAGGAAAGAAAACGAGAAACGGAAAATCCAGAATCCCTTCTCAATCCAAATTGCCCACTCCGCCTATAGACGACGATGAAGTGGTGGAGGTGTGCGAGAGCTGTGGTGGTCTATGTCATAGTTTGAAACAAGGTCCACGCAACAGGCGTACAGAGCCGACGCCTAAAGAACACATGCAAGGAGACAAACGAATTATGAATGGCGACCCAAAGATGACTCTTGGAGTCTCCATAATCAATCCCTTCGAACAGAAGTTCTCCAATCAGAAAGACTGCCCAAACAGTAATGCGTTGATACAACACTGTAAGAGATATTCCATATAGAATGTCAAATCTTTACTGACCCTGACAACTACTCAGTCGCCCAAACTCTCATTCCTACTCTGCGAAGTGGTCAGGCTTACAATCAAAAAGTGTTCACCGAGTACGTCCAGCTTACGCCAAACCCACTTTTATTCAATGTTCTTTGTCTCAGTTCATCGGTGCATTTGGACAAACTTATGTTGTGGAACGGAGTGGATTCGGATCATGGCCGTCGGGAACTGGAACAATCACACTATAGATACAACGCCCTACGCGAGTTGCGCCGAGCCGTAGTAGGCCCTAAAATCGGTACCCCGGAATTTGATGGTATTCTTTTGAGCATTTGCTTGCTCGCAGTCAGCGATCCGATGGGCGAACTTCCTCCGAGTATCAACAAGATGGACTACAATCCTTTTCATCATGTCTTGCAACCGTTGGGAGGCTTGAATATCTATGGCTACCAGCCTATACACCCTGTACATTGGAAAGGGTTGTTAACTCTGATAGACCAGCATGGCGGGKTTAATCAGATTCAGCTATTTGGTGCGAAGTGGAAAATTTCTTAGTGAGCATCCTTTTCTTTCCCGCAAATATAACTTCTTGGCAAAACATATCAACACGATTCTAATAATGGTAAACAGTACGGCCTTGAAGTATGCTTTACATACCTCCACGAAACCAGTCTTCCCTATCTGCGATCATCTAGGGACGTTATTGATTGATCAAGAACCACTAAACATTCTTGGACTATCCCCTTCTGACTTGCCACCTCTTACTGGAACTGGATTCTCGAACCTGGAAACCTTTTCAATCCATGAATCAGTCCAACAAGTATTTGTGGAAATCAGTCAAGTGGCGCAAGGCATGAACATATTGATGCCTCAACACGAAAATAGAGACTTGAAAGATTGCATGGCTGATGCTCGAAACCTTGTTCAATATCGATTTCAAAATCTTCCTACCTTGACTAATGATCCTTCTCTTATCGTGGACTTATCATTACTTGAGGGAAGCAAACAATCAACCGCCTATGCGAGGAGTATCATGGAGGCGGCCTCCACTGTTTACGGGATGTGCTGGCTTGTTGCGTATTTATTCACGACTCACGTCACGTTTCCTGTCCCATCTTCTCGTCGCTTTCGCCTGAAGACAGTCTACCAAATTCGGGATGCTATCAGCAATTGCGGGTATGCTCTGCAACATAATACATGGATTCTGAAACTGCAGTTATGGTCTGTTGTTATTGCTGGCATTGCTACCGAAGACATCGACGCCGAGCTCCGACAATGGATGGCCCTCAAGGCTCGTGATCTGTGTACAAAGCTGTGTCTGCAACGATGGGACGAGGTAGTTGATGTCATGACCTCTTTTGCCTGGATGGAGGTAGCCTGTACACGCGGAGCAAGGAAATTTTGGGCGCAGGTGCAAAGTAACGATGGCTGAGCATATTCCATTGTGGAATGTACAGCAGCATGCAAGTTTTCGGCTACCATCAACCGTTTCTGTGTGATGGAGTGGATTTGTCGTATCTAGTCTCCAGTTCCACATGCAAACGTTATAGTATTTGTCCATATACTACTTTGAGATTGCTCTCATGTTACACGGCTGCACGTTTACATGCAGAGTCATCGGAGTACAGAAGCCCCAGCAGATTGACTTCGCACTATCTGCGATACATCAGGCAGTATCACGAAAAAGCGTCCCTAAGGACCTGTCTACAACAGAAGACTTGTGTATACGCAATTTCGGGACACTTAACTGTGAATACGCTACGACGACACGCTTTGAGACAAGCAATCAAACCATCGATTGGTCTCGACGATAGTATGGTCAACAGAGATAATCACCCTCAAACTCAATTCTATTAATGACCGTAACGCAATATATCTTGACGTTAGTTATACCCATTTGGCTTTTGTTTATCTACTCTCCGGACATGTGATATATCCAGCCGATGCTTTCATGAAATATGCCAGGCAGCCTCAAACCTCAAACCCCAATAACTTGATCAAGTTATCAAACCCTTGCTGCTCCAGTCAGCTCTTCCTGGGCACCCTTAATCTCTCCATTCCCCGCTTTGGCAGCCACTATAGGTTCCGTGGTTGGATCTTGCTCGACAAGATCATTTTTCCTTCTATCAAGCCAGCAGTCAGCAAATTGCATCGCAATTGTCAAAAACATGAGGTATATATCAGGAAATGGACCTCATGGGTATACATACGCTTTATCTCTTCTCTCCAGATACACAGCAAGCGCCAATGTCGTCGCAGCACAAACAATCAAGGCAACTGTAATTGAGTTTCCAACCAAAAATCTGGGCGCATATGTTGTATTATATGATATTAATGGGATCCATGCGTTGAAGGCGTACCTATGTCAATCAATTAGCGAGACTGTGATTATATTGGATTGGCCTAGGGTGTCGTACGCAATAGAATTAGTTGAGCCGAGAATGATAATTCTTTCGAGACTGTCGCCTGCGCAGACCTCATTGACCATTGTCTAAAAAGTATAAGTTAGCACATGAGGCCGCTGCCAGATATCGTGGGTAGTCAATGTAACGCACCAAGAAAACGGGACCAGATCCTTGCGCGAATCTAAATATCAACAGTTAGCGCACTCGCATCTTCCTGATCATGATCTATCCTCTTACCCAGTCAAATAAAAAGAAGCCCATTTCAAGCCAAAAGGAACACCGTCCCAAACTGCCAAGTTGACAGCCGCGAAAAAGCAAACTGTCAATGAGAAGAAAACAATCGGGCTTCTCAGCTTGATATAATCGCTTGTCCAACCATAGGCCAGACTGGTAACGATTGTGACTGCGTTCGTAACGGTTGGGTATGTGTTGATATTAGAAACCGAGTATCTGAATTCATTAGATCGTGTCAGATATCAATGAATTCGTAAAAAATGATGTTGTAGGGCGGTTATACCTGTTGAGACTTTTCAGCCAAAGATTCATGTAGGTTCCAATGTTCTCACTGCAGATGAAGAACCTATACAGATAGTTAGTATCTGCCAGTGCCCTATACAAAAGCTACTATCAAATAGGGTACTCACGTGTAATAAGCGGTATAAACCCAAAAATGCCATTTCCCCAATACTCTTTTGGTTCCAGCCCACGTCACCGGCTCTCCTATAGCTTTTCCAGCTTTCTTTATACGTTCCCGTGCCAGCTCTTTTTCATGCGGTTTAAGCCAAAAGACCCGCGTGTTAGTAGGCAAATCCGGCAGTGCGATATAACCCCAAATTGCCATGGGAAATGTGATGATGCCGTCAAAGATGAATAGCCATCGCCAACCGGACAAGCCGCCGACGCCATTCATACCTGTATACAAGGCTGCTTGCTATGAAATATTAGGTGGTGCCAGCCAATTCGACAGGGTATTATAGATACATACAAGGTATCCACTAAACATTGAGCCCACGAACGCCGAACCGAAAAAGATACATGCTCTTTTTGCGATTTCTCGTTTTGTATACCATGCTCCTAGCACGGTGTGCACGGCAGGGTAGAATGTGCCTTCTGCAAGTCCTACCTGATTGAACGGTTAGTTTTGGCATATGATCGGGTAGGGTCCGGACATACAAAAAAGCGACAGACGTAGAGTTGGTGTGGCGTCTTGACGGATGAAGACGCAAATGTTGCAACCACCCATAGGAGTTCCCAGGAAGGACACCAAACTGACAATCGGACTATGGCTACCGTCAACTTCAATAACTCAGAGAACCTGGGAATGAATTGCGCCTACCTCGCGTGCAAATCATTTGTGATGGAATCTGACTTATGACATAGCCACTGTCGACTGCTTAGCTATCTCAACGACCGGCTCGGTATCATGAAACATACATTGTCCACATGGTTGTAAAAGTCTGATACTCGTTGCCCACAACATTGATTTCCTCTTTCATCCCAGATACGTATGCGTTTGCTAGAGAACCTGGTTAGTTAAAGTTGAGAAACTTGATGTCATGCTGGCTCCATACAGAGATTGTTCGAGTTGAGATTCTTGGAAAAGTACGAGAAACTGGCCCATGTTCTAAGCAAAGAATAATTGTTAGTTCATTTCCAACACAAATTCACATCAGATGAGTGACTTGCAGGATAAAAAAGTCAATCTTGGAAACGAATTTGCGTTCTTCAGGCGTATAGTCTAAAGTGTCCCAGATAATTTGCTTGAGCCGCCGCCGGAACGTCAATGGGACCTGCTTTTGATCATTTTCCGGCTCATTGTTGATAATAGACTGCTCTAGTACATAGCTCCTGTCCGATACTTGATTTTCATCGACAACAGTCCCGGTTTTGGCTACATTGAGATGTTTCGGCTCCATTGTAGCTAGGGCTTGGCAGGATGGCTGCTACCCAGTGGATGAATTCTGCAAAACAGTATTCATAGAAAGCCTATCTCGGACACTACATCCTACTTATAGAATCACATATATACCTTACGCGTTAGCTTTTATCCACCATCGATATTCCTGTTTGTGAAAACCGCACTGCTATCCGGATTGCCTATAGCGTGAGGTATTTGTCGTATTGCGTGATATATACCCACACTGATAAGAATAATGTGCGACTCGTATTTAGTTCATTTTAATTTGAAAGAAAGGCAAAAGAAGCTTACATGATTTAAGCTTACATTCCAGCCAGACAGACGGATTATAGTGTGCCGCCCGCCCAGTGGTTGAACTGGCCAGTTATCCGATGGTCATCTGTCAATCCTTGTCAGAAACCGTCCACTATCTAACAATTCAGCCGTGAATTTGATATCTATTTCAACCCCATCTCAAGTGAAATCATCTAGCCCTCACTAGCAGGAATCAAAACGGAGCACCGCCGACGTCGTGCGGTTGAGTAGGAGTCTATAATTGCCTAATTAGGGAACATTCAAAAACTCGCGCGTGGATGATGTGATTCCGCTCTCGAATGCCGCAATGAAACAGCCAATCATTTCTTTAAGTATTTCCGAATGTTGGGAATCGAGTATTTGTATCTTCAATACTAGATATTCATACGCAGGTCGCGATTGTGTGACTCGGAGAATTGTCCGGTGGTGTAAAGGCCGGAAGCGGATTGATATAAACCACGTTCGCCGTTAATGCTATGATAGCTATAGATATTTCCGATCTGTTTAGCCATAATTTGACGTCAATCAGTTGAGATTCTTCCGGAAATTTTAATCGAGCCATCATAGCATCCAAACATGGCCTCTGGTTCAGTTTCATCGGCTTTGAAGCCCTACACGCCGCCACCACAGACTTCAGAAAATTGTATTACGCTCCTTCCTTCATTAATATTTTGAGCAAGTGAGTTGACATGGCGTTTCTAGTGGACTGGGCGGACCTTGAGGGTCTCGATATTTCTTTGCTTGATCAGCCGGGTGGAATAGAAGTCCTGGCCGAGCAGGTATTGAAATTTATCAATACTAATGGTACGATTTTCGATATGCCGTCTCCGGACATACTCAGCAACTAGAAGTAATCCAGAGCATTTATAAGACTCCAGAGACACTGATACAACACATACAGGCTTCTTCTACGTCACAAACCATGGTCTCACAAACGATCAAATCAATCGACAATATGCCATTGCCGACGCTTTTTTCGAACTCCCCCTTGAAGAGAAGATGAGATATCTTAGCAATACAGCGGCAGGTGATTTCAGAGGTTATAAACCGCGATCAACTGGCGAACTAAGCTCACGCGATAACGACGAACGCTACAATATCCCCAAGTTCACCAAGGAGCATGAGCGGCCACATCCTCAGTTGATCAAAGACTATTACGAGGAGATCAAAGAGTTTTCCTTGGTGAGAATTTCTTCTTCGCACTCTTCTTATGCTGGAATACAAGCTGATATGGACTCTTCTGCATTAGCACATCCACAACAAAATTCTCTTACCCTTACTCCGCCTTTTCGCCTACGTGCTCGAAGTCGACTCAGAAACTTTAGTCCAACGCCACCGATACGAGGAGAATGGACTCGAGTACTTGCGATACATGAAATATCATCCAAGATCAGCTGAAGAAGATGCCAAAGCAGGCAACATCTGGGCCAAGGGTCATACAGACTACAACACATTGACATTTCTCTTCCACCAGCCTGTCGCTGGATTACAGGTCCTCCAGAATCCGGACGACAGCAGTTCCTGGCAATATGTCAAATCTGAACCTGAGGCTATTATCGTAAACATTGCGGACGCTTTGGAGTACCTGAGTGGCGGGTTTTTAAAATCTACGGTGCATCGTGTTGTACGACCTCCAGCTGATCAGGCAGAGAAACCGAGGTTGAGTTTGATTTATTTTGCGAGGCCGGAGGCTGCTGTTCGTATGGAGCCTTTGCAGAGTCCGTTATTGCAGAGACTAGGTATACAGGTGCCGGAGCATTATTTGAAGGCCTTGGAAGGTGTTACTGCTGAAGGTTCGTCTTTTGTACTCCTGGTTGCGTCTTGATGAGCGATGAGATATTGGGTTTAAGGCTAATACCTTGTTCACAGAATGGGCTCGTGCCCGAATCGCAAAGGACCATCGTTTCAGGACTGGCATTGTCAATCAACCTGAAAGGGAAATTCTGGCAGGTGTGCCGCAGCGATATTATGACTGAGCGAAATGGATGTGGGATGTCTACGAGAGCTGGGAGCTGTATAGCACGGCACTTGGGCAGTGTTCGAAGCCCGCTGGAGAATGAATATATCCACTGTAGAGTGTACGAATGAATCTCTCATCAGGTCTGGGAAGATTCCAGTGCTTATATCCGATATGTCCATACATGAGCCTTAGATCAAATAATCAAAGCACGAGTCAACATCGCTGTCCGTACAGCAGGTGTTGGGTTTATCTCCGGTTATAATCTCCGCAATGTCCGCTACGATGATGATGGGAGACTAGATACAATATAAGAGACAGATACAATACCGAATCAGAGGTACAGAATCAAAATCAACTTCTAGGCTATCAAGCGCTGGCAATATGGCGTCGGCTCCAACTCCTAGTCAGGCGAATGCAGGCCAGATCAGACAATTCGTACCTACACTACACACAGATGTATACAATGCGATTGATCCCAGTAGCATTAAACTACCGCAGCCTTTCACTGCCGTTATACTAGGCGGCAGTGGAGCTGTAGGAAGCGGACTTGCACGGTCGTACGCTCGAGCTGGTGCAACTGGGATCGTCGTGGCGGCTCGCCGTTTAGATGAGATTGAGAAAGTTGCGAAAGAGGCTAAAGCCATCAATCCTTCGCTGGAAACCTTGGCACTGCGATGCGACGTCTCATCAGCATCTGATATCGCAGCAGTCGCGAATGCGACAAAAGCACAGTTCGGTGCTACTGTTGGTGCTGTTATCGTCAATGCTGGTTACAGCGGGCCGTTCGTCACCGACATTACTCAAGAGAGAGCAGAAGACTTCCAGAAGGCATTCAATGTCAATACTCTGGGACCAGCTTATGCGGCTCAGTCGTTCATTCCACTGTTGAACGAGTCTGCGGCGGCAGCACCAACCTCCTTCCAAGGACTTTTTATCGCTATCGGTTCAATGGCCGGACCAACAGTGACTGCTCCCTTGACGGATATCCATTATAATGCGAGCAAATTTGCTCAAAGTCGTATTATCGAATTGCTCCACGAGGAGCGACTACGACTGAAAGGTGAAAACGATGGGGTCTTCTTCGCGTCTGTGCACCCTGGAGGAATCTATAGTGACTTTGCAAAGAATTCAAAGGTGCCAGATTATATCATACCTCGTATGCCCTTACTCTCCCTTTGATTTTCTTTTCAGAAGCCGTACTAATCGCGATTCTTAGTGTTGACGGATTCGCCAGACCTTGCCGGTTCATTCATTGTTTGGTTGACTCGTAATCAGGATCGCGTTCGTGGATTGAGTGGGAGGTTCTTGTCGTGTAAATGGGATGTCGACGAGCTTCTGTCCAAGATGGACGACATCGTGGATCGGGATCTGCTTCGGCCTCGGTTCGCAGTGTGAGGCAAATATGTGTATGAATATCGGCTCTTTGAAAGGCACGAAAGAGAAGAAAAATTACGAGAAGTCACTATTCGATTACTAATTTGCTGTATACATTGTATGATTGGCCAGGGATAGCGGATAGCAGCGCGGAACAAAAGCCGCGGTGCAATTGTAAGCATTTACTAACCTTGACTAACGTCGGATGCTGTACCTAATCGATTCGCAATATGGCGTTCTTTCGGCGACCTTCTCTGGATCATGGATTGTAACCTTTTTAATAAGAATCCGAACAAGCCGCGGGGCTCTGATCTGCCACTTAATTCACTATTTAAGGGCGTTGCATGGCCGGCCAAAGGTTCCCCGCGATCATTTTTAGTCTTTTTACGACAATCACTTTGATGGGCATTCTCACATCTTTATTCTTTCGACGAGGAATATCCACAATCTCAGAAATGACAGCCACAAACGGAACTAACGTGCCCCTTGCGCCAGTGATTTGCGTCAGCCATGGCGGCGGTATGTCGAAATGTTGCGCTACAATCAGCTTATACTGATTATTTTCTCCACAGGTCCTATGCCCATCCTCGGCGAGCCCGGCCACAAAAACATGGTCAATTCATGGCAGACTCGCGTTCGAAAAATATTGAAGCTCGGTACCCCCGAAGCTCCCAAAGCCATTATCCTCGTTACCGCGCATTGGACTACGGACCGTCCTACGATCTCCTCCGGCGCCAAACATGAGCTTTACTACGACTACTACAATTTTCCTCCAGAGACATATAAGATTAAATATGATGCTCCCGGTGCTCCTTCAATCGCCAAAGATATTTATAATCGCCTCCAGAAAGCAGGTTTCTCTCCGAAGCTGGACGATAAACGAGGTTGGGATCATGGTGTCTTCATTCCTATGAAGCTCATCGCACCCGACGAGTCGATTCCTATTATTCAGATGTCCGTGCTCGAAAGCGAAGATCCAGAGGAACACTATAAAATCGGCCAGGTACTTGCGGAACTGCGCAAAGAGAATGTGGCTATTGTGGGATCTGGATTCGCGACTTTTCATAATATGCGACTCTTCCCCCGCGGTTCAAACTTCCCACCGGACACAGCAGGGAAACTTCGCGAGTGGTCCAATGTTCTGAATGAGGCTGTCATGACGCAGGACGCTGATGCCCGAATCGCCAAGTTGAAGCACTGGAGGGATTTCCCCCATGCATATACGATGCATCCCCCACATGGCGCTGAGCATTTCTTGCCTTTGATTGTGACAGCTGGAGCCGGAGCCTCGTCGAAGGGCGGCTTGTATGGGGATGAATTCCGTGGAGCGGACATGTTCTCATTCTACTGGGAGTAGCAATATTATACCGGCATCTTGCAGCATAGCAACGCGTTGATTCTGTGTATCTTGTATAATTAGCCTTGAATGGATCACGGTCTTTCTTATTTTCATTAGGGTTATCTTCACGTAGATGCGCTAACCCCAGAAAGGTTAGTCTACAGTCGTCAGCTCTTACGTCAGCCGGAATTTTTATCACGTAGTGCGGCTTGATCTACCAATCGGAGCGCTCGGTTATATGTGTGGAGTCATTTCAAGGGGACGAACGATAGCGACATCCATATCTTTTCTCAGACAAAATGACAGAAGGACGATTATTATCTTGTTCTCTTCTCATTTCTATGATTCTGGTATCTCTCATATAAATCTATTTACTCTGTATACTTACTTGCCAAATTCGTGCGGCATATCGTTCATTCCGGTAAAGAAGCTGTATCGCCAAGCTGAAGCGTCCCAATATGCCTATCTGTTGATAACATTCAAAACACTTACTTTCCACCAGCAAGATACAATCGGATATATTGACGATTGTTTGAGAGAGACGCACTGCATCTGAAAAATCTGTCGGGACAAGAAAGCAGCACTCGAAATTACTAGCTATATAATGGAATAGACCATCTCAAATGCCACGAAAAGTCAACCGATTCGTCATTCAGTCCGCCATCTTCATTGGTGTCCTTCTGCTCATTCTTTACATTAATCGCCCACAGAGCGCAACAGATAAACTCTTAGCATGGACTGAAATTCGATACAAACCCAAAAGTGTTGCGGAACAGCTAGAGTCTCGCGGCGCATGTCCCAGTCTAGCCGGTAGCAAGAAACCGGCCTTGGTGGTGGCCCGGGTAGCAGCAGACGGCGACGCATCATGGATTGATTCACTGTCCAAGAAATACCATACATGTGTGTATACTGTGGATGCTCCAATAGATCATACGTCAAAGTATCTGCAAGTTCCGACTAATCGGGGGCATGAGGCGATGGTGTATCTGACTTTTATCATCGACAATTACTATCACATCCCAGAAGCTGGAGTAGTCTTTGTACATGGCTCTAGATGGGCTTGGCATAATGACGAGCCAACATACGACAATTCTGTTCTGCTCAAGGCTCTCGATGTTCACGCCGCTCTCGAGCCATGGGGATACCATAATCTACGCTGCGACTGGAGCGTGAGCACCTGCCCGGCCTCGGCGAAGCCACAGGGTAGCATGGAGACATCCCTACAGGCCATTGTTAGTCCATGGGATGCACGCGCGGTGTCGGATTCATATTTACCAGGGGCTTTTGAAAATCTATTTGGAAAAGGAGATGGCAAGCTTGGAAATCATCATACCGTTCGTTCGCAATGTTGTGCGCAATTCATTGTCGGTCGAAAGAACATTCTTCAGCATTCACTTGAAGAGTATATTGCGTTGCGGCAATGGCTGCTTGATGGAACTCGTGATGCTGCACCACGCGATGATCGTGTTTCGGGGCGTATATTATCGTATCTTTGGCACATATTGTTCATCAGGAAGCAAGAAATCGAAGAGAATGGCGCGATTTCTCTTGACAAGCTTAATTTAGCGGCATGTCCGCGTGCACCGGATTGTTATTGTCGACTGTATGGGCTTTGCAATTTGGATAAATGCACCGCTGGCCATTGCGAAGGCCAATATGAAATACCGCCAGATTATAAGATTCCGGCCGACTGGGCCGCAACGCATTCTTGACGTGGTAGATGTTGTCTTTTGAAGAGAGCTGTATGCATGAAATTAATCGATATTGTGGGGCTGAAATTGCCAGGAATACTTACGTGATTTCCAATAATGTGAAATTGAGTTCAGCATTTCACATCCGCCATCGGCTGAGTAAGACAAGACATAAACAAATAGACTAGAACCAAAACAGCGAAACGAAGCATGTACCCAAGAATCTGCTGCTTTAAAAGGCGCAATATTTGTCGGACAATAAGTTGTACGTACTGACAAACAGGTTACTGTCTGCCTACCGCTATACAGTGAAGCTATCACCCATGTCCGGATACACCGCTTTTTGATACATGGGATTTCAAGCGAGTTGGTAACTATGCTTCAGCTTTAAGACAGGTTACACAGTAAGTTGGGGAAAGCTGATCTCTGTGTTACTCTACGGACTTGGCGCATTTGCTTTCTTTTTCAGCTCTGAGGCTGTACAGCAGGTATAATAATATGGCATCTACCCAGTCGTCCCTTGGTCCTAGTATTAATGGCCACTTGTTACCGACTTCTCATAATCGGACCGCTGATCGCTATATTAGATTGACCTTTTCGGGTCCTTATTTCTACCGAACTAATGATTTCTCGAGATAATCACATGGCTCTATGGCAGAAGTTCAAGGATACAAATCCAGGTACAGAGTTTGTCCTAGTCCAATTTATGGGATACAACGCCAACCTCCTCGTCCGTGCCATACCTGTAGCTCGTTTTGAGGATTTGATCAAGAAAGGCCGGACGTTCTCACTTACCAGAGCTATATTTTATCTTCTTCCCCATGACCATCTGGCTGAAGGTGGAGAGCCAGTGGGAATATTCTATCTGAAACCTGATCTTTCTACACTCTATGTTCAACCAGGGTCTTGTCATCGGGCAGTTGTCGTTGCCGATGGCGTACAAACAGATGGAGACACTGCAATTTCGGAGTGCCCTCGATCTCGACTGAAATACCTGAGTGGCTTGATGGTCCAGGAGACAGGACATTATCCACTGGTCGGATTTGAAATAGAAGTTGTCTTTATGACGCGAGTCAAGAATGCCGATGGATCAGTTGCTGAGTATCAACTCACCAATAAGGATCATTCTTTCCAAAGTTTAACGACTGACGACGAGCAACAAATGCCTATGGTCGAGGGTATTGCAAGGTCTTTGCATGCAGCTGGAATCCGGATCGAGCAATTCCATGCCGAAGCTGCTCCTGGACAGTGGGAATTTGTCCTTCCACCTGCGCGTCCCGTAGATGCTGTTGATACACTGCTCAAAGCCCGTGGTATTATTTCTCGAGTCGCTGAAAATTATCAACTAAGAGCAACCATGTTTCCTCGACCATCAGAATTACACGCCGGGAATGGAGCGCATGTGCACATTTCCTGTAATCAAGACAGGTCCTCACCAGTGCATTCACAAACCAACAAGACACAAGACAGAATGCAAGAGTCATTCTTTGCCGGAATACTAGAACATCTGCCTGCAATCCTGGCCTTCACTCTCCCACAGCAAGAAAGTTATGCCCGCGTACAAAGCGGCATTTGGAGCGGCGGTGAATACGCTGCATGGGGTTGGGAAAATAAAGAGGCTCCTCTGCGTCGGATAGAAGACAACCATTTTGAGTTGAAACTAATGGATGGGTTTGCGAATCCTTATCTCGCGTTGTCTGCCCTTCTAGCTGCAGGTGTGGATGGTATGAAAAAAGGGACTCAATTGTCCGCTGGTCCCTGTTCCAAAGGTGCGGGTTTGTTGACGCCGGAGGAGAGGAAGAAGCTTGGTATTCATACATTGTTGCCCAAAACGCTATCCGAGAGTCTAGATGTTTTGACGTCCAACACTGTGATATGCGAGTCTATTGGACAGGCTATTATCGGGCCGTATGTTGCTATCAAGAGAGGCGAGATTGAGCAAGTCAAGACATGGACTGAAAAGCAGCGGAGGAACTATCTCATTTCTCGTTACTAATTTGTCGGTCAAAAAGCAAGAATTCATCAAGACTCATGGAGGCAAATTGCATCGTAGTTTGGCTTTTCAAGGCATGCTTAATCTATTTCATCAGTGCGTGATATGCAAGTAGCATTACATTTCTTAGTTGAAGTGAATACCTTGAGCCTTGAACAATATTTGAAGGCCTTTGTGTTTGAACCACGCACGTGTTAGAGCATAATGCCCCTTGAATAACGCTTATCAATGTTGAAGGAGTTCTACGATGGCTTCAGCGTTTGGCTTCTAGATGGAAGACCTCGATTTTTCATGGCCTAGATAAATTCTAGTCATCTAATTATCTAGTTTTCGAATCATCTTGATGGGTCGATTGATAGATTATCTAGATTGGGGCTTAAATTAGGGCAAGACGTGCCAAAAGCGGAAATAGGACTGAGTGGCGGAATGATGTCACAGATCGATCAAGATCTTAAGTTCGATCGAAAGATATCTCCATACATTCCCGAACCCTGAGATGCGATTAATAGAACCAATTGGTCATGAGGTCATTATATATTGTTATTGTAGCGCTTCATCTCTGTTCAAATAGCCCGCTGCCTCTCCAGATCTTACTCGATCATCTTTCTATTCTAGCAAACCCAGACAACAGCCCTTCTAATTGATAAATCATTCACAATGGTCAAAGACGACAATACAATTATTGAGTTCGTACACATCAAATTCCTAGAGTTATGATTGGCTCAAGCTCAGATTTCTAGGGAGTTCAACGACCTCGTTAATATGTCTGCTCCAGAGCTGCGCGAATGGCTTGAAGAAGGAGTGTCTCAATCATCTGGCTGGCACAAATCCGATTCCAGTGACACCGAGACCGTTGGTCATGAGAGGTATCGAGCACTTCGCTCAAACTTTGTCGTGGGAACCGGGCTGACTCAACGCATGCATGCATAGTGGGCGCAAAATCGTGTCGATACTGGAACACAACCCCGACAAAGATCCGAGCCAATACGATAGCAATGATTTGCAACATATGCGACGAGTGGTAGCCTACTGCAAGCGACACCTGGCCCAGGAGGAGACGGCTAAGCGAAATACCAACAGCAAAAGCTACAAAAGTCTGAAGAATTGGGGTCATGATCCATTGAAGACTTAATACCTCCTGATTTTGTACGGTATTTGTTTGATAATTACAGCTAAGAGTAAAAGTAAAAAGAATACAATTGGACGCCTTAGAAAAAGCTTAGCCGAAGGTAATCTTGATCACCTCGATTGGGTTACCGTCTCGTCAAGATAAGAACGGACTAATGGCGCATCCCCGTAACCACCACGTTTGAAGTAGCAGCATAGACCGGGATGTCGGCAGAACAAGGTTCTTCAGGCGCCAAAGCAGGGCGAATGACAAATTTCGCATCATTAGCTTCATGTTTCGTTTTCAGTTCAATGTTCAAGGAAGAAGAACTGCGTATCATCGTGCCTTGCTCGGTGATACGACGGGGTAAGGAAAGAAGAAGCACTATATCAAAACAGAAATAATAGAATCAAGCTACGAGTCTGACCTCCAGTTTCTGATAGGGAGAAAGAAGGCGTTGCCAAGGTCCATTTCATAAGCCGATATTCCCCGTATTCGGCATAATTTCTAAATGTCGCCTGGTCAGCGCCACCATTGTTTCAAAGTTCTATCCAAATCAAAATGTTCAAAAAGGAGGGGTTGCAGTGTAAAATTGCACGTACCTCCAATCAGCAGATCAATAGGTTAAAACACCTTCGTAGAATAATACTAACTTGTACCTGCAGTAGCCTCTCTTAAGTTGCTATGCAACCCATCCTGCAGAAGAAGATAAAAAACCAGCAAACCACAATATTTCAATATTGCATTGCATCTGGTCAAAGAGACCCTGTGCTAATGTGTTGTTATTCAACAGATATTACCCATCCACACTCTAAACTTCTGATAGGTGGTTACACATAGTCTAAATAGCTAGGGCTTCATGTAATATCCCACCTGTTTCATGTTTCCTCGTTTCCTCAAAAACCATCGTAGAGAGAGTGTGGAGATCGTTGATTCAAGATTATTGATTTCTTTCGACAAAACCCTCTTTCAATCCTGATTTATTTGACTTCATCAAATTAAATGGATCCCCGCACATTTCACGCCTCCTACCTGCACGAACAATACCGCGGAAAATCGGTGAAAAGATACAGATAGATATAGTCAAAATCTTTTCTGTTAAATTGCTCCGCGTTTGCTCAAAGGTATATAAAGTAGAGATCTGTCTCATTGTCTCAGAATTAGCTTCAATCCATTGTTTGTCCTTCTTCGTACCTGTGGCCAGATTGCAAATTTGGGCTGAATTTTAACATGGCGGCTAGACCATTGGCTTTTGCAGCTATTGCTGCTCTTTTTCATCAGGCTACCTCTCAGCAAGCCCCTACCCCAGATAATCTAGTTTCTCTGCCGACCTGGAAATGTACAACCTCCGGCGGCTGCGTTCAACAGTCGACTTCTATTGTCGTGGACTGGGTGTATCACTGGCTCCACACAGTCAATGGGAGCACATCTTGCACTACATCCAGTGGATTGAACTCAACTTTATGTGGAACGGAAGAGGAATGCTATACAAACTGTGAAATTTCACCGGCCACATACGATAGCCTCGGTATAAAAAGTTCAGGAAACTCTTTAACCCTCAATCAATACGTCACAAGTGGCGGAACGACGAGCAACGCCTCTCCACGTGTATATCTCTTGGATCCCGCCGGCAAGAATTATGAGATGTTGCAGCTTCTCGGCCAAGAGATTAGCTTTGACGTAGATGCCTCCAACTTACCATGTGGTGAGAATGGGGCTCTTTATTTGTCTGAGATGGATGCAACTGGAGGTCGAAGCCAGTACAACCCTGCCGGAGCTTCATACGGTTCCGGTTATTGTGATGCTCAGTGTGGAGTCGGTACCTGGTTCAATGGTTCCATCAATAGCGGTGGCCTGGGCTCTTGCTGTAACGAGATGGATCTTTGGGAAGCCAACTCTGAGGCAACGGCGTTGACTCCTCATCCGTGCAGTGTAGATGGTCCTTATGCCTGTTCTGGTAGCGCCTGTGGCTCAACTGGAGTGTGTGACAAGAATGGTTGTGGATTCAACCCATATGCACTTGGGGACCAGAGCTATTATGGCCCAGGTCTTACAGTAGACACAAGTAAGCCTTTCACAGTTACGACACAGTTCGTGACCAGTGATGGCACCAAAACCGGAACCTTGACTGAAATTCGTCGATCTTACACCCAGAATGGCAAGGTTATTGCGAATGCCGTTGCGTCCTCGTCGTCAGGCTTTTCAGGTGCAAGTTCCATTACAGAGTCCTTCTGTACTGCGATGGACTCCGAAGCCGGTACACTGGGAGGTTTGCCTACTATGGGTGAAGCCCTTGGTCGTGGCATGGTTCTCATCTTCAGCATTTGGAATGATGCAGGTGGATACATGAACTGGCTAGACAGTGGTAGTTCGGGTCCTTGCAGTAGCACTGCAGGAATTCCATCCACCATCCAGTCAAGTGATCCCGGTACTTCGGTTACTTTCTCAAACATCAAATGGGGTGATATCGGATCTACGGGGTCTGGCACTGGAACCACTTCATCATCGTCGTCATCGTCGGTTTCACACACAACTAGCAGCACAACGACAAAAACAACAACATCAGCAACGACAACTACAACCAGCGCCGGACCAACTCAGACTCATTATGGTCAATGTGGAGGCACATATTACACTGGTCCTACTGTCTGTGCCTCTCCATACACCTGTCAGGTTCAGAATCCGTACTACTCACAGTGTCTTTAGACAAAGTACTGTCCTATTCAGAGATTATTCAATTCACTTCACTTCATTTCTATCCCGTACAAGGGAGAAACATTAATTAATCTGGAGATGCATAAGCAAAGAATTCTCTGTATCTACTCTAACAAGCTGTTGAATCCGTCTCTGGATGCGTCTCAGGAGATAATAGAAGGAGTAGAAGTGAATCGATTACGTCTTAAGGCACTAAGCCTAATGGACCCCAATATGCTATTTACCAACCACTTTATGTACTGTGGTCATGGTATTATGTTAAAAGGACAAGCTATATTGGTTATAAGAACTCCTCTAACCCATGAAGGCCTTGTGATGGGTCATCAGCTATATTGGTACGTATAACTTGAACCACTCATGCACAAAGTAGTATTGCAAAGGTTCTTACAGACAAGCTCAAGTCGTCGGTATACAAGACACCATCACACCTTCAGATTTGTGGAGCCCTTGTCTGACGATGCTATGATAGTGGATTGTTGATGAGGATCTTCTCCATAAATTTGGACTTGATCCTGATTAGTATGACGCCTCATTTTCGAGAGCCTTGGTTACAGAAATCAGCCAGCTAAGAATAACATTTCAAAGAACATGACAGGATAACTTACTTCTCCCTCTTGTGCAAGAATCGAATAATGAACGCCGTGGTTATCAGTATGCAGGACATTGTGATCATCGTAATCCACCCCTTGTGGTAGCGGGGCGCATCTACCTGTTGCCACACAATCAGGGGTAGCCATGCTTGAAAGACGTATGCCATTTCGTTCATGGAGCCAACAGTAAGTGCTCGTTCTTCGTTGTCTTCAGTACATATTTCATGTGCCCATCTGCAGTTTTGGATTATATTAGTTATTTCCCTACGCATTCCAGGGATTAGGGTCTGACTCACGCCATACAAAGCCCGCTTAGGCCGTAGCCAGCACCGGAATAGATATAACAGAACCACTTCCAGCCTCTAGGAATATCCCAGGCGAGAAGAGAGGCACCGCAAACAATATTGGACAGCTGAAAAGGAAGAGTCAGTACTCATTTCAGATAACGGACTGCTAATTTGTCTGACAGGGAACTTACTGCGCCGAAAAGGATAGGTGGCCAACGTCTGCCATTGAAAATTGTATCTGATGTCCCTGAATGTGAAACATATATTAGTAATCCGACAAGCTATAGAAAATTGAAAGAGCTTACAAGCGTATATAAGCGTGGTGATAACCTGGACAGCATATGGTGTTGTCGCATAGGCATTGATCTGTGGGACGGTATATTTAGGGTGAGTCGACGATTTGAGCCATCTAATGTAGTCTTTATCAGACATATTGCAGTTGTGATCATTGCCTAATGCGAAGTCTTACTGTGCAAGCACGGGTTGGCCACCATTGGCGTTGTTGAAGGATCTGAATCAATCATGTCAGTCATAACGATTGCTTCACCCTCTGCAAATCCAACCAAACCTACATGTACAATATTGTCAATAAGTAAATGTGCCACGTTGAGAATATCTTCTTGATCTTGGCCTTCGTATATGGCTGACGGTTCTCGCGGCCTTCGAGTTCCATTCGTTTCTTCGCTAGGGCTACCTCCTTTAAAGAGGTTGATATGAGTTTAGTCTTTTGTCTCAACAAGTCTGTTGTAAGTTGATAGTACACTAACCTTCTCAGTCAAGTACCACGGATTACTAATTTCAGGCACATCCGGAAGAATAAAGAACCCTGCCAGGGCGACCGGAAGGGATATGACGCCGTCGATAATGAACAGCCTAGACAAAATAAAACATGAGAACTCAATCAACCCACGGATTCAAAGTAGAGCCCTAAATCATACCATTGCCAGCCTTTAAACCCTCCTCTACCACCGAGATGGTACACGGCTGCCATTAGGTATCCAGAGAACATGGAACCAAGACCCGAACTTGTATGGAAGATGCAAGATCTTTTTGCCAATTCATCTTTGCGATACCACGAGCCAATGATATATTGCATACCGGGATAGAAGGTACTTTCGGCCAATCCTATTGAAAAATAAGCATTGTTCCATTGACCGTAGCCTATCAGTGAGAACCCTGCACACCAATGAAGAATCGCATGATGTATATTTGGCGTGCGCTATTGGCTCTTGAAAGACCCATGGTCAAAACCGACCATATCACCTGAATCCTGAAGTTAGCGAGTGTGAAGTACTGGGGGCTACGGCACATGTACCTCTGCTGCCGGGATCCAATATCGAGGAGGGAGTTTAGTTAAGGCTATGTTGGACGGTATCTGCCCGATAACATATCCAACTGTCCAAGTCGCGGTCATATAATTCAACTGATTTCCGTACAGTCCGAGATCTTCTTGCCTGTTGACAAAGTCAACTTATATGAATCTTCCAGTAGCTTCATGAACATTGATGACTTACATGCCGGACACGAAAGCATTGTTAACATTGATCTGGTCAAGGTACTTGATGAAATAGCCTACAATGTTATTAATCACAATTTTTGCCTCAATACTTATTTTACTCTTGATGAGCCTAATCGGCATCGGTCTACTAACCAAGCGATGCAAACGTCAAGAGAGCAGTATCGAGTTTGAATAACAACCGTCGTTCTTCCGGCGACTTGTCCAACGTGTCCCAGACATAACTCGTCCACTTCTTTTTGACCTCGCTCTGAATGACTGTGTCGGATAATTCAGACGATGTCCGCTCATTTCCACTGCCTGCCGTTGCGATCATTGTGTCGGTTTTTGGGGTTGAGCGAGCACAACGACATTCGTCACTTCGATTCAAGAGAATTACATGGGGTAACGTCTTTTATTACGCTCAAAAGCTTATCTCCGAGACCCCTCAAAGATGTTACGGATTAGGCAATTTTTCACGGTAACACGGCCTACTAATGGATGGTATTACTGCATGCTGATCCAGATATACAAGCCGCAACAACATACTATTGGGTGAAGCTTTGTGCATGGGACATGTATTTGATCATTGTTGACACTTCTTGCGGAATATGCAACCAATCAATTCTTAGTAGATACATGGTCTAACTGCACACAATGCAAGTTCTCATAGTGAGCTCGAATGGCGTCACATCTGCCTGGAGATGCTGATTAGCCAGTCTGTGGAAATACAATCTATTAATCTTCGAATGACATATGATCAAACATGTGTTATCTGAAATTGTAGTTTAATACACGGCTTTTGACGATAATGAATGTGTAAATGTGCTGTGCATCAACAAAAACGGCGGACTGATGGCGTGATATGCACCGGATTGAATTAGGGCTGTTTTATCTCCATTGATCAACAGACCCCGAACTCTCCACGTTGAACTGATTACGTATTGTTGAAGATTTTCGGATGAGACCATAAAACGTGTCAAGTAGTATTCCGGAAATTATTTACCCTCAAAAATCTGTTCGATAAGCTTCCTCTGCACCTTCTTCGCTTCATGCCATGTCTCTGTATATCCCGGAATGAGAGGTAATCCAACCTTTTCTCGAAAGAAATTGATCCAGTCAAGCAGTTCCTGCACATATCCTTCTTCTTCGCCCTTGAGAGAGTGGAAATTCCGGCCGACCCCTTTCTGCTCTACCTTGGCTCGGTATTCTTCTCTCATGTTAGACCCGGACGGCAAACGGGCAATTCCAGCAAAGACTTCTGTAAGAGCAATCGCCTGAAATTCAAAGAGAGTGTAAGTGGCAGTGTAGAAAGGCACTCCGACGAAAGCCAGTGTTGGATCGGGTATATAGAAAATATCTTTGTGCAAATTGTGGACTTGGGTTCCATCCGTGACGAGGACAGTATCACTGGCTGCCGTGGGATCGGTATCGTCTTCATGGAATCTGTTTAGAAATGGTAAAGTGAAATGATAGCCGGTACAAATTATAATATAGTCGATATCCTCAATCGTTGCATCTTTGTCATCTGACTTGAGATGCACCCTTATCGGGAGACGACTTTTTACCGTTAGAAGCTCTTCGGCGCCTGCATCACCTGTTATCTCAAAGGACGCAATTTCGGCAACCCTGGTGCCATTGTCAGGTAACATTTTTTCCGTCAAGTCATATAGACCATTTCTCGTGCTCTGGTAGATGGTTCTGGCCACTGGACCCAGTTCGCGAGCGATGTCGGTAGATGATACTCCTCCTCCGATAAGTAGCACGTTCTGTGATAATTAGATGGATGCCATTTGAGAGAACTAGAGATGTAAATCTCACCTTGCCAGTATAGCTATCAGGTCTTCGATAGCCCTTTGAATGAAAGACTCTCGATGGCCATAGCCGTTTGATATCAGTGAGTCCAACTATATCCGGTATGCGTGGAGCATGATAATGTCCAGATGCGACCACAACTGCATCAAAAAGCTGGTTTGATCAGCTGCGCTTAATCGACAAAATTTGAATGTGTAACCTACCTCCTCTTTTTTCAGTTCTTTCACCTTTCCCGCTCCGTCGTCTTCAAGTTCGGACCAGGAGACTTGCCATTTTGACTGTTCATTAACCTTTTCAAGATGGGTTACTTTGGCACCAAACACTGTTGCATCATGTACTCCAGATTTTCGAGAAGTGTCAATGATATAATCGTTCATGACTTTGTGGGAAACGAAATCCGGTGTTTTATCCGGCCATGCGTTCAACGTAACTCGCATAAGCGGCGTCGAGACATTATTTTGTAAGCCAACGTAACATGGTCTATCTTTGTATTAGCCGTCCATCACTGAAAACAACAATATACACAATACAAGGATTAACATACCCAGGTGGCGCATGTTCCAGAACCAGGCGATCAGATTCTTGAATTTCTTCATAATGCCCCGTTCGTTCTCCTTCAGAAGGCTTAGTTGCTGGATATCTCGATTCGACAGGTCGTCTATCATCGTATAGCCTTGTACAATTTTATAGTCAGCTACTAGATCTGCCTCAAAAGACAGATTCTACTATGACATACCATACACCACCCACTTCCTGATTCCTTTCAAAGACAGTGACTTCTAAGCCCGCATTCAACAAATGCGCTGCAGTCACAACACCACTTATTCCGGCACCGATAACGGCGACTCTATCAATTGTATTCGAGGGGCCAGTCATCGTGTCTGTGTCATTCGTCTTTGTGTAGCTGAATATACTCGGTAGAGGAAATTAGGGTTAACACTGGTTTCACGGTTTAGGAACCACATGGCTTTGTCTATATACTTTGGCACTGAGGACTTCTAAAAACAATCTGTATGAGCATTATTCTCCACAAAATTAACAATTGAACTCTGAACCCCGATACCGTTAATGTCATTTACATTCGAGCCGGTTACCCGATGAGGAGGACATCATGTCATCCAACTTCGGCACCAGTTGACAGCCGACTACCGTCAACACCTACTTGGGAACAATTGACAAAAGTAACATAAATATCCCTACAACCTTGGAAGATAAGAAGTATCGGCAAGGGCGCTATATTATAAAGATACCCATTGATGATTCCTTTTTAGGTGAAATCATGTCATACGACTAGGGCGCATAGCATCCAACGCAGGGATTGAGGGGAAGGACGCGATTGTGCAATTGCGGCGGTTGATGAGATGATTGCCCTAACATTTCCCCTCTTTGAGTTCGATCAGCAGCCAATCATCATATCTATCACCAGCTGGAGATAAAGAAGTATTATAAATCAACAAACAGGTGAAAGAGATGATATTGAAATCGTTTGATGATGGAATTAGGAACGTATATGGTGTCCAGGCTGACATGTGGAAGTTCCAGGTTGTACATAAAGCCGCTGGTTCTGTATCTAAACTGCGATATACATACAGTGGGAGTTCCACATACAATTTACTTTGACATTTTGAAGTGTTGAATATATTTACCTTGCTACATCTTCCTTCAGTTTACCAAGCTTGCAGTAATATCATCGCAAAATGGCTCCGGCTCCCATTTCTCCGTCGATTACTGACTTTGTCGTCCAAACAAAGCAGGATAATCATGGACTTGAAATCCCCCCCGCAACGATTGAACGTCTAACCAAGGCCGGCATTGATCTATCGCATGGATATCCATATAACCCCGCCAAACCCCTCTATCTCGACGACGTATACAAAATCCGTAGCGAGCCGTGGGAACATGTGGACGCTGGTAGTCGCGCTGACCCCGATAAGAAGGCGTTGTTAGGCGCTGCCAAAGAAGTCATCCATTTGACACGCCATATTGGAACTGAAATTGTCGGATTGCAGCTCAAAGATTTGACGAATCAGCAGCGAGATGAGTTGGCTCTACTTATCGCTGAACGCAGCGTTGTGTTTTTTAGAGACCAGGATCTGTCTCCGCAGCAGCAGAAAGCGTTGGGTGAATACTATGGTGAAGTTGAAGTCCACGTGAGTTATTCGACTTCTTGCCCAGATTTTCGAGTAAAAAGTATTTATAATATCGCAGCCACAAGTAGGACAAGTGCCGGGTGTCCCTGGAGTGACAGTCCTCTGGCCGGCCCTTCAAGCCGTCGAGCGCGAACCAAACTTCCGCAAAACGGGAGGTGCATCGTCGTGGCACAGCGATCTGGTCCACGAAAGCCAGCCTGCTGGTATCACGCACCTCCACAACGACACCATCCCCAGCGTCGGTGGTGACACACTCTGGGCAAGCGGGTATTCTGCATACGAGAAGCTATCTCCCTCGTTCCGAAAGTTCATCGACGGCAAAACAGCCATTTATCGCTCTGCCCACACTTATCTAGATCGCGAAAACCCGCACGCCGGACCTCAGTTCGTCGAGCGAGAACACCCGTTGGTACGTACGCACCCAGCTACCGGCTGGAAGGCTCTGTGGGTGAACCGGAGTATGACGGTCAGAATCGTGGGTCTTGACAAGGCCGAAAGCGACTTGATTCTTGGTTATCTGTATGATGTGTATGAGCGTAACCCAGACATCCAGGTGCGATTCAAATGGAGCCCGAGAACGAGTGCATTGTGGGATAACCGGTATGTTACTTGACTCGTCGTGTGTGCTTCGTATCCCTAGACAACGACTGATCAATACTCATAGTATCACGATCCACAACGCAAGCTGGGATTATGAAGGCCTCGAACCGAGGCATGGCACCAGGGTGACAGCATTGGCAGAAAAGCCTTATTATGACCCCAAATCGCCGACCAGACGACAGGCCTTGGGATTGCTGGGGCCTTCGGAGATTAAAGAGCTGGAACAGTATGCTTAAGAGGCGTAGACTTTTGCCTGAGATTAGTCACGCATGCAGATCAATCCGCAATATATAGTCCAGCAATACATAAACATTCGAGAGAAGCATTGAAAAATTTGATGCTGTGTAGTTGTTCGTTGATAAGATATGGTTGGAGAAGAAAAGAATTCGGAGGCAGCGGGGTTGAAACATACTGCAGTGTAAAGCTATTATGTCATGTTTCACTTCATGGCACATGAAGTATAGCTAGTCGTTCTTTTGAAGAATGCAAGGATTTGTTTTTGTTCGCAACTGGTGCTCATATACCTCTTGCTGAATCAGACGACCATTGTTGATTCTTCTTTTGTTTCTATTCTATTGATGCTGTCTATCTCAACCAGTACGCATCCTTATCAACATCAGTCGTCCACTCGTGGTCCTCCACCGTATACAACCGCACGATCTTCCCATCCGGATCCTCGGCTGCCATCACCCATCCCTTCATCCCCTTGAGCACCTTCGAATGACTGATGCCCTTCTCATCAAGCCACGCACCCCATTCCTCCAGGTCCTTTCGGGAATCAACACTCCATGTCACCGGGTCCCAGCCTTTTTGGATCCTCGCCTGCTCTGGATTATGGCGAATCTCGAGCATAAGGCTTGCTGGGTTGTATGTCAGGAGTACAGCGAAGAGTTTACCGTCGGGCGTGTAATGATCTAATTCGGGGCAAGACTTGAATGGGAGAACCTGAGTGTAGAAGGCTTCGGTTTTGCGTATCTCGTTTGCTGGGAGTTTGAGGTGATGGATGCCGTTGAAACTGGTAGGTTTTGCGGGAGACATATTGAAAAGGTATGTTGAAAAATTTGTAATAGCCTTCAAATGATTTTTCTTCCCTGTAGCACTAATTGTCAAGATCCAAATTGAAGCTCATCCCTAGAAGAACCCCTTATATACATATTTTTACATGTAGGAATCAGAGTCGACTGGAAATGACTTTACTCGTTGGATATGCCAATGATACCAGACACCAGTTTGTAGATCCTGCACCATGGAGCTAAAGCTTATTGAGAGTAATCTGTGTTAGTGAGCCACTGAGGTAAAGGCTTCTCGGCCCTCGCTCTTCCCAGAGACCGAAATATGATGATAAACCCCGAAGGAGCGAACCTCTTCGTTACTGGAGTGCTAGTTGAAGAGAGACAGAACAAGTGCACATTAGCACGGTCCTTTGTTGTAGTAAGTTCTAGTTATCATACAAAAATTTGACCAGAAACGTCGACATGCAGGACTCGGGTTGAACAATTAATGGATCGATGAAATGTCTTTTTTCTCCATCGGACAGTGCGATCAAATAATGCCAACATGATCCTAAAGTTTCGGCTTCGCCTCAAATTTCCTTCCGGATTGGTTCAGACTAGCCAATTTCGCACCAATACGACGCATCTGAATCTCCTCTGAGCCCTCGGTAATACGATACCGCCTATGATGCCGATAGATATGCTCAAAAGGTTTGTGGCGACTGTACCCAATCGCGCCATGCACTTGGATAGCTCTATCAGCAGCTTCACAGCAAAGCGCATTTGCCCAATAGTTGCACATGGCTATCCGATCAGTGAGCACCTCCTCGATCCGCGATTTTTCAGTTCTATCCATCTGCCATGCAGTCTTGTAGATGAGTAGTCGAAGCATTTCGATTTGAGTCGCAAGTCGAACGAGTGGAAATTGGATGGCTTGATTGTAAATGAGAGGACGACCGAAGGGTTTTCTTGATTTGGCGTATTCGATGCTTTCCCGAACGCAGTAATTTGCTGCTCCAAGACTTGATGCAGCTTGTCGAATGCGGTTCTCGTGGACGAAGCATTGAGCTACAGAAAGTCCTTGGTTGAGCTGTCCAAGTATAGCTGTATTTGGAACCCAGACATCAGTGAATGAGGTCGTGGCATGGTCAGTGGGCATATTAAAGGTCCTTTAACCTAGTAAGTCAATGAAGCCTTTACACTTCGCACGTAAGGTAAGGACTGTACCATTGATACGATTCGATGTGAACTCCTTCTGAATTTGCAGGCACGATGAAAGCAGTGATCCCACTAGACGCACCTGCTTTCCCAGCAGTACGCGCAAAGACTATGCAATGTGTCGCTCTATGCTGCCCCGTCTGCCACATTTTCTGGCCATTTATGAGCCACCCAGCTTGACCAACTCGACCATGACGGACAGCCGCCGTCTCTAGATAAGTAGCGTCCGAGCCATGATGTGGTTCAGTAAGACCAAAAGTCATCAAAACATGGCCATTCAACTGTCCCCAGATGAACTGCCTCTTTTGATCCTCGTTCCCAAACTGTAGGAACATTTCGACGACAGGGAAATTGCCAACAACAGAAGCCTCGTTCTGAAGATCGTTGAAGAGACCCAGCCCTTTGGCAGCAAGATGCTCTCGAATAACTGCCATCCATAGGCTGCTACCTTCAGAGCCACCGTATTTTTTAGGTAGGGAGAAGCGATAAAACCCGGCCTTGTCAGCTCGTCGTCGGGCCTCGATTAGTAGCTCTTCCCATTCTTCAGTCGGAGTACCTCCTGCAGCCCAGTTCGTGCGGGCATCTTCCCTGCGGTGGTCGAAGAATCTTTGATTATCGTTTGATTCCTGCAATGGAGTGATTTCCTTGTCGATAAATTCGTCTAGGTCCTTCAAATAGGAGACCAAGTCTGGGGGAAGTTCGAAGTTCATTTCGTAAGATGATCTGGAGTGTTGTCAACACGGCTAGTTTGCTTGCTTGAAGAGAGTCCAGATGTCCGAGATGATAATACACAGTAAGATTATGTACCATGATAGACTAATTGCCCATATTGTCGATGGTCTGAGAGCTTTGTGATCTCCATGCCAGCCATACTCCCCCGCATTTCGGCAGCACCGAGCCGAGGAACGTGTTTCACACCATTGGCATTATCTATCGTTTAGGTTGTGATTTGGAACGTTGAATTTATGTATAACTGACTGGTGAGCATGAATGAGCCGCGGGTGGCTCATAGCGTTGGTCTTGGGTGAAGGATAAGAGGCAGCAGTGGAGGGCGATCGTACGGGCAGTTACGTACCAGGGCCCCGACGTAAAGAGCCGCTGCCGTACGGCGCACGGCATATTGCTACACAATTACAGCTCACGTACTTTGCAAGATGAATCTTTCGTGCACTTGAATGCATTAGACAACCGAGATTCTCTCCCGACGTCGCTATGTATAATTTTCTATCGAAGAGTTGTCGGTGAAATCACATGACACCGCAATGTCTCGAAGAAAATTTGAAAAAAAACCATCCCTTGTTGATAAACACCGAATTGCATAGGAGCAACGAAAAAATAAATAGTAGACATAGAAAACGTGAATCTGCCCATTTCTAGACTATCCATCACAGAAGCCCAGTCCAGGCTGCTCCGCCCGCTGATGGTCTAGACTTGCTAGACCTTTTTTCAGTCGTCATTTTCGTTCAATAGCACGCTCCGATCGTTTATGAGCCAGGGTTGGGGTTCATCTAGAGTACGCAACGTGTTAGCTGAGTTGCGAGAAACTTGAGACGAAAATTTCGTACCTTGCGCTTGCCGCCGGTCAATGTGACGTTGACGAATCGGCGGGTGTAGACCAAACGCTTCTTAGCACGGCCCTTGGGTTGCTTGGGCTATTTTGTATGTTAGTCGAACGAGTCGTGTAGACTTGGCTTGTTGTTTTGGAACAGTACCTTCTCTTGCTTGTCGACCTTGGGGGTGGCGGCCTTGACCTTACCGGCACGAGCCAAACTTCCCTATTTATTTGTCAGCCGCATGGTATGACAAGATTTTGATATGATATCCCAAGCGGCATCTCGCGAAATCTCGCGAAGGGCCTTAAGTCGTCTAAACCGAGCTGCAGAGTCATCGAGAGTCATGTAGATTTTGAAATCGGTGAGCGGCCGTAAGCGGGACGGAAACGGGATTGTAAAAGTGTCGTGCGATATCCCTCATTCCAAGTCTAGTGGTTCCTTCCATTATTCGTCAAATGTGAGGCGTTGCGAATCGATTTGGAGCAATTTCCTGTTATTGTCGATACCGAAACGCACAGTGCTGACAGTCGGTGGCATGTCGAGGACGAAAATGTGGACGGCGGCGGTTTGCAGTGACTCAGAATGTTGCAGATGGCCCAACGCGAGTATATCGGAGGTGTGCATGTCAAGGACACAAAAGACTGGATGCAACTTACGTGAACTTTACCCATGTTGAGATGCTGAGGATGAAATCGAGGACAGCGAGATGGAAAAGTCAACTCTTGGTGATGAAGAGGAAAATCGATCAATCGTTCGCTGGACGGAGAGTGGGCTTAGCGAGGGCGAGGGTTGAATTTCGGTTTGTGTGGGAAGAAGTCACGGGACTCTCGGAACAACGTGCTGCCGCCGCCGGAATATTGCCACTCCTTTACCATTCTGATCGCGACCTCCTCAGTGACTCACTTTTAATCATTTTGCTATTTAATGGGTAGCCGCAGCCTACACTTGACTCGGAAGTGCTTATGTATCCCCTTTCTGTTTAACTTGAATGCGTCGAGTCTCCAATGGCCGCTCACGTGTGCGTACTTCTTAAGCGAGAGAATTTAGAGCTATCTGGGTGGACAAGCCCACAAACTACGTAGTGACACAAAGCTTCAGCCCAGTCCATGGGCCATAGACTAGTGTGTACGTATACGGAGTGAATAAATATCACAAATAAAGCAAGTTAAGCAATGCCCTTGGATGATCAGTCGGGCCATCGAGCCACCTGCGTTCAGCCTTTCTCGAGCCATGTAAAAAGATGCTTATGGTTGGTGATCTATGTTCTATTTCTGTTGGCACTAATCAAATAAACTTCTCTTAACCCATCGCCAAACGCTCAATGCACGAAGAACAACAAATCTCTAACTTGCTGATCTTTCAGCCCTCGTTCGCTTCGAGCCCGAGTCGCCGCTCGTTCTCGTTCTCGTTTAACATCTCTGGAGCACGTCTTAGTCATGCAAATTGTGACCAATCAATGAACGCAGAGTCTGATTCTGACGGGGACACGGGAAGCTTCATCCTTTCCCAATCAGGGAAAGTGTGCGACTTGGGCTTCAGCGACCAATCAGGTGTACCACTACGGGTTATAGATGCTGAGATTATCAATTTAATTCAAGCAGAACAGCCCTGATAATGGAGTCTGAGGATAAAAATATGACCATATGGAGTCTCCTTCCATCATGAACCAGGCAGGGAATTCATCTATTTAAGGGCACTCTTTTCCAACCAGGAGATTCCTGATCAACGGAATTGCCTCTTCTCAACTATTCCAACAGAGTCATCACTTCACCATAGATCCCATCCATATCACCACTAATCGTGACCGCAAAGAAGTTCAGAAATAACACCATCATGCTTCCCACCAACACCGACAGAGCAATTGATCTTGCCGAGCTCGTCATTTATGGCATTCTTACTATTCCTACAATATACTGTATGGTCCGCCATGGAAAACAAGGCTTGTTGGGCTGGCTCTACATCTTCCTATATTGCACAATCCGCCTGGTCGCAGCTGGCCTCAAATACAAGAGTGATCAAGATCACAAGGTGTCCACGGGGGCTTTAATCGTTGACAATATCGGATTGTCGCCGTTGTTGCTTGGAGCTGCTGGTATTTTGCATGAAGCGTAAGCTTTCCATCGCATCCTTGGTTCATGAACTCTGGTACACTAAAATTTGAGTCACATCTAGTCGATACGCTCGTCATGCCATCAAAAATAGCAAGATTGAATGGCTTTGTGTGCTGCAATACCACATGCTCGTCTCAGCCGGCCTAGCACTCATCGCTGTTTCCGTCACAAATCTCGTCAAGCCCGGCTCCTCCAACTCAGGAACCGGACTTCTTAAAGGAGGGTTCGCTATTCTGTTCATCACCTGGGTGATTCTCGCAATTGCTACATTGTTCTCCATGAAGCGCCCTAGCTCTTATAGTCAATTGACAAATGACAAGTCATTCCGTGATGGAACTCTGGTACGAGTCTCATTGCACAGATATGTTTGCGACGTTGATACTAATTTTCTCTGTTGCAGCTGCTCAACGCTGTCGTCTTCTCTCTCCCCATGTCTCTCCTGAGAGCAATCTACGGAGCCATTAACCTATTCGGCTCAGGAAGTTCCATCGGAACATCGACTTTCTCATCCAGTGTCGCCGCCGATATCTGTATGAGCTTGATCCCACCGATGCTGGCTACTATAGTCTTTGTTGCAATCGGATTGATAACACCACGCTCCCAAGCTACAACCAGACATCAGCTATATAAGTGACGCTGAGCATTTTGGATTTTGTGCGAGGATTGTGTAATAATCGGAGTATTTTTCTTTCTTTGTATGGTTTTGCTTTTCGTACCTACATTAACGTTTTGGCAATCTTTATCTGTTTATTATATTCAAGATGGAATGAGGTGGCATATAGAGACTGTATGATATTTATTCGGATTTTAAGCCTGGGCGTTAAAACGCCCTCACGTGGGGTTTTATACCAGGATCGTTTTCGGCATTTGAAGAAGATTAATTTAGGAGGGGTTTTTTGTACCACCCCACATAGATCCTGACTAGATCAGATTAACGCCATTCTCAAAGTTTACTTGAGCGATCTTCGCGATCACAGCCGATTCATATAAAATACGTACAATGAATCTAGAACCAGCCGGAACCGATCCTTACTTCGATTTGGGGTCCTACCATCGACCCATCACAACAAAGTCAGCAAACGCCCAGACATGGTTTGACCGTGGCCTCATATGGACATTTGCCTTCAACCATGAGGAAGCAGTAAATTGTTTCAAAAATGCTATACGAGATGATCCAGGGTGTGCGATTGCGTATTGGGGTTTGGCCTATGCTATTGGCCCGAATTACAACAAGCCTTGGGATACTTTCGATGGTCAGGACCTTCATATATCGCTAAGAGAAGCCCAAAGAGCAGCAGGGCATGCAAAAGATGAAGCTGTCGATTCAACAACACCAGCTGAAAGGGCCCTCATTGAGGCTATTCAACACCGTTACCCATCGGATACGATCGAAGACGTTGGAAATGAAGCGAATGAACAGATATTTGCAAACTGGAATCTTAATTATGCGGAAGACATGGGTGTAGCATATCGAAATCACTCGGATGATCTGGATGTTGCGGCCTTGTATGCGGATGCACTCATGAATTTAACTCCCTGGAAATTATGGAACTTGAAGACCGGACAACCGAGCCCAGGCTCACGCACACTCGAGGCCAAAAAGGTATTAGACCAAGCCATCTCATCAAATAGAGGCTTACATCATCCCGGTATTCTACACTTGTACATCCATTTGATGGAAATGTCTACTACACCTGAGAAAGCTTTACGAGTGGCCGATCATCTTCGGGGCCTTGTACCTGACGCTGGACACTTAAACCACATGCCGTCACATCTAGACGTGCTATGTGGTGACTATCGTCAAGCAATTCAGTCAAATACTCGGGCTATACAAGCCGATGAAAAGTACTTCGCCACCGCCGGCTCGCTTCGATTTTACACCCTTTACCGCGCACATAACTATCATTTTCGCTTATACGCAGCCATGTTTGCCGGACAGGTTCAAGTTGCGCTAGATACAGTGGAAAATCTAGAACACAGTATCCCAGAAGAATTGCTACGAGTCGAATCACCTCCCATGGCGGACTGGCTAGAAGGGTTCATGGGCATGCGTGTCCATGCGCTTATCAGATTCGGTCGATGGGAAGACATACTTGCTCTGAAACTTCCTCATGATCAAATGTTGTACTCTGTCACGACCACAATGTTACACTATGCCAAGGGAGTCGCAAATGCTGCCTTGGGACGGATCGAGGGGGCAGAGAATGAACGCGAAGCGTTCAAAGAAGCATTATTACATGTGCAACCTTCCAGAACGATATTCAATAATTCTTGTCTTCACATATTGCAAGTCGCAGATGCAATGCTCAATGGCGAGATAGAGTACCGAAAGAACAACGTTGACCAAGCATTTATACATCTAAGTCAGGCCATCACACTAGATCAAGAACTTCCTTATGATGAACCGTGGGGATGGATGCAGCCGCCTCGACATGCATATGGTGCGTTGTTGTTAGAACAGGGACGATTTGAGGAGGCGCTGGATGTTTACTTGACAGATCTAGGTCTCAATGACGTCTTACCGCGAGCGATGCAACATCCGAACAATGTGTGGTCTCTGCATGGTTTGTCTGAGTGTCTCACTGCACTGAAAAGATTCGAAGAAGTAAAATTGCTCAAGAAGCAGCTTGATTTGGCAGTCGCGACGGCTGATGTACCTATCAAATCGTCGTGCTTTTGTCGACTTGATACAGAATGCTGCTGATTGCTCCGTACCTGGATACTGAGGTCTTTTGACTGCAAAAACCTAGTAGAATCGTGGATTGGCTCTGCAAGAAGGGACAAACTGCGTCAGCTTAGCATTGAGTACCAATAATTTCCAGCTTCTACTACACGAAATGAATGGAGTGAAATGTAGAGAATATGACCACATGTCAAGCAAGCATAGAGACTGTATCTATTATGAGTGAACAACCCGACTTCTACTTGTACTGTATTTATCCTTGTAGCACAAGGCTTAGGGCTTCATTGTACATGTGACTGCCGTCTTTGTTCAGCTCCTGTTGATCGATGCCTCACGCTAGCACCAACACGGAATTCTGTGATGGGATCGATTGGCTTCTGAGCCTGAATCAAATCTATTCATGGTTTGAAGGCTAGTGATTGATAGGCAGAAATAATTTGGAAGACGACATCTCTGAGTCGGCGTTCAACAACAGTCGGCTAGATGACATGACTTGAGAACTGCTCGCACGAGACTAACCTATCCTCAAAGTCGAATTCAAGGAAATTAACCAGAAGCCACATCAAAGGCATCTAAATCGCGACATTTCTATTTTACACACAGGTCACGCCAATCGAGCTAAAGTCAAGACAAGTCAACTAGCCCACTAAAAAAAAACACTATCGATTCTAAGCTCGTATAAATCGATTTACTAGGCAAAAACTGTCTTTGCTAGATTGATTATACACGATGGATCACTAGACGAAGTCTATCGATAGTTGGTGTTATAAAGAGCCGATACCACGTCACTATATATAGCACTCCATACTAATAAATGGCACTTCGGCTTTTCCGATCGAAGATTTGTTTGAGTATCTAGATTTTAAAACTGACCCTTAACAACGCCCTAATCTGAGACTATAAATCAGTTTATTCCCTTAATATTTTGCATAACTGTTTAATTCATCCCGGGATGCTTGATGACATTTTCGTGGACGTTGTATTCTTGGCTGTCAGCAACGTTTCGATTATGGTAGTGAGTTACATTAAACGAACCAATTACCTGACCACAACCGGTCCATGAATTAAAACTGAAATCAACTGAGTAGTCTACAATAGAGGGGCTATTTTCTTCTACACATGACCTTCTTGAACGGCTACGAAAATGACTCCCGATAGTCCTCTCCACTATGAAGGGGCATTTAGAACCGCATTGTTCACTAACATCCCACCACTTTTTGGTTACATTCGTGACGTCAAAACACTGGACTGTCATCAAGTGCATAAGAATGCCGTATAAGATTGGAGGCTTCTGGCATGGCGCAACACACCACGGCTTTTTCGGCCCCAGTAGCGTGTTTAGTATGTTTAGTACGTTGTTCAGTTACCTGATCCGCTCCTAAACCTTCAGCATGTGTATAGATACGTGCAATCTTCAATATGCACGTAGCTCTTAAGCCGTTTCGCATCGCCTGTCATTTGGCAATTCCATGATTTGGGATTGTCCAGGATCCTAAAACTGCCCCCCATCGGAATTTTGCTCTCACACACTATTTGTTCCTTCCACCCACGTGCTTTGCGCATCTATGCATCATCCACTGGCCGTCTTCAGGTTCCCCAAGAGCCCCTCATGAGCGAGTCAGTATGAGTCGTGGCTCACATAGTGATCAAGTCAGCCCACCACGTTCGTGTTGGTAGTATTTTCAGTGCCGACACATGATTGTTGACCAGTATCCTGAAACTCAAAAGGTAAAAATCGCCGTTGTTTCTGCGTCTAGTGGACTCGGTTCTCGTAGACTTATCTGGGGCTTTTCCTCAAGCCTTCTCTCTTGGCTTCTTTGTCCACGATAGATATGATATTTTAAAATGCCTTCCTCGTGTTTGAGGCAACTTTGGCAATAGTCGCAGATACTTATTGTGCTTAAACTCCAACAACCATACATAACAACAAGTAAATGTCTCGATGAGTTTCGCACAGGCTGTGGCCTCATGGCCACCACCGAACTATATTGATCCCGTTACTCGAGGTGATGGAATCGTGATCACCAGTGCTGTTTTCGGTTCTTTGGCAACAATCGCAATCGTATTGCGTGCATACTCTAGAATATGCATAACTCGCACTTTCGGCTCAGATGATGTTCTTGTACTTCTTGCCTGGGTATATATTCGTGAGTAGATATTTAATGCAATTTGAGCTGACTTCACACAGGTTTGGTCGATAGCGATGATGATATGCTTATCAATTGCGTCGAGGGAATATGGCTTCAACAAACACATCTGGGACATACCTTTCGACAAACTACGCACATCGAATGTATATAGCTTACTGTTCCAGGTCACATTCAGCTTAGCGTCATCATTCACAAAGCTTTCGCTGTTGTGGTTCTGTCGGCGTGTTATAGGTGATGGCAGGAAGATCAGCTGGGGCTTGCATGATTCTGCCATCGTAGTGTTGATGGGACTGATAGTGGTTTTTGAAGTCGCTTATCTCATCATGCTATTCTTGCAATGCCGGTAAGTATTTCGCGATTATTGTATATTTCCAAGAGCCTTGCACTAATTATATGATGATTGTAGTCCACTGAAAGCGCTCTTCGACCTTGTGCCGACCTATCACCACGTCTGCACCATAAATAGTCATCTTCTTACATATGCTGCCAGTATAGCAAACACGATCACCGACTTTCTTACAACCCTCATACCCGTTACCTTGATCGGGAAACTACACCTACCATATCGCCAACGTATTGTCATTATGGGTCTCTTTGCCCTTGGTGCTACTGTCAATATTGCCGGCGCCCTTCGTACATATTACCTGCACACCAGTATGCTCGTGAAAGACCTAGATCGATCCTGGGTCGGATGGCCAACATGTATCTCTGGCATTGTGGAGATTGGACTTGGAGTAGTAGGTGTTTTTCTCCCTGTCCATAAACCTTTCCGTACGTAGAATGCTAAGAATCATTGCAGATTGTCACATCTGTCCCAGCTCTGCGTCCATTGATTGGCCGCTTCTGGCCATACATTCTTGAATCTCGAAGAAAGTACCGATATCAAGGAGATGACGAATCACCAGGTATCTCATTCGGAAGCGAAGAGAAACCTCGGCCCTCGCGGAGTATTTTTGACCTCAAGACCTTTGACAAGTCATGGGGCAAAGACAGCCTCGTCATGAGTAAAATTTCAACAACTCAGATCGAAATGAACAGCACCCAATTAACTGAGCAGCCCAGAGATGCTATCAATGTTACGCAGCCCTGGCGGCAGGATTGGTTAAATATTACGCCTTGGCCAGAGTCGAGGGATTCAATCTCTCGCGTTGGTTCTGTGGATGAGCATGTAAATGATGACTATGAGAGATTCCGCTTTGACGTCCGATCAGAGGAGCAATCCATGACCAGATTTTATGAAGATGACATCGGAAATCGCCATCCGTAAGTTGACTATACGTTGAATATTTGCAGGGAGATTTTTCACTTTTGGCATTCGCTATTAATGCTCATGTGGTTTGGAAGATTTTTGCTTGATCATTATATATATCACAGTAGATTTTGGGTTATGATTCCTTATTCTTTGGCCCCACCCATCTCGGCCCCCGATGGTGTAGTTGGTAAGTTACTCTGACACGTGGACTTCGCTATGTTATCTAATAAAGAAATCAGGTTTATCACGCTCGATTGTAATAGAAATTGTTATCGAGAGGCCACCGGCTCGACTCCGGTTCGGGGGATAAATTYTTTTTTTTTTTTTTTTTGATCATGAAATATGTTTGCCTTTCAGATCTAATCTGACAGAACACGCCTTCATTCCGATTTTAAATATATTTTCAACAGACGACTTTGGTTTGATTTTTGTCATGCGGGCCTTCCTCGTGTCACCGAAGCGCGACTATTTAAGTACATATAATCGTTATGACCTTTGACCTCAAGGCATATTGTTCGATTGCACCAAGAGCTTTGTTTTCATGCCATTGCTTGGAGACAGTCTCGAAATGATCTAGTCATAGTTCCACAGCGGCGTAAGAGACAAGTAAGCGCCTCCATTTTGTCCAACTGTGATGCACTCGTTCACGCGAGTCTGATCGAAAGTAACTAAGGGAGTTCCGGTACAGGTCGACTCATTATAGACGGAGACGGACCATCCCTCGTTCGAGGTTGCCTCAAGTTCAGTCCAAACGATAGGATCAACCGCAAGGATTAGGTCCCAGCAAGTCTCAGGTCCTGCGAAGCTCAAAGTGCCACCAGGTGTGCTTGGGCACGCATTATCACCGTCATATACAGTCAGAGACAATACAACGTCTGAAGGAACTGCAAGGGAGGCGTCATTTGGGACTGTTGGGGTTCCCTCGAGGCTGGAGAGAAGGTGGCCATTATAGTTGACGATATACTCCTCTAAATAGTAAATTGTCAAAATCCGTATTTGACAAACCTATTGGTAGAATGTGGGTAGGAGATGGAATGAGAGCACTTATCGTACCTAGATTCAAAGTAGTGTTCCCACTGTCATAGGTGTATGTGCCTTCACAATAGCATTGTAGTGTGGCGCCGCTGTCCAACAAGAAACAGTTTGAGCAGGACTCTTCATAGGCTCCACTGAAAGATTATGTCCGATTAGTTTATACTTCCATAGTAGCTTTCGCCCCCAAGGTATCATGGGGTATGGATTCCGTTCTAGACGTACTCCGTTTTCCACTGGTGAGCGCGAACATTAGCACGTTATGCTTCCTGCATATCCAAGCAATCGACGCGACATACCTCCAATTTACCCTCCGTGTTTGTGACGTGTGACGGCAAGTAGACACCACTTGAAATCGAAGTTCCAGCGTCGTTAGGGCAGTTGGCTACCAACCAGCTGGTGTTGAGTGTTATATCAGAGCATTCAGAGGAGTAGCCTGTGGTAGCGGCAGCTGCTGAGCTTGGCGCAGCCTGTGCGATTCCAGCAATGAAGCCGAACAGAGTGGCCAATTTCTGGTGATGCATCTTGACTCTAACGTAATCCGAGTGATTGACCTGTAAAACCAAGGTCAGTTTCAGAGAGATGAATTGTTTAGGATAACGAAGAAGAGACTCTTAAATCACGCAATAAAAGTTTTTCTTGCAAATATTTGGAAATGTGATTAGAATGACAAGCAACAAAGACTCACGTTATTGATGTGGTTGTATTCAACAAGGTCTTCAGTTGCTACTACGAACTTTATACGGAAGCAGCGATCTCTTTATAGTAAAGACTTCGGAGCTCCATCACAGTATTTTACCAGACTTACTTGGAATAGAGAACCCCATGTAACGTCGTAAAAATCTATTAGCCCGAAACACCCGGGTAGTTGTTACTAGCTACGCTTTCTATACGAACTTGCTCATCCTGATAGGACAGCCGCGATATACCTGACTCAGCCGAACATGACCTTAATAACGTATTTCACGGGTAAGTGACGCACACGGGTAAGTGACGCACCCGCAACGCGCCACTTTTATTTTCTCTAACAAATACCATATAAAACACAAATATATTGATTTTCTATCTATCTAGCTTGATTCGTACACTGATTACACCTATGCCCTACTTCCCAGCAATTAGTACACCTTGGGGGAGCGCGCCTACGCTGCTCCGAAGGCTCATTCTTATTAGTCCCTGGAAGGGGGTTAATAGCTTCATAAAGCTCTATAGCAAGCTCCTAGCCTTCTACAATAGTTAGAACATCTATATTTAGAAGCGCTCAAGTACAGTAAGATTAGCGTTTTTGTAATTAATTATTAGATTTATATAGTTAATTATTTTCCCTAGCTAAAAGTGCTGTGTTATATATCTATATAAGAGATCCTTTGATCAATTGATTAAAAGCTTGACTTAATGACGAATTCTTATTAGAATTAGTCTAATTTAGAAGCTTTTTGATAGACTAAGCCTGGCACTCTAACATATATAAATTATATAGCATTTTAGGGCTCTAACTAGCATTACTTAACATACTAGAGTGGCTTAGGATTAAGGTAACCTTATATATAACAAGTTATAATTAAGATAGCACTTTTTTAGGATCAAATAGTATAATTTCTATATACAAAAAGCCACCTCTTATATTTTATATAATATATATTTACAACTATACTTTATAAAATATATCCAAAAAATCGACTTTATTAATATGGTGAATACTATTCTAGATTTAGGTTTCTATAGTATCCCCATATAAGCACTTAAACACCGAAAAAACATCTATATCTAGAGGCTAAAGAATATAAGATGAATATAATAATATATAATATAGAATAATATTATATTTTTTATATATATAATTAAATCTAGATATTAAATAGCTGCTATGCCCATTAAGAATTAAAAGCTGTTTAATACCAACTATACTAGGCCTTATATTAGGCTTAAATACCCTTTCTAGCTACTATAATCCTAATTCATCTGATATCTAGCCATTTAGTAAGTATATAATTAACTAATTAAGAGGTAGGATAGGGTCCTTATATCATTCTATCTAGTTACTACTAGATTTAAATATTATTAATAGAAATATTACTATACTAGTGCTTTGTATATATTCTATTATAATCACCTATTCACAATTTCCTAGTTAAATAAGGCTTAGTTTTCCTATATAATCAGTACTATATATTATCTTTATTATTATAGTAATCCTTATAGCAAATCTAGTCTTATTAAAATTATAGATATCTTTATCCATAATCTTGTGCTCTAGCTTTAGCTAGGTTAGATTTATAAAAAAGCCTCCAATAATTACTAGATCTTTATATAATACCCAGAAATAAGTTAACTAGTATAAAAATTTAATTTTTAGATCTAGATATTAATTTATAAAGAAAATAACCCAGTTAATACTAATTTTCTAAGATGTTTTAGTTAAATCTCTTTTAGCAAGTAAAATATTAATTATTTCTCTAAGCATATAAGGTCTTAGAGGCACACCGCAGCGCTCTAAAGAATATATCCAGTCCCAAAGCACGATTTCTTTCGTAGGCGTTAATTTACGGCGTGGGATGCCTGCCTCGCGGTGTGATTTGGTGCCTTTAAGGCGCCGCCGTAGGGTTGCTTCGGAAACATCGTATAGGCGCGCCGCGTGGCATAATTTTTTGAGTTTTTGATTTTTGAACGCGTCAATAGCAAGAGAAAGTCTTCCTTCATAGCTAGAGTCTTTTTTCGCACTTGATTTTCCCATTTTTGATGTTGGGGTTGTTGTTGTAAGAGTGGTTGTAAGAATCCGGATAATATTTTGATGTGGTGCGTCACTTACCCGTGTGCGTCACTTACCCGTGAAATACGTTAGAGATAAACTATAAACTGATGTAAATCAGTCCAGTAGCCCCATGGAGCTAAGGCGCTCTCGATTTGTGAGAACACAAGTACCAATGGTACCTCTGCTTTTCGTGGGGCGTTTGTTTGGTCTAATCAAATTCGGCGGGAAAATTTTCCAAGTAAGGCAATCTATTTTAAATGGAAATAAGGCTTGCCCTAGTAAGCATGATGTTACTTGTATCAAATGCCAAGCCGCAGAATGATTCATGAAGTCACAGATATTGAGAGTCGCTGTTCCTGCTTGGAAGTCGTTCTGTAACCGTTGGTCCTAAGTTTCCGAAGTTTCCTCGCGCCTGTAACGTTCCAAAGCAACAGTGAATTGTCCAGCCAGCTTAGCGGTACTAGCTCTGTTTACTTGGAGAAGTTGCTTTTACTCTGAAGAGTTGAACGTGGAGTTCGGGAGCCGACCCGAGTCAGTCATAATGCTGTGTTCATTATTAATTTAAACTCACATGATGTGCGCATAAGCTGTATTTTATGCTGGGTTGGCTGCTGACAAAAGCTTACAAATTGCAATGCTTACTTGAAATGATAATTATCAGAGCCGTTCATCACATATGTGCCGAGTAGCTGCTCCGTAACTCCGATGTGGTACCGTTGCCTATATCGACCGTAAGGACAAAATTTGGAACTCGCCTAAAATACATTTTTCCATAATTTTTGATTCATGGCACAACTCAAATTTTCTATTTCTATTGACTTTCTTTAACAAACACGGCTTTTGACCGTGCATTTATATACACAAAATAAGCCCATATCTAGGCTCGAATATAAGCGTGAATATAGACACAAATACGCACTCAAAAAGATAGATGCACTGAGCGCACTTACATACTAAGATAAAAAGTACTAAGAGCTGGGAAATATCTATAATTAGTCTACCTACTCTATTATTATTTTTCTTGATACACTTAATACACACGCTAAAGCGCTCAGTGCCTCTTTTGACCGCGTATCCGCGTCCATATTTACGYTTATATTMAAGCCATATTCGAGCCTAGATATTAGCCTATTGTATGTTAGTAAATAAATCAGCTTCTCATATATTAATTCAAAGCTATACTTATTTACTAGAATAGTAAAAATAGAAAAATTGAGTTATGGCAATTGTTAACAATTGTGAAGAGATGTAAAATTTGTAAAAAACATATTTGTCTTTACGGGCGATAAGACACCGGTATACAGGCACCGGTAGGTAGGTAGGAGAGTTACGACTCGTTGTGGGCAGCGCTAGTAGCAGCACTACAACACGACACACAGGTATCCTCTCGGCTCGGTGTAAATACTTTGACGTCAATTCTGAAGGAAGGGAAACCGATTGAATGTAAAGAAAATTGATCTATCAGGTTGTCGGAGTTACTCCAATATGAATACGTTATGCATACTAACGATGACCTTCGACCATCGCTCGATGCCTGGCCGATAGAATAACTACAAAGAACCAAAATATCCAGAGCAGCGTTTCGGGGAGGGCGGGCCGCGCACACTCCGGAGTAGCGGGACTGAACAAAGTCGTAAATTGATTGCCCTGAACTTGTATCGAATTTAATAAGAGTGGTACTGTATATGCTATTGACATTACATAGTACAATATAAGTTGTCACAATACGTCGTAGATTTCTTTGCGGGACATAGGGCTCAGTGGTAGTTGGCGATGACTGCCGTATCGTCAGATCTGACCATATATTGAACTGTTCAACTTATTTAAAAGACTTCTGATCATAGCCTAGCTGCCATGCCGCTTCCAGAAATATTTACACGTAGTACGTGGTTACCAATAGTAGTAGAAGCCATCTGACTTAGTTCCTGTAAGTATGTTTCAATTGAAATGTGTATTAATAGTCTAGCTAGAGAGAAATAACAATAACAACACGGAATATTATGATTCGCAATGCAATTTGTAAGCTGAAATGCACATGAAAGTTTAGTAATAATGCAAGTACGATTTTGGTGGCTATACCATAGCATCGTGATGAAAATTAGAATTTCCCCTGGAATTTGCTATCCCAGTTATCTCAAAAGGATATTTTCTTCAAAGAGCTTGAACGATCACAACAAGGAGAAGAAGAAGACCAGAGTGCTGACAGCTCCCAATAATGCAGTGATTGGAACAGTGGAGCCTGGCGCAAAACTGGAATAATGACCGACTGACTCTGCAGCTTTTGGCACGCCTGTTTTGGAAGGTTCTGGAGCAGGTCTGGTTGCAGATGGCTGTTTAGCCACACTAGTCGCCTCCGTAGGATATATCTTAGGTGGAGACTCATAAATGTGATGTTCCCCGATAGGTCCCTGTGGTTGAGGGCTGCCGCTTGTCGGTGAAGGAATAGCGGGTTTGGAATGCACCTCAGTGCAGTTTGGTGGCATATTTACTGACAGAATGTTAGCGACTTTGTTTTAATGATACCCATAGAAAGCAATAATGGATTGGAGGACGTACGGGGAACAGCAACGTGAGAGACAGAGGGAGCCTCGTTGACCGTGGGTTCTGGCTTCGAGACATGAGGCACGTATGCGTTAGTCAGTGTATCACTGGGTTCCTCGGGGGTTGGAATCGCGTGTGGGGGAGCTAGTTCATGAGGCACTTCACCGTGCTCAGACGGAGGGTTAAATGGCGGTAGGTTGCTTTCTCCGGGGTGAGGATGTTCCTCACAAGTGCAAGAACTTTTAGGAGCGGCGCCATAGTGAGGCGATGGTCCCTCGTGAGGAGTAGCAGGCTCAGTGGGATGATCAGCATCACTAGGGTGCGATGATTGTGGGGATGACAGTGAAGGGAGTTGATAAGGCTCAGGTGAGCTGCTCTTAGGATCATGTGGTTCTGCAGAAGTGGATTCAAATGGTGGAGGAGATGATTCATGATGGGACTCTGTAGGAGGCGGGATTTGGTAAAGTCCAGCAGATGGGCTACCTTTCGGCTGTGAAGGCTCTCCAGGCATGGTGAGAGTGGGCGAAGGCCCTTGATACGACTCAGCCGGAGTGATGGTATGAGGTCCGGCAGGTGGATAGCTTTCCCCGGTTGGGCCGCTGGAGCCAGACTTGAGTGGAGGGGGTCCCTGGTAAGACTCGTGTGGTGGGAGAGTTTGAGAAACTGCAGCAGGTGAACTGCTCGCAGGTCTAGGTAGACCGCTTTCCCCAGTTGRACCGCTGGAGCCAGAATTGAGTGGAGGGGTTCCCTGGTAGGACTCGTGTGGTGGAAGAGTTTGAGAAACTGCAGCAGGTGGACTACTCGYAGGTCTAGSTAGACCGCTTTCCCCAGTTGGRCCGCTGGAGCCAGAATTGAGTGGAGGGGTTCCCTGGTAGGACTCGTGTGGTRGAAGAGTTTGAGAAACTGCAGCAGGTGAACTGCTCGCAGGTCCAGGTGGCTTTCCAGAAGCAGATTCAAGTGGTAGAGGGTGCGGCTCTTGCTCTGATTCGCCAGGTGATGGAGTATAGTGAGGACCAGCAGGAGAGCTTCCATGAGGTTCTGATGGGATGGAATTAAACGGCAGAGGAGGCGGCCCCTGATACGCTTCAGGAAATGCAGAGGGTGCAGTATCATGGCCGTTCTCTGATGTCTTTGGCGCCGGGGTAACTTTGGATGGTGATGGTAAATGTGAGACCCACGATGGAATTTCTGGAGAGCTTGTTGGCTTCGCAGCATCAAGACCATCCCAGGGTTCTGTAGGCTTTACAGAAACTGGTTCGGAAGGGCGCGGGTGCGCCTCAGTGAACGAAGGAGGTTGTGTAGGCGAGGTATATGTCGTCTCCGCATGCGAAGATGGAATAGGTGGATGACTGGAGGAGGCTTGGAATACAGGAGATGGGCTGTTGAGCTGTGGTTCTTCCGGTTTTACTGGCTCACTAAAATTTGGTGGCGGTCCATCATAAGAAGCTCCTGGAGGTGCTGAGTGAGAGATCGTAGGACTGAGTGAGGTAGGCCTGGGTGAGTCTTTAGTGTGAGCAAACTCGCCATCCCCTGGAAAAGATGTAGCGAACGGTGGGAGCGCCTCCTCTGTTGGCTGTGGGAAATGAGATGATAATCCAGATGGGAGATAAGTCGAGTGTGGTTCTGGTGAATGCTCCGAGAGCGCCTGTACAAAGCTTGTTGGTGATGGATCTGTTCCCTCAAAGTGATGAGGTGTTGGCGTCATCCAGTCCAGTGTTGGCGGATGATATGAGAGATCCTCTGGTTTCAAATGATCAACTTCAGCTTCTTCTCGGCGAACCACACCGGCAAGTGCTGTACCAGCAAGTGCTAGTAATGTCAGTTTTGACTGAACCATAACTGATTTATAACGATCGAATATTGTTTGCTGTCTTGTTCAAGGAAGCTGAATTAGGTATGAATGGAGTTGTTGTCGCATCTCAGATTTCTGATACCAACATGAAATTTCTTCAGCCAAGTTCCAGCGGGATCTTTATATGCTGATACGACCTGATAATTTCAAGTATATATATTCGAATGCGGATATTATATCGTTACTATGATACATATGAAAGCTTCACGACCTTTATTTTCGTTTTGCCGAAAGCGGAAAAAGGGGGAAGTACGGGTGACGGATAAACACCGCATTAGGCAACTTCAGAAAACCATTGTGATGAGCTGGGCTTCCGAGGGCAGCAAAAGAACGATGCACAGATACTTTGTTGCTATCAATACATCGACGTTTCAAGATGAGATATTTGGATTTTTTATGTTGACCTATGCCAAGTTGGAATCTCTCGTGGCCGTGAACATATGTAAGCAACTACTTGCCATCTTTCTATACGTCGAGCCAACCTGGGAACATCTTAGATAGAGAGCACTCATCATGGGCTACTAAAAACCTTTTCTAGGCACAAGTTTATTGACTCCTAAATCTGTGTATCGCTCCGGGTGAAACTCTACTGCCAAAAATCGGACCACGCACAATGTCATGGTTCCTGACATTCAGCCCAATCTGGACATCTTAGAGGTTGCGTGCAGCTAACTTTTTGATTTTTGTTTACTTACGACACAGACATTGAGTCTGCCGCCAAGATTAACGGAAGTAAATTGTATCCCTTCTACTGTCTATCGCATTGAGCTGTTTTCATGTACGCCTGTTAAGAATACGTCATGTGGCTGAAACGCTTGCCATGAAATCTCATGTCAAGTTGAGTGATAATACATGATACATGACTCAGGCAGCTTAGAGAGTGAGACTACTCCCTATCGAAACCCCTGTCGCATGTCTCCGGGCGGTTGGTGGATTCCGGGAATACATGCTGGAGCATTCCTTTGCCACGTGCATTCCAGCTTTTGAGCATCTTATTCGTTGTGCTAGAATAAATGTCGGCTCGAGAGTCAAAGCTGAGTATGTGGTCAATGCTCAATACAAAATATGGGGTCCCTTATGCAAGGATCGATTCTCTAGAATGTTTGACAGCCATTGGTAAACTTGTGAAGAAAGTCAGGATTCAGCGTACGACAGTGGTGGATAACACAAGAAGGCAGATTGATTGACGGCAAGGCACCACACCAGCCGTCTTTGCACTTGTGTAACCTTTCCCAACTACATGAATAGGTTAGACTTGTCCGACAGAGCAATMAAGCCACTTCCAATGCCGTCTTGCAACAACCTGGCCATTTCCAAGGACTTTCTTTGAGTGAAAGCGTACAAACCACATGCCTGGTCAAGAAATGAGTCCAAGAGTGTAGCTAGTAAAGAATATTAATGCAGTCAATGTGGCTTAGCTGTCTGTAGATATCCTGAAACTCTACTACGTCTGATCTGGTTCTGGTCGCTCAACCCTAGCCCCTGATATACACATTATCAACCCTAGAGCTATCTGGCCAATTAAAAAAAGATATTAGACCCACTACAGTTGACAGCCAATGGGAGAGCGATTTCGTAAACCTTTCCTCTTTCAGACTAGCCGGTTTGAGGCCGGAGATAAGACAGCTTGGAGCGCGTACTTTGCTCGAGCCTGCTAGTCGAGTAAAGATGGCAGCTCTGATTCTCAACACAGTCAACACATTGTATGCGTGCGGAGATGCTGAATGCCATGAATTCCAGCCAGCGATTATATCGGGCTATTGCAATATCATAGTCACCCTGTTCAGCAGCTGATATCATGCCCTCCAGACGCCAACATCTCAAATCTCGACATGGGTGTCTAATATGCAAGTCTAGAAAAGTCAAGGTACGTACACCACTTGGCCATTAGTCACTTGAAAATCTACGTTCGTGCTGCCGAGGACGAATCTGATGTCGATACTCTAGTGCGACTTTCAGAGGCCGGTCTGCGGTCACTGTCAACGAAGAAAGGAACAATGTCAATACGCAGCAGATGCACCAGCGCAATATGAAAATCAGCTCCGCCGTCCATATCGCCGCAACTCTATACACTTCTGCGATAGTCACTTTCGAATTCCTTCGACCACCGGTCCATTGGGTACTGAAGAAATACTTTTGCGTCACTTTACGTCTCGCGTCAGTCTCACGTTGTCGGATCGCGATGATTTCCAAGCCGTATGGTCTCTTTATGTTCCACAAGAAGCATACAAATATCCACACTTGATGCACAGTATGCTCGCCACGTCAGCTCTTCACTTGTCACAGATAGCGAAACCCGAAGAGTCTGCCGATACTAGTTTTTACGCGGCATTGGCAGCGCATCATCACGTTGTAGCGTTGTCCCTTCTCACCCCACACGTCACCAGCGTCACGATGGAAAACTTCGATAGTTTATATGCAACTGCCATGCTCATCTTCCTATTAAATGTTGGGCTGATGACCTCTTCGGACTCATCTCGTCTCTCTCATGACATTGTGTTTTTGTCAGAGCTGGCTAAAGGCATTCTGGCCGTAAGAAAAGCTGGAGAGGAAATATGTGAACGCAAGAAGTCTTACATGCTGCGCGATATTTGTCCATGGGATTATCCTCCCCCGCTCCCAGATCGTCTGCATCGAACAATTCGAAATATAGAGAGATTTGTTGCCTCCCTACCTGAAACCGGAGAGAAAAACCAGAATAAGACCGAATATGAGGAGGCGACTAGACTTCTCCGCGCGACTTTCAATGCTGTGAATCTGAATCGTCAACATCCCGCGATGATTTTTATGTGGTTCACACTTGTCGACCGCCGCTATATCGAGCTTGTGCGCTCTAAGGATACCATTTCCCTCATGATCCTAGCCCACTATGGAATTTGTATGCTGCAATTCAAAGACAAATGGTGGGCGGAAAAGTGCGGTGCATATATTGTTGCTTCGGTCCATCAAATCCTCGATAATAGTGACTGTTGAGGGACATCAAGTCCACATGAGAATTAACCACTATGAAATGCACCGGGAGAAATCCCACGAACCGAATTATTAATCACGACCTCAATAAAGTCTAACAAAACAGGTAGCTGATTGACTCTATCATTGATATAAAGCCATGTTGCTGTGAATGACGAAAATACCTTTGCTTGGCCAAGACTCAAACACAGTTATCGTTACTGTTGTAAACGACAGCATGCTCGAAACACTGACAAGAATAACGTGAGTGATCAGAGGAGAGTAGCTGGTCTAGAGCTTCAACATGAGGCAGTTGTTGTTCCAGCAAACGTCACGACGTGATACTGCTCACGCAGCCATTGTTATGATGGGATAGCACGTCGGCCAGGATTCATTTTTCTCAGCATTCGTACTTCCCTGCTTCATTGCTATGGTGATTTGACAAAGTTGCAACAAACCATGAAACTACCATCGCAAGGTTACTGTTTCTTGTTCAGTCGTAGTATGCTCTCTAGCTTGACGACATTGTGCATCTGTCTGGAACAGTAGCATAGCAGGGCCTAGCAATGCGATGGACAGACACCTAACGAGACACGCAGATCGTCATTTGCAAACTTGGCGAAGAGCAGTCAATGGAACGCGCCGATTTTCTCTGGAAAATGCGTTGACCGGGAAATGCCATCTTGGAATGTGGCTAGCCTCAGTAGATGACCACAATTTTTTTCCAGAAATACAAACACACGCTCAATAATAGTTTCCTCTTCAAGTCTACTGTATTGGTTCGTTTGATTTAGAAAAACGAAGTCTGGTGTTTCAAAGTAACATATGTTGTATTGTAGAGTGTGATATTGTCGTCTGCCAAGCGGTGACAGTTGGTCATGCTGAGCCGCAACCAAGTTTATTACGACCAATGGAGCTTTAACGGGCCCTCCATGTTACTTTTCGACCATTGATGGGGGCTATTGATGAGTATGTAGATCTTTGATTTTCCAGTCGACTTCTAATCAAATGCTACAAGCCAAGAAACGCCAGCTTATGGCCAATACCGGGGTTATCCAGCAAGGCCCGCATACCACGCACGCGTGTCCACAATAGCATGGTTTCCAGGCTTTCAAAGAGCGCTTGTTCATACGGGGTGGCCCCCATCAATAACATCTTTGAATCGAGGATGGTTTTCCACTTACCCGATGACGCGCCATCGATCTCTGAGACCCTTTAATGTTTTGCAGGATGATCTGGAGCTTGTAAACGGAGCATTCCAACATAAAAGCTGTGACGCGCTCATGAATACCTAAAATACTAAGCATTTCTTCTACTTAACGATCTTTTTGTTTCTCAACACTGCGAGTTGTCACTCTGTCTGTCACGTACTTCCTAGCATCCGCGAGATTGATTGATACAGGTTATCACCATGAAGTACCTCGCTGTTGCTGGCTTCCTCGCCGCCCAAGCGGCTGCGCTGAGGAATGTCATGTATGTTGACCAGTAAGTAAATCCCACCGTTCCCATCGAACCTGATTGGAAGTCGTCTCTAAAAGGCATCTATTGTAAAGATGGCACATTTCCAGTCTTCCATCGAGCGATCTCGTGTCGTCGGTGACACATGCAATCATGGCATTCGCACCGTCCGAGAACTTCAATAGCGGAAGCACATTCACGCCATTTGAGTCCATCGATACGTTCAGGGCTCGCTTCCCTAGCACCACAAAGATCATGGTTGCTATTGGAGGTTGGGGTGACAACGCCGGGTTTTCCACCGCTGCAGTGAGCGAGACGTCGCGCTCTACATATGCTCAAAACGTTGCGGCCATGCTGCAGTCAACCGGCCTTGACGGTGTTGGTAGGCGTCTCTTCTCTTACCACTGTTAGGAGAAGTTAGCTAATATTATTTCTATGGTTAATCAGATATTGATTGGGAATATCCTGGTGGAAATGGAGCGGACTACAAGACAGTTCCCAACTCGCAGCGCGCTGATGAAGTGACCACATTCCCTCTCCTGGTCCAGGCTATTCGTGAAGCTATCGGCGATGACAAGGTTCTTTCCATCGCCACTCCTGGACTACAGCGTGACATGATCGGATATACCGCAGACAATGGCCCCACTGTTTTTGACACCGTCGACATGGTCAATATTATGAGCTATGACTTGATGAACCGACGCGATAATGTCACCAAGCACCATACCAGTATCAAAGGCTCTTTGGAGGCTGTGAACAACTATATCAACATTGGCATGAACGCAACAAAGGGCAACCTTGGTATTGCATTCTACGCCAAATACTTTACGACTGACCCTGCATCTGATTGTGCTACCAACCCGATCGGCTGTGCCACCGTGCAGCTCGAGGACGCTAATGGCCAAGATACCGGCAAGTCTGGTGCTGTCACTTTTGAGACAAACCCCGAGGTTTCCAGCTCCTCGATTACATCTTCATGGAGCAAGGCGAAAGCCAACGGCCTCACCGATGAGGATGCTGGCGGACAGTATTACTGGGACAGCGACGCACAGCTCTTCTGGACTTGGGATACACCAGATTTGATTACTAAAAAATTCACCGACATCATTGCAGCCACTGGTCTAGGGGGTGTTATGGCATGGAGCTTGGGTGAGGATAGTCTTGATTGGAGCGAGCTCAAGGCTATCAACTCTGGTGTTGCGGCTGCTCAGTAGACGGACATATTTCTGCGGAAAATGGGATAGTCATCTCTCTCAAAAGTTCAAGAACCATTTTTCATGCGGGTATTTACTTTCACCCGTCTTGTATAGGTTTGCCTTCAACACTTAAGTTTTTCTCAATTTTCATTATATCAAGTGCTTACCGAGCGCTCCTACTTTTCAAAATATCATCGGCTTTAATAAAATTTCTGATCAATCGACATTCATACCTCATCACTTGTGTAAGGTTCCCAGTTTGTAGTTACGTAGGTAGGTTATTTGGTGTATGACTATACTCGAGACATAGGTCAACTGGTAATTGGAGAAGCTAATTGAATATGATGGATTAAATCACTAACAATCAAAATCATGGTATTAAACACAAAATCATGGTATTAAACATGGAAGACGAGAAAAAATCCCATTATACAGAAAGAATGTTGAGTCGTCGGTATTCGTCAGTTAGTTCTCCAAGTAATTTAGAACTTGCTCAAGACGTCCGCAGTAAAAGTCCATAGCCTTTGAGACAACTCAGTACTATTTGCTGTTTTGTCCAGCCTGTCATTACAAAACCTTCCCACCGGCATGTAAAATCCTCCATTCACCAATTCATTTTCCTTGGCGCCAGCAGCGGCCCAAAGTTGGCTCAGGCGTCCTTGATCTTCCTCTATGAAGGTCACACCCATGAACAATAGTACGATGCTAGTAATTAGCCTGAGGTGCCAAGGGATTGAAGTCGTCAGATGTGTGTTGACAGCTCCAGGGTGAACAGAAATGAATTTTATGTTTGTATTGGGGTATTGGCGGGCGAGTTCGGCCGCGTACATGATATTGGCGAGCTTGCTCTGTCTATAGATGGATATCAGTCAAGGGACACTCAAGGGTCAGATCTGGAGCTCTACACGTACGCATATCTGAAAGATGATCCCATGAAACCTTTCTGTGGGGTTCGGATTGTCGAGAAGGTAATACCATCGCTGGAGTGACCTTTCCAAGCTGTCGACGTCAAACACAACACGCGTACATCCGAGTTTGGCTGACTAGCAGTATTTTTCAAGACTGGCATCAATTCTTGAATGATCATGGCATGAGCGAGATGATTAATGGCAAAGTGAAGCTCGAAACCGTCCTTGCTGACACCTGCGGGTATGAACATGACACCTGCGTTGCACCTAAAAATAAGTTAGCGGCTGTTAATTGCAAGCTGAAGGATACTAGATGGTGGACTGACATAAGAACATCGAGTCTATCATGCACAAATTCTTTGCACGCTTCCTTGACGGAGACCAGAGAAGTCATGTCCATCTTGACAAAAGTCAACTTGACTGAAGGCTTTCCCGTCTGGACTTCATCGATCAATTCCTGTGCCGCTTTGTTGTTGCGGCCTGTGAAGTAGATGTGCGCCGGATTGTGCTTGGCTAGGGCTATCACCGAAGCTCTACCCAGTCCAGAGGTTCCTATCTTACTTAGTCTTCTGTTTGTTGAAGAAGAAATGAATCAATGACAAACCTCCGGTGATGAAAATAACCTTTCCATCGAGCTCCGGAATCTCCTTCTCCGGGTTGAAGTTGACGTACTGCTCAAGATTAGGCATGGTGGAAGATGTTGAGGATATGAAATCAAGTTGGAAGTAACCCGTGTAAAGTCGATTGAAGTTCAGATACTTGTAAGGCTGGCTGTAGACCGAAGAAATGAGAGATGTGATGCTGAATGAATGAAGTCATGGTAGAGTGAAAATCTCCAATACTTATACTCCTCGACACAGCTGCTTCGGAGCCATCTTAACGCCGTGAGCATGCCCGGAGAGACTAATGTCATATTGGAAGGAGTCAAAGATGCACCGTAAGGCAGAAACCCAGAAAGGCAAGCCAGAATAGAGTTGGGAATAGACTCAAAATAGGATAGAAAACCCTCAAAAAGGATGTCATGATGCATGCCGACCCACTAGCAGAACGATATCAGGAATAGCTCATATGCAAGGTAACGCGCTAAACAAGCACACTAAGCTCCAACAGGCTAGCTGTTCTTGCGACCTAGACTGGATTGAGAATGGCGTCATGCACGATAAGCTGCAAAATAGTCGGTTTAACCAATAACATGAGGCCATATGCAAGGTAATCCTGGCGTCCCGTGGGACGACGCACTCTCGGACAGAAATTCCCCCAGATCGACTCCTTCAGACGACAACACCACATTCTCTGAATCCTACCTATAGCATTACAGCTGATTTCGGAAGCAAGCAGTCTCAGACTGACAGCTGGTATCCACTGTAAAACATATGCCCGCACTTTCACGAGCTTTGCTTACGCTGCATGCCCGTAGAACATAAACCTTCTCCCCGTGCTGTTCAGGCTACCCATCATGTTTACCCCTGCAGAGGTATGTAGTCAGGTGGATCTCGACTGAATCTACTCGCAGCGATTGCTATTATTGTCTTACTATAGTTCGGATGGCCTGACTTGATTAACAGACCCGGATTCGAGATGACGACTGGACTGGGACCACTGATCCAGCCGAGCGACGCAGGCGGCAGAATCGCTTACATCAGAGAGCTTGGCGTAAGTCCTGATAATGAGTCGCTTTCAAGACCTAAATGATCCTTCCATTACTGACGCCGCTGTCAAGGACGACGTCAGAAACTGCAAGTGAAGTCCGAAAATATAGAAGACACTAAAATCACCGCGCCTGTCCCATCGCTTGTAAATAAAGACTTGCTCCAGAAGGTGGCCCTGGATCATATCAGTGGACGTCAACGCATACCGGTCACATTAAAACAGATCTACAACTGGCAGGCCTTCGGAGCGATCATGGAGAAGACCCTGGGCGAATCGGCCGCTACTTTTGCCGTTTGGGCCGAACTAAAAGCATGGCGGCGGTGGGAGCTAATAACCGATTTGTCTCCTTCTGATCTGTCGCGTACTTTGACACTATACCCCTCCCCTTCTCGTGAAGGTACCCCCAACGAGCTGGAAAGCCCCCCGTCTCCTGAAAGTGTCGACTCCCTTTGGTTTCTGAACGATAAGTACTCGCTCCACGGCTCGGAATTCGAAGTCGAGTTTCCCATCTCCCTCGATAACAAACTATTTGTTCTCATCCAGCACAATAGTCTCCGAGGCATGTTGGCCAACATGGCGATTCTGATCCGGCTAAGTGGCCGGGACTTTCAAGGATGGGATGAATTTTACACAGAAGACTTACCCACCCCGTCTGAGGACTCACCTCCTTCTTTACAATTTACAGACCTTCAAAAGGCCACTTCTCATGAAGCCTGGATAGACATAATTCCTTCTGCTACCATGCGAGATAATGTTATCAGATACCAGGATAACATCGACATCGATGATCTTTGCTCGGACTTCCTTGGTGGCGCTTTTGAAGGAGCGAACGATATGCACAAACGGGGCATGATACTATGGGGTGAGCCATGGTCTTCAGATGGGTGGGAATTGAGTGAAAACTTCATGAGAAAGTGGTGGTTTCTGTTACAAGGCTGTGCTGACATGCTTACTTCCACAAACATATGGCGAGAGGCCAGAGGAGAAAAGAAGCTTGCTTTCAAGCTGTGATTTGTGATACTTGATTGATTTTTTCTATTGCATTTACGGACGGGTTTTATACACTAAAAATAACCTCAATGCCAAATCACATATGCAGGAACGGTTATTTCCACGGACTATTGATTGCTAGTTATACAGTGCCGCCCACACTGATAGCATTCGGTCGGATGACAGCGACAGTTATCGAGGATGTTTCGGATTACAGTTATTTGAGAAAATCACATTGCTAAGTAAGTATTTTCAAATTGAGTTATGTCAGCTTAGCTGACAAAGCTAGAATATAAGTACAGGGTCTTTCATGAATGTCCCACTTCATCAAAGTCTTTGGTAGCAACGAGCTCCGTGCGGCTTAGCTCTCTATTCCAGAATTGCCATTCCTTGTGAACTTCTGCTGGCACCAAGACTACCGACGGGGAAATTCTGAATCTGCTTTCCGACGAAAGAATCCACAACGGTAACAGCCGAAGCAGTGGTGCCATTTCCTGGGGAAAGAGCATAAATATAGCGACCGGAGATTTTGAGGTCAATCAGGCCAGGGTCACCATTATCGAGGTCGATAGTTGATATGATCTGGGCGTCCACTGCACTCATTTCAACAATACGATTGAGTGCGACATCTGTCACGAAAACACTCTCTCTTTGCTCGGAATAAGCGGCCCAGCAAGTTGCTTTCTGACCTTCAAGCGTTTGCTTGGACACCAGCGAAACTTCGTCTGTGAAAGGGTTGACTTGGAGAACTGCAGCTCCAAAAGAAGCGTCTGTCGCGAAGATGGTCGAAGTTCCAGGGATGACTGTTGAACCGAACAGAACAGCGGTACCGTTAGGGGAGCTTCTCGTATCATGGGCACCAGGATACGAGTAAAAGTTCTCAATTGGCAACACGGAAACAAATCCGGTGTTGTTCCTGGTAGGGTCACCTTTCACAGTTGTGATCAAGCGGGACTCGTCCTCGGAGAAGAAAGTTTGTGCCACACCGTTCAAGGGTCCAGATGGAGGTGTGGTTTGGTTCAAGTTGAATGTAGTCAATGGGCTCATGTCACCCAAGCCTTTAACGGAGTAGGAAGCGCAGGATATTCCGGCCTGAGCACCTGTGGTGCCAACACACACTAGGCTGTTCTTGCTTGATGCCGCAACTGTCACGGGGAACTGACCCGGGAGGGTGGCTGGTTCGCCAACAAGGTTTAGATCTGTCGGATTTGTTTTTGAAATCCTCATCATGCTCAAGGTGTTCGATCCGGGATTGACGGCAAAGAGAAACTATAGTGAAACGCGCAGGTCAGCTGACAACTCATGTGTAACCATGAGAATGATTATCTGCTTACGTCGTCAACAACGGCCAAAGCAGACTGCGATCCCAAAGCGTCTGGACCATTAGCACCGCCAGTAGCATTAACGGTACTACCACCCTTCCCGCCAGTAGCAATTGTCGCACCTCCCGACAGCGTACCGTTGCGGCCGATTGGGATGGCGACCACCGAGTTCGAGTCCTCATTTGTCAGGAAATAGATGGCTTTGGCACCATGAGATGCTTTAGAAGATTCACCTCTCGCATCCAGAGGAAGCGCTGTGGCTGATAGCCCTAGTAATGCTCCTGCGATGCAGAAGTTGGCCTTGTTGAAGAGCATTGCGAAAGAACTTTGCAAATGGCTAAAAACAAAGAAGACGAAGAGCTGCAAATTTGGAGAGATGTTGAGTGACGAGATGTGTCCGTTTAGTGGTCATGTTATCTGCTATGGAAATAAGCTGGTATTTATAAGAGCGACGAGTGCATGGCTATGATGTAGTAACTCAGTTCCAAAGACACTCTTTCGGAATGGACTGCAAGGAGCGCATTGATCTCTCCACTACTCAGGCCTGATATTTACAATATACTAGCTGAAGCTATGAGGCTTAGCTTAGCAGGAGAAGAGGCAGATTATGGAATCACTGCAGATTGCCTGTTTTAGACTAGTGGCTCCTTTTTGGTGACTCCGAGAGTTACACTGGGGTAGGCACTAAACCTGATTAGGAAGAAGCGCGATTATGGAATCACCCAAGGGGCATTACACTTACCCGTATCAGGATTGGCGTCAATGAAGCGTAGATTCCATAATCAAAAGAACAACTCACTGTCTCATCCTCTCCTTCTCTTGACTGTTCAACAGGTCCGTTAACAAATCATTCGGCCATCGGATTGCGTGCCTTGGGAACTGCCTGATACGGGGATTTCAGTTGACAAGGCATATACAGACTGGACACGTGCACGAGCTGAGATGAAGAAAACATTTACGTTTTTATCAGGTCGCTGGTCTACCCCGGGTAAGTTTTCTGTCTATCCAAGCTTCAAAAGTAGTCTGCCGGTCTTTTCTGGACAACTACAAAACGATGGCTCTTACTATGCGACCTCCAACAATAGTTCACTTATTGACTGGCACTCATTCGTTACCGTCGAAAGACAAAGACAAAGATTCCTCCAGTTCGTCCGGGCGTAACGAGTCTGCATACCTGAAACGTCGAGAGCAAGTTCGTAGAGCTCAACGGTAAATACCTGCACATGGGCAGTCGCGCCTTTTCAGAGCTGACCTAAGAATAGGACCCATCGCGAACGCAAAGATCAATATTTCAAGACATTGGAAAGCGAAGTCTTATGTCTGCGAGCAAATGAAGCCAATTTTTTGAAGAAGATACATGAATTGGAAACCCATATATTCTATCTCCAAGAAGCTGTTAAACGCAACGGCATTGAGCTGCCCACAATCGAGTACGGCCAGAGTGCTCCAGGGTCGGCGGCCGGTTTGCCCACTGTCCCATCTAATGATGTCGCTCACAATGTCTCTACGCCGCATTCCAATTTTTATAACACAGACCCCCTAAATGACATTAGTGAGTAGTTTCGTTGGTCTTCTATATCTCGCTTCTTTTCGTACAAGGATCATTTCACTTACGAGTTGTCTTCTTGCCGATTCTCATAGCCCAGTTACCGTCACCGCGTAGTCCTATAAACAATCAGCCTACAGAATCTACAGAGTCATCCCTGATTTGCCACGGTATGGAGTTTGTTCTAACGTAAGTTCTCATTCTTCACCTACCAATATATCAGCCCCTGACCAGCAAATTCTTAGACTTGAAAGGCCCTGTCTTGGACACATCGAAGTTGATCTGACGAAATCGACTGAGCCCTCCGGCCATGTCTTGACCGCCACTATGCCGCTATTAAAAACCTGTCACTACCCACAGTCATTCACCGATGAGTCTCCATCATTCGAAGTATCAAAAACAATCTTTGACCGATTGACAAAGTTGTCAATTGAACTTGTCAACGATGATGAATTGAGTCCCATACAGCTATGGAACTACATTGTCGGGCAACAACTTGCAGACAAACTCAGCATCAGCCAGCTCCACGTGCTAGCTGAGGATCTTCTCCACCACGTGAAATGCTATGGGTACGTGCAAACGCAAATACTGCCTTTGGTATTCCACTCTAACCTATTAATAGATTCGGTGCAGTCGTAGAGAAAGATGTCTGTATGAGTATGGTGGCTCGGGTGTTAGCTACTAGCTGAGGTTGCTCCACGCTTTCCTTCGATTCGAAACTCTAACCAGTAAATATGCTGAAATGAAAGCCATCAATATCGTATAATACTCGAACATGCCAAAATAATTACAAATTGCGATAGTTGACTAGTCCCGACCGGCTTAACAATCAAGCAATGTCGATTACGGCGACCTCGGCGACCTCGGCGAAAGCGGGGAGGCTTTTTACTAGGTCGGTGTATCTGTATCATATTTACGGCATACTTACCATACGTTACTGAATGTAGATATCAAAGATCAAGAATTGTCCATCATTTGCGCTGTCTTATCAAATTAAAGCCCCAGTCAATCACAGCATAGCTGAGAAATCGGTCCGTTTGCAATAATATTTGAAGTCACCTGTATCCTAAGCTATATATTATTTAGCTATTTTGATTCAGCGATCAGGAGCCTCTCGTCAATGAATATACCTCAGAGGATCTTATGATTGTCGGATCTGACCCATCGTATTCAAATTGTTGGGCAAATAACACGTTCTCTCCGAATTCTCTACTCAGCTTGCTGGGAAACAGTTCCACGGAGGACTCAATGGTGAGTCCTTCGCAACCTCCCGAGGGAACATCTTGAGATTTAAACCAGGTCTCAAGTATTGTCGCCTGAGACATCATTTCGACAATGACAAGAAGATTCAAAAGAGGTTCTACCTCTATGACTACTTTCACACATTTCCGAGGTCGTCTTACACGTCACCCATTGGGATTGGAATATGAGCCGGCCCCGGGCCACGAATTCGATAAGGTCCATCAGCTTGCTGTAGCACACTTGTTGGCGTCGATTTTATCGCTTTGTTGTATCATACATAATTCTAGCCTTCTTTAATACTGTCGGGAAACCCTATTGCCAAAAAAATGTTTTAGTAAATTGGAGCCTGTATCTGCGAGAACTTGTCCTTTAGACCAGGCAGGTTCTGAGAGTAATCTACCACCACCGCTTCGGAGTCCATGTGAAAGATACGCGAGAATTTCTTATTACTCCACTTGCTTGCAATTTCCATAGGGCTAAAATTTACCAAGTCAAGCGGTTCAACCACCGCTGCTGCATTGACAAGATTCTTGCCTTGTTGAACTTCGACTTCAAAGTAGTACTCCGTATGGTTTTGCTGCGGTCCTTTTTTGACCATGCTAGTAGAGTCTTGAAATGTGGTCCAGATATCTATTACTCCAAAGATGACGTTTGCGCTTTCAAACGCTCTCAAAGGACTTTCCTGGTTGTCGAGGTCGGCTTGTACGATTTCTACGCCTCTGCCCTCACAAGTCTAGCTTTGTCAGGAAAATGGTTGCGTGTAATTACACATATACCAAATTTCAGAACGGAAAATTTTAGGTTCTGATTTGATGACTAGGTATTATCTAAATTACAAATTGAAGAAATATAGTTAGCGAAGCTTGGGCTGCATTTGTCAACTCGCCGAAACCGAGAATCAGGACGCCATGAGCTGCTAATTCCAAATAATCTATACAGTCTCATGATTTTAAATGACAGCTAGTACAGAGAACGCTAAATTTCATGTCCTTCTACTGACTTATCGTGTTTATGTTGTGGGTCTGGGTTGCAAGCCTAGGTAACGTTTTGTCAGGTACCGTTACGGTATTATGCCGCTGTGTGTTTCAACCTGCCGGGGATCTCTTATTTACTCTTTCTGGTGACGCTGGCCAACAGGTCACAGGCTCCTCGCTATGGAGGATGGTTTGCAGATTTACGTACAGTTTATGACGAAAGCCACACATCTCTAGGGATTCAGCATTTGTCAGCGTGAATTCGAATGCTATACATCATCGTCTAGTGCTCCTAAGACCGACGTCCGAACTCTGGAATATAAAAGGAGGCATTCTCACCTCAGTAACAAGAACTTCCAATAACAGCATTATCTACTCATTTAAATCTCAGCGCATCCTCATATATTGTCCTTGATCATTAGTCAATCCTACGACCACTTAACTACCGCATATCCAACAATGTCTCTCACGCAAGATTTGCAAGAAACCTATATCAACTTTAAGGAAACTGCACCTGAGGCAGTACTCAACACATTGGGCTCAGGCGTACAGGAGCTCAAAAATGTGTTTGATCCCAGCAAGACCATCCAGGTCGGCCAGGGATTCCCGTCCTTCGAGCTAAAGGATGCTACAGGAAAGCTCGTCTCTAAGGATGCTCTACTCGAGGACGGGGCATTGCTCATCTCCTTCTATCGCGGAGAATGGTGTCCATTCTGCAACCTTGAATTACGTGCGTTGCAAAAGCGTTTACCCGAGTTCAAAGCAAAAGGTGTCTCGCTTGTCGCCATTTCACCGCAACTTCCGGACAATTCCATTTCGACTGTCGAGAAACACGAACTGCAATTTACGGTACTATCGGACGTGGAAAACAAACTTGCACGACAGCTCGGTATAGTCTGGAGCCAACCTGACACTTTTCGACCGTTGTTCCAAGGCTTGGGAGTCGATTGGCAGAAACTCTACGGCAATGAGAACCTCGAAGTCCCTATTCCTGCAACCTTCCTCGTCGATAAGGATGGCGTCGTCCGGAACATGTTCCTCGATCCTGATTATACCAAGAGACTCGACCCAGAGACGGCATTAGAATGGGCAACCAAGCTTTGATATACTAGATCGGACCATAATTCTAGATGATCAGTTGTCGAATTTGCGACAACAAACGCTGCATCCCAAGTGGAGTTCTTATTAGTGCATTTATCCAGACCGAATTGATTATTTTCACCTGCTTTCTTTTGCTTTTATTAAGATGAAGAAAACTCGTTCTTGCGGAAACGTGCCTTAGATCTAATAATTGTCAAAATACAAACTTTCCCTATTATCATCAACTTTGATGTATGGCTGTAGAGCAATTTAGAGTGGACAATCTCAAAGAAATCCTTGCTTATATACAACGAGTGTCAAACACTTTCATCAGATTTAAAATGTGAAGAGACGTGACGTCTATGCCTAAGAGGTAAAGAGTCTTCAAAAGTATAACGAATGCTGTGGTCGAATGCCGATGTATTGCGAACGGTCGATAGTTATCAAAGCTTCCGATCCGATAATCAGTCCCGACAAATCTACAAACACCAGGGTATCAGTTTTGCTCCACATATCTTGGTATTTGTTCCAAGCGGTGTTGCTCGTACGTACATAAAGTCCGGAGGTTCCTCCAGTAGCAACAGCTAAATAAAGCTATCGATGGATAAGATTCACTATTAGTTTATTCTTTTCAACGATATAAAAATGATCCCACTAAGGCTCCAATGCTCACATCGTATTTCTATTTTAGACATGTTAGAATTAGTTGTTATACCAGCCTAGGAAATGGTTATGATCTTCAAGTTTCTCACCTGGTTGTTGTCCTCGATAAAAACCGCACTACACTATTGTTTGTTACGGGTTATTTCGCGGTCATTAGTAAGATTGGATGAGGATCTCGAGGCTTACAACTCCAACCTATTTATACTTATGAGCGACTGACTATAGACACCAACTACAAGTTGTTTTCAGGATCTGTACTTACCGGACAAGAGCAGAAATCTCCATCTTCCGTATACTATCATATCAAAAAATAGTGAGTTACTGGTCTGTTCCGCAGAAACACTGACGTACAAATTCGCCCGAGGTGCCGTTTACTCGGTTCGTAAAATCAATTCGACAGACCGATCCATAACCTGCACACTGAGGTAGTTGTTTTCTAGTGAGCTGTTTAGGCGCGTCGGTTGCCAATGGAGTAGCTGTAGCAATGGCGAGCGAAGATAAAATGAATGCTAAAAGGCGCGTCATTGCGCCACCAAAATATATGTAAAGCGTCAGAAAGTGCTAAATCGATGCACAAGAGAAAATATCATTAAAATTTCGGAGGTTCGTCAGTTGTGATGTTTGGGTTCGTGGGAACGAAGACTTGACCGACGTTCTGAAAGTGCTAAGAGTATATTATATAAGTAAAAATCAAAGCCCTGAACCTGTAGGCTTGTGGCATAGTTACATCTTTTTACTTCATAGATATACAGGGTCTCACTTCCGAAATGAACTCGTAAATAGCCAGTCGGAGATCTGCGGCACTAGGAGTACATGAACTCCGTGCTCGACGCCTGCATTAACAACATAATCTTAGTGGAGCAAAGGCTGCAAGCATGCAAAGGTATGACCAATCGGGGAACTAATGCAGTAAACTAAATCGAGTGGATCGGCGAGACGTGTTTACAGAGTGCGCGCATAAGATACATGCGCTCATCTGTGCCTCGAAAATGTGGATCGTGTGCTCAACCATAGCTGTATAAAGCTTGTTCTGAATTGTCAGATGATCTGAAATTCTGTGCAACTTAGTGTTAGTTCGTTACGGGTAGATTAGAAATGATTGAAGCTGAAAGAGGAGGTCAGCTTCATGGGAAGAGCATTATTCCCGAATATCGCAAGCGCTGATGTCTGCATGAGGTCCCACGCTTAAACATTTATCATAGCGACAACACCACAAAATATGCACATCATTCCAAGTAACAAGGGATATAAAGAAGAAGAATAGATAATTTTATTTGCTATCTCTATATACCCTATAAGCGACTTGCTACTCAGCCGCAGCCTAAACCGATCAGTATCATCCTTGGACCATTGTTTCTATATAGAAGAGTATAATCAAAGCTCAGCTATGCTCAAGGATAATTTAGTCATTTGTTTCTCTCCTACCAGCGCTACCCGCAGTTGCGTTTCTGACGGTTGAAGGCATAGCTAGCATATACTTCGTATTTGGAGAGGTCTGTTGTGATGTCATCCTCCTAGACCAAGCATTAGACATCGCCAACTAGCACTTCTCTTTGCATGAGGCAATTATGTATTCTATTTCGCTAAGCCATTGTGGCACGGTCTAGCTGTGCCGTGGTCGGCGAAAGGCACAAATAGTCCGATACAGCTGATACAGATGTTTTCCGTATCTTGCCACGCTAGAATTGATATCAGATCTCCCACTTCACCCTAATTGTCTACCCTGCTAGCTAATGTTCCTTTATCTTTGAGTTCGTAATAGGTATGCAGTTGTCTAGCCGGCATGCATTCGATTAGAGTACATAAAAGGATGGAAAAAAGGAAAGAAAGCAAAAAAGCCAGGGTCCAATGCCTGTATTGCTGCAGCTGATCTTGAGTTTTAGCCAGTAATTCGTTGTGAGTGTATCATATGGGACAGCGATTGCGGCGTTCTTCGTGTGGCCTTGTGACAACTCTGTCTCCCATCTCAGGTATCAAAATTACTGATCTAGCTACACTTGATGTCATCAGAGAGTCATATGTCTTTGCAGAATTATGCTGATCTGGTGTCCCAGCAGTACGAATGATGTATTCACTCCATTCTGTGTACATTCGAGGCGAAGCTGCCGGTAAATTCTTTCAATAATAATATTCCCGATATCGAGACCGATCTCGAACTTTTGTGATACAGATACGACATCACCTACATATTTAAAGTCTAACATGTAATCTAAAATGATTCTTATACAATTGTCAATGCGCATCATCTAGAGCGAAGTCTTAGTTTCACAAGTCAACAATCCTACCATATCATGAGTATGTGCAAAAAAAATTTCCTTTGGTACAATTCTGGCAAGGCTGTTGTTTGTCGCATTTGACTTTCCTTTGCCTACATAGTTCACACGGTTTCTTCCGACTCGAGTGCATGTGCATTCGCGGGGGTCTCAAATCATCACTATCGATCGATTGAGAGCATTTGTACCCCCCTCTGGTACAATTTTGGCAGGGAAATAGCTTATCGCACCTTATCTTCCTTACTTGGCATTGTCCGCAAGGCGATCGATTTTCAAGAGTCGCTGGGAAAGTGTCCACGTCTTGTAGTGCATTCAAGGCCTGCACTTCGTTCCACAATAATCTYCCTGCCATATCACAGGCTAGATCAAGCCACAGAAATTTCTTGAGTCGAGTTTTGTATTGGCTCCATTCCAGGATACCTATCGAGAAGGTATGCGCACATAGTCTTTCAACGAACCAAGATCGTTCCGGCGAGCCTGTCGCAGCAATGCACCCCATTGTCAAAACCCAGAGAAATACATCCTGGGTTTCAGGAAGAACAAGCGAGCCAAGTCGAAAGTTCATGCTTCGTAAAATTGAGGAAAGCATTGTGGCAAGTGGCATAAAAGGTGCCGCTGGCCCAGGTAAGGGAAAAGTAACACCAATGCTGTATATAAGAATACATATTCGAAACATCTCGTATTGCATGCTTGACGTGGTGCAATCTTGTCTAGCAGGTAGGCTCAAGACACGATGTTGAAGGAGATTACGCCAGTCACATAACATCTGATTATTCGTTTGTGGTGACTCGCCTGATATGTATCGCTCTAGCAGAGAGGTGTAAACAGCCATAGCTTGGAAAATTTCGACAAGCTCTTCGGAAAGACCAAGAGAGTAAACACCCGAGAACCGAAGCTCCGCGTAATAAGGACTTGCGTAAATAATGTCTCGAAGGTCGAAGTCGTGATTTCCGGACAGTGGAAAATATGGTAGGCAAGGTAGACTTAGAGTCAGTGTTGCATTGACAATCACGCGACTATTGGTGGTGTGGTTAGCAGGCAACACAAGTGCATTAAGCTAGAATTCTATTAAGGAACAGACGACTTACTATGATATTGCTGGCGCAAGTCCTGGTATTCTGATATTATGAAGACCGCCCCTCATCTCAACAAGTTTACAAAGACCCATCTGATGGGATAGATTCGGTTCCCTGGCCCCATGAATGTTTAACCACTGCAAACCTTGGAGCGGCGCCTGGAAAGGAGATTCCTTCTGCCAATCTTTAGTCGATGATACAACAGGCAACTCAATCATCATAAAAACAGCTAGTATGGTCGCGTCAGTCACTGCCACTGTGGGAGATCTGAGTACTCCGTTCAATGCTTTCACAGAATCTATGTAAGACCCTTCTAGTAGTTTTTGCTCTTGGGCCGTAAATGGCCCAGTGGAGTCATTTGAGATGAGTAATTTCGTACGTTTGTGAGAGAGTGAAGACATAATTATAGCCGAAAAAACAGATTCAACAGTCAACGAAAGCGGAAACCAGGAGTCGAAGAATGGGTTTGCAACTTGTGGAGTGTGAGGCATCCGGGGTGCCATTACTGAGAAACCTGGTGCTGATTAGTTTTACTTGTATACACGATTTACCCCGAAGGTTCAAGCATCACGCACGATATCGCAAGGTGTCTTGTACAAGCGACGAAGACAGAGCTGAAGGATATGGCTGCAGAGTGATCACATTAATAGGGTCGAAAGAGATGTCTATCGTCCCCGAGCTCACTGAAATTATAAATTAATACTTGCTCGAGAAGATCAACTCTCCGTATATGGAAAATTCGGCGGGGGTCATATACTTACATGTACGATTCGATTGTATCGAGATTTCTGTCTCATCGTCCGAATCATGAGATTCGCCGATGTCGTAAAGAAAGCCAGCCGCCTCCATGACTTAGGTAAGATATTTGTAACAGCCTATCCATAGGTCGTGAGATCGATGGACAGAGTCACAAGAAGCAAGTCATTTAGACATAAACTGTGACTGTGAGTCTGATATTCAGAATTGAAGAAGCTTCGACATGGTGAAAACGAATCGAAATGTCCGCCAATGAAGGCAGCTTAAGTGGTGACGCGCTAATGACAAATCAGTGATTAAGCATTGACTAAATATTTAGTTGTAAGCCTACAGGGCATATTAGCCAAAATATTCTATAGAATGACGGCTTATAATAATTTCGTTTGACCTATGTATTTAGTATTGTGTATTTTTTATTTGTACAGGAGATTTCGCAGGTAAACACTTTACAGTTGCCGGAGCTGAAGTGCCGTTTATAGAGAGTAGACGAATTCGGGATTTTCCCGGTCAGTTAAGTCGCGCCACCTGAAAGAAGAGATTGATCGTTAGTCTATGTTCAGTCTATATTGCTTAGCTTCATTATAGCGAACAGAGCTTACCCTTGGTTTTCAACGCGTACATATTCAGGGCTTGCCCGAATGGCCGCCTTTCGTCTGTTTTGGCGGCGACACCACCAGTTGATGAAGAGCAGGTCGACGATACACAATCCAAAACAAACCAGAATGGTAATCTCAGCAGATACATAACGAGGTGCATCTTTAGGTCTGAATGTTTGCGGTCCGATGATATTGCCGGTACAATATCCAATCAAGTACAAAGCGGCAACTGTGGTTTTCTTAGTGTATCCAGCGATGTTGCTCGAGATGAGGGAGAGCACAGTAGCACCAGTGGCCGGCAGTGCCTGTGTCATATAGTATCCGATCAACCGACCGACGTTGTTGCTTAGAGGTAGAGCAATAATTAGGAGCATGCCGATGGCTGCACACAGCATGGGCAGACAGGCAATCAGAGTGCGCTGCTTGAAATAGTCMCCAGCCAAGCCATTGGAAATGCAGGCAATGATCACGACGGCGCCACCTGGACATCCATATAACAGACTCTGTTGTGGAGTGTACCCGAAGTTCACAATCAACTGACTAAAGAAATTTGTGATACCGCCGTTAGGGATATCGGAGAGCACACCGTAAGCGAACAGAGCCCAGGTGAGAGGGTCAAGCAATGCTTCGCGGAATTGGTACCATTTGAACTTTCGATTTCCGATTCCTTGCTCATTTTCCCGAACTCTCTCAAGGGCGAGAAGACGGTCCCTTTCGTTGAGCCAGCGGCAATTCAATTGGTTATCAGGGATGACCCAGAAGAACAAGATGCCAACGAGTGTCTGATTGATAGAAAAAGGTGATTAGTGAGGGTCCAATATGTACTATCTTCTAGTAAGCTATACCGTGAAGCAACCAATTGCTATGAAGATGATCTTCCATCCTGCCAGAGCTGACGGGTGATCAGTAGTACCCCGGGAGATACCATAGGCGACCAATCCGCCAACAATCTGTCCCCATCCATTTGAACTGATCCACAACCCAGTACGTGTGTTGTGTTCTCGAACTGTATACCATTGAGAGGACAGCAGCGCGAAACCAGGCATACTGGCGGCTTCAAACATTCCTAGGAAAAATCGAATGGCCATAGCACCGGAAAAGTTGGTAAGCGTGGCAGAAAGGGCAAGAACACCTCCCCAAGTGGCGACACAGAAAGCGGAATATTTGGCAAGAGGAAGAACCTGAAGCAAACGGTTTGTAGGGTACTGTGTTTATGAAGGAATGTACGTCAGCTGATTGCTTAGGTATTTACTACTGTAAAGAGTTGACTTACCTCCCAGATCAAGAAACCAAGATAGAAAATGGAACCCAGCCATTGGTATTCGTCATTGACGAGATGAATATCTGTTTTGATGCCCATGATACTCGCGTAGGAGAGAGTCGTTTTATCTAGATAGTTGAGCCCGAAAACAAGACACCTATAGAAAAGTATCAGAAGGACTGTTTAGAAATCGGCCCAAATCGGTAGACTTACAAGATAGGCATCAAATGCCAGTCAATTGTGCGAAGCAATCTCTTGTTTGTTGCCTCATCCAGTACCAGAGGCGGTCCATGGTACTTGGCATAAGCCGCCATAGCTTCATCATCATCCTTGGAGTACTTTTGTACTTCATCCTCTGTGACGACTCTTGCATCTTCTATCTCCATCGGTGTGACATCTTTTTTCGTGGCCATTTCAGCTTGCGAAAGATTGGAGTTCGCGGAGACCTCCACAGTCTTCTCCAGAGTGGTAGCCATGTTTGATTGGGAGAATCAGGGGATGATCGGGAAAAATCCTGCATCTCATAGCTACATGACGAGGAAAGGTAGGGGGTAAATAAGGACGCTGTCCCTGTCGAGCTGCTAGCAGCTGATATCCAATAGTCTGGGTATGGGGGAAGAATCTGGGGAGTGGGTCGGTGGAGTGCCGGTTTGTGTCAACCGTTATGGGGAAGGGCCTGGGACAGTGCCGACGGCGTTGCTCGCTGTATCTCCGACCATCGCCGACTATGACTGGTCTGCCAATTTTGTATCCCACGCCAGGTTTATTATGGAGTCAAAAGTGAAATTTTAACACACTTGCTCAACTGCCAATAGAAGCAGTTTTTTCCTGGCTTCCTATATCATCGTTACGGTTATTCATTATTCCGACTAAGTTGGAGTGTCTGCCGCGTTTCTCTCCGCATTTATCTCAAACCCCCTCACTTGTCGCAAAACAAAAATTTATAAGATCCAAGTATTGCTCTGAAGCCCACTCGAGATACAATAAACGCAGTCATCTATTTTCGTATTGCAAGCGACCTCCGAACACGTTCAATCCACAGACGATACATATAGAATCATGGCAACAATCAAGGGGATGGAGACTCTCAATCCCCCTCCGTCTTCGCAAAACTGCGTTCGCGTGCGCATGGTAGACACTACATCGGTCATGTCTTTGCATGCCGAGGGATTTGTGTACCCAGTCATGCCCGGCCACGAAATTATGAGCGTGACGACCATGGCATTTTTGATCGAGAACGAGCGATTGGGTAAGAAAGCCATGTTTGATCTAGGCACGCGCAAAGATTACTGGAACTCACCTCCCATGACATTACGACGAATTGAAGATGCTATTCCCGGTGTTCGTATCGAGAAAGACGTGACGGAGATTCTGCAAGAAAAGGGCATGGCATTGGGCGAGATTAGTAAGACGGACCTACGCTCAATTGCATTCTAGATCACAAAGCTGATATTTAATTACTTTTTAGATGATATTATTTGGTCGCACAGTCACTGGGATCACATGGGGAGTCCTAATCTATTTCCTCATTCTACGAATCTTTGCTACGGAAAAGGAACTGGCGTCTTCCCCGCCTATCCTGAAAGTCCCAATTCCAACCTCAATGCCGCCGATTTCGTTGGCCGCAACTGCATTGAAATAGAAGGCAAGGATTTACAAATCGGTCCCTTCCCGGCGCACGACTTTTACGGAGACGGTTCCCTCTACTTACTTGATACCCCAGGCCACTGGCCCGGACATCTTTGCGCATTAGCTCGTACCACTCCGACCACGTTCCTCTTCCTCGGCGGCGACATCTGTCACTTTTCAGGTGACTTCCGACCAAGTGAATGGATTCCATTCCCGGAAACGATTCCAGAAGACGCGTTCCGCGGCCGCGCTGGAAAATACCCCATGCCCTGCCCGTGCGCATTCTTCAGCGATCATCACCCCCAACTACATAACGACGAGGTCGATTCATCTACAGTAAAGAACAACGAAGAACCGTTCTACCACCTTTCGACTCACAAACATTCATCATATAAAGACCCGGCACTGGCAAAAGTCACAACTGCCAAAATGCAACAGTACTTCGATTCGGACCCCAATGTCCTGGTTTGTTTGGCGCATGATACGGCATTGGTTGACCTTTTGCCAGTATTTAACAACGAGCCTGAAAAGGATTTGAACAACTGGCAAGAACTCGGAATGAAGGAAAAGTGTCATTGGGGTTGGCTCGGGGAGCTACCTCGTTATGATAAGGATGGCAAAGTTATTGGTCAGGGATATAGAGAGATTCCAATTGTGGAAGGATTGTGGAAGGAAGGTCGTCGGATAACATCATTCAACGAATAGGCCGATTGATGTAACATGTTTTAGTAGAAACTGGTAGGTAAGCATTCAAGATTGTTTTTGGAGTCACGAAGGATAGCCGGGGCATAGAGCATAGAGGGCAGTATTATCATCAAATTATGGTCAGAACTAAGATTTTCTAAATTTGTTTGTTGGTATAGTTTTTTGGCACTAGTTTCCAAGGCTCATGATAATATGTTAGGAGAATATTAGGTGAGTTTGCAGAAATCTGCTAGTCACACCCAACGTATCTAATATGAAATATCTCGGGAATTGAGAAAAGAATAAATCAAATGGGGGAGGTATTCACTCATTCTATGAAAATCTAAGGACAAAATCTTCAACTTTGGTCATGGTCAGAAAATGCAGGAAAACAAGGAGATATCAACTCATACATTCACATCTATACTGCAACAGCTGCAACCTCAACCTGTTTGACGCTCGCCTTCAAGGGAACTTCTGAAATCCTAGCTGCATGTTCCCTTGCAACCTTCTTGCTAGCGACTGCAATGGCGACGTCGAGAGCATTTTGACTGCTTCTGATACTGGCAATGTTCTTGCCAGCAATGTCAAAGGCGGTTCCGTGAGCAGGAGTAGCAATAACTACAGGCAATCCACCTTGGACTGTGACACCACCATCAAATCCAATGATCTTGAGGGCTATCTGACCTTGGTCGTGATACATGGTCACAATGCCGTCGTAATTTTTGCGACCAACGAAGATCGTGTCGGAGGGGAATGGACCCTTTGCGTCGATTCCGGTAGATCGTGCCATCTCAACACCGGGTCTGATCTCATCAATCTCTTCGCGGCCGAAAATCCCGTTTTCACCGTTGTGTGGGTTGAGGGCGCAAACACCGATGCGAGGATTCGGGATGCCGAAGTCGGACCTATTTTTGATGACGTTTGTTAGATATGAACAGCAATTCAGGAAGCGATGGTGCATACGCACAAAAGACTGTGCAAGAGTTCAACTGCATCCTTGACTCCCTTTTTGTTGATGCGGGCGGAAACATCCTTAATACCAACATGACTGGTGACTCGTGAAGTCCAGAGTCCTGGGATAATATTGATTTCACTTGTGGTACCCTCATGGCCCATGTGCATAGCGAACCATCGGAGTTCATCTTCTTCATGCATCCCAGCCATATGCAGTGAGGTCTTGTTCAGTGGAGTAAAGACAATAGCATCGGCTTTTCCGGCGTTGACTAGTGCCACTGCGCGTTGCAGCTGATAAAGTGTGCGTGCTCCAGCCTCCACGGAGATCTTTCCACGCTCAATCGGAGTAGTGGGCGCAGTCCCATCGTCGAGAACCTGGACACTGTCTGGGCCTGCTTGTTCGGCAATGGGGATTGTGACTTGAGCGACAGCAGCAGCGGCTTCTACTTCACTTCTATCGGCCAACACAATCAGATCTGCTCGAGCTCTGTTATTAGCATCAGCCAGAAGTTTTGCGCCGAGTTCAGGACCGACACCAGCCGGATCACCGAGAGTGATCGCAATACGAGGCCGGAACGATGTGTTATTCTGAGCAGTCTCATTAGCAACAGATAGTTTTCAGAACCATGAGTTTCGAAGATTTACACACAGTAGACATTTTTATTCTTGCATCTGCTCGCAATGAATTGCTTGATGCTCTTGGTCACGTTTATTATTTCTGAAGATCAGATGAAACTTCGCGTAGATAGTAACGAGCAATAATAAGATGCAAGCGGCAGGGAGTGTCGGATATTCAGGCTTCCGCGCGCAACACAAATTTCAGGTCTTTATGGCGCGCACTGCGGGGAGGAAGTGGGCACAAAGATTTTTAATACAGAATGGATTTTCCAAGTTTACTCCTCACCTTGCAGCAGTCAATACTAAATCAATTGTTAAGGGTTAGTATGAAGGGCATGTTTTAGCGTCCGGATAAAGTCCGGAGGCTTAACGGGATGAGCGACGGCATTGTGCCGTTTATGGCCGACGGCAACAGTCGGTGTTGACAGCGGTCTCTTCTTTTCTCCACACTAGAATCTCCCCGGTTTTCCGGAATCCCAACCAATTACTATGGAGAAGGCAAGGATAGCATCGAGGTTTTATGTCAGACGAGCGATGAAATCCAGCCGTAACTGTTAGGCAATTCTTGCTTTTCAGCTACTTGCTCCACTGTTTATTCGCGCCACGTTTACCAATCAAAATGTGTTGCTCGCCATCTCGGCTGCGTCACCGTACGCGTACCTATGTAGCCTTATCTTTGCCTATGTTTGAGCTACCTTATGTTCTACTGATAAATAAGACATCATCGAAATCGCTAAGACTCTACTGATGTGGCGACTATGATTGCAATTTCATCTTCTTTCTTGCTTCTTTCAATGTCTCGCAGCGCCTGTGCAAAATGCCCGGATAGAAGATTGATCGGACGAATCCCCGAACCTCAAAGCTTTGCCCCCCGGTGTAGAACCACATTATCAATGCCTTTCACATGGTTGAGAAGGGATTGGTACAAACTTTAAGCTAGACAAGAGGTTACGTTGAATACTTTTTGCACGATATCCCTGCATCCGAGTCATTCCTTGCCTCAAGTCTTCACTCAGCTTCTGGTGTTTCGGGACCATGAGGTCGAAACTAACGAGTCGTGCTCAAGAAATGCAAGTTGGCGCAAACATATGTTATACAGCACAATATTATCCTTCCAGCATCTTCCGTAAATCCTCCAAGCATCTCTCAAAAGATCCATCCAAAGCGTGACCAGGGAAGCCCTGATCCTGTGCTTGGGTTCATAGTGGAGCGTGTACGTCCACCTAGCCAATGAAAAGCTGTACACAACAGAGCTAAGCCGAAGATGGTCACATACCCTAGACCAGCCGTAAATGGATTAGCGTCGGCCTTCCGTGCGGAGAAAACAAAAGATGCTGGTCGTGTCTTACCTAAAGTCGCCTGCTTTCATGTCGCAGCATGAAACTTCCAGTCCAATGCCATCAATGAGACCTTCATTTTCTATAGGATCTGATCGAAATTGAACTAATACTTGAAATGTGAATAAAATCACGAGTCAAACTCTCCATCATGAACAACACTGGTTTTATGGAACCCGGCGCCCCTTCGACGGTAGGTGTATCGGGCCCGCCTACCAAGAAGCAAAAGCGAACGAGTCCGCCAGATACTGTCTCAGTTGTTCCAATGTCGCGTAAAGGAAAGGCCTGTTCGAGCTGTCGCAAGTTAAAGATCAAGTGCGATTCCGCCGATCGAGACATGGGCAGCTGCTCACGCTGTCTTCGACTCGGTGTGCAGTGCATTCGTAGACAGCCATGGATACATACGGAGAACGGAGAGGGATGGCAGCAGCAGACAAACATTACAATATTCAAGTTGGAAAGGGCCCTAGAGGATGTTTTGGAAAAGTTGAACATGCCCGCGTTGGATATGTATGCACAAACGCCCATCGTCGAACCTGTCCAGTCTCCGCGGTCGACACGCCAGAATTCGCAAGAGCCAGCTATTGCTATACCAAAAAGAGGCGATCGCGATGTCTCACCTGGTCCGATGCAGAGTCTAATTGAGGCCACTAGATTAAATGGTCTTTTTAGTCAATTGCGTAGCGGGAAGCAAAGGCGGAAAGGCGGCATGCGGCGCATGGATACAGACTTGATTTCAGAAAAGGTCATCACATATGAACAGGCCGAAGAAATGTTTGAAGTGTACGATATACCTTTCTTTCCACAAAGACCACAAATTTATATGTTCGTTGTATAGATTCAAAGCCCTGCTATCGCCTCGTCTATATTCCGCAACAATCCCGCCAGACGCTACTCTGGAAACGGTCCGCACCTCCTCTACGGTACTATTCACTGCCATAATACTTGTTAGTGCGCTGCACATATCTGGCTATGAACAAATACACGAAATTTGTCATGGTCGCTTCCTCGGGCTGGTCTCGTCAGCGATCTTTGACCGCTTCCACACACTAGACGATATCCGTGGGCTCTGCATTGCAGCCTTTTGGCGACCCGATCTTAGCTGGAAACTCAGTGGACTTTGTATTCGAATGGCCACCGAATGCCATCTCCACCATGCATTTTACGAGGCATTTTACACGCCTGACATTACCGAAGATGCCCTTCGTGAATCGCTTGAGAAAACGAGGTTGTGGTACCTTCTCTTCGTCCTTGATCACCAGTCAAGCATCGCTTACGGCCGGCCGCCTGTGATGGCAGAGCTGAGGCCGATCAAGGACTACGAAGTATTACTCAACTCGCCGTGGTGTACAGCGCAGGATCGTGCACTCATCGCGCAGGTGACTGGATTCGTCATTCTTAGCAAAGCCTTCGAAACTTTTGGTCTTGAGCCAAGACGGACGATGAGTGGTGACGATGCATCAGTTTTGACACACTATCGATTTACGGAAGATGTCCGTGCGTGGAGAGAACGTTGGCAGACTTTACGAAGTGTTGAATCCTACAATGGGAAGAATCAGCTACCCAGCGGAGAAATTGACTTGCATTTTCATTTTAGCGACTTGGTACTAAATTCGCTAGTCCTCCGTGGACGACCACTAGCAAACTTGCATGATCTACCAACCAGTTTGCGACCGCTCACATTGCGAGCGATAGAAGCGGCCCATGCGCTTCTTCGACATTTTATCGAAGATCCTGGATCCAGAGAAGGTCTCGTAGGCATGCCGCTATATCTTCACTCCATGATCGCATTCGCTGTGGTATTCCTGGTAAAAATGTCACATTGCTGGCACATAATTGGCATCACCATCGATCCCGCTCAACAAACAAGACCGTTGATTGAAGAGACTATAAAGTTCCTGAGAAGTTGCAAGGCAGGGGCCAATCATATGGTTTTCAGTATGGCGAATGGGTTTGATAGAATGCTCAAGCAGGCGTCTCGACAAGGCAGGATGCAGCCTAACCATGGGGATATTCCAGCTGCAAGAACTATGCAATGGGCAAAAGATTCTGAATTAGACCGCAATAGGTCTTCGTGGGGTCTCCCAGACGAATCTTCGCTTAACCAGAGTCATGCTTCGCCTACCTCAGCTTACCTGTTAGATGACCAAAGACGAGTGGCTTATAATTCAAATGCCCCGCCAAATGACACAGCCCAGACATATCATATGCAGCAAAATTCTGAAGTCTCCCCATATGAGAACTGGGACTTTCAAGATGAGGAGCTGTGGAGTTTGGCCATGGGCTATGACCTACTAGCTCCTGGCGGCGAAGGGCTACCCAACACAGACTTTCCTTATTTGTTCGTTCGATGACGAAGGAAATTGTCGCCGAAAATATATAATCGCTACCGTATCCTAATAGTCTCGTCATTATCATTGCAATTTGCACGGGGTTTTACTGGCTAGCCTTTATTCACCTCTAGCATTGAGCAGGTATTTAGTTCATATGAATGAGGCTTCAAAATTGACCTACATGGCGACGTTACTTTAGCCAATTGCATATATAAGGATTCTGCTAATGTCAGATATTGAAATAGAAATAATCAGGCAATCTGTATGGAATTACCAACAGCTCCTTCCATAAGATCACTTAGGCAAGATTTATGATGGAAGTCTCCGAAATGAAGTCATTATCAAATATGGCTATTCAATTGTTGAACTATTGTGTCAAATGGAGCAAACTAGAGTAAGAGAGAGTTGCCTTGACGACCTTATTCACTTAACCTCAATGAAGCGACTTTCTCACACAATGCTACTATTGTTGAGTTCCTGAATAAGATGCCAATCCATGATTCGTTTCACTGGGTTATCCCATTTTTTCACATCCTGAAATTATTCTTTATTTCACATAAAGACTTCCAGTGCATTCTAAAACTGGACATCAGCACAAATTCACCTCCTCAATGAAGCACTGCTGGCGACGTCTCTTGTTTGCTTATCCACCTCTCAAACTCAGGATTTGCATTGTCATCAAACTATCCAGGGCTACTCAATTTCAGACCAGGATACAGTCATGTCAGCATCATTAGAGCGAACCGACACACCAAGGCCTTTGGGAGATGAATTCCAACCTTGCTTTGCCCTTCAGCTCCGTGAAAAACTCTCTCACAACATCAAAACGACAACGGAAGTCGGCTACAAACGCGAAAACCCCCTTGAAGTCTTCGAAGGCACGTACGATTTTTCACTCAACTTGGAAAATGATTTCCCGCCCTACGACCGCCGAAATCTACATGTCAGAGTCATGCGCAAAGCCCCTCAATCTCCTGGCCTAATACCTCTTTACCACGAAGATCTTCCTCATACCCTGGCATTGATTTTCCAATCTGATGATACCTCTGAGAAAGAGGAGACAAAACAATGTCACGCGATAAACGACTCGACTTTGTTTCTTGGGGAGCACACCTTACGATTGGGAAAAATTAAAGTCATGATCGTTGGAGTTATTCACTTGGATTTCATGGATCAAATGGATCTCGACGATGACGATCCATGTTTGACGCAGACTATTGACGTGAATCTGGCGTTTTGGATACGCATCGTACGACCACAAGTCTAACGGTACCTTGAAGGGCAACACTGGAGAGTCGTCAGTGCTATCATGATACATAGGCATGGAACGTGTTTCTTTTTAGGTCACCCAGAGGAGTCGATAGGTGGGTACGAGATTGATGACTTTATGGCTTATGACACATCAGCAAGAGCGTTTTCGATGGATAGATTGGGTAGAGCTCATAATTGTATCATGCTTCAAGAGTGACACGATCCGTATCCCAGTAAACATCTAAATATCTTCATTTATCTGAGCTGAGAAAGCCAGGTAGGACGTAGTCTCTCGATCACTTTCAAATCATGTAGTAAAGCCTTCTAAGACTTATGATCCGCATTGCTACTCACTCAAATAGTTAAAGCCATGCCACGCGACACTTGAATTCCAATAGATACTCGTGCTTCATGCCAAAGGGCTTAATAGCACTTTGAGCGGAGCACGTCGCGCCGCGGGGGGTATTCCTCCTTCAGTTCCTCCTCCCCCACCAACGAACATCGAGACAATAATTCCAACGGAGAAAAGAACTCCGTGATGATTATTATTATTATGATTTATGTTCATCAGTATGCGCATTTTTAGACCGATAAATTGTCAGAACCCTTCCATATTCGAATATTCTGAAGTCATCTAACACACATGTCGTCCCCGAATCCCTCTACGAGATGTCTGAATTCAAACAAAATCAAGGTGAAAAATCCAGTCGTGGAGCTTGACGGGGACGAATTGATGAGAGTGATCTGGAAAGATATCAAAAACAGATTCATCTATCCATATCTCGATATCGACATCAAATATTATGACCTAGGTCTCCCGTTCCGTGATGAAACAAACAACCAAGTCGTACAAGATGCAGCAGAAGCAATCAAGCAATATTCTGTAGGCATCAAGTGCGCAACAATTACAGCTGATGAGGACCGAGTGAAGGAGTTCAATCTCAAGCAACTGTGGCCTTCCCCGAATATTGCTATCCGCAGTGCGATAGGAGGCACAATCTTCCGSGAGCCTCTCATTATCCCTCGTATACCCCGGCTCGTACAGGGATGGCAGAAGCCGATTATAATTGGAAGACACGCATTTGGCGATCAATATCGTGCGAAAGAGCGTGTCTTGGACACAGCAGGCAAACTCGAAATGGTGTTTACGCCCGAGGGCGGCGAGCCAGAAGTAGTTGAAGTACACAACTTCTCACAAAGAGGGGGAGTCGGCCTCGCTCAGTATAACACGACTGAATCAATCGAAGAGTTCGCACATTCCAGCTTTGCCTTTGCGCTCTCAAAGAAGATGCCACTCTTTTTTAGTACGAAGAACACCGTGCTAAAGAAGTATGATGGACGATTCAAAAATATCTTTCAGCATTTATATGAGGAAAATTATCAAGAAGACTTTGAGGCGGCGGGGATCACTTATGAGCATAGACTCATTGACGATATGGTGGCGCAAATGATAAAGAGCGAAGGCGGCATCGTGATGGCCTTGAAGAGTAAGTTGGAGTAAAAGTTACAGGAAGGAATTCTAACAAAACTTACAGACTATGATGGAGACATTCAGTCAGATATCGTGGCCCAAGGATTCGGCTCTCTGGGCCTAATGACTTCTATTCTTGTTTCCCCGGATGGCCGTACGTGTATGACCGAAGCTGCTCATGGCACAGTCACAAGGCACTATCGTGAATACCAAAAGGGCAACGAGACGTCGACAAATCCTGTCGCTTCTATTTTTGCATGGACTCGGGGATTGATCAAGCGAGGCGAACTGGACGGCACACAGGACGTGGTTAAATTTGCCAAGGCACTTGAACAAGCTTGTATAGATGCAGTAGATGTTGATGGCATCATGACTAAGGACTTGGCTTATGCTTGTGGAAAGTCAGATCCCAGTTCATGGGTGATGACGAATGCATATTTGACTGCAGTTGAAAAGAGGTTGAAGACGTATTTCGAACCGTAGCTATAGTTTAATACAATTTTGCCAGTGTCTAAAGACCGAGTTATTAGCAAGACTCAAGACGCTTAGGATTGGCGTTTGCACCGAAAGCAGAAATGATAAAAACAAGCATTCAATCACGAATAAAGAAGAGAGCCAAAAGCGTCTTGACGCTTGGTGCTACGTAAGCTATCATCGACCCATGAGGTGGTTACACTACCTACATAGGTGGGTAATTCACTACCGTTCATGATATAAATGTAACGTAGATCAAGATTTAGGACAAATGACAATGGGCTCGAAGCCGATACAAGATTGATCTATGCATGCTGCTACATTCAAAATTGGCTTTCGTCACTTCATATACGGTATGGTAGACGCATGCTATAATTAAGTGACATTTTTCAACCTACGATAGCAAATCCTTCCACTTGTCGAATGTCTCGTCCTTGCCAACGGAAGTCTTGTAAGAAATCCTGGCATACGATTCTGCCTGGAACACTAGCTCTGGTGCAACAGAATGGTAAGAATATGAAAGAATCATCCAGCAATCAACCACATGATCCACCGTCGGCCCTCAGATTTCAAGGGTCAAGGGTGTACGAGATGGCCACTGAGCCTCCCCACCTTTTATCACAAAACACAAAACCGAGTGAATACAAAGATCCAAGAGAATATTCCACAGCTTTTCTTGGGTGATTCTGAAGGAGATGCATTTTTGGCAAAAGAGAAGCGAAGAATCGAGATCTGAAGACGAGGTACTTCAAGACTTGAGCTGGTATAAGTATTCTTGAAATCTTTCAAAGCACCGTCGATTCTAAAAATCCCGCCAGCTTCAATTGCGGCAAGGACATTCTCTCGAAGACCCTTTCTTTTAGCCTGCGTAGATTCCTTCGTTTTTGAACGTGCTTCACACATCCTGCAGTTGCATTCGAATCCCCACACCTGCTCAAGCCTGTTTCTGAATACACCATAATCGTCCAGGTCGGGACTACAGTATTCGAACGCTACCTCTGTACCCGGTGGAAGATCTCTACTAGCACAAACAACCATCATATCACCAATGTATGATTAACGGGCGTCGGAAAAGTAACAGTGATTGATGTATGATACATTTCTCCAGATGCCGCAAGAAGAGAAGTACTCATCAGATTGATCATTTTCCAATCCGATTGCGAATGAAATTTCTCGTGTGTCACAGCGGCCTTCATCACCGAAGCCAACAAATTCACGGCATGCTGTCTGGATAATACACCACCCCCTATGAAATTGGAAGGCGCCGTGGATGCAGTGAAAATGGCTTTGCGCTTCAGGGGAGTCTGATTACAGGTAAAAAGATAGAATGTGATGAGATCAACCGCAGACTTGAAGCGACTAAGCTATAAGCTTCGACTGAATTCCAAATCTTAAGACTTGCTTGTAAGGTTCTTTTCAGCTTTGGCAGAGGTCACATACATGTGGGATCATTGTATATAACCGCTTACAAGAGTATTTGTCTTTGGAAAAGCTGCGTTCCAACTACGATCTGTTTGCACAAATAAGTGAACGGCATACATGAATGGCAGTATTGAGAAAACGGTAGAAAATGCGAGTATTAAGAGGAAGCATTAAACAAACAGATTTCTGATACACAAGACCCCTAGATTTCCGAGTAAGTCGGTAATCCTTCCATCCGTCTAAAATCGTCCATTGACAAGTCGTATCCTAGATGTCGCTTGAGCAATTCGTGTGTCACATATCTCTCAGGAATATTGCCCTGTGCATCAATAAATGAGACATGCCGGTTGACATCGCTGATCCGCTGAAGTTCATTGGCATGTCGATGATGATGAGGGCACCCATCAACTCCAATCAAGAAGATTGTTACATGCGCCCAATTGAGGCTCAGCAAATCCAGTTCAAACTCGTCCATGTCTACGGCTTCGCCATCTAACAGCAACAGTAATCTAAGCATGGGCGTTTCGGGACCGGCTTGCCATCCGTAGACGGGATGGCGATAGGCCGATTGAGAGTGTTTTTGAAAGTGCAGTTCTTTAACTTGCTGCCATCCAGCCATGACACGTGTTGTTCCACCGAAAGTTATGTTATTCCACACTTCATCAAAGTTTCGCTGGTTGATAGTTCCCATGTATTCCGCTTCACTAGCGAAGGTGACGAGATCATACCCATCCACGTGGTGCTGATCACCATGTGATAATGCCTCTGTGAATCGGCGGATAATTGATTTCGCGACATCTATAGTCTGTGGTAAGCCGTGCAATCTAGATACATCGAGTATTCTTCTTACCTTTGTTCTTGGGCTGAGAAGATCGTACGTATTGAGTGATAAGGTATTGATCATAGATTGGACGAACAGGCTCAAAACTCATTGAACCAGAAACGTCAAGAAGAATCATGGTGTCATCCGTGGGCAACTCAGGGCGATCGTGTGGTTCAAATGGGGCTGGTAAAACTTGTTTAGAGTATCCCGCTGATGTATGCTGAAGGTTGCAAGTGTCGTCAGCAGAGGAGTACACCGGGGGTGGTTCTTCTGCTTTAGCCATTCGCTCTCTTGCCATATTCATTGTAGATATGAAATCTGGTTTCATCCTAGTTCCAGTAGAACCCTCACGATGATTCAATACCCAATACAGTCGTTCTTCTGCCAAGTCCTCAAATCCTCTCCATGCCGGAGTGATACCCCTCCATCCAGCCGCGGCTTCTATCTTAAACTTGAGAGGATTCGAAGGATGGACTGCCCATTCCACAGGAATGGGCTCGAAGTAACCAGCCTTGAGTAGGTGCAAGTACTGAAGAGGACATTGATTGCGCAGTTCAGTAACCTTCTTCAAGATACCGATTCTTTCTTGATATTCAGCCACGAGTTGCCGCCATTGATTATCTGGCCACCGGCCAAGCTCTTCCTTGAGAATCTCAACACGTAGAATGCTTGATCTTTCGTTCTTTCTTTCTTCTGTAGATCTGACACCAATGGCTTTCCTAAAGCTTGACAGCTTAGACTTTGCCTTCAGCTTTGCACTAGCATGAAGATTGTCCCCATTCACTGAGTCTTCTGCGTCTTGCTCTCCTATAGATTTGTCATCCCCTGCGGGTTTATGTTCACCAAGAGTAACTCTTGACATTGAAGATAGAAGTTCCGGTTGGTCCCATAAGCATTGTTTGGGCTCCAAAGCATCGACCTTGGCTTGGGCTTCTCTATTCAACCTGCGGTTCAATTCATTTGTTTTACGAACGAAACGGGCATGATAGCTTGCTTGAGGTCCTCGTGAGTAGTAGACTGTTGATTGATTACCATACGGAGACACAACCGTTAGCTGATACTGATTTATGCCAAACAGCAGACCGGTCACGCAGTCACTATAGAATCTCTCTCCTATAGGGTAATGACGGTTAGATATCCCATCTCTTATGATCAAAATTAACATTTACCTGGATACATAACGGCCTTTGCCCACCTTTCCTGTATGCCGAGTCTCACCCATTTCTTCAATTTATATCGATGAATAGAGCAATCGCAAGGGTAACCCGTGTCATGCTCGGGCTCGATTTCGCTGTTGTAAATGCGATGCTCTTGCTGTACTCGTTGTAGCAGTTGAATCATTTCTTGCTTTAGGTGTTATTGTAAGCAACGTATCATCTTTTCATCTGTATGCGCTTTTGGGAAGTGTTTTAATCACCTCATCGCGTGCCCTGATCTTGCTAACTTCAATCAAATCATTGGTATGATGAGTAGAGGTATACTGATTTATTCTCCTCACGGTTTGAGACCCTGGACTCGCGGCATATGGCGGTGGTTGACTCGCAGATTTCTGGTCAACCAATTTTGAATCTAAACCACTGGTAGTTAATTGCGACCCGTTCACTCCAGTCTCTTCATTCATGTGTGCTGAATCGGTCGCTAAAAATGAAGATGAGTCTCCCGCATCGATATCCTGACGAACAGATAGAGTTTTTCGTGCGTCAAGGAAGTACGAGATAAACTCGAGAGATTTTGGAGAATCTCCAAGCAAGCTTCCAAAATGCTGAGTTGCTTCTGCATCATCGAGTTCGCTAGCATGTAATATAATTTGCTCTAGCTCACCGTCACTCAAGGGCAGGAGCTCACGGAGGGCAGAGACCAAGCGATGCTGGTTCATGTTAAGAAATTGCCGTCTGTTTTGAGTTGTGGTTATTGGGTCGTAATATTCACACTTGATCATCTGTACAAGAGGGCCAATGATCAATCAGCTAACCAGACCACACCAGAGAGTTCGGATGTTAGAAATGGTCGATCCGCACAGAAGTTGGAATACACCGTTTGAATGAATGAGATGTATTGGTGTCTGAGCCTCGAATTCAGTGCGTCGGCGGGGCAGAGGCTGTACACATATTAACTACGGACTAAGTACGCGTACTATCTTCGCCTCCTTATCGCAAGGAGTAGTGTAGCACGGTGCTATTGGTCGGCTCCTTGATTTAGAATCAGCCACATCAACAAGGTCAACTCGTCACCCTGTGGCTGGCGCTCTGTGCATAGCAATGGTCAAGTCTTGAAGTTAACACTACCAGAAATCTCACCCTCTCTTCATGTTGGCTTTAGTGCCTCGGAAGAACACTAGAACAACCAACATCTTGTGGAATTTAGTGGAGTAGTAAGCATCACCTGAAGAAACAATAGCCGCCAACTTTACATGCTTAATCTGCCCAGTTCCGTCTAGGCGGCAGCTGTGTCGAAGCAGATGTAGCTTGCTTGAGAACGAACTTCTTCGGCCTCGAGCTTTATTCGAATGACCTTGGGTATGCCAGTCAGGCCTTTAAAGAGTAGACAGTATCAAGCTATCAAGCCTCCCTCTCATCTCTTGTGAATGATTAGGCCTATTCGTCTTTTTAACTTTCCAGAGCCGACGGAGAGCTCTGAGCTCACTGCCAAAAAAGCATTCTTTTTCGGGTGAACTTTCCACTGACATATTTCCCCAAAACATCTTGTGTATCGATCATTAGAGCACGCTAAAATTCAACATATTTCAAACGGGAAATATCCCGGCGGGGTTGTGACTGAATTGACCTTCCAAAATTGGGAACAAATTACTGTACGCTTAACCCGTCAAATGGCAACGGAAGAATAATCAAATCGGTTAAATTTCTGATTCAAGTACTTCAGTCAATCATATGACTTGTGGCGTGCTATAGAACTGGGGCCACCGCCTCCGCAATGATCTACAAGGGAGCCATCAACTTCTGAAGATTCCCGCAATGTAGGTGAATGAGATGCCGACGATTCCCCCGCAATATCTCCACAGTAAGTTTTCGGACATCATGGAATAAGTGGTAGAATTTGTCGGAGCATCAGCACGAACACACATATCCCCGCCGGGATATGGCCTTGAGTGTTCACCAGAGAAATGATGACGTTTGACTTCATTGCGAATATAAAAGGAAACGGCGGTCATGTCTAGAAATTTCTCAAACGCTGCTGATAGCTCAAGACCCCCTCTGAGATTCCAGTACAAAGACAGTCAAAGCAAAATTGCATAACCGGCACTATGAGGACTTCGGTGCTGGCTCAATGCCTGATGGTGACCAGCAGCTTGGCAGGTCGGGTGCTGAAAAGAGATTCAGTGACGGCCGTGGTAAACTTTGGCAATAACACAGGTACCCCCCAGCATTTAGCTTCTGGTCTATTGTATGGCGTGCCGGATACTCTGGATCAGATTCCAGTAGGCCATCTATTGAAGTTTGCAGTCCATTGCACGGTTTGGCTAACGTGATTGAAAAGTCAACGTTCTATTCGGACATCGGATACAATTATGAACGAGCAGGCGGTGCTCAGGTTCCAGCTCCAGGGCGCGGTTGGATCTGGGGATTGACCGAATATAAGGTCTGTCTGATCTTCGAAGCTCTCAGAAACTGATCAAGACTGACCATGACTCCAAATCACATGCAGAACCGATTTGCATCTGCTCTTTCAAATTATAAGACTGCGCGAGAACACGGAGCGAACTTCATATTTTTAATTCACGATTTGTGGGGAGCCGATGGGTCGCAGAATTCGTCTGCCCCTTACCCAGGTGATGACGGGGACTGGACAAGCTGGGATGACTATTTGGCCCAACTGTTCTCGGACATCAAAGCCAACAGTATGACCGAGAGCTTGATCATTGACATCTGGAATGAGCCCGATGGAAGCGGGTTCTGGAACCGAGCACAGTCGCAATACTTGGAGATGTGGGGAAGGACCTACTACAAATTCAGGTCAGTTCATCTCTTGCTTTTGTCCTTTCTTGAACTGTTGTTTCAATTCTTGCGTCGGGATTGAATAGACTGACACTTAACAGGGCTGAGTTTGGCACTGAAGTTCTTCTTTCCGGTCCCGCATCGGCCGGCGAACCACTAGCCAGCAACACATGGTGGGAAGCTTGGGCGTCCTACGTAGCTAGCAATGACAGCATCCCAGACCAATACGCCTGGCACATGGAGGGTGGCGGCGGAGATCTCCTCTCAGCACAGGCAGGTCTACAACACTGGCTATCAACATACGGTATGCCCTCGAAACCAATCAACATCAATGAGTATGCTGTCTTCAGCGAACAAGTTCCAGCCGGATCTGCATGGTGGATCGCTCAGCTGGAAAGAATAAATGCTCATGGCCTCCGCGGGAACTGGCTTAGCGGCTACGAGCTTCACGACTTCATGGCGTCATTGCTATCCAAGCCCGACGCGACAAGCGATTACTCGGCTACCGCCACCGGTTATTTCCCAAATGGTGATTACCAGGTGTACAAATACTATTATCAGAATATGACGGGTTACCGGGTGGGAACGACACCCTCAACGGACCTCAAGTTGGAGGCCTACGCCACTGTCGGGACCGACGGATACGCGCGCGTCCTCGTTGGGGTACGAATCGAGGAAGGAACATGGGAGTTGCAGTTGGACGATCTGACGGCTCTCGGTCTGCCCAGTAGTGGAACGCTCAATGTGCATACTTGGGGATTTCCAGTCAACAGCACCAACGCGCATTATGGTGAGATAAATGCGCCTACTGACCTCGGATGGTATGGGCATGCGTACTCCGGCGGCACTGTCACCTTCCCTGTCTATCAAGTAGACACGACGACCGCGTATGCATTCGAGTTTGCTATTTGAGTTGATTGTTTTGTCTTTCGTCAAGCTGCGGAACTTGTCACAATGTAAGCAGTCTATGCAGAAACGAATTGGAAGTTCATCAATTTCAAGCTTGCGGCATTGAATAGCATGAGAATAAATCGAGCAGGTAATATGAATAGTCTATAATCAACTTTGGAAGTGAACGTAACTGAGGGAATGTCGCGTTGTTGAGCTTCGAAAAGGACAGTGCAACATATGCAAACAAGACAAACAGCAAAACAGCAGTGTACGTCCTCTCAGCCAATCAGTAGCCAACGGTGGGCACATGCTACCACGGCTTCCGTATCTGGCTTAACGCTATTTACAATGCTCGTCGAGTCTTCAGGCCTCCTCCTTCCCCCCCTCCTTCTCTTCCTCCACCCTGCCTCACTCTGCTGCTTCATCTCTTGCTCGGCCTGACAGAGACGGAGATATGGTCTGCCCGACTGTCACAGCTAGTCACGATGGCTGAACCCTGATGAACACGAGAAGTAAATAGCAGGACCAGGTACATATCAAACAGTGAACTGTTGCTCTACCTAGCAGGTTTCTAGGCTTATATGATACGTGAGATACTACCACACGGATGTAGATATATTGTTCGTACTTCAAGCAAATCATCGACACGAACGGTGAATCACTCGGCGTCATGGCAGGCGAAAGCGAGCACGCGTTCAGGGGAAGTACTGACCGACGGTCAGAGACTGAGGAGCAGCGTCAGTACGAACAAGAAATCCTCGCTCGCCAGCACTACCTGCCACAGTCCGATGATTCCGAAGCAGAAGATGAGAAACAGACACAACCTCATCGCTTCACGGGTAAAGTTCGCAGATTCTGGGATAAGAAAGTCAAGCCAGCGTTTCCCGAAGCCATTGCAGATATCAGTCTCGTTAAAGACGTCTTCACCACAGAATCACTTATACATAAGGATATCCATGATGCGATCCGCTACCCGGAAATCAAGCAAGTCGCACAGGTAAGACAAGGCTTGGATCTGGGACCGGAAGAGAAGGCATTTCTACTCAAAAGGAAGATGCATGTGCGGGTTCATTTTGCAAGGTACTTGGGACTAGATCCAGAGCAAGTCCATCCGGACGACATCCCGGTCATTGCTTTTGGCGGGAGCGGTGGTGGCTATCGTGCTATGATCGGATATATGGGCTATATGACAGAAATGAAAAAGGCTGGATTGTGGGATCTAATCACATACGTAGCTGGTGTTAGCGGCACATGTTGGTCTATCGCTGCGTACTACACTTTTGCTGATACCACGATTGAGCACATTTTCGATCACTTCAAAAGCCGTCTTTCGCCGTATCATCCCCTATCCGATCCGGCGATCCGCACAACCCTCACTGCTATCAACGGCCCATACAATACGTTAGGGCCTTTAATACTCAAGCAGATCAGTAATCTGCATGTCGTCTTGATGGATCTATATTCAGTTTTTACCACGGGCTACCTATTCCTTCACCATAGTCAAGAATCCGCAAGTATTCGCCACAAGCCAAATGCCGACCGGGGCTGGTGGAAGTGGTCCAGCGCTCAAACATGGTTGACTGAAGGTCAAGAACCTTTTCCCATCATGACCGCTATCCGCCATGAAAGACCGTGGAAAGATTGGGTAGACAAGGAACACCCTTTCAAGGATGATAATCCTCTGTCGAAAGAGCACGCAGAGACAGTGGATGCCTGGTATCAATGGTTTGAAATGACTCCTTACGAAATAGGCTGTGATGAACTCGAATCTTGGGTGCCGACCTGGGGCTTTGGCCGACCCTTTGACGAGGGTAATTCCACTATGCAACTCCCCGAGCAGTCACTAGCCCTGTTACTGGGTCTCTGCACCAGTGCACCGGCGGGKCCGCTGGACGCATATCTGGCTACCATCAAGAGAAATCTGCCTTCAGGCTCACTTGGGAATGCTGTCCACGAGCTCGCTCTGAAGATAACTCATATGTGGGGTAAACAGAAGACTAAGGTCTTCCAGCAGCATCACCCCTTGCATGCATGCAATGAACATAATTACATGTTTCATATGACTCCCGTAAGCAAAGGAGAAGCTCGCCCACCTGGTATCGAGAATTCTCCCAGAATCCACCTGCTTGATTCTGGATTGGACAACAATTGTCCGACATATGTCTTACTTCGTCCGGAACGCGAAGTGGATGTAATCATCCATATGGACGCATCAAGTGATGTTCATAAAGACGTATTCCAGGAGCGCGTAGATCAAATTGGCAGTCGGCGAGGTATGCGGTATACAAAGCGAACTTCAGATGCACCGTCAAATACACCACCAACATCATCGTCTCCTGACACCGATGGGAAGCGCTCAGACGAGAAGTATGGACAGATATACGATGGTGTTCTCTGTGACCGGCCAGCTCATGTTACTGATTCCTATGGGCACACCGTCACAAATCCGCCTGCTCCGGTTTGCCACAAGGATAACACTATCGTCTACATGCCTCTACTCAGCAATGAAGATGCGGTCCCTGATTTTGATCCGTCGACAGCGAAATGGTCTGGAAGCTACAATCTGGTCTGGACCTCCGAACAAGTGGAGATATTAGCAAAAGTGTCGGCAGCGAACTTCGCCAAGGCTCAGTCCAACATAAAAAAGGTCCTACTCGAGGTATACGAGAAGAAAAAAGCTTCACGAGAAGCTTTAAATCCATAGTTCTGTACATATGTAACCATATTTATCGATAGCCTGCTTGCAACGTCCATTTCTCGGATAGGTATGCACACATGAATGATATATGTGAGATTTCAATTCTACAGAGATATTCTAGAAGATGAAATCACGTCCAAATATCGGAATTGTACATGTAGGTTTCCAGCATTTGAAAGATTTGAAGACACTGGGGTTTATCCTGACACGAAGAGTGCTACAGTTTCGTGCGTGACGTTGTGTGCGGATATATATAACGTCGATCGAGACAAGGGAAATCTCCAAACTGCCCTAAATCATCTGCGAAATTTTTGCAAATCATATTCTCGCTATAGCCACTTAATAGCTGAACCAGGACTTAAGTAGTAACGCGAAAAAGAAACGTCGCTCTTCAAAGAAAACAATGACATGGGGCTGGCAACAAAAAACTGGACGTTGCGCGAATCGAACACGCGATCTCCTCAATGCAAATGAGGCGCAATACCACTATGCCAAACGCCCGCCGAGAATACTCCGAGCCTAGCCCCACTTATATTGTTGCTTAATGCGGTCGCAACTGGTACCCTAAAATTCCCCGGCCAACGATCGCGGCTCGCTCGGCCTCAACGGCATCGCTCAACAACCATCCCTATCCCGTGCACATCGGATACCTTGATGAGAATGAGCAGTCCACTACCTGTTCGAAAACGCCGACGCCCGGCGTATTCTTGTACGGAGTGTCGTCGTCGTAAAGTCCGATGCGATCATGCTATGCCATGTGGGCAATGTATAGCGCAAAAAAAAACCTCCTTGTGTGCCTATGATGGTAATCGTCGAAGCTCCCTGGTAGACCATGGCAGCAGAACCTTGTCAAGTGATACAGTGCGGGATAAGACAGAAGAGGCCCGCGTTGCCAGTCGCTCCTCGGAAGTCTCGCAGTCGCCTAACAACACAGAGCGCTTCCAAGGCACCATTTCAAAGACCAGGGTTTTCGGTAAAGGGCACTGGATGACTGTATTCTCGATGGTATTTTCTCCCTTTTTGAATTCCATGGACAGACCAAATCGGCTTACAACACCCAAGGCGGAGGATCTCTCCATTCTTGACCCCATTGGTGGCTTTTATGAAAGGGTATTCCAACAAGGCAGCTTCAATCCATCAGGCGACTTTGCGAAAGCAATTCTTAAGTGCAAGGAACTTGCTCGAGATCTTAAAAAACAACGCCCGAGTCGAAGGCGTCTTCCTGCTGCTATTTACCAGTCTTTTCCCGATCGGCAAGTCATGGACGAACTCGTAGGGCTGTATTTCAATATGTTCGAGTCCTGTTATCGTATAATTTTTCAACCTTCCTTTCTGGTGGAGTACAAGAGTTTTCTCGAGCAACCGGAAAGCGCGGAAAGCTCTTTTCTGCTCCAACTTAGCCTCGTCCTAGCTGCTGGGGGTCGATTGCATGGGGATGCCGAAGTTCGTCACGACATCGCTAAGAAGTCCCAAGATTGGATCCATATCTCACAGACATGGCTTTCTGCGCCTCTGGAGAAAGATCGCCTCACACTAAAAAGTATCCAGATTCAGTGTCTGCTAATTCTTTGTCGTCAGATACACTATGTGGGCGCGGATCTTGTATGGATCTCCATTGGCTCGCTAATGAGGATGGCTATGCATATGGGACTGCACCAAGATCCGGCCCATCTCGGCGAGATGAATGAGTTACAGAAGCAAATTCGGAGACGTTTGTGGTATACGATCCTAGAAATGAATGTGCAGGCAGCACTGGACTCCGGAATGTCACCTATGATTCACGATGGGGATTATAATACTCAACCACCATCTAATGTTAGTGACAGAGACCTTCTACACGCCACACGACAACAACATGAGAAAACATTAGATGCATCACCCGAAAGCTCAAACCAAAGCTCTTTACAGTCTCTTCTAGCAAAATCGCTTCCGCTGAGGCTGCAGGTCACTACGCTCATGAATAGCCTCCAAGATCAAACAACATACGACCATATCCTAGCCGTCGGTAAGGAGCTGGCATTGGCCAGTGGCGAAATTACTGCCAAATTGGATCGGGCTACCTCTGGGATCAATGGCCTACCTGCGACGCAGTTTGCCCAAAGCCATTGCAGTCACTTGATTCGTCGCTTACCAATGTGTCTTCACTTTGTCTATGCCATCAAATCTAAGAAAAATCCGCTCTACAGCCACTCACAGAAAGTTTGTCTGGAAGCTGCATTGGACATAATCTCTCTCCTGGATGACGATTTATATAGTCGCCTGCTTCTTTCTGGCGGTGGAATGTTTCGCGATGTCTCAACTCGTGCAGCGATTCTTATTTTCATGGAGCTGAGCCCAGATGCCGAAGCAGAAGTATCTAGCCTTACCAAGAGAAGATACCAAGAACGCCAGAGCTTTCTTCTGCAATATGCTCAACGTCTTGTACAATATGCCGAAGATAGAATTCGAGAAGGCGAAACGAGTGTGAAAACTTATGTGTTCCTTCGACTGATGATGGCACGAGCGGAAGCACGATTTAAAGACTGCCCTTTTACAGAAAATGATATGACGGAGGCTTTGAGGGAGGGTTTTGACAAATGTCAGACAATGCTGAAGGATAGACTACTTAACGTGAATCAAGCCAATGTTCACGACGACGCGGTTCCGGGTTCTCCCCTCGGTGCTTGGACACCAAATGAGTTGAACGAACCCTCATATTCTGACTTCCCAACAGACAACTTCAGTCTTGTAAATGACGTGAATATTGACTTTGATTTTTTGAGTGATCAGCTCCCTTCACAATGGGTTGATCAAACCTGGTTCTAGGAATTAATGATCTGGGAGCCCTCAACATTCTATATACCCCATGACCTAATATTTAATATTCCCTCGGCCTCAAAATTATATAATATGATTCGGCTAAAAAAAGTAATCACATATATGAAGACTAGTGGTTGTAGCTATCGTGCTCTCAGCTCCCTCCTTGTCCCGATACGCCCAATGTCATGATTCCAGGGTTTAGGTTTCGGAGCCATTGATCGCTCTTAAAATTCAAGACCCTCGAATTCGCGCGCTTTATTATAGAATGAGTCCTTAGACACTTTCCTAATGTGTTGGTGACATGATAATCCCCAAAGCAGGGCCTAGCAAGCGCTTAAACGTATGTGATTGGCTGGCGACACTCGCTCACTTTGACTCATCCTGACTGCGACACACCCTGTTGCCTGGGCCAAACAAATGTGGCTTGGTGACAATAACAATATACTGCCTTACTCAATCAGGGCTCTTGGACTGGGAATATAAAAACCTCTCCAAGCATGTACCCATTGGGTCGAACTTTTTCTGGGAGTAGAAATCCATTTTGTCGTTACGGAGCGCTTAATTTTGCGTCCTGATCTTGTTCTACTTTATTCTTCTATTTCTATCTTTGTGAATCACGTACAACATTTAGGCTATCATGGCGTCGACTCAAGGTTCTCCGGATCTATCGCTAGGTTCATTTGATACAGCACTGTGTATTGTACCTCCTACCCATCTTACTCATGACATCAATCGACTGCGAGCTTTGTACGACAAGGCTTACGAGAAATGGCCACCACATGTTAATCTCATATACCCTTTCATCAACCCCGAAGCCTTACCTCATGTTGTTGAATTAATTCGCTCAAGATTTGTCCAGAACAAAGTTGAACCATTTCGGTTCACTTTGGACAAGGCGGGTTTCTTCACACACAAACATCACCGCACAATTTATACAACAAGTAGTGGCAATGGCCGGAAAGAGGTCGAAAATATTCGCAGGAGCGTTCTTTCTACTCTTGGTCAATTAGATACTCATTTCCAGCCACATTTGACTATTGGACAGAGTGAAGCGAATGTCGAATCGGACCTCGACTTCCTCATGTCCAAAGTTGACCTTCTCCCTCCAGTAGAATGGGAAGTATCCGAAGTCGTTATCTCGATACGCGAAAAGGCAGCCACTTTCAGTTCAACATTCAATCAATTAAGAGTTTGGGGCAAGCTCGACCTCTCTAGCGAATATGCACTGAACTACCCGAGCGCAACGCCTTTGTCCAACAACATTACAACCTTGTCGGACTCTACTCGACTGGAGAGTACATTTCATTTTGATTCTACGAACTGGGATAAACGAGAGGCACCTTGGAAGCGCACCCAGTCGATCGGCACCTCTAGTGAAGCGAAACATACTCAGTTATCACTAAGCATCTCGTCGTATAACGTTCTGGCTGATGCTGCTCACCCTCTCTCAACCGAACGCTATCCTGTCCTACTAGAGAACCTACTGCAGAGTTCAAGTATTGCCGATATTCTGGTATTACAAGAAGTATCCGATAGCTTCCTCACGTTCCTGTTGCACGATGAGAATATACGATCCCAATATCCTTTCAGCAGTCACGGCCCACCTGACCAACGCGATATTGGCCCTCTACCAAGCCTACGCAACATTGTTGTTTTGAGTCGTTGGAATTTCCGATGGGAATGGCTCAATTTTGAGAAGCCACACAAAGGGAGTGTAGTGCTCCAATTAGAAGACATAGGAGTATTTCGTCGCAGCGAATTTGTTCCTCTAATTGTGGCCGGAGTTCATCTTACTTGTGGGCTCACTGACGCATCTATCGTTGCAAAGCATGCTCAAGTCCGAACTGTCATCGAGCATTTACAGACCAGATACCCCGATAGTAATTGGATCATTGCAGGTGATTTCAACATACCCTCTTCATCGTACACAATCAATGCTGCTCTGAAAAGGAACTCAATCACAGCAAGAGGTGCTGCAACCCTATCATCCTTGGACATCCTTTTCGCAGAGTCGAAACTCGTCGATTGTTACTTTGGAAGCCGGGCCACGGGCTCGAATTCGGTAGACTACAGCACAAACTACAAGGAAAATTTGCGCACTGTGTATGAGGGAGAAGAGGGCGCAACGTACGACCCTATCGCAAACAGCCTTGCTGCCGGGAATTCAGGGAAAAGCTACCACTGTCGACCACAAAGGTACGATCGTGTTTATACAAAAGGCGAAGAGTTCCGAGTTACTGGATTCAATCTGTTTGGTTTGCCTAGTGAAGAGACAGAAGGGCGTCTAGGAAGTGATCACTGGGGTGTTCGGGCAACATTGGATTTGAATGATGCCCCGACAACGGGCGCCATTGGTAAGCACAATGTTGTCATGTTTTTCAAGAGGGCAACACAACATATCACCAGCGACACATTATTCAATACTACACTCCACGACTTGAATATGTTCCCTTCAGAGGAAGAGTTCGCTCATCGCCAGCAGATGTTCGAATTAGTGAAAAGCGCAATACAACAGCGGAACCTTGGTACCTCAGTTGAAACAAGACTTAACATTTCTTTTGTTGTGGTACCCGTTGGTTCATACGGATTGGGTGTATGGGATACTTCCTCGGATATAGATTGTCTTGTCATCGGGACTATAAGCCCGAAGATCTTTATAGCTCTAATGATTCAGAAGCTGCGGCGTCCGGAGTGGCAGGAGATTCATATCCTTAGAAAAGTTAAAGCTGCATCTGGCACAATGCTGGAAATTCAAGCCGGTGGTGTTCGCTTCGATTTACAATACTGCGCGGCGACTAGTGCTGCAGAGAGGTATGTTTTGCAAATCGCTACTGGTGACATGATTGACGCTGATCTCATTAGTTGGCCATCGGCCTTAAACTTACCTTCATCTGATTCGATCTTTGATCTACCTATGCAGTCTTTGCTCAAGCTGAATTCCATTCGAGATTCTGAGTATCTTCAACGTACAATCCCTGACCTTGGCACTTTCCGCAAGGCGTACCGTTTTATTAAAGCCTGGGCAAGATGTCGTGGAATCTATTCGTCGAAACTCGGCTATTTGGGCGGTATTCACATCACTCTGCTTCTTGCTCGCGTTTGCAAGCTACTCTTTGGTGCAGCTGGTGCGGCTTCCGTCTCAGATATTCTCAGTACCTTTTTCTCTTACTATGCCAACTTTGATTGGAAGAATGACATGATATACGACACGACATTCTACACAGCCAGGCCCGGATACCATCGGTCATACAGAGAGCCCATGGTTATTCTAAGTATTCATCCACCCAAAGTTAATGTTGCCCATGCATCGACCATGCTCTCGCTTAAAACTCTCGAGCAGGAATTCAAACGGGCAGCTCGTTTGATTTCCGACACAAGTAGCACCTGGAAAGATATTACGGACCCAATGAGCATTATTCAATTTTTTGAGGGCTATCACAGCTATATCAAGGTAGACGTCCATTACTGGGCAAAGGCTGCGGCAAAAGGACGGGCTTTATTTGGCTGGTTAGAGTTCCGGTGTGTCTCCCTTCTTGTCGACATCAATCGAGGGTTTCCTGATATTCACGCTCGGATTTGGCCGGCTCGTTTTACTGAAATGGAGGAGGACGTTCTTGAAGGGATGGAGGAATACCAAGGTTGTTTGCTCATTGGTTTGTCAAGGAGCGAAAAACCTTCGACGAAATCTCTAAATGAGTCAGATCGCCAATCTGCACAAATTTCAATCAGTTCCCTACTCAAGGAATTTGCTGAAAAAATTCGAGCCGACGAAACCTATTTCGACAAATCCTGTTCATGGGTTGATATCTCACTTGCCAAATCAACCGACCTCCAAAATCTGCGCCTTGACACGTCGGACTGGTCACGTACCACTGGAGAACAAGTGGAAGATTTCGAATCTGATGACGGTTTCGAACAAGATCATGACGATTCTGTGACCTTCCAGACCGCCGGAGATACTGAATCAATGGAGCAGTGGATTCGACCAGCACGATCTTCACGTCCTCCTCCGGCGGTACAAATACTGGGAGGACCTAGACTCCGTCCAGCAGGTGATGTGCTCAATCGGCTCAGATGGGATGCATCATTCGATTCGTCCGACTACCTAGTCGGATATGTCGACCGCTTCGTCGGCGAAAAAGAGATGCCTATTGATCGCTGGAAGTCTGAACAAACCCACGAAGAGTTCATTCCGATGCATCGGGTCTCGTATTTCAAGCGGAAAAGTGATGGGGAGCGTGTCTGGGACCGGGAGAAGAGGGTTGATCTTATTTTCAATACCGGTGCAACTAACAGCGGTGTATAAATGCAACTTTGATATAGTGATTAATATTGAACAGAATTTGTTGGAAAAACCAATGGCCGCCACCAACAAATGATGGCCCGTGTTTGTGTTTGATAGATACCCTTTTTGTTACATTTGAGACTTTTCTAGATCGTCTGAAAGAGTTCACTGATGCGTATGTTATGGATGTTTTAACATGGAGGTTGTAAATACATGAAGATCATCATGAAACACATAGAACACATGAAATTACTTGGCGTAAAAACGTGTAAGCAGTAAGGATTTTAAGAAAGAAAATGCTTACTGAGTGCTGATCAAATCAGCAACTTTTTCTGCCAATGCGTATACTAATGCTTGAGGGTGACCCGGTGGCAAGAAAGGGAAACTACTGGCGTCAACAACTCGAAGGTTTTGAACACCATAAACACGGGCGTGGCTGTCTAGAACAGCCATTGTGTCGTTTTTCTTTCCCATTTTGCAAGTAGCAGAGGCATGGTATACAGTTGTCATACTCTCCGTGATAATCTGTTTTATTTGACCATCTGTTGTGTAATTAGACCCTGGAAATGCCTCAGTCGCATCTGCCACGCCTAGATCAGCCAGAATACTCCATAATTGGCGCTGTCGTTTGAATGACTGAACCGCCAAGTCGAGATCGGTCGGTTCATTGAGCCAGTTTGGGTCGATTATAGGGAGATCAGTCATAGAATTGCTTTGTAGTTTGACCGTACCGCGCGAAAGAGGCGCCACGAGAGCAGTGTTGAGTGTCGCATAGTTGTGACCATCGCGCGGATCAGCCGTTTGTTTGTTCAAATTATATCCGTTATAGGCAGCGACAGGTAGCCATTCGATCTCAGGCCAATCTGATGGAAAAGCACTATCGAGGATGCTTCTAGACTGATTGCTGAGCTGAGACCGGTACGGCTCTGGAAGTTTTTCCCAGCCGTAGATGCCTGGGCCAAAGATCGAGAGAGGACCAGTAGCATTGTTGATGTACGACTGGATACCCAGCGCGGAAAGTGTGGCGTTGTTTAGGCCCGCAGATGCCGTGTTGACATTGACTCGATGAGCAATGCCAAATATGGGATGGTCTTGCATATTTTGGCCCACGCCGGTCAAGTTACTGATACAAGTGATGCCAAAGGCAGCCAGTTCACCGCAGGGCCCGATCCCGGATACCATGAGTAACTGTGGAGACTGGAAGGCACCAGCAGATAAAATGACCTCCTTCCTAGCAGTCAACGTAAAGTTGATCGGAGGTGTTCCAAAGAAACCAGCGGCAGACACCAGGACGCCCGTTGCAGTATTGTTGCTGTCAAATATAATCTTTTGAGCCAAAGAGCTCTTGTACACAGTCAGAGGCAAACCCGCATTCAAGGCATAATTCAGGAAGCTGGATTCAGAAGTCTCCCGCCAGGCGTTTCTCGGGTCAATCGTCAGAGTGGCATAGGCTGATCCCAATAGTTTGCCGCTATTCAGACCTTTAATTTCAGACATGTTGGCCATGATAAAAGCTTGCTGTGCCCACGTTCCAAATGGATCGACAAAGTTACTAAATGACACTTTCAAAGGGCCACCAGTAGTGTTAAATGCATTGGGATCTTGCTTGTTGGAAGAGTTGGTGTATAATGTTTGATCAGGCGGTGTGTAATTCACTGATTTCTGGTAGTAAGGTAGGAAGGCATCCCAGGTGTAGCTCTGGTCATCTACTTCATCTGCCCATTGCTGCATGCTATCTACCGTCGCGCGTTGATACAACATATAATTTCGAGCTGATGAGCCTCCCAATGTCTTTCCGCGTGCATAGTGTAACTGGCGGTCGGCTAAAGCAGATTGTGGAGCAGTAGCAAGCCCCCAGTCTACCAAGGGAGAATAATTGTTCAAATCCGACCCAGTAAAATAGGTCGCATAACCTGGAACTATCGAGAGGTTGCCGTTGTCAACTTCATAAAACCCGCCCGCTTCGATCACAGCCACGCTGGCGCCAGTCTGTGCGAGGCGCGTTGCGATCGTCAGTCCTGCGTTACCACCTCCAGCGATCACGTAGTCAAAAGTTGCATTTGTTGCTGGAGGGCCAAAATGGCTCGCAAGTAGTGGTCCGCGCTGGCCATAATCGAAGAAATTAAGATGCTGTCCCTGAGCGGTGATCTCGAATATCACGCCAGTCGCTAGCACCACCGTTGCTAAACGGAAATTGGCAGACAGCATAGGTATTTCACCAAGCCGCAGAACTAGAGAGGAACAGAAGATGAGCGAGAGAATGTCAGAGAAAGAGTTAAGGAGACGGAAGCAGCAGCGAGGCAGAAAGAACTATCTAAGATACTTTCTGTAGGCGTGAATTGATTATAATAGACCTTTGCTGATACTCCAGCGAGCCAGAACCGGGCATGCTGATGTCTACGACTTTTTGTTGCTCAGACAGTACAACCAGCCACGCGGTTTTCGAGCCTATCTCTCACATCCAGTGCGACGGAAGCAAGTCGCTTTAGCGGCAACGCAACGATTGTCGGCATGGACCGCATGAATTTGTACGAACAGAGTCAAGCGCAGAATTACGACCCATAATGCGTGAGCCTCGTACAACGATACGTTGGACGTATGTGCTCCGACGTTGACTACAGCAAACGTCCAAAACAAGTATTCGAGGCGATTAGTTATTCCGTGCCGTGTCTTCCGGAATAAGAGCTTGGGACAGTGGATATGTATCCACTAATTAGTATTCTTTAGTAGAGCCGGGCGTTGGGCCAACCGAGATTCCTCCGCATGATTCATATGCATACAAGTGGGATCTCCAACGCAAAAAGATTCAGCGCGCTTTCACTCCAATCATGATGCAGAACTGTTATACCGATCTGTGTCGTCTTTCCTCTTTAGGGCAGGATGCTTCGGCCGAGGTTTCCGCGCGATGCATTATTCCCACCTTTCCTATTTGGGAACGTCCGTTTTCATCGTATGGCCCTATCTTGCCGAGTATGGACAGTGAGCCCCAAGGCCCACGCCGGAGCCCTGCGCTTCACATCCCCCAGATCCACTAACTACGTAAATAAACTCGTAGTAACTATATAATTTACGTCCGTCCAGTTCACTCGTACTCGCAGTCCTGTGTATAGTCTCTAGTCATCGCGTTCACATTTCGTCTTTTCCTGGTCTTCGCGCCAATGGGGCTCCATACCAGCTTCTCGACATGGCACCGACCCCGGACCAAGGATGGAAAATCTATGTAGGGACCTTGACCACAATTGTGCCCGCCACTCTTGCGGTCGGTGCAAGGTTCCTGGCGAGATGGATAGGAGGTATACGTTACTGGTGGGACGATTGGATGGTGCTAATTGCCTTGGTTCGTTTTGCCCACTCATTGCACATGTTTTCCATCTGCTAAAGCTTCGCCTTCCTCATGCAAAAACAGATCGATTGCTGGGCAATGACCGGTCTGAGACTGACAGCAGTCAAGTATTTCGGCCACGGCAAGCATGCAGCTGATTTGCCAGAAGAGACTGTCATCAAGTTTGACAAGGTATGTGCTTTGCTTACCTCTGACTGAGTCACGCCTTATCCTTTCCATGTTCAATCTAATCGGGTCCTCCAATAGAGCTTCATAGCCGTGCAAATGTTATATTTCGTCGATGTCGTCGCCACAAAAGCAGCCTTTTTATTCCTATACTACCGCATATTCGGCGTGAACGTCTGGTTTCGTCGCGCTCTTTATTTCCTCGCATTCTTGCTTGTTGCCTTCCTAATCGCGTGTCCGATTGTCGCCGTGGCCGGATGTCATCCAGTATCGTATTACTGGAACAAAAACCAGCTTGGTTCGTGTATCAACGAGGTGGAATTCTACCGGGGGAACGGGATTGCAAATGTCATTCTCGATTTTATAATCTTCTGTCTGCCCGTGCCTATGGTCTTGCGCCTAAAGACCACTGTTCGGCAGAAACTGCTCATCTCTGGTATTTTTGTTCTCGGCTTTTTGTAAGTACAATCATTCGAACTACTTCAGAAACGGCTTCATAGGGTCGCGTTGAAGTAATCGAGCCGATTCACTGATGAGTCTAAAGTGTATGTGTGATTTCCATCATACGCATCGTTGCTTTTAATGGGTCCAATCCAACAGATATGACCTGGAGCACTGTCGAAACAGCCATGTGGTCTTCCATCGAACAAGCCGTTTCCATCATCTGTACCTGCTTGCCGACTCTTCGCCCTTTGTTCAGCCGATTCCACCGTTCAACTACAAGTAGCTCCGAGCAATCAAACAATTACCCTACGGAACCTCGCGGCAAAACATCGAGCAATAATATTACGCTTTCACAATTCACAAATTCCGGAGAGGGCGACAGTACGGCCGAATTTGCGAGGCTATCAGATCATTACGACAATGATGGTGACGATGTTGATGATGAACAGTAATTTTGATCTATTTGAAATCTACAGATCGCGTCCGCGCACATGGAATGCATGGATATCGAAAGTTTGGGGCTCAAATGTTGACATGCATAAATGATCATCATAGATATAATGACGCAGGGATACACGCGCGATTCAGCGACCTGCCAGGGTTCTGTTTCCAACAGTTTTTTCCCGCATGCTCATTTAATCTCAGGAGGAAAGAAGGAGTAAAACGAAAAGTTGGTCAATTTGTGAATGCCGCTTGTAGAACTCGATCAAACTAAGTTACCTACCATCCGGAATAAATGAAAAGCCCACAGTGGATCCAATAAGACCCTGAGCTTTGCTAAAACTTTTCCGCAAACTCTCTGAAGCCATAAGCCTTGGGCAGAACTTTTGTGCATCCGGCAGGTTTCTAGGAACATTGTCATCAAAGACGAGACTCCTGGCACTCGAGGTATGTTTAAAAATCGATGACATTGGTGATAATAAAGCCAATATTTGAGTTCCTTGTTGGTATCAATAAGCCTCATGCAACTAATTGGCTCTATCAATCCTGGGCACCTGGGCATCAAGATTGTTTATGGTCTTGGCCGAGACGTCTCGACAAGCCGTCAGGCATGCACGACGTATCATGTCAAAAAGAACTCCATACCTATACAGCACATCGTTATACGCAAAAAGTTTTCGCTGCCCGGGTAGCTATCTGTCTGTGGCTCGATTCGGCTCGTGTGATTGACATTTCATGTTGAAGGGACATCTGGAGAAATACATTCGACTCAACCGATTAGTGGGTGACTGTGATCAGGTAATAGCTGACAGCACCTTCTATACACGGTGGTAAGAATCTTGGAAGCTTGGAAGCTTTACACAAAAATGAGACTTCATATCGTCTTTGTAAGGATTGCCTGGGACATTCAGATATGCTTATAGGCCTCCATCCCTATAAGGATCCATCATTAGTTTGAACATAGGGGCATCCCTAGTGGGCAGATCGAATTAGAAAAGTAGAAATAACAAAGGGCTTAAGCTATCCTATGTAATTGGTGCATTTAAAAACCAGCACCGGACTCCACAGTCCGCCCAAGCCTCGTCCACTCATTGAAGTTGAGCAACATCGGACGCAAAATAGGCATTATTCAAACTAATGATTCTATCCATTTCCGAATACTGTTGATCCAACAATATTGACGTTATCGTAGCCAGCTCATCTGGACTACCCCTGTTGTATCCAGCTGGACCGTTACCAGAACAAGTGGAAGTACAGATCATTGTCTGACGATGAAGATCTTCGTCTGAGTAAGGATTGGAATTAATTCTGGAGGCAGTCGTTATATTTGACTGTCGGTTGGTGTCATTGAAAGGGGTTGCTGAGTGGTTCGAAGCTATTCTACCCCGTGCCTTTGATATGCTAGTAGATGGGTCGTGAGAAGGGTAGTCGCCAGTGTAGAAGATGTTATTGTTTGAAATGTTGGCGGAAGATTGGATATCTGGTAGGGATTGTATACTCGCGATTGAAGGATTTGGTTGGTCAATATTGGTGATCGCTGCAGTTGTCAGGTTCTCTTCATCGCTCCTATTTTCCTGGTCTCCTGCGGGCAAGTCAAAAACTCAATCACCATCCTTGAGCGCAGAGAAAAGCTGACCTGCCCATTCAATTTCATTCGGATAACCTAGAACATCTAGCTTAAATGATTCGTCGTTCTGACATCGACCGTATATGACATTGAGCTGACTAAAATACTTTGCCGCCGCGTTTTTGCGATAGGGAGCATTTTGTTCTTCACGTTGAACGGACCAGCGAACAGACATTACATCGAGCGCTTCCATCAAAGTCCAAAAGTCCGGGCTAAGGTCGGTTTTGTAATAACGCCAGTGTACTAAATACTCAGATGTCAGTACTCCATGACTGCGGACAATGGCTCTCCTACAACTGTCCCATATCGCTGTGAAAAGGGAGTTGCAACAGCAAGAAGAGAGAAGGATATGAAGAAAGTTTGATACATACCAAGAAGTACCCGGGCGCTCACGAAGACACAAAATGCAAACTGACTATCTACAATGCTCTGCGGAGAAGAATAGTCGAGGAACTTCTTCGTGATGTTAGCTGTTTCGGCAGCTGCTGTTTCACAGGTCTCTGCGCTAGATAACGTAGGAAGTTTCAATACTTCGTGCCACTCAAGGGGTGGATATGCAATCCGTTGGTGCAAGAGAATCATAGAAGTATTGTGTGTAATATGCGCGAGGGTGAGATTTGGATCCATGGTAATCACAGTCGGTTGCCGGGAGATGTTAGAATCTCTCCATTTTTGGGGTAGCAGCATTTTCCAACTAAAACACATCAGAGTGTCCAAAGTGAGTTGATAGATAGTTCGGCAATGGAAAAATATTTCATACGACGTACCTAACTAAGCGCAAGTCCAGTTCTTTGAAACGCATAAGCCAACTGCCCATCTCCTGCCGATCACGATAGTTGATCTTTTGCTTCAAGAAAAATGTAGTCACCCTACTCAAGGATTCTGTCGCTTCGACCCTGTAGGCAAATGCACCGATCGTCGACATATCAACTTTCTCGTCAGGCACCGTCGGTAAATGGCCACTTTGAAATCGACTTCGGGGTGGTTCTGTGGCGTTGTAGTCTGTAGGGAGGAAAGTAATGAGGTTGCCAATTCTCCCAGCAGACTTGTCCCAAATTCCGAAAAATGGCGTGGTGACTGCCTCTTCATTGTGCCATAAGCCTCCATCAGCAGGGAGACGTCGATGAACGTCATTCGATGTGAGACTAGTGTTCCATCTGAATTTTGTTTAGTTTGAAGAATATTTTAGTCGGAGCTTAATCTTTTACACACCCAGTGGTTACAGAGCAAAACCTGTCATTTTGAGTTCTTGTTAGACCCAACCAACCTATTTGTCGATGAGTCTTACCTGTCCAAGTTGAATACAGTCCAGAATACCCTTCTCCTTTCTTCCTCTTCAACCCAGCTCTTTGCGCAGGGTAGAGAAGGTCGTGGCTGAAGCACCGGGCCTTTATCATGATTCTCAGACTCGACACTCAATTGTAGATATTCAACGGTTCTTGTCAGAGAGCCGACAATTGGCCAGGCACGAGAGACTCTTCCAGAACCAATCTACTACAGTGTCAGTATAAGGCAAACATCGAGTAAGTCATCTATGGTTGTAGAAATAAGAAATTCACACACATCTTCGAAACAGACTATAATCAAGGCTTGAAGATTCTCGACATACATATCCTCCATTCCCGTCAATATGACGACTTTTCGCGCTCGCTCACAGATACTCTCAATGCTTACAATATCCACGGAAAGCTCGCGTGGATCAATGTGTCTGAGCATGGCTACAGTCATAGCATGGAGAATAACTTCTAAACGACGTCTTTCGACCGGATTCTTCAAGCGTTGCCGAAATCGTTTCTCGTGGAGTATTGGAATCCATGGTTGCACTAAATTAAAGTATGTATCAATTACTGACTTTAGAACCTCTAGCGGTGGTAACGTTGAGGATAGGTTGGCCCAGTCATTCGTATCGACCAGAGTGGTGTCGTCCATGCGCTTTCGTTTGTTGGACACTGGGGCCTCTGTGTTATGTGTCGGTATCCGTGGTCCGTATTCCGTCTCTTGCGTAACTTGTCGAGAGACACCGTAGGTAGAATGTGATGTATCTAAACCGGCTGTTCTTTCCGTTGTTTGAGAATGTAACTTCTCTAGTAATAACTCCAACCCTTCCTGGAGTAAAGATGCAGCTGCAGATCTGCTTTCCTGGCAGACATGTGAGGGTTCATGATCAAAAGCCCTGCCTTGCTGATAGATGGCGTCCTCCAAAGCATCTATATCTAGTTAGTATTGTTTTATCTACCGGAGAAAATTGATTGCTTGTTTCAGCGTCGGTCTTCGTACCCACTCGTCGCCTGAGAGTCTCTACCGCACCAGTCTTCAAACCAGGTTTCTCGCGGTCGTTATCGTATGCACATTGTGTTCCTGAACAAACGTAGCAAGTAAGCAACTGTAGCTCAAGTGAAAAAAAAGTAACCACAATCAGAGGTTCAATTCACCAACTCTTCGACAGTGGCTGCACACGGGTGTTTCGCGAGAGCATCGGAGTTTGCGCTTACGACATGCCTTGCACGCAGGTCGTGGATCCCCTTGGTTCAACTCCTCCATGGTTTCTCCTTTACCTAATTGTTTATCATCAATAGCTAGATCTTCTCTCGAAATTCGAAAGGATTGTGAATGAGAGATTGGGGACGAGGGGAGTTGACCGCGAGCTCTTGAACATATTAGAATTTTAGCCCGAGACCCGTGGTATTTCTGCCGAATACCTACCGTTCTATTTTAAATCAATAAAGCGGGGTATAGTAAGAGTTTGGGATGAGTATTGGTTATTGTGGCGGGRCAACTGTCCTCTCGCTCTAATGCCCCATCTTCGGTTAATTTCACAGGTTACCTACCTCTCATGTGATGGTAGAGCGTGGCAGCTCTATATGGCTATTGCAAGTTTGTTGGGCGGCGATTGAGTACACAACCCTTCGTTACTGCCATTGTAGTGGGGTTTTTACATCGCATTGTGTAACATATGTTTTGTTGTCAACCCTAAGATTTTGAGAAGCTGTTCACTTCCTTGAAAATCCTTGAGTAGTTTAACCTGAAGCTCGCACCCATATAAATGAGATGATCTGACGGATAGCCCGACTAACCCACTCATTGCTTGAAGACATCAAGAGAAAGTATTAGCAAGTCTAGATAGTTTATCTACCTTCTATCTGTGTATCACCAGTGATAGATGTCTTTCAGATATTACAGTGATCAATAATCATGCCTCCACTTTCGGGGTTCTCTGACAACCCTTTGAGGAATCGAGACGACTTCATTGCAGCCGCTATTGCCCTTGTCCAGCCACTGCATCGTCATTTTTCACCTGGTAAGGCTACCATTCGCCTCGCACATTCGACCGGCGCGCACTTCGATGAAGGTGCAGCGCGGCTTGAAGGATTTGCGCGGCCGCTATGGGTGGTCGCAACGCTGCTACATTCACTAAAACATGATGACGACCATCCTCATGGGCCAATTATAGAGTCTCTTGCGAAGCCTTGGATTGAAGGCATTTGCATAGGCACAGATGAGAATCATCATGAGTACTGGGGCACCATTCAAGATGGCGATCAACGTATGGTAGAAGCGGAGGTAGTTGCCTGTGCGCTACTGTTCGCTCCCAATCATTTTTTTCATTCTCTGGACGGGAGATATAGGGCAAATATCGTTGCTTGGCTACGGCAGATGAATGGAAAATGGATGCCAACGAACAACTGGCGATGGTTTCGCGTTTTCACAAATCTAGCGCTGATTCTGGTTGCTGGAATCCCGAAAGATGAATTACAAGGAGAAATTGATAATGATATGGCCGTTCTTGATACATTTGATATTGGTGAAGGTTGGTCTTCTGATGGGCCATGGTTGACGGCCGAGCAAGAAGCAGAAGAGGAGTGCGAGAGCGCCAGGACTGGTCGATATGATAAGGTCGGCATTGGGCGGCAGGCTGATTATTACTCGGGAAGTTTCGCCATTCAATTTAGTCAGATATTATATTCCAGGTTCGCGGCCGAACTGGACCCCGAGCGAGCAGATATGTACCGACAAAGATCGCGAGAATATGGAGCCACATTTTGGAGGTACTTTGACTCTAATGGTAAGTTCTTACGATATGTTCGAATAAAGTATGATTATGTTAGCTGAAAGCATATCGAAGGCGCCTCCATACCATTTGGCCGCTCTCTTACTTATCGTTTCGCCTGCGGAGGATACTTCTCTGCGCTCGCTATCGCCCAAGTATCCGAAATGCCGGCACCTCTGTCTTCAGCCGGAGCTGTCAAGGGGTTCCTGTTTCGACATTTACGCTGGTGGGCAAGGCATTCCGAAGAAACTTTTTACACTGACGGTACCATGAATATCGGGTGGCTGTATCCGTAAGTTACTGATTCCCTCATTATCGTGAAAAATTACTCTGATAAATTTTTGTTGTCGATTCAGAAATATGTATATGAGCGAAGATTATAACTCCCCCCAATCTGTTTATTGGAGTCTCAAGTCTTTTATTGTTTTGTGTCTTCCATCTGATCACGACTTCTGGACGTCGAAAGAGATATCATATCCTGCACTAGCAGCCAACCAGGTTGCAAAGTGTGAAAAATTGCCTTCAATTTGCCTCATACGCCCAACGACACAAATCCTATGCAATCACCCCAAAGGAAACCATCACTTCATGCTTTCAGTTGGACAATTCGTTGCGTGGCCAATGAAAGGGACTCAGGCCAAGTACTGCAAATTCGCTTACTCCTCTGCTTTTGGATTCAGCGTCCCTACTGGCGCACTTATTCAGCAAATTGCTCCAGACAATACACTGGCTCTCAGCAGAGACGGAGCGACTACCTGGTCTGTGAAGTGGAAATGTTCAGAAGCTATGTATTTCTCAGCTAGAATACAAGATTTAGGTTCATTTGAGGAGATAACACTTGCCGCACGAGTGAGTTGGTATCCATGGGCCTATGATGGACCGGTTACGGTTAAAACGACTCTAGTTCCACCAAGCTCACGCTGGCCAGATTGGCATGTGCGAATTCATAGAATTCGTTTCAATGGTCCGAATAAGTTGAGGAGCCTGCATTTGGTCGAGGGCGGCTTTGCTATATCAAGAGTTCCGAATGGTGTAGAAAGAAATTTGCCCCTCTTTCTCGAGAAACAGAACAGTGATATGTTCCACAACAGTCTTGACAAGTCGCAAGGTATTTTCCTGGGACAGAGAGGTGCACTCGTCATCTCCCCAGCTGGTGCAAGCGGTTTACGAGCAAGTGTTCATACACTAACTTCCAAAGCACGGGTCATAACTGAACATGAGGCTATGAAGCCTGACTCAAATACTAACCTTACTGCACAGAGGACACTGATTCCAATTGCGAACCACGAAGTGCTCGGGTTAGACTCAGGCGACGAGATTGAGCTGGTGACAGCTGTTTTCGCCGTTGTGGCAGGKGGTGGGAACAGCCAAAGTCGTTCGCTGAAAGATCGATGGATGGATTTTCCTAAAGTTCATACGGAGGGATCATCGATTGATCTAAAGAGAGATGGTAGTACTATTTTCATCCCCGTGTGAGTGTGTATACAAATGAGACGAGAGCTGGTGTTCTGTATCAAACGCAACCTAGGTTTAAGTCCTCTGTGCTTAAAGCTAGCCAACCGAATTTATCATGTAATCTTCGGATATTAGCAAGGATTTGATAATCGGTAGTTTTTAATCTTATTGGGATCATTATGTCTATTCCTTTAAGAGATCTAATCAAAGGTAATGGATAGAACGCTTGATAAAGAAATTTCATTCTAGGGTTCAAATTTTTCAAGCGTTGAACATAATAGATGCGAAGAATACGTTTTGGGAAGGGGGAATATAAACTTGGTGATTGATGGTACTGAAAATTAAATCCTATATAAAACCCGCTCGGAGCAGCTGGTTTCCAAATTCGAGCAAAAAATAGTCTGCATATACTAGTCCATGATCACTATAACGGTCGAGGTCGTAGGCATTGTGGTTAGCCGTGGCATTTTTCAGAATAGAGTCAAACCGTGAGCCTTCCTCAACGTTTTCGACATGAAGTCCATTTTTACGTTGCACGATCCTAGCCTTCTCTCTTGACAGGCAGAATTCCAATGTGTCAGTCACTATCTTAATGGCCGTGGATCGGTATTTTTCTGCGAGTACCATATTTCCCAATGCAGCCATGGACTGTGAAAGAGCTAACATGCCATTTGCAGCAATAGTTCCAGCTGAAGAGTCGCGTAGCGGATTGGTGTGATCTTCAATAGGCGCGTCGAAGTCCCACAATGGCACATAGCGACCTACATTCTCGCGTCTATTCGTTCCTGTATAGGTCATCTCAACGCACACCGGAGCGCTTTCCAGTCGCCAGATAAAATATTCTGCGAGACCAGATGCAACCCAGAGAAATTGTTTGTCCTTTGTCCAATTATATGTCTGCGCGTATCCGAGTATAGCCCACGCCTGACCGCGGGCCCAGGTCGAGTCAACGTGGTAACCTTGCGCCGTTCGACGGTCTTTGATTAAGCCAGTCCGTGGATCAAAGTTGACGACATGGCAAGTGGAATATACAAGTTCGCCCTTGTGTTCAAACTCTCCCGTGATGTGCTCCGGTCGCAGATGCGATCTTATAAGGGTACGTGCATGCGTGGTAGCAATCTCAGCAAGATTTGGGTCGCCTAGATGCTTCGAAGCGTAGTATAACAGATCAAGATTACACATGCTGTCGATAATGACTAGGAAGTCATCGGTCATACTGTTTATTGTCACATCCTTTTGGTTGAGAACATCCCAGCTGCGGATTGCGCCTACATTTGTCTTGTATCGACTTGCAAGACTTCGAGCTCCAGATAAAAGACATTGTAAGCTTTTCTCGCTGCCGGTAAGCTCCCAGTCCTTTCGAAGAGAAGGTTGTAAAATAAAACCGAGATCGTGAGTATCAGTTCGAGAGGCCATTTCATGGATCGGGCCCTTCCAATGATCGCATAGAGAGGCCAACTGTTGTCGCAAGAAAGCATTATCAAATGATTGAGTCGCTTTCTCGTGGCCGTAAAATGGGAAAACACTAGGATATCTGACCGCGCGCTCTAATAAAGTGTAGAGCATCCCCGGAAAAAAGCCACACGTCCAGAAATACTTTTCGCGCAGAAAGTATTTCCCTATATCTTTGCCCCTCTGCGGCACGAATTCAGGATATGCAATCGGTGGATTCTTATCATATCAGCTGGGCGATGGCATTTCTCGAACACTATCTACTTACATTATTCTCCAGTGCTTCCTGTGCAACTCGCAGCAATTTCGCAAGAACATTTTCAGAATATATTTCCAAAAGCTCGGGTAACATACTGCAGGCTTGTGCTGCGACGAGACGACTTGAAATGAAATCCCCGTATGAGCAGTCTGACGGCGTGATCTCCCCTTGTGAAGAAGTCTCATTTTCGGAACCTGATGAAAGGTTCATTTTCGTATCGAGACCTCTAAAAGGCTTCTGGAGTATCTTTCTGGAATAAAGTTCCTTTGAGAAGATGTATCAAAATGTCTTGATCAGGTCTCTGATCCGAAGCCACTAAATATTTTTCTGAAACGTTCCTCTTCATGAAAGTCTAATAATGGTTGATGAATCGATTCGACAAGCGATGTATTCCAAATATAGATACCAGCATTCTGGCATTGCCCAAGCTTTTGGCTCGCGTAAGTAGAGATATGCATCCTCGGGAGAATTCTTCCCGAGATAAATGGCCCGATCTCCGATATCAATACGCCGAAGAACGAGCAGGCGTATCTCATGACATCTTTCGGGTAAATAACCCGTCGTTATGTGAACATCTGGCGTAGTTACCCCGGACCCCAGATTATTATTGAATTACACTAGACCGAAACTGTGAGATGCAGAGCTACCACCACGCGACTTCTCCACTCAGGAGGAGAGGTCTTGGTTTTATTCCTCAAGGGATGATATTGGTGAATATATGCGAGCAAGTATAAGACGCGCATTTTTTACCCTTTCGTTTGTATTTTTTGCTATTCAACTTCGGCATCAAACATGACGGACCTTACGAATTCTGAAAACCATCAACACGCCGATAACTTTGAAGGGCTCGCTCTCAAGGATGTCATATCTAACCGTCGCAAACCCTTCTACAAGGATTGGACCTTGATCAAACTGAACACCCTTCTGCTCTGTGCTCTTCTTACGCAAATCGCATCAGGCTACGACAGCAGCATGCTGAACGGAATGCAGTCCCTCCCTCAATGGAGGAAATACTTTGGTTCTCCTACCGGCACTCGTTTAGGTGCAATGACTTTTGGTCCCACGGGAGGGACACTAATTTCGGTACTAGTTTCATCGCAGCTCTGTGAGAAATTTGGTCGCCGATATCCTATCTGTGGCGGATCGTTAATTATCATTCTGGGTTCTATCCTGCAAACTTGTGCTATCAATTATGCCATGTTTGTGGTTTCGCGCTTCTTTGTCGGATTTGGGCTAGGAATCGTCGCCGTCGCCGCTCCACCTCTGCTCTCCGAGGTTGCCTATCCTTCTCATCGTGGGAAGCTTGTTTCCTTCTATCTTGTCACATGGTCTCTGGGTTCACTTATTGCTGCCTGGATCACATATGGGACGTTCAAGATGACAGGTTCATCTTGGAGCTGGCGAATACCAAGTGTTTTACAATGCTTTTTCTCTTTAATTCAAGCAGTACTTAGCCTCTTCGCGCCGGAGTCGCCACGTTGGCTTATTTACAATGGCCGTAAAAAAGAAGCTCTTGAAATTTTCAACAAATATCACGCAGATGGGGAACCCAATTCGCGCCTCGTACGATTTGAAATGGCAGAGATAACTGCGACCCTGGAGATGGAAAAGGTCCAGAAGATGTCTCGCTGGTCGGAATGGCTTGCAACTAAGGGGAACAAGCATCGATTATTCCTCGCTCTATATATTCCCGCCATGTTACAGTGGTCGGGTAATGCACTCACGTCGTATTACTTGTCGAAAGTATTGAATACAATAAACGTGACGGACTCCAGGACTCAGCTTATCATCAACGCCTGCCTGTCTATCTGGAGCTTCGTTTCGGCTGCATTCTTTGCAACGCTTGTCGACAAAGCTGGTCGTCGACGTCTTTTTCTCTGCGGTATGGGCGGTATGGGGGTATCTTATGTTATTTGGACAATCTGCTCCGCGATAAACCAGCAGAAGAATTTCAAGGATACTGGCTACGCTACTGCGGTACTCCTCATGATTTTCATTTACGGAGCATGCTACCACATGTGTTCCCCAGTTGCACCAACCTACATTATGGAAGTGGTCCCCTACTCTCTTCGCGCGAAAGCATCTATGCTATACCAGTTAACAGGAAACCTAGCTGGTATCTACAACAGCTTTGCAAATCCAGTTGCTATGGACAAGATATCTTGGCGATACTATATCGTCTGGTGTGTTGTGATTGCTATTCATTTCACCTTGATATTCTTCTTCTTCCCGGAAACGAAAGGATTGGGCCTCGAAGAAGTGGCAGAGATATTTGATGGGCCGAATGCGTTGTCCGGCGTGAATGCAATGAGGGAGACAGGATTGGATGTGCATGCGGACAAGGTATTGGCATTTGGAAATGAGGATTTATCTTCGCCAATTAAGGGATCAGTGTCGTATGTAGAGAGAGCCTAATTGTTAGGTAGTTTTGGGAAACTTGGAGGAGAAAGCCGGCATTGTTCTGAAAATATTGATGATCAATTTTACCACCATTTTTACACAGAAGAAATAATCATGAAGTTGTTAGCCTTATCCAGGATACTGAATCAGCATCAATGCCACTTGTGATTATGGATTGTGTCTACTAGATTCATGCACTAAGTCGCTGCCATCTCTATGTCTGGAATAATTTTATCTCATTTTACATTATTTGAGTGATGAGTCAAGTCGGATTTAGCTGTGTTGTCACCGCTAGTACACCGCTTGAGTGAGACAACAGTACAATCGGGTATGAATGTAGCTCTTTTTCGAGATAGGCACGACTTGATCGACCGATCATAAGAGGCTCCTGAAGAGGCTTTAATCACTCCCATCCCGAATTTTGTCTCCAGCCTTTTGAATTCCAAGGTTCCAATCGCCGAATCCTTTACGATATATATCAAAGTAGGATTGAAATCTAAATCATGTACAGCAACGATTACGATGTTTTCATCTGAATCAAATTGATATTACTAAACGCTTCTATTATCCTATCATTCAGGCCAGGATGGAGTCGTCGGAGTCAATGATTGACTCTTATGGATTAAAGAATAGCATAGCGATGATAATGAATCTGACCGATGCAGACAGAATGAGCGCCATTAGCGATCCAGCATTTTGATAAACAGCTGCTCCAACCAATGAACCGGAGAAGAGGGCATGAGAAAGAAGCTTTGCCGGTTGCGCGATCTACTACTCATTCTCCAAAATTTCTGGATTGATCATAAGTTGAACCCAGGCCGCTGTGGCCATAGCAGCGGTCATCTCAGGTATCTGCAACACGCGAGACAGGACCACCTGTGACCTACTGGAAAAAGCAAGGAGGAAAATAATAGTCAACGCAGCCGGGCCTTGCGGCTCACGTCCTAGCATGAAATGCAATATTGCGGCCAAGAAAACCATTATTGTCTGCAGGAAATCGATACCAACAAACCACGCACGTATACGGGGGGGCCTAGGATATGATGGCCGCGGTGGTGAAGGTCCTTGCAAGGAATATAGGAAGACTAATGCCAATGTTTGCTAGTATGAACAGATCCACGGTATTATTTCCCGATGTAACTTCGAGAACAAGCATGACCATATTTCCAGCTTGATTTGAGGTAAAGCATCGGTAGTCGGAAAATATTGCTGCATCTTGTATTCCGATGTTGAATTTCAACAGAAAGAGTTCCAGCTCAGCAAACGTGTTGATAGCGATGGGCGAGAATACGTAGTGCCTCCATCCAGGAGTGCTTGGATTGCTATTGTTGAAGTGGAGTTGCAGGAACGACGGCTATGGAGTGGAAATTATCATGTTCGTTTTGATTACTCGGCGACTGGGAAGCCGGCTGTATTGTGGTGGTCATCGAGCTTCGCCTTCACCGTCAAGAGAATCGAGACCCTTTGCGAATTGATAGACAGATCATATCGGTACATTCCATAGCGGCAGTGGGAATAGATTAGTATGCACGTTTATCAAGAAGTCTAAATTCGATTTGTACGTTATAAACTCGTCAGTAATTTACGTAGTGCGCGATTCACCGCCAATGTACGAATAACAAAGCAATACAAAATCGCGCGACAAAACTTTCAGATCACGGGACGCTCAGTGCTGCCTCGGCTCTGGCATCCCTCCCAGCGTTTCGGCCGGATGTTCTTCTGGCTTTTAGAGTTAAAACGGAATCATAGAATTATTGCTGTTGTTAGATTGTCAGTATCTTCCTCTCGAAGGCTACGTTGGACGGAATACGGATCCATTGCCAAGTTGTACAGGACATTTGCCCATCAGTATGTGTTAGTCGTGAATGACTATTATTAAAGCTAGCTAGCAAGAAAAATAAATGACAACGCCAAAAGTGATTCGAAGGTCTCCGAGTAAAGTAGTAGTCTTAGATCCTACTGATATAGAGTAAATCTTGCCTATTTTAGGAAACCCTTTCGCAATAATTATGCATTAATGTGTGCTTGGGGCTGTATAGGTTTGGGGTTAGACGGAATGGACTCTGTCTATAAATTCTTCAAGTTAACCTTAGCATATATGGAGGTCTGAAAGATTCTTTTGCTATTTATATCTATCTATCGATCACTTGTCGACGCGAAATTTCCGATCAATATATCCTCAAGCAAGAGTTAGTAGCTGACTCTGTCTTAGAGAGAGTATGGGAGTTTTCCATTAACCTGAAATGAAATGAAAATGTACAGGAAAAAATGAAGGTCCTCGCTACTCTCGCCGGTGTTTCTGTTGCTAGTGCTTCCGATCTTGGATACTGGAAGCTATACTGCGGTGACTCTGTAAGATTTTCAAAGCCCTACATGTTCTGAAAGGAACTGAATGTTATTTCAAAACTATCAGTGCTCGGCTGGTGCTCTCATCAGCCAAGGAGACTTTTACACTAATGTCTCCACTGCTTGTACTTCTCTCGGCGATACATACGCCTACTGCTATCTCGAGGTTCCTGAGGGCTTCACAGCTATCTACCATTCGTCGCTCTCGGCGGAAGCTACATGCGGAACGCCTACAATCCTCAACAGCGGGGACTGCGCCGGTGCTGGAAGCTGGATTTCGTATGAGATGATCTACAGCGCCTAGATGAGATCGTTTTCTGAAATACAAAGTTAGTAGCGGTAGAAAAGGGATCGTACGTAGCAATCATGGGAAAAACGGACTTACTCCGAGTTCTGAGAACTTTTATGTACCTGAATATCCACCATCATTAACATATCCGGCTCGTAGTTTTTGTTTCCCGACAACGTCTCTATTCATCGCATCGCTTAGAGTTTCTGAATCTTAGACCAATCCCGTTGACTTAAAACAGGTTCCATTGATCTAAATAATAGCTTAGGGTTCTAGCATATCAAGGTACTCCGCGCAATATTTCAATACAAATTGTCCAGCCTCTATCTTCTGGCCAATCTATATCTTTGATAGTATTGGATGAAATCCTTCACATCTTCTTTGTGCCAAGAGCATCAGCAGAGGCTAAACTAGATCTGGGATTATTTATCAAGGTCCATCCTTTAGCATATACTGTCATATTGTCTTGAGTTGCCGCACCGTGCTAATGTAATGTGATGATTATTTGATCACTAATTCCGAACTCTCTGATGTGTTAGATGATGATATCAATTTGGTTCTAGATTTCGATGATAGCGCTTTTAAGATAAGAACTTTGGTATAGATCATCAGAACAGCAATTTCAACAATAACACTAATCCACATCTTCGAAGCCTCCATCTCAGATGAAGATGTCCTCAAAACCTGTAATGAGGGCGCCTCGACTATAAAGACTAGCATCGCCACCAACCATACCAGTCGTAAAGTTGACATTGCTGTTACAACAGCAGCTCATCTCGCTGCAGCTCTCGATCGATTACGTAAAGACCATGATTCCGCCTACAAGGCACCGGTCATTATTTTCAATCGACCTTTGGCTCTGAATTCCGACGTCCAGATGCCCATCCCAGGTTTGCGAAAAGTTTCATGGTCTGTGCAGTCTGAGCCATCTATGAGGATCTTCTGAAGGCAGGTGTGCTGTACAATAGAGCTGAGAAGGATGGACTACTCATATGTATCACTGCAAACCCACCTGGATTGATGGATCCTAAGGGGATTGAGGTCACTGGGTATGATCTTATGCTGCATGGCAAAGCGATAGCATCGATAAACTATGTGGGCTTGGGCATGGCCATAGTAGAACTTGGATAGCGCTGTGGATAGTTTGGAGATAAGATTGTTGGAGTAAGTGCAACCGGCACAGTACGGATCGTCATCTTCGCTAATCTCTGAATCATCCTTCTGGGCTTGAAAAGTCGACTGATTCCATTTCAATGTTGGGTAAATGGTAGGGTTCCGGGCTTCGATGGAGTAGAATAATAAAGTCCTGTTAAATATAATTATCAGCAACTTTACTGCGATTATGTGCGTAGGATTCAAGATAATGCCTAATATCGGATTTAAAATCTGCAGATCAAACTCTCATGATCACCAGTGATCAACAAACCCATCGGTTAATTTTTGCGAAAATAGCGTTCGGTTAGATTATATTTGATTATCGTTAGCATAAGGATGAATTAGTCTCATAGACATTAGATACATGGACTGGCCGATACTCCGAATGGTCTAAATAAAAGAGCCACATGAGTCTGAACCTGAAACTTCCCCTCAACTTGGCAAAATTGGCATGTTTTCCCACCTATCCAAATGTCTTTAATGGAGATTTTGGGTCAGCTCAATTACCGTGAAACTAAAATTAGAAGGGGAACTGAGTTTTTAGGCTAATCTATGCCGTATGACACCCGCTGTTTGTATTGAGTTGTCACCATCGAAATGCTTTGCCGGATGAGCGCAGTAATTGTTTCAAGGGCTAGGGAATTAGTATAAATAGAAGGTTGACGGACTACGAGAACATGATCCTCAAACGAGAAGATCGACTTCAGTTACACACTTCTTACCACCTTGATCATGATTCCTCTTGCTCCCGCTCTCCTTCTATTGTTACCGGTCGTCTCTGGCCTGGCACTTCCTACGGATGAAACTGCACAAAACACCACAGAGGCAAGAGCCGGATGTGCTCTACCATCTAGCTATAGCTGGACGTCAACTGGTCCCCTGGCCAACCCAGCTTCTGGATTCCTCGCTTTGAAAGATTTCACCCACGTTCCTTACAACGGTCAACATCTCGTATACGCGTCAGACGTCAACAATGGAGGAAACTACGGGTCTTTGAATTTTGCCCTCTTCTCAGACTGGAACTCAATGGGCTCGGTGGCCCAACACACTATGAGTACTGGAGCTGTTGCTCCTCAACTGTTCTTTTTTACTCCTAAGAACATCTGGGTGCTGGCATATGAATGGGGCGCAAGTCCTTTCAATTATAGGACCTCCAGTGACCCCACCAATGCAAATGGATGGTCATCGCCTCAGTCACTCTACACTGGAAGTACTGGCTCTAGCACGGGGCCTATTGACCCTTCTCTCATTGGCGATTCACAGAACATGTATCTCTTTTTTGCAGGCGATAATGGCAAGATATATCGAGCCAGCATGCCAATTGGTAATTTCCCGGGTAACTTTGGTTCTTCAGCACAAGTGGTCCTCAGCGACTCGACCGTAAACCTCTTTGAGGCCGTCCAAGTGTACTCTGTCCAGGGCCAGAACCAGTATCTGATGATCGTGGAGGCAAGAGATCCCAGCGAAAACAGATACTTCCGTTCATTCACGGCCAGCAGTCTGAGCGGTTCCTGGACACCTCAGGCCACCAGCGTGTCAGCACCGTTCGCGGGCAAGGCAAATAGCGGTGCCAGCTGGACCAACGATATCAGCAGTGGTGATTTGATTAGAGCCAGTGCTGACCAGACCATGCCTATTGATGCTTGCAATTTACAGCTCCTCTATCAGGGCAGAGCAACCAACTCTGGTGGCAGTTATAATGACTTGCCTTACCGTCCAGGTTTACTTACCCACAAATAGTTTTGGTCAACCTACCAGTTTGAGGACGACCAGGGCATAAAAGTAAGGTGTCAGGTAGTTCATGGGAATGGTTTCAAACACTCTTTCTCAGTTCGTTTCTGTTTCATGTAAAATTACTTTGACAGCTATTTATTCTACACTTCTGCCCAGACCGTGAAGCAGGGACTGGTGTAAGAATAATTCTACAAGGCTACAAAGAACGACCAAAGCAGTAAACACAAATAACTTCTTGATCTGATAACTGATTGATGACTGGCTTCCAAAAATTTCTACTGGGGAGTCCTGCCATACTTATAGATAGCATAGGTCTTCCTTCTATAATCGAAGAAGGAAGTTTTAGACAATTACAGCCACAACGCTTCATACAGGAGTGCGCAGTAACAAAAGCCATGTCGCTGTTACCAAACATAGAAACACATATAACAAAGGTCGGCTTAGGGTTCTTTCTACGTTATAAAACGCACAAAGCTCACGGTAACGAAAATGTGGTGTTTGCATAAATATGTTGACCTCCACCAGATTGGTGTATCTGAGAGAGGTTTACTTAGGGTTACTCCTGACTCATATCCTTATGCCCTTTCTCCCTCTCCCTCTTCCATCAAAGCCTTCCAATCGGTCTCTTTTGGCCTCCAGCCTAGCTCGAGCAGCTTGTCAGATCTCGTTCTTTCACCACAACCCCACATGATGGGGCCAAACGGATGGATTTCTCTTGCGGTATCGACCGACACGCTTTCTACTTCTCCAAGACCTAAGCGTTCACTGACAGCTTTGGCCCTTTCCATCATACTCAGGTCTCCGGTACGTACAAAGTAGTAGCCGTCTTCATTTACTCCTACCTGTCCTCGTCTCTCGCTCCCACTTTTCAGTGCCTGTTCCATCAGGAACACGACCGCATCTCCCAAATCACCAATGGAAGACCACGACCATGTTGCGGTACCCTCGCCTATTACAAAGGCCCGTCCACGGCTCTTGACTGTCGCATAATAAAACGCTGAATTGCTTTCCTTCTTCAGATAACCTTTACCCTGGCCCCACAATTGACCAGGCGAGACCAGCATTGTGCCTACCCCTTTAGCAGTACTGTGAGCGATGATGGCTTGATCAGCGCCAGCGTGCATCCGATCCTTAGGAACGTTCAGTATTATATGCGCGTCCGTAATATCGCTCCACGGACGGCTGCTCGCCTTAAGATTACCAGTGATGGGATCCGAGAGGTCGATAAGACTACGCGGGCCGGTTAGGCTGATGAGCCGTGGCATGGGCGATCCGGTGGTGTTACGGAATGCCAACCCGTCTATAATCGCGCAAACGGCGGGAACATTGTCACCTCCAGCGTGGATAACGAAATCGGCCTCCGCTGCCGTAGATCTGAGGAGAGAATGCGAGGACAGTTCGCCGATAATGGGGGTGAGATTTGAATAGATTGATTGGAGTTCTTTAGCATCCCTTTCCTCACGAATCAAAGCTTTGACGCGAACACTAGGATGTGCCTTTAAGAGAGAGGAGAGGATAGTGCCGCCGACGAATCCAGTTACACCAGTGAGAAAAACACAGCATGATATGGGCGTTGTTTTAGGATCAGACTCCAAACTCATCATCGCGAACAAACATTCAAGATAGGAACAGTGAACAGTTGACTGCTGTACAGACAAAGAAGTATTAAAGGGTTTTTATTCTATAGTTGTGGTGCTCTTAAATGCGGCTGATAGCACATGCTGAAGCAAATGACTCAGAAAAGAAGATGATTCATCATATGTCGCTCGCATATCGATATTATTAAAATCCTGCAGGCTAGTGGTCACGCGATCGTGGTGATTAAGCTATGACTAAACTAAGTTAATTTATTCCATGGATAAGTGGGTTATACGGGTAGGTGTAGACCGTATAGTATGCGGTGCTAGTACCCTCTAGGTGTTATTACTGTATTATTTTCGTCATCAGTAGATCCGGGAGATCTCTATTATTTCTCCTAACTACTTAAGGTTGTACGCACATCACGTGGTAATGTTACATGGTTCTCTGACATCTTTATAGTGGATTGTAAACGCCAAGTTCTAGCATCTAAGAGAAAAACTTTTAGAGTAGTGCTTTGAACAATCTCGCCCTATCCGACCACTTCATGAAGCCACCGCTCTCCTGCAAGAACTGTAGAGCACGCAAGAAGAAATGCGACCGTGCATTTCCAGTGTGCTCATACTGTCTGAAGTGGGTGCAACTCTGGTGAAACTGCGTTAACATATTTTGATTTGACGCTGTCAGTAGGACCCATAGTAGTTGTGTGTATCGAGCCACGAGCCACCAAAAGCTGCACTCAACGCCAGGTGTCTCACTGAGTCCGCCACCGCCGAGCAAAGAACAGACCGGCTCTCGGATCCTTTGTCTAAATGGCGCCACGTTTCTTGGCTTCAGTAACCCTAACCAGACAAACTCATTTCCCTCTGGCTCCTTGGATTTCCCTTCCATCGGCGTCAATCTATGGAAGTCTATCTGTGTTCCCGGTCAGAAACGACCGGAAGAGCTGGTCAGGAATTTCATTCACATAGCTGATTTCTGGATGCCTTTCATACCACGGCGAGACTTGCGGCAACTGGCTCATGGCCCGAGCTCTCTCGAGGGAGTAGATATCATTCTTCTCGCATGTATGAACCTTGTCACCGAGAAACCCCCCGGCGGTGAACCAGCGAGCAAAATATATCTTGCCGTGAAATCGTCCTTCTTGAACATGGAGATATACGGAGTGCTTTCTATTAGGTTACTACAAGCCTTGATTCTACTTCTTTTTTACGAACACGGCCATGGGATGTATCCCTGTGCTTACATCACGCTGGGAACATGTGCTCGATATTTGTCTGCTTTGGGTATAAAGCCAAATGGAGAGTACAATGATGGCAAGAGTAAAGTTTGGTTAGAAGTGGAGGTTAGAAGGCGACTATGGTGGTCTGTCTTTGTGGTTGAGCGGTGTGTCCAGCAGAAGATTTAATCGTCATCCTTGCTGATCAGATCTCTAGGATCATGTCGCTGAGCTACCCGCAACGGCCACTTGTGTTGACGGAGCTCAGTGACGGTCAAGTATTACCTTCAGATGACATCTCTTGGCAACAAGAAGTATTTTTCACTCTCTCCCCTCGCACAATTCATAATTTCCCTGGCACATGATGCATGGTGCGTGATGTGGAGGCTGATAGATGCAAAGATTCCATCTCCCACCTACAAAGAGTTAACTCTGCTGTCGCTCGCAACGTCTGACATGGGTACCTTCCGCCTTTTGGTCCATGCTGGATATCTTTTGGACCGGGTAATTCATCTGGTATCGGACCAGGACATCAAAGGCCAAACATTTATCCCGAGGCGAGAACAGCTCTACCGCACCATGACCGCATTGATGTCTGTACTAGAAGTGGAGGAGAAATGCTCCACTGCATCCGTTCGGGTAGCGCGTAATGTGCTAAACAGGTACATGCTTCCCTCTTCACTCCAGGTAATGTGGTTTGACTAAATACTGCCAGCGGCTTATTTGTATTGTTCCCCATTGAAGACTCCCTTGATACTGGGCTTGGGGCGTTGCATGATCATAAACACCCACTCAACATATCTGCTCGAACGTGGCGAAGTCGATATCGGATGTACTTGGAAGGGAGTCTCGGCGGGATCGATGAGATCTATCCGTTCTTGACTCACTGGGCGGTGTGTGTGTTCAGATACCATCAGTTTCAGTATGATCGCGACGGCCGTGTGGAGAATATGAATGCATTGGTGGATGTGAGAAGCGCGTTGGAAGCTTTGGATGGCAGATGGAGGCTAGCTGGTGCGTGTTGTACCGTAATCCTCTGATCTCAGCCTGACTTATTTCGCAGGGGTCTACATGAGTCTTTTAAATGCAACCCAGGTTGGTGGAGGGTCGCACTATGCTCTGTGAAGATCGACCACTAGATCCCGCCGTGAGAGCGAAATACACTGCAGAGCGGCTGCATATCGGCTGCAGATCACTCTAAAATCCGCTCATAACCCGCTTGTATGGCTCACCCCACTGAATTCAGCATTGCCATTGAATTGAATTAACATAACGGTTCAGTCAGAGGAAAAAACAGAAAAAACAGTAGTTACTGCTATTTATCTTCGTTATAGTTAGCTGGTTTTATCAATTAATATTATTCATAACCCTTTGGGAGTGAACAATCATGGATACTCAACAAGTATAAGTTCAGCAACGAACCCCTTCTCCTTCATCGAACCAACTTCAACAAGTCACCTTCTCGGTTGTATGTATCTTGCCCACAAATTTGACATCTGAAATTTTCAAGGTCTTGACTATGACAGTTTCCGTGGCAAAGTACTCCGAGGACGAACCTGCCTATGGGCAGCGTATCTTTGTCAAATTGATAGACGACATAGCGTTGAACGAGCCCTGTCGGACTTTGCTTTCAATCCCATGCTCTGCTGATCCAAGAGATGGGTGGCAAGATCTGAGCTTTGGCATGTTTGCAAACGCTGTAAATCGGCTTTCTCACTGGATTACAGACCAAGTTGGACTTGCTCAAGAAGGCACATTTCCAACAGTGGCCTATATTGGTCCCAATGATGTCCGCTATCTGATACTTTTAGCCGCTACGATCAAGACGGGATACAAGGTATGATATAGAAGCAAGAGTGCTGTCAGATTGTGATCCTCAAATATGTAGTGTCCTGACAAGAAAATCTCAAAATAGGCATTTTTTATTTCCCCGCGCAATGACATGAAAAGTCAACTCTCTCTCTTCGAATCCACCGACTGCCACTGGCTTTGCTACGCACCGGAGTATGCGTCGAAGGTACAACCATGGTCAGACATTCGCCCGATGAAGTCAAACGCCATTGATGCAATCAAGGACCTGATCCACGAAAAACCAGCCCCTTTATTTCCGTACAAAATACCATATGAAAAGGCGATCAATGAACCTGCGATGGTCTTGCACACAAGCGGCAGTACAGGGACCCCCAAGCCGATTATCTGTCGCCATGGGATCCTGACACTTATGGATGCATACCACCACATCCCCGAATTCTCTGGGTTCCCTTGCTTCTTTAAGGCTTTCTCAGATAAAACAACGAAAGTGTTGTGTACCAGTATGTTGCACCTTATTTCCCCTAAAAATGATGACTCGTTCCGTGACTCCTGCTGACTGTAAATCGCTAGTGCCATTCTTTCATGCCGCTGGGCTATATTTTTTCCTAGGCTTGTCTATATATTGGGGTACTCCAATAGCACTTCCAATCCCAGATAAACCTTTGACAGCCGATGCAATCCGCACTTTTATTCACGAGTCCTATTCAGATGCTGCTTTCATACCACCATCTGTCCTTGCGGATATGAGCTATGAAGAGGATGATATTCAAGCCCTTCAAAGCCTGAATATGGTGACTACCGGTGGCGGTAAGATCTCAGCCTCTTTTTCCTATTGTTTTCTCAGGACCTGACGTGGTCATTCAGGCAAGCTGGATGACGAAGCCGGTGATAGGCTTGTCAAAGCTGGTGTCAAACTCACAATCGCGATTTCAACTACAGAGTAAGTCTAGCCCAATATCATTGTTAAAGAGTAATTTGTGACGATCCTCAAGATATGGGTTGTATCCCCTGTATATCCAGCCGGATGTGAAGCTCTGGAAGTATTTCGTTTTTGATGACGAAACATTCGGCACCCATTACGAGCCATCAGGAGAAAATGCATTCGTGCAAGTGATCAGACGCAAGGAAAAGAATCCCGGCCTGCAAGGCATTTTCTACACCTTCCCAGACCTCGCTGAATATAACACCAATGACCTGTATCAGCCGCATCCAACCTTAGCTCATCACTGGCTTCACGTCGGACGTGCAGATGATGTCATTACGTTCTCTAACGGAGAGAAGCTTAACCCAGTAACAATAGAACTCACTGTTGGTCGCCATGCCGAAGTCAATCAGGCCATTGTTGTTGGCCAAGGTAGGTTTCGGGCTGCACTATTCATTGATCCAGTGGTGGTGCCTGAAAGCGAAGACGAGGCCAAGGCTCTCATCAACAGAGTCTGGCCATTGATTGAGCGAGTGAACAAAGACACTGTTGCACATGGCCAGATTGCCAAGAATATGGTCCGTCTATGTGATTCAGCCAAGCCAGTTCCTTATTCCTCTAAGGGATCTCTTCAGAGGGGCAGATTCCTCAAGCTGTATGCGCGCGAAATGGATACTCTCTATGACACAGAAGGAAATCATGAGGCCATTGTGCTGGATTTTACAAGCAAAGAGTCTATGTTTGATTCTATCAAATCGATATTCAAGTCACTCTCCATCACTACTGATCTTGATCCGGAAACTGACATATTCGTTGCGGGTATCGATTCCCTGGGGGCCATCAACTTAGCAAAAAAATTGACAGACGGGCTTCAACACGCTGGTATACCTACCGAGAAATCAAAAATCACTGCACAGACCATTTACCGAAATCCTACCCTAGCGAGGTTGACAGAGTTTATTTTACTGCGTGGCTCCAAGAAATTTTCTGAGTCAGTCTCTATCTCAAAGGCAGGAGACACCGAGGCCGCAGCCACTATATTGAAAAAATACAGCATTGAAACTGCACTGAAGACAGCTTCAGAAAAGCCATCCCCTCAAAAGGAGGGCCAACTCGTCATTTTGACAGGCTCAACAGGGAGTCTGGGCTCCTACCTGTTGGACTTCCTTGAGAGATCCCCCTTGATCTCGTATGTTTTCTGTCTAAACCGTGCAGCAGACGGCGGCCTAGAACAGCAATTGCTCTCAAACAGTCAGCGCAACCTCACTACTATGTTTCGGAAGACAAAATTCCTCCAGGCAGATCTTACMAAGCCATACCTGGGACTTGACAGCGCCACCTATCGCGAACTTCTTGATTCAGCAGATCGCATCATTCACAATGCATGGCCTGTGAATTTCAACCTCTCCATCGAGTCCTTCGAGCCAAGTATCCTCGGCGTGAAGAACCTCACACTTTTCTCCGCGCAAGCACAAAAGCAGGTCCCAATTGTCTTTATCTCCTCCATCGGTGTTGCTACTCAATGGCCACACCTGGAGACTATTCCCGAATCGCCTTTGCACGATTTAAGGGTCGCCTCGCCCGGATATGGCCAGTCCAAATTGATTTCAGAGCATCTTCTTGCCCAAGCAACAGAAAAGCTCAAAGTCCCCGCGTCAGTTATCCGCGTAGGACAAATTGCCGGCCCTCGCGGGGAAAAGGGTATGTGGAATAAGCAAGAATGGCTGCCTACAATCATTGCATCTTCAGTTCGAATGAGGAAATTGCCATACGAGCTTGGTAGTCTCGATGTAGTGGACTGGGTTCCTGTTGATGATGTTGCCGCCATCGTTCTTGAAATTGCCGGTGCTACCTATCCCTGGTCGTCGTCCACAGGCCGCTGTAATTATTACCACATTATAAACCCGGCCAAGACACCATGGAAAAGTCTTGCATTGTCTGTGAAGGAATTCCTCAAGGAGCAAGGGCATGACTTGGACCTCGTGTCTCTGCAGGAGTGGGTTGACGCTTGCGAGGAGAGTCTGGAGACTGATGTTGAGAATCCTGCTGTGAAGCTGTTGGACACATACAAGTCACTTATCCACAGTAATCGTGTCTCATTCTCCACAAATGAGACTTGTGCTGTGAGCTCTACTTTGTGCAATTTGGGCTCATGTGATTCACAAATGATGAGGCGGTGGTGTCAGCAATGGGGCCTGTAAGTCTTTACATACGTAGAGCCAGTAGTATCAATACCCTTACACCTGGAACACTCCCTTCGTTCTTCTCCATACCCGTATGTTGGGTTTTGAGCCGCTCCTTTCACGCGTTGAATCTCGTTTTGTCTCGGCTAGTGAATCTCATTCGGTCTTCAATCCTGGAATTCTTCAGGACACCTAGAAATTGCTCAATATGAGGTTCTGGCTACTGTCACAGATAATATCTTACTAGTTTTTATGCGTTGTTAATATATAGCTCGACAAATTTGATCCTACCACTTCACTAAAACCTCTTGAATTAATAACAATTACGACAACAACAACAATAACAAGAAGAAGAAGAAGAAGAAGAAGAAGTAGTGGTAGATATATTTGATACTCGATCTCCATTTGAATTTGAATAGTATGATTCAGATACTCGGAATTTTCTACGTCACGAGGGGGCTACAAGGCAACACGACAACAGTGAAAGCGAAACGGGGTTTTTATGGTTGTGAACATTTGATTTTGCTGGTGAACATTGGGGCACTTCTCATGATCAGAGTCTAAACAATAAGATGGCCCTAGAATCTTCTACTATATTGTCGTTCATGCAAGACCCACCTACGTGATATCAAAATATACAAAATTTCTCTTAGACTCATCATCATATAGCCATCTAAATCAGCAACCACATAAAGTCAAATGTACATGCCTTCAAGCCATATAAAACATCTGGAATTGTAAAGAAACGTCATAATATTCACTGTAAAATCGTTCTTTAGTATTCTATTCGTAAAAAATAGAGAATATGGAAATTCAGTACTTGTATACTCAGGTTGGTGCTGTTCATAAAGACAATCAAAGTTAGCTGAATATATCAGAATAACGCTTCACAGGCGAATAGTCTCCGAGTTGCCATGTGTCCTTTAAACAGCTTCCACGGTCAATGTTAACTAGTTTGCGTAGGTGTCTACTTGACAATTTTATATTCTGGTTGCCTTCAAAAATACTATGCTAACATGGCGCTGTGCGCCTACCGAGGTTCCTTAAGCATAGCTATCATCTTCTGCAAATGGAGTACCAAATGGGATTCTTAATTTCCTGAACTTGTTTGACATATCCTTAACTGCATTTTTTGTTGCCCACTCTAGCAGCGAATCAAAGTTTCGGCATTGCTTGACAATATTAAAGTCGGGATATGGTCGAGTCTTGGGATCAGGTGCCCTTTCACTGTACACCCATTCATGTGTGATGGTCTCCGTATCAGCATGACACATTAGATGGTGTAAGACCATGTGGAGACAGTGCTTTTTATGTGACACATGCACCTCAGGAGAAGGTTGGCCTTTGTGCTGTGTACCATAGTAGTAGTCGAAATGCATTTCTTTTCGCAACTCGTTGAGGCAATGGATGAGGTGGAATACGTCTATTTGAGCGAGATATGCGTCACCTCCGTAGCCCCAGGAGATAGGTGCCTGAACCGCTCTTTGGGGATCCTTTCCTGATCTGATAACATCGGACTCTTTAACCACGATCAGCTCAAAGCCCTCCGTAGAAATCCTGTCCCAGGCAGCGTCAACCTCAGGAGACGGATCTTTTCGCCAAATGATTTCATTTTCGCGTAGAGCACCGTTTTGGATAACAGAAGAAGCGGATATCTCAACAGAATCGAGGATGGGAGCTGAAAGCAAAATTCATCCAAGGCAAACTTGTTTTGAATTTGAGGGTGGCCGGTTGGACACATACAGTAAGAAGAAACGCTTTTCAATAGTGGATTTCGATCGGGAGTTCGATACATATCATCTGTAGATATGCTGTTGCAGCCTGGATGGCAGGTTCGAGTATAACTGAAGAGGAGCAGGAACAAAATATTTGCAAGTAGTAGGACAACAAAAGTCCCTAAAGCTAGCGAAAACCTGTTTTTTTTGAACATGGTTCATTTACTGGATGCCGCGCGATATCGTCGTCGGAAGCGTTGCGAGATCCTAAAAGACTGTATCTGTGGCGAAAACTTTTGACCGCTTCTAGCATGATGAACTTTGGAAATATACGCTTGATAGTGTGAGTTTGTGCTGCGAATGGATAATTTGGAAGACTTGGGCAGTAGAAGAGCCCCAGGGATACATATTAGCCCAAAACAACGTACGGCCTGGGATTTCCACTTTCGGTCTCATGCATGAAACGTATAATACATGTACTTACGTGGTACTAACATGGTAAAATACTAGCCAAGGTGCCACGGTACAGATAGAATTCTAAATATCAGATGTAGAAGTTGTTTCTTTTCTACATTACCTTGCACTCATATGTACCAGAGCCGTTCCAATGAAGCCATATTACACATTGCTATCCACCCTGAAGGGTGATAACGGTGGTGTTGATGATGGGCAAGACATAACACTTTATACTGGGACGTACAACAGGACATCTAGGAAGTATTTGAAGATATTCTCATTGATAGTCCTTCTTAGTTCTTTTATCAAGATTTTCCTCATCACAACAGTTATTCGCTATCATCAGCACTCGTCTCAGCTAGAAGATCCAGAGCAATCAGCCGAAATCTACTGTAAGAGGTTCTATATAAGTATCTACTTACTAAGAGATCTAATTGACATTCTTAGCACCGGCTCAACAGGTTGTTCGCAAAGTCGATCGTGTTTTTGACGCTTCCATCGGTGTCGGGATAACTGCATTCCAGGGCATCCCTAATGAGGCTAGCAACCGGCTTTGGAAGGATTTATACAATGATATAATGTCTACTAAGCAATCTGAATCCCGTTCAAGTTTGAGCTATAGCTAACGAATACGAATTATCAGGTGTCGGAATATCACGTATTTCAGCTGACGAAGCGCGGCCGACGGCAAACCGAACACTTCCGATCCCCGGGGATCCTGGATAATTTATCACTTCACTGTCGGTATTTCATCAGTTGCATTGTCTAGTTAGTGTTACTACCTTCCCTCCAATATACTGGAGACTTTTCAACTTAACTGTTATTCTTACATAGAACGTCATACGGCAAGGAATTTACGGCCATGTGGACTGGTCAGACCAGGACGAGCATTTTGCTATCGGGCATATCGATCATTGTATTGATATTATTCGGCAGGGTCTTCAATGCAATGCTGATATCACACCGCTGAGCTTCGTTTGGTCATCAGGCCGGAATCGGTCCCTGGAGGCAGCAAATGTTATCCACACCTGCACTGATTTTGATGCGATTTGGAAATGGGGACTTGAGCACCAGATGAAGGTAAATTTTGACTCATATACCCAAGTGAAGGATGATATTTTGTGTTGGGGTGGGAAGTAGTTCATATCTCATGTATCAATTACAACTTATATCAGCTTTGAGAACGTTCGTTCGACACATGTATCTAAATACTACCTATGTGGTTGGGCACTAGTAGGTCATGCCTGAGAGATAAGGTATTAGACTGAATTAACCAACCTTCCCCTGTCAATATATTGATGAATGTTAATGATGTTGAAAGATACAAGTTGGTCCATGCGTGTGTGTAACGACACTCTTCGAGAATATCAAAGAACTTTTCCATACGCCGTGTGATCTGTTTTAGGTATGTCATCTGTCTTAATAACTATATTAGAAGCAAATGCCTGTGTGTAAGAGAGTGACGGAGTCTCATTTCTTATATCTAATGAATGTATGTGTAAAGTTATCCACCGGATCCTTTCCGTCAACAAGTTTCCCTAAGTAACAATTAAATCAAAAATTTCACCAATTACTTCTCAAAGAGGTACAGCTCAACGGCTGCATGCCGTATTCATCATCATCACCATCATCATCTCCACCATCACTTCGGCAAGCTCTCCCCTCCAGTGAGGTTTCTTTAGCTGAAGCTTCTTCAAGTGGCGCTGCCGGTTCCTCGGCAATGCATTCAACGCCGTTAGTTCCCTCCACAGCTGTACACCAGGCTGAGCGAGTAGAAATGGAATCAACACCAGCAACCATATTAGAGGCAGGCTATTCCATTGTCGGTTTTATTTGGCATGTGCAAGGTAAAGGTATTGGCAAATGGAGTCTTACTGTGAGAAGGGCTAAGACAGCTGCTGCTCTAAATAAGGTTCTTTGGGCCTAGGGTTAGGATAAGGTTGCTGTTTTGTATAGGGCCTTGATACGTTGCAGAACAAATGATTTGAATAATAGTGCTATCAATGTACGCGTCTGAGCTAGCAAACGTGGAGAACCTTCAAGTCTCCTTAATAGTCATGAGCTTCTCCCTCATTGCCAAATGACTAAGCGCGCTCCGAAGTTGGACGGCCTCGACCACCTAGGCCCAGGGAGCTATGGTTAGACTGTAGGTTGACTTTTCTAGGAGTATTCCGACGGTCTTGTTCGACAATGACCCTTTGTCTTGCGGACAGCCATGATTGATGGTACATGTTGTTCTTAGGAGATATGGAAAAGCGTCGGTGAGATTCTTTTTCTCTAAGTATTTCAGACAGGCTCGAATGGAAACAAAATGAATACAAATTTCTTAAATTTGTTGTCCTGATCCCCGAGGTCTTATCCTTAGATTACTGACCCTTAGAGTACTCAGGCGGGCTTGGATCTAACCGAGTTGGCGGTAATATCCTGACCGGAACATCCATTTTGTGCACCTTCGTTTCAAGGGCAACAGTGAAGGACAACTCAATCATTAGTGAGTGTAAGTGTTTGATGTTATATGTGACAAAATCTGGATAAATACTCGGACCAACGGTAAGCTGCCGGTTTCCAAGGCAGAGCGCGCTAGGGTGAAGAATAAGCTGGAACATTGCACCAATATCAACCTTTTGGCTCCCCTCGGTCGATTGGAACACTACCCGATTCTCGAGATTACTGAAAGCCTTAGTCAAGCCGAGATCTTGTTTAAGCGAGTGGTCATGGGTATGAGTACGGCTGTGAGAGAACTTTCCTGGCGCAAGTAGATCTGTGTCGGACTTCAGGATCATTCGAACCCAGTCCAGTTGAACCTTTTGAGTGGTGTCTTTAATACTGGGGCTGATGCTGGCTTCGTTTGCGTGGAATTGTATCACAAAGGGGAATGGAGATTGGTCTCCAAGCTGAATTTGACGTGGCACTTGGACAACCACTTTGTATCCAAATGTTGGAACTTTGGAGGACGAAAAGAGTTTCTGAGTTTTCTGTTTGAATGTCAACTCCGCCTTCTCCATTCCTGGTAGCAATCGCTGGCTCTGGACCGTGCTGTAGAACATAGCTTGCTGGGGCTCGCGGTTGATGGGAGGTTCGGATCCTGATGAGAAGGACGCTACGGATATAGGGAGTGTGGCCGTGAAACTCTCGTTTGAGCCTCCCCGATTGAACCGAAGCGTGGATTCAAGATAGTACTCTACAAAAGCCTCAGATCTGGTTCTCCCGCTCCGACCGCTGGAGTAGAATGTTCCTGGAGATTGGTGATTGGCAAGATTCGTCACGGGGATATAGCTCTGTTCTTGAGGGTGATCCCGGGCCAGAGTATCGGGTGGTTTTGTGGGGATTGTGACTGAGAATGGCCAGGAAAGATAGTTGCTGCCACTAGCCTGGCCTGGGGCGAGGTGCAGGGGTCCCTGATGAAGAATTTGAGTACTCTCGGTACCAATGAGAGACCAGCGGCCGCGATAGTGATGTGTCGTCGTGCTTTGACCATTACTCTTTTTCACGGTGATTTTTGTTTTTGTTCGTCCGAAAAGAGTGATGGTTACTGTGGCCGAGGGTGCGACAATAGGCGTCCGACGGATGACTGTGCCGATCACAGTATCTCCATGGGTAAATGTCCACGATGGTGGTTTCGCGACATCGATCTGGAGAGATGGACCGCCAGTGATCTCTGTACGTGGCATCTTGTAAGTTGTGAAAAATAACTTGATTGTATGGAATTGATGAAGCAGTAGATAAAGGTGGAATGCATTCATTGTCTCTCTGCTGTGACGTAGGGGGGCTCAGCCCCCCAATGCAGGATAATGCGGCTGGGTTTGGAAAACCTGCCTGGGCAGGTGGGGGCTGACCAGACGTGCTTATAGATTGAACATTTACTGATATAACATGCCGAATAATTGTCTTCCATCGAGACCGAAGCTGTTCCATTAGGGTTGTTGGATATGTTTTCTATCTGTTTCATATGGTTTGTCTTTGATGTCGAAGTGAAATTAATACTAACCTGTGCACACTGTGCGAGGGGTGACGCCAATCAGAAGAACGCTGCGAATTTATACCATGTCAAGGAGTGTTTGCTGTTGCGCTCAATTTACCTCCTGGTTTACGACTGACATAGCGAATTAGTGAATTAGCTTCAAATAGCGTCAATGCCCCCCC